AGATTGCAGGATTGCGACTTGAAGGGACGAGACTCTGGTACCACGACAAGGCCTACGTCAGGCCTGGTGACCAAAAGGAGCTCATTCGAAAGATCCACGAGTCAAGACTCGGAGGACACATGGGAATTGGCAAGACAATTGCGAAAGTCAAGCAGAACTACGACTTCCCAGGAATCAAGCAGACGGCAGAAGGGGTCCGGGCGGAATGCGACCTCTGCAAGCGAAGCAAACCAGGACGACACAAGCCGTACGGGCTACTACAGCCATTGCCAGTTGCAGAACGACCATGGAGCTCGGTGACGATGGACTTTATCACCAAGCTGCCGATATCCAAGGACTCAGTAACGGGAGTGGAATACGACAGCATCCTCACGATGGTGGACAGACTCACCAAGTGGAGTTACTTCCTCCCTTACAAGGAAACATGGTCAGCAGAACAACTCGCAGACGTGATCTATCGCAACATAACCTCGGTCCACGGATGGCCAGAGGAATGGATCACGGACAGAGACACCAAGTTCGCATCAAAGTTTTGGCAGGCTCTGATGACGAGACTGGGTACGAAAAGTAAGCTCTCAACCGCTTACCACCCACAGACGGACGGACAGACGGAACGACTCAACCAGGTTGTCGAACAATACCTACGGTTGTACGTCAATTTCCAGCAGGATGACTGGGTCGAGCTGTTGCCAACGGCACAACTCGCCTACAACACCACCGTCACGGAGACCACGAAGGTCACACCATTCTTCGCGAATTACGGCTACGAAGCAGATTTGCGACAAGGGCCCGAGGTTTCGGTGCCCAGAGCGGCAGTCAAAGCCGACAAAATGAGCTCGCTGCACGCGATGCTCAAGGAAGAACTCGAATTCGTACGAACACGGATGAAGAAGTTCTACGACAGAAACAGGCTCGAGGGACCTCGCCTAGAAGAGGGGGGCAAAGTTTACCTCATTTCTCGAAATCTTCGCACGAAGCGACCAAGCAGGAAGCTCGACTTTCGCAAAGTCGGACCGTTCAAGATCGACAAAAAGATTTCGGAGAACAATTACGCTCTCGCGTTGCCCTCGACAATGCGACTACGGACCAACGTTTTCCACATCTCACTTCTAGAACCAGCGCCGGAGAACGCGCGACTCGACAAGGACGCCGAGGCGGAGGACGAAGAAAAAGAATGGGACGTTGAGGAAGTCCTAGACTCACGCATCACGAAAGGACAGTTGGAGTATTTGGTTAAATGGCTGGATTTTGGCCCAGAAGACAATTCATGGCAACCAGCTACGAATCTCAACTGCCCCGAGAAACTTCAGGAGTTCCACCAGAGGAACCCGGATCGACCAAAGGAAACCCCACGGACAAGTCAAACCCGGCGAGGAAATCGTCGGATGAGGCGCTAGGAAAAGAGTCGACAGGAAGGGCGGACCCTTGCGGCCAGGAGGGCACCAGGGAAGTGCCGTCAGGGGACAGGACGGGAACCGAGGAGGCCACCGCCCGGGATGACTCAGCGTCCCGTCGCTCTTTCTCCTCCTCCTCGTCCAGAAGCTCCGACTCGCGACGGAACGCCTCCAAGGCCTCTTCCTCAAGGGCGCGGGACTGTCGCTCCAAGCGGAGAAGCTTGCTCAGGGTCGCTTGGCGCTCACTGTCCAGTTGACGTTTCCGTTCGATGAAGACACGCACTACCATGTTAGAAGACACTTGACGAGGCAAGGGGGGACTCACGATCTGCCCCGTGAACGTCACAACGAGTGCGGTTCGCAGCAAGACACGGGCGACACTTGGAAGCGTTGTCCGCCGCGGTGCAGGTTAATTTCTTTTTACGGCAGTACGAGCAAGTAGACATGACGGAGCCAAATGCGTCGGCACAGGCGACCTGATCATGACGGCGGTCAGTACTGTTGCGCTTGCGAACGCGCGACATGACGAAAAGAAGGTGAAGGAGAAGACTCACCACGGACAGAGTAGGAAATTGTTGGATCTATTTCGGGGACGGAAAGAAGCGCGTGGTCTTCGGGACGAAGACCAACAGGGAGGGGCATCGTGTCACGAACAGCCAACGAGGGGCGTGCTGGAGACATGCCACCACGGGGCGCGGGCCGCCCCGAGCCAATCACCGGCGGCCAGCTGGGTGCTCTGCTCTTGGCACGACAGAGCACGCTACGCTCTGGGTGCTCTGGCACAGAGCAGGGAGAGCACGACGCTCTGGGTGCTCTGGCACGGAGCATACAGAGCAAGGTACGGAGATACCTCAAGACTTAGATAGTATATAGTCACTCGTTCTGGAGAGCTCTGGGAGTTCTCCAGTTAGCAATCACAACTACAGTTCGCTACAAGCTCGAGAGCCTACTGTTGAGACAAGTCTTTGTTGTGCACCCTTTGGCTGCACCGAACCTAAGCACCCTTGAGAGAATACCTTCGACCGATACTGAACCCTAACAGGACGGGTCCAGAGACAGGTTCGTCACATAGGTGGATTGGGATGTATATACGCTTTAACTAACGTCCAGGGCCTGGGTATTTCCCCTATTCCGGATTCTCTACAACTCTGTTCTATCAGATAATTTTCTATATACTAACAAGTACGTTTAGAATCAATCTACCGTACGGATCCCGCTATCAAACAATAGGTTGCATCGCTCTACGTTACAGCATCGGTATACAGGATGAGTACGCAATTGTAGGAGGAGTATGTAGTTGTAGGAGGAGTACGCAGTTATACGGCGGCCGCAATGCAATTGCGGGTACGGAATTGCACGGCGGAAGCGATTGTATGGCGGGTACGGAATTGTATAGCGGAATGTTTGGCGGATGGCGGATGCAACTATAAGTGTATGGCGGATGTGTGTACAGTACTGTAGCAATATATTTGATTTCCTTCTGCGTAGGTCGATATGCATTTACCGAGGTTGGCCACTGGACCGGGCACTGAAATGAAGCGGTTACAGTAGGTTGCCCAGAACTTGCGGGCAACAATGCTTGTTTCGCTGACAACGCTTGTTGATGTGGCTAATGCTTGTTTACAAGGCAATTATAGTGGTGGGTTCAGTCAAAGTTTTTGGCTCAGAGCTTGTAGCGTCCAACAAGCGCTGTGACCCCCCACAGGACCCCGCTGCGGAAGTCAGTCACGATGGCACGGGAATCTTCGACTTCTCCAATGCGCAGGGAGGAATCCAGCAAATAGCCCAACGGAGAGGCCTCCTGCCTACATTTCTTGTCTCGTTCTCGCCATGGATCCGGTAAATCGCGTTTTCGCGCGCGTGTGTGTGCTCAGAAGTTTCAACACGGGTGTGATGAAATTCCCGTCCCACCGACTTGGGCGATGACGTGCTTGTCCACACCGTGAGGTCCCCCACGCAACGCGGTGATCAGGGCGATATCTGAATCGTGCCCCGGAATTCTTGTGGCGCAGTCCCACTGGACTTGACCTTGCATTTCCTCCCCTGCATGATCGCTTGTCCTCCCCCAAATCCGGCACTCGCAGCCGACTCGACACGCTGCCTGCTTCCTTTTCGAGACGGCACCCTGGTGGTTGGGAGAGGTACCCGCGCCGTGACAACAAGAATAGCTGACCTTGGCGGTGTCCCCGGGTGAAAACGGGGTCAAGACGAATGGGGATATTGCTGCGAGGGTTCTCGGAGATGGCAAGGAATCGCCCCCCCCGCCCCCCGCCCGCCACCAAACTGCTCTTCTCCTCGGCCGCGGAGTAATCTGTGGCACATCGTCTTGGGGGCCCTGATCTCCTGAGATTTGACCCGCCAACCTTTTGGAAACCCCAGTTGCCGTTATGCTAATGACGGGCCGTTGAAGCTGGTGAGAGGCGTGATCGTATTGAACCGGTCTCGGCATTCAGTACTGACAACTGTAGCCGTGTCGCGCAGGTGTGGTATCCGGTGTGGTAGAAAAAAAGAAGAAAAAGGAAGAAGAGAAAAAAAAGAAAAACGAAAGGTTGCAACTTCCATCCGCGGACGATGGGTTCGGCGAGGTTGTGTTACCGTACATACTTGATAATTGAGCAAGACCTCAGCTTCGTTGCCTCCGTCGCATGCGGTGCAGCCGCGAAACGGCTGCGGGTTTTATCGGGCGATTAAAGATTAAAGAGTCCTTGTTGTTGAAAGTCTGCGCCCAGGCCCATATAGAAAGTGGTGCGGTAATTAACTGGCATTCCACTACGTATCGATAACCATAAAAGGTTAGCAAGATAGGGGTGAGTGCGAGGTGCCTGGATGAGTGTGATCAGTGAATCCGAGGTGTTCAATGTGAAGTGATGGTGTTGGCTAGCGTGCAGGGTGTTTGTGTTCAGGGAATTCCGCAGATGGAGGAGTCAATTGGAGTCAACTGCCAAGTACATAGGGAAGGCCCAACGTGCGGGTCAGATTCGTTTCCCTACGTTAGGGTCCTGGAGTGGCCTACAAATTGTGCTCATGCGTCACGGGCATACCTGATGTGAATGGATGTGCATGGCTCCATTGGGGTTACCTTGAAAGACTCTCGGCTTTGGTCACCGGGCAACAACGGATGGAAACAATCCTCAAGAAACCCAATTAATAGACATTTGTGGGGAGGTTTCGGAACTGTCACCACAACACGCCCTTTTCGTGCAGGAGTGCAGGGTTGTGGTCAAAGGCGATTGGCGGCTGCTGAGCGGGTTTGAGCGAATAGCTCGGACAACTCGAGGTTGTCGGACCGTAGGAACAACAAGGTTGTATAGCGCTGCTTACCCTGCGAGAGTTGCGTCTGCACGTGATGGAAACACAGAGCGGTTGAGACTGGGGCCAAAAACTTAAGTTCCGAGGCCGTTCGGAACTTGAGATCATAGTCCGACGTTGTATGGAGCGCCGATCTCTCTGTCTGTTAGTGGGGACACACTACCTCCTAACTGGCATGTATAAGAGAACCGATTTACTTCCAACTCCCATAGACATGCTACGGTTCACCTTCGTCAACAACTCTTCTGGTCTTCGACCAACCGAATACCTAAGACGCGAGTAACGATCCTGGCCAAGATGACTCTCAAAGCCCTCGTTTTGCGTGCATGCACGCTCCTACCGCTCCTAGCAGCGACTGCGACTGCAAAGAAGAACGGGTCAACATCGATCGGAATGGTGAGGTCCTTGTCTGGAGTAAAAGCCCCCACGACTGACAGCGACGGCTTGGTTTAGGTTGTGTATGACAACTATACGGGCCTTGACGTCTGGGGCCCGTTGGAGTTAGCCTCGGCGGTAGGTGACAGTTCCAAGATGGATACGCATATGGGTGATGGTGGATATGTACCTATACTGACACCCCTTCTAGATGTCGTTCAAGGAGGACATCGAAATCTACATCATCAGCCGCGAAATCGGCCTCGTGAAGTCCAAAGTCAATCGGGAAGGACTGAAAGGGGCCGCGGCGTTCTCCCCGCAAATGCTCGCGACTCACAGCTTTGACAACCCACCGCCTTTGGACGTCCTGCTGATCCCCGGCGGCATCCTAGCGGATGAGGACGACCAAGCTTTGAACGCCTTCATCGCCGAGCAATACCCCACGCTGGAGTACCTCCTCAGCGTGTGCACGGGTGCCAGGAACCTTGCCGACGCCGGTGTGCTCGAGGGCAAGAGGGCGACATCCAACAAGGCCGTGTGGGAGACGGTGGTCACGCACGGAAAGAATGTCACTTGGGTGCCGACCGCGAGGTGGGTATCCGATGGGAACATCTGGACGAGTTCTGGCGTCGCAGCAGGTGGGTCCTCTGTGGTTTTATTCCGAGGCTTCCGATTCTCACCATGCTCGCAGGTATCGATATGATGTACGCTTTCTTCGAGCATTACTACAGCGACAACAAGGAGGCGGTGCAGAGCATGATCAACGGGGTTGAATACGCGCCCCACGCTGACTCGCACTGGGATCCCTTCTCGATTGTACACAATGTCAGTAGCCATGGGGCTTGGGGCGGCATCGGCTGGATTGCTAATCATTCGTCTCACCAGGTTCCGGGAGCGGATACGGGCGGTTCACTGGCGGACTGTGTCAAGCCCGCCGGGTACTGATCTTTCGCAATCCAGCGCTAATCAAGGCATCATTCCGTGGAAGGCCAAGGAGTTAGTTGCAGCGGCCTTGACATGGGGTTGGATTTAGGTACTCTGGCTCTATCTTGACGCGGATGGTTGACTCGATGCCGGGATGATTCATGGTGGGGGGCACGTTCAAGGAGGGCAGACGGAAACTGTTGCCTGTAACTGGCCACCAGCAATGGAGAGAGAGCCGTTGCTATACCGGGCACCGTAAGCCACAAGGCAACACAGGAAAGTTCAGACTTCGCACCCATTTTTCCATTGGCGATAGAGGGAGTGACCTTGAAACGTTGATTGTTGGTTCATGGCTGGACGTTCTCTGCCCACGGCCAATGGGTCGCGTTGAAACTTCTCGGCTGCGTGTTTGCGTTGGGCAAGGCGGCCGGGAGGCTGTGTAACCCATTCGGCAGTTTTATTGGGCCACTTGGGCGAGGGCTTGCCTGTCGTGCATTTGCGGACCAACTCCATCCTTTACTCGAGGCACTCATCCAGCTCAGGCCCTTGCTTCTTTTCCTTCTTTTTCACTAACCTGGTCGACCTCCACGACCAGGCTTTCGTAATTTCACGCCAATATGTCCGACTCGTCGGATGGGTTCAACGCATTCGTGGACCAGTTCCGCGCCCAGATGCATGGGAACGTGAACTTTTTGACGGTTAGTTGCTGGCCGTGCCACTCCGACGGAACCCCTTCTCCCTCGCGTCTGCTGTACGGTCGTTGTTAAAGGGCTAACCAACGCATTTAAATACCCAGGATGCGGCTGAACGATTCACGGCGCTAGCCAGGCAATATACCGATGTATGCCATGATCTCGAACGCGAGCGGGTTGCCGCGCGCGCTACCCAACAAAGCACGGAGAAGCTAGAGGCCGAGCTGAAGGAGTTGAAGGAAGCAACGGTCAGAGCCATGTCACTTTTCATCGATAGTGAGATCGCTGACGGTATTTAGATGCGTGGGGCCTTCGTTCTCGTGTTGGTCGACGCTGATGCCGATGCTTATATGGTGAGTAACTTCCCCTACAAGCAAACTCCTTTTCCTGGCTACGCTGACTGGCCTTGCGTATGTTAGTTCGACGACAAGTACTTCGCCGGTGACGCGGCCGAGGGTGGTGAGCGGGCAGCGGTCGACCTAAGGGGCGCTGTACAACAATACTTAAAATCGATTGACCCTCCCCTGGCCGACATGCCCGTGATGGCCAGGGCGTTTGCATCAGGGGAAGGTTTGGCAACTCTGCTTGCCAAGTTGGGCATCGCCAAGCCTGATGACTCGCAGCAAGTCCTGGCTCGCTTTACAAGTGGCTTTTCTCAGGCCGACGACCTGTTTGACTTTGTGCTCGTCGGGAAGGGCAAAGACCGTGCCGACCACAAGTTGATGGGTGAGTTTTATCTACGACCTCGCCCTTAACATAACGGCTGCTGACATGCCTCGCCACGTAGGTACCTTCCGTCAGCTTGTTGCGAACCCGAGTTGCCGGCATGTCCTGCTTGCCTGCTGCCATGACAATGGCTATGTCCGGATGCTTGAGAAGCTTGTTCATGTGCCGGCGATGGCGGCAAAGGTGACCATGGTCAAGTCATTTCAAACTGGGAGCGAATATGCGAGTCTTCCATTTCGGTCAGTGACTATGGAGACCGTGTTCAGGGGTCACCGTTTGGGGCCTGGTGCTGGGCCGGCCTCGAAGATGAAAAATGGTGGATTCGAATCCGTCGTTGGGGCAGGCGGTTTTCCGACCTACCATGTTCCCTCCCCGACAACTACATCCGCACCGCCCGTGAGTTATGCCGCCCGCGCAGCACCGTCACACCCAGCGGCGGCCGTGCCGGCATCCAAGCCCCGGTACCGGCCAACTTTCGGCAGTGTCGACAAAAGCATAATCTTAATCAATGCTTACGGCCACCGCATTGATATGCCGCTCCCTCCTCGGTCCGGCACAGTCGCCGAGAGCTTTAACCGGAAGACCCACATAGGGGGAAAGCGGTTTTGCAACATGTACCACCTCTATGGTAGTTGCATGGGGGACTGTGGGTTTCTACACAGTCCGGTAACAGCAGGAGAGAAGCTGGTGATGCGGCACAAGCTCCGGGGGGAGAAGTGCCATGATAAGGGGAAGTGCAGGGACCCGTTGTGTTTCTACGGGCATCACTGTGGCTGCCCGGGACCGGGAAAGAAATGCAACTTCCCGGCGACGATGCACGGGGTGGATGTGACGAGCTGGAGGGAGGTTAATACTGGACTCGGAGTCTGAAGAGGGTGTGACGACGAGGGACATGTCAGCTGACTTGGCTGTGTTCCTTGTTTGCAATGGAATTGAATACGGCGTGAAAAGACTGGATGAAAGTTTCGTATTGAATTGATTTTCAGCCAGATTACCGAGGTATTTGAGTCTAAACAAGAGTTAATCTTTCGGTTTGACAGGCTGTGCTTTGTACAATTAGTAGAGTACGTACGAAAGAGGCATGCAATATAGGATGCCTTGGGGCGGAGGAAGTGGTAACTTTTAACCGCACCCCCGAGGTTGCGCACACCTCCCCGTTTGCGTGGCTCAATGTGACATCACACGCCCTCAGCCCGACCTGGCTGCATGGTGCCAAGGCGCCAAATGAACGACTGCACATGTGTGCAGGGTTATGGATGGGCGCTGGCTCCCCCGACGACGTCCCTTAGGATTGAACCAACAAAAAACAGGGCATAAATCCGGAAAGCGCTCAAAAGTTACACTTTCAGATTACTTGAGGAGAGAGATAAGGCAGTTTGGATGGTCGCTGCCAAGTGGTGCAGGGGAGGTCATTGCTCGGTTGACCTTCGCCCGTGTAAGTGACGCGATTATGTAATCCCCACAACGACAGACCTTCACCCAGACCGGTCAACTCCCCAGACGTCCAACAAATTAGTATAAAGCTATTCCCGCCTAAGTTTTGCCTCAAAGTTTAACAGTGGAACCGCCTTAACTAGGATTTGGGCTTTTCCCAATTTTGACGTGAGCGGACCGCCCTCTGAAGGCCGGGGGCGCCGTCTTCTGTGCGCGGTGACCGTGCCGGACAGTGAAGACCAAATATCGAGGCATACAAGCTTGTTTTAGACTATGAAGGGCCGAGATTCTCCGTAGTCAATCTAACAAAGGCATCATCTTCTTCTCGCCGCACAGGAATGATATCCGACCGCTAGGCACGGCACCCGTCAGCGGAACGGCGTGCGCACATGTCGCTACGACGACACTCATTCCGACGGACTTGGATATTCGTCCCAGGCAGGTTCAAGTGCTTTGCAGTGGTGTCATAGGTGCTTACCATGATCATGGGTGGTTTTGGGGAAAGTTGGGAGTGAGTGGGGTCCGGCGTTGAGCGGGAAGGGGAACGGGGGGAGGGTGGCTCTGCGGTCGAAGCAGCTCGCCGCTTTAAGCGGGCGACAGGGGTTGTCCGACCACCTGCACCAGACACCCTCCCATTTGATCACCCTCCCCTGCAAAGCCAAAGATATATCTCTTGCTGCTCTAACCGGCGAAGAAGGGCCCTAGCAGCGCCAATCTGACCTGCGCGCCATTGGTTAGCTTTTATTCCAGCTTGCAGGTATAAGACCACCTCTCCCACCCTTTTTCCCCCCTGCCCATCCTTTTCCTTCACATCTCCCACTTACTCCCCTACTCCCCCCTTTTGACCACCATATCCCTCCCGCCCCCATTTCACCCCAACCTGTCACCCCATATCACCACCTCATCCCCCTTCGCCAAGACGCATCACTTTTGATATCAACCTCGTCGCCCTTGCTTACCTGCAACCCATTTCCATCACCAGGCCGCCCACATGGACTTCCCTATATCACCACAACCATCCCCAACTGGGTTATCATCGTGCATCCACCACATTCACAATATTATCAAACGACTAGCCCGCCATCGATTGGGGGATGCGTTCGAAGCCCTGCTAGACCTTGGCGATGAGATGCACGACATGGGCGACGACTTCTGGGGCCTCAGTGATCTGCACCAAGTCAACCGGCTGCTTACATCCATCGTGCACCACTCCGCATATGGCATCTACGAGCACGTGGACCAAGTCATCCACAGCCTCCTACTACTCGCAATCCACACCTGCGACAGGCTGCGGAAAACCCAAACCCACCCATCCCCAGACAGGGTCGTCTGGCTCTCGCCCACCCAGTCCTCGATCAACGACCACCTCGAGCTCTACCGCAACTTCCTCAGCCACATCACCACTGGCAGCTTCCCCAACTCACCCTCATCGCAAGAAGAAGACCCCAACCTGCAATCCGCGAGGCAACTCCTCCAAAAACTCCATCCACGAATCAACAGCCTCCCCCATTGGCCGCGACCACCCGCCGCCGAAGTGCGCGCCAAGACGGATGCCGTCCGCAGGAGACGACACTCCACCCTCCGCCCGTCAACTCAGCGCCAGCGGTCCGGGGTTACTAAACCTACCTCACCACCACAACCACCACCACCACCACCAGCACGTAAGCCGGCGGCCGGGTTTATGCCTACGCCGCCGTCGCAGAGCGGGGATGTCGGGTGGGAGGCTACCGTGCCGACGATACCTGTTTCTCGCACCGGCAGGGTGCGGGGTGGTTCAGTTGTGCCGGTTGCTGGCGCGCCGTCGCATACCATGGGGCGTGATGGTTGTCAGGTGGGGGTTGTTGATGGGCTTGTTGATGGGATGGCCCGGGTGTTGGTGTCACCGCCGGTGTCGGTAGGGGGAGATGTCATGGTTGAACGGATGGAGAAGCGTAGGGCTTGTTCTGGGACGATGCACGAGGATGCGGGGAGTTTGGGTGGGCGGGTTGCGTCCGTGGAGGGTTTTAGGCTGCGGCCCGAACATAGTTGCTCGCCGAGATGCTGTCCTTTTCGGGGAAGGTAAAGGGAAGTTCGAAGGTTGGTTGTTGAATTGTATTGTACCTATGTAATACGAGGTAAATACTGTATATCAGTGAGGTTCTTGGCATGCACATAACGTTGCAGCCTCTGCTGTGTCGTGGTCCCAAATCAATGGATTCACCCCTGGGGGTACTGGCGTAATTTCACCCCTCGCCAAGGAGCCAAAAAGCTTGGGCCAAATCGAAGACGATCTGTGAGTGTAAAAAACGATCTCGAAGACGCGATAAGTTGTTTTTCAAACACAAAAAGCCCATTTTCAACGCCATAAATACGGTTGGAATTGTTTATAATAGCGACTCTAGGGTTAGTCAATTGTATTGGTTCTAATATCTTTTTACTTTTAGGTTGATGTTGAGAATGAAACTTGAATTTTCTGACAATCAGAGTCAAACGTTGAAGACAGCGACGTCTACCTACACAGTAAACAGTTCGTCGACCGGGCGTGGCTATTTTGGGCTTAGTGGGATGGGGGCTCATTACTGTGGAGAAGGGGGGTGGCCGAGTAATCTGGGACCTCTTTAACGAGAGCCCTCATGAGAGCGACCGGTTCCCAACCCCTAATAGCCCCGGCCAAGAACCCCACGAGCGAGACGGTGCCGCCTCGTACCTATACATAGAAGGTCAATGTCCTCAGGGAGGGATCCGGGGCATTTTGTAGGGCTCATTACTCTATCTAGCTTGGCAAATCTATCAAATCTAACAACTCAAATCCCACTGCTTATTTGATTGACGAAAATGTCGATTTGAGTTGTATTTGAGTTGAATTGGATTGATTGAGTTGACGAGATTTGCATTGTGGAGAGCCTTGTATAATGAGACTGGCTCGACAGATTGCTTGATAGTGCGTGGGAGGTCCCCAGTTCAAGTTGTTCGCCTGAAGACCTTGCCCTGAGTAGAGAGTATCATATTGCAGTTTAGGAGAAGAGAAGGTGAACACGGGAGATCAGGGCGTGTCTATAAAATGTCCCTTTTTCGTGTTTACAAACTACGAGGCGGCTTGTCTCAGACGTGGGATATCAAGCTGCCTTCGTAATATATACCTTTCTGCGGTTACTTTAGTACTTACTAGCCCCCTTCCTGTTACGACGGGAAGTAGCAGGTTTTTCAGAGCTTACAAATCCGAGGTGTGAAATGGCGCTGACCGCACGTCATCATGCGGGATGGAGCACAGATCATCACCAATCTTCTGAGGAGCTCAATCAATGCCAAATGCGTCGCGTCTCCGCTCGTATCAGTCGGAGCAAAGTTCGCGCGAGGTTCGCCCCTCACAGGCTAAACCAATCCCGGCATGGTCACCTTGGCTATGGACCTCAATGAATTTACTTGGTATCGTCGCATTCCCACATTCCCGCGTTCACGGTGCCTCATGACTTTTTCCATCATTGGAGCCGCGTGAGGGGTCATCGCCTGACCGCCCGTGATCCGTCTGGGAAGTATAAGTGCCATAATATTTTCCCGTCTTTCTGTAACTCTTATTTCGGGCCAAGCCCCCTTCATACAACGAACCTGCCCCCTCAACAAAACAGTCACAGAGATCAAGTCATGTCATCGACGATTCTTGTAGCCGGTGCGACGGGTAATACCGGACAGGGCGTTGTCACGACCTTGTCCAAGCTCCTCGAATCGAGCAATTCCTTCTCGAAGCACAAGATCATAGCCCTTACCCGGTCTTCTCGCAGCACAGCGGCACAGAAACTCGCGGCCCTACCCAGGGTCGACATTATCGAGTACCCTTGGGCTGAGATCACCGCAGACTGGTTCCGCCATCACAACGTTGTCCGCGCCTTCATCGCGTCCCACATAGAGACCAGCCACTTCGCAGAAGAGTCAACGTTCCTCCTAGAGGCGCTCAAAGCAGGTCTGGAGTATGTTGTGCGAATCTCTACGACAGCTACCAACGTGCGCCCTGACTGCAACGCCTACTACGCAAGGGCCCATTGGGCAATTGAGGCTATGCTTAGCTCGCCCGCGTTCACGGGCTTACGGTGGACGTCGCTGCAGCCGAATGTTTTCTCGCCAGTCTTTCTTCAGCCTGCTGTCGCCTTGGTCGACGAGTTCCGCAGGACTGGCAAAGTAGGCGCCTTGCGCTTGACCGCCTCCGAGGACGCACCCGTCGCTCTCATTGATCCAATCGAGATCGGAATATTCGCAGCCCACCTGCTGGTGGAAGAAGACGTGATTCGGCACGACAAAGCAAAATACGTTCTGAATGGTCCGGAAGATATCAGTGGGCGGCAGATCGTGGATTTGGTCGAGCAAGAGATTGGCGTCAAGATTGAGAACGTTGTGTTCAAGGACGTGTCCTGGGTTGATTATGTGGTGGCACAGAGCTCGGCGCCCAAGTCCATTGTCAGCTCTCTCAAGTTCGCTCCAGTCACAACTTGGGAGGGAAAGTGCACCGCCTCCACAACAAGTCAGGAAGTATTGCGTCTGGCCGCGCCGAAGGTTACGCCCACGGACTACTTCAAAACCATGCTGCAGAAGTAGTAAAGCAATATAGGCACCCTGCCATACCAAAAGAATACAGCTACACTCTCTAGGTATACTTGGGCTCAGTCAAGGACAAAGCAGTAATCCAGGTTCGCTGCAAGGAACCACTTTCAGAAGAGTTACAGCGTAGTGATCCGGCAAAGTCGAGGCCACTGATGCTGCTGCCGTCCTCGCAGTACATAGTCTTCAAACTCCAGCCAATGAATTTGAAACGCCACCGAAGGCTTGCAAAACAGGTGCCGTGGCAATTCAATTCAGGACCAGCCACCGCCCAACTGTCCGTCTTCCCGTCGCTAGCAATGCAACAACTGCAAAAGCTGCATTTGACCGGTTCTCTCGTGATGATGGACAGATAATGGAGAGGTAGTACTTCATGAACAGCACACACCCAGTTCTGCGCGGTATTGGCGCCAGAATAAACACAGCGGCCAACCTCTCTATTTCAACTTCTTGCGACATTGCCGCTGGTTCTCGGGAGAGTAATTTTATCGAAGCCCGCTCCAGGAATGCAGAATGACCGTGCAACACTGTCAGAGAACCGAGAATCCTTTGACGTGGATGGGTACATGTTCACTAGTTGAGGGTTGGTCAGCTATTCTGTCGCGACTGTTATTATGTGTGGGTTTTAAGTAGTGATAGGAAACGATTTTGATGTCAGAAACGCTGGTGCTAGTAGAATCGAGACGGAGGCGTAGATGCACATCTTGGCGAGCCCGTTGAGATTACGTCCCGATAGGTCGAAACATGAAGGCTTTGGAGATTGAGGCCAGCCACAGGGACTTGATCGATTAGTTGGTGATACTGTGCTCGCTCCCAAGAACACGGCCATAGATGAAATCTACGGAGTTGTGATGGGATCAGTGATAAGCGTTCCAGGTACCCCGGGTATTGTGATACGATTGTTAATGTTAATTTCATGTAGCTTCCGGCATTTTACTACTTTTTAAACGGCTCCAGCTGGCCCTCTCACCTAACGAAGATAACGAATCCCTAGCCGTAACGCCCACCCGCTAAGGCCTCCCATAACGTATAATAAACCAAATATGAGGGTAGATTTGCTTTGATTTGGCCCACATTTGCCCAGCTTTGACTTGTGGGCAAGCCTAACTTAGGGCGTGTCGATGTTGTCCTGTTTGAGATCGGAACGTGATTAACGGTCAGATATTGGCGAGTCGCGCATTTTAACCACAATCGGGATGCCGTGCAGAGGTCCACGCAATTAACCTTGAGTAACCCTAACCTCGAGTTCAGCGGCGACTTTGGGTAGGAAGCCTTTGGGGGCAACAGTAATCACGGCTTCGAGGCATCCCAGACAGCAGCCGTTCATGTTGCAGGTGGTGGAGTTATGGCCGAATGTCTACCCTGAAGAGGTGCTTGAAAGGGAAGTGTATAAGCCACTGCAGGACAGAAGAGGAGGTCAATATGGAGATTGAAGAACGCCAAAGGCTCCAGGATGAAAAGCGACAGGAGTAGCGTATGGTTTGGGAGAAGTTGCATCTTCTAGCGATAGAGGGCGCAGGTTCTTCCAATGTCGGCGATGAAGATGTAGAAGTGGCCGAGGGGACTCTTAAGGGCCGTAGAGAAGCCGCAGTCAGTCTGCTGGTGGCAAAGAGGGGGGGATTAGAGGCGAAAGGCTTAGGGTGAGGATGACGTGGAGGTCGAAACATAACGGGAAAAGTGAAGCTTCATTTGGAGAACCTTCGCAGGGTGGTCACTCCGATGGTTCAAGTATTTATGTCGTAGTTTTGTTTCCGTTCTCGTTCATCCTGTGTTTCCTATCCAACTCTTTCATATATGCAAAGCAACAAAACCCAGAACTTTTTATCCTATCCATCGCCTTCCCTTTCCCTCTACTCCCCCGCCACTCCCACCGTCGCCTCAACGTCGTACTCCACCTCCGTCCTAATTACATACTTTGCCCCCCTCCTCACGCCCGTCCCCTCATGCAACAGCGCCCCCCTCGCATCCCCATGCGGAAAAACCGCCACCCCGCCCATGACCGGCCGCACCGGATACGCATTCAACACCCCCTCCCTCGCGCTCGGCAAGAAAAACGTCGTCTCCCCGCCCTCGAACTCATCATTCAGATAGATCAAAAACGTGAACAAACTGCTCTGCTTCCCGCCCTCCGGCGACGCATCATACACATACGTATCGTCCTGCAAGATGCCACTCGGAGGCCAAGCCCCGTCGATATGCGCACGGTACTCCGCGCCGGGAACATAGCGATAGACGCGAAAGCGACGGTTGAGGCCGCGTGCCATCCGACCGTCGACGGTACGGGGCACGAACGGGGAGACGCGCGACCAGAGGGTGTCGTGGAAGGGCTGGTCGACGACCCAGTAAAAGTTGTGCGCGAGGACGGAGACGTCGCCGTCCTCGCGGAGGGGCGCGTCGGGCAGGAACGTGGCGGTCTCGCCGGCGGCGATGATGGCCTGGCATTCGGCGGGGGAAAGAACGCGCGTGGCGAGGGAGAGGTTGGGGACGACGGGGTGGTGGTGGTAGGTTATGGGTGGGGGGACGGATGACAAGGGAACGCCGCCGGGCTTGGTGGTGTAGAGGATGGCGTCGTGGTGGTTGGGGGGCTTGCGGAGGGGCCCGGGGGTGCTCTCGATGACGCGAAGAGATTCGTGGAGGTTAGGTGGGGCAGAGAGGAAGATGGAGCCGTCAAGGACGGAGGCATGGGTTTGGAGGGTCGGGGCGGAGGACAGGGGGCGGAGGTCCCAGGTTTCTTGGACGCAGATGGGCGTGGAGGGGTCGAAGTCGGCGGAGGGGTTGGTGTCGATGACACCGCAGACGCGGAGGACGCCGTCGAGGACGCTGATGAGTTCCTTGTCGCGGGCGGTGCGCCCAGTGGGGGTTTCGTCTTCGAGGGTGGAGACGCCGCTGATGACGTCGAGGTCGCGCACCCAGCGGCAGAGGGCGCCGAGCTTGGGCGATTCGCCGCGGATTCTCATCTCGGCGAGGAGGACCTTGGCGTCGGTGAATTTTCCATCGGCGAGAGCGGCGGTGATGCGGCCGGTCAAGTTAGAACTGGCTCCGGTGCTGTTGAGGCCGGTCGGACATGCTTGGCGGAAATCCCAGACGGCGACGCGGAGGTCTTTGCAGGCTCGGGATTTGAGCAGGGCGGGATGTTTTGCGAGCTCGGCGAGCGTCTCAGCCGCGATTTCTAGCTCCTCTGGTGAGACGACGGCGTGCACACTCGTGGGTTCGCCACCGTTTGGTTTGACGCCGTCATCGCTGCGGTCGTCGCCTTCGAGCGGCGGCGTGATCGGCTTGTTGGTCGTTTTGAATTGCTTGTTCGGCAGGTTGCCGGTCACGTCATTTTGCTTTCTCTTCTTGTTTTTGTTTTTCGACATGGTCGCGGTTGCCAGTTGTGGCTTGGTTGTCGTGAGATTGATTGTGGATTCTCGAATGTGGACAAGATCGGGCTCCGACCGCATAATCTAATTGGCCAGCTCGGTGGATCCCACAGCAAGCGGGGATGTGGCAGAAAAATAGCGCGGGGTTATGTGAGGTGAGGAAGGAAGGAACGTTGACGAGCTACCGGTTTTGTTGTAGATTAACGAGAGGATACCGCCTCCCCCGGATGCTTCGATCCAACCTCCATGGAACTTCATTCAGACAACTACAGTTGCCAAGCTTGCCCTCACCCCGATTTAATCATGCACCGTCTTTCTTGAGTTTGGGAGGGGAGCAGTGACTCGGACCTTGATTGTTTGGCGGTGCGCACGTCTCAACAGCTGCCTAAAACGTCATTGTTTACAATGCAGGACGTTCGATATCCGGAATGCCATATATGCGCCGCAGAGGTAATACCCCTGGCTCTTCAAGGACGCCAGGAGTGATATTGACGGCGCCTCCTGAGGCTCCATCGCACACCTACAGATCACGGGCACAAAGCTCCCCAACACATTCACGCCAGCGGTCGAATTGAGTTTCTCCATTCCGGTTGTCTGTGGGCAGAGTTCAAGGTATCCATCGCCAGGATGGAACAGAACGATGAATTACTAACTCCAAGCCAAATACTGTTGAGATGCATCCCAACATCCAAGTACTGAAAAAGCACGATATTCCATCCACCCCGACAACCGACTCCAGCCACCGTCCTGCGGATCCCGCCCGCGAGATCAGTGGCAACCCCCTGCCACCACACCGACCGGCCTTCCCATCAGTATCCCTATCCCTGCGTATCATTCGCCGCCGGACGACGACGCAACGGCCGGGTGCCGGGAGACGGCGAGCGGCGACGCGGGGCACTGCCTCCGGTGGTGTTGCCGGTATTCCCAGCCGCAGCGGGCCGGGGCGCAGCGGGGCGTTCGGGCAGGCGCGTCGTCGTTCCACCCGGGCCACCACCACCGGTGGTGCGGGCGGCGGATCCTCTGGACGCCGAGGTGGACGCGCCCGCGCCCCCGGGCCCCGAGCCTTGCCGGGCGGGAGGCGCTCGGCCGCCGCCGCCACCGCCACCACCGCCGCCACCGGAGCCGCGCGATGTCGATCCTTGAGCGGGGGGGTCTCGGGGAGCACGTGCGGGTGCGGCTGGCTCTCTGCCGGTGTTGGCGCGTCCGGCCGGTGCTGTTTGCCGTCCGCCTTGCGGGGCGGGAGTCCGGGCGGGCGCTCGTGATGGTGTTGAGGTTTGGACGGTCGGGGTTCTGCCACGCTGTTGTTGGGCTTGACCGGCGGCCCCGGAAGTCGCGGCTGGTCGCGGTCCTGATACTAGTGCGGGGACCTGGTCGGGCGGGGGCCTCCCTTTACGGAGGGCGTCCTCGCGGTCATTGATCTGTTGCTCGGAGAACGACCTGTTGTCTTTGTAGGATTCGTAACACCAGTTGAGCCAGTTCACAAATCGGGAACCGTGGCAGGTCTCGGGAAGCTTTTTGACGCACCCGGCGAGCTCCTTGCGCAGTTCCTCGGCGGTCGGGTACGTCAACCGACTCCCGGCCCCGTCGAAGTTGTAGCGCATAGCACTGAGGTGAAGCGTGACAGCAAGAAGGATACGATGAACGGTAGTCGTAGGCGAGGCAGTACCGGCCTGGCGGCGTAGTTCTACTGTCTTAATATCGTTAAATGGAGCAAAGTTAGTCGAGAGGTACCTGGTCCAGTCATCCCCAGGACCTTGAAGTGCCGTGAGCAATTTGCTCTGAGCCCTTTCACCAGTAGCCGGGGCCTCTATTGCCGCAAAGACCGGGCCCCAACCAGCTCGGGGGACTGCCTTATATTCGTCGGTTGCGAGAATAGTGTGGTTTGGAAGCGCGTAAGTGTTGGACCGACGCTCGGGCGGGAGGAAGTCGCGTAGAGGCTCCTCCCAGAAGAATGCCCCCTTTGCCATTTTTATAAGTTGGCGTAGTGTATAGCTTTTATTCAAGGTCGGCCCGGTCGACACGTGTACATGGCAGCCGCAGGTATTGTTGGTCCAGATGTCAAAGACTTTACCGATTGCCTTGAAAACCATATCTATCTCCTGTTGCCACTGTTTGGATACCGACATAGGGGGTGAGACGACCTCGATTCCCCCTATACTACCATTAGTCTCTCACAAGATTCAGAAAAGGCCAGGAATACATACACCACTTTCTGGGGTCGATGGGCAGTGTAAGCAGCCTTTCTTTCACGCTTAGGTCGATTTCGCAACTCCATCCATTGTCGGGGCCCAACGCGGCGTCGATAGCTTCCTTCGCAGCCCCGCAAACATACCGCCGTTGAAAGACAGCATCTATTTTGTGTTCTTCGTCATAATCGTTTTTCAGGTCAAAATCCCAAAGATTCCAATGTTCCGGTAGGGGAGTCTTGAGTCTTTGCTTTTCTCTGGTCAAAACTTCAAGCCGGGGTTTAATTTTGACAAACATCTCGATTTCGACGCCAAAAATGGGCAACCGAGGAGCCGGGGCAGCCCTGGCATTGCCAGTGCCGGCGCTCATTGTCGTAGGTTCCTGTGCGGGGAGGGAAGACTGGTTGGGGTGTCTTTTTGAGTTGTTGGATTGTCACGATGATGGCAAACAAGGGAGGTCGGGAGGATGTCTACCTTATTATAACCGCGTTTATATGAGCGAACATGCGGCTTTATAACGGTGTCACCGGCGACCATCGCCGGTGGAGTCAGCATTAAGTTACAACAATCTACAGACAGTATTGCGTAATTCTCCATGGCCCCCCGAATAGGTACCGACAAATGCCAAGCATCACCGCAGTCATGCTCGCAAGTGGTCCCTATTGAACGCCGTTTCGCAAAGCGTCGCGGCCCCAGGCTGGTGCATTTGCCATCGCAGTCCCCCCCCCAAACCGAAACCTTCCCGAGCTCGGACTTGAAGGTGAACTAAGAATTTATACGGCGGGACGTGGTATAGTAACCGTTATAGTTCGCAAAAAATAAGAGTGGTCGCTTGTCCGAAACGCCATCCGCTCGGACAGTCCCCTGTTGCCTAGAAAAATGATGAAGCGAAAGCTTACTGTGTACGGAGTACCGAGTTTCCGTTATCGCCAAGATGACGGGAAAACGCGCTGGCGTCAAGGTTGCCATCATTGGTCTCGGTCGGGTGCGAGCTAGGCAACCGTGTAGCCCGTGTCGCAGCCCGCTCGCGGCACGGTACAACGGGGTGGTATGTACCTAGGTGGTTTAAGGGGCGGCATAAATGGGCCACGGTAAGTAAGGTACCCGTAGTTTGGGGTAAGCACTTGCACACCTAGTAGGCACATGGCACCGGCCGCGCAAATGACAACGGGAATTGTTTAAAGTGCAGCGACGGCAACATGTAGTCCATCGCGCCCGACCACCAGTGCTACCTACGGAAATTTCACCGACATCCCCATGGCCCAAAAAGGCACCGGATGGAAGTTGGAACACAGCATTGCACAGAGATTCCACCGTAAGTGGGCTGTACATCACCGTCGCGGGGCCGGTCCCGCGTTACGCCAGGGACTGATGAGAACTTGAAGTTGTTCATGACGAGTATCAAGGAGGTATATTGGGGTGAGCTGCTGAGCATTTACGAGCACTCACTGGGACCTCGATAACCCGATTCTCTAAGGGCAAAAATACCATCATTGATAGGACAACACTCGACTGTTCTGACAAGTCGCCGCCACCATGTTCCCCGATTCAGAAGCGCAAGAGTGGACCAGCGCAAGCCGCTGACGTTCCGCTCCCCGTTGTGGCTCCCGGCTTGGCGCCGGTTGATGCGCCGGGGTCGGGATATCCGGAGCTACATCTCCGGTTAGGGCAGAACGGGGCCGCTCTTAGGCGGGCAACCGAGGTCTCTACGGGGGGGAGACAGATGGCTGTGGCATTGGATTGGTGGATCTTGGGTATGTTGATGTCATCTATGGATAGTCACCAAGTGGAAGTAAGGTACTAGGTAGTTCTAGGTCCGAATCGACAAAGGTTGAAGATCCCCGGCTTCGATGGGTCCAAAAAGCATCTCTGCTAGGTATCCATTGACATCATCATTCAAGATCATGACGAACTGCCGTCATTGACCAGGTATTTGGTACCCCTACACAAGCATTTAAGGGTCCAGCCCGTCAATCCAAAACAAACTTTGTCTGCATCAAACTAAACTGGCTCCATTAAACACACAAAAACAAATTCCCCATCATGTCAGGCACCCAGAACACCAACCCCGGCAATTTTGCCAACCGGTATGTCCCCCATATCCCCTTGGTATGCGCCTATGTTACTGATCCCTTGCCTGCTAGCCCCAAGGAAGAGGTGCGCGACATCGCCTCCAAGGGTGGCCAGTCGAGTCACTCTGGCGGTTTCGCCAGCATGGACCCCGACAAGCAGGTATGACCACACATAGTGTTTTCCACCTTGCTTATGAATTGTTAACTAACGTTATCACGCAGCGCAACATCGCTTCTCAGGGTGGCCAGGCTTCGTCCGGCAGTTTCGAGCCCGGCAGCGAGCGTGCCCGTGAGGCAGGCCGAAAGGGCGGCTCCCGCACCGGCACCGGTAGTGACGACGCCGAGTAGCCAATACGAAGCCGACGGTGATCAGGGGTTTGCTGCACATGTACGATAGTTGGATAGCGGATAGTCAAATCAATATTTACTGGCGGTAGCGTTTTCAAGCTCGTGTATATCGCTTGCGTTGTCAATTCAGTTTAGACTCACCCCTCGTTACCCAGCGGTACCAAGTCCGGGCCCGATTCATCAGCCAACCATGCCGGTCACCATCCAGTCGTCCCTTCAGGCTTATCAGTTATCATCACTGGACAATTACACTTCACCGTGCCCATAATCAGCGTGGAATCCGCCTGGAAGCACGTCGAGCACTGTAAAGTACATGGTAAGCGACTATCACACCATGTGACGTAAAAAGACCTTGTCACTTACATCCATCAATATCCTCATCCACCACAACCTTTTGCGAGCAGCTATTCATAGCCTCGATCGACTGCAGCGTGGAATTCTAGTTTCGCAACCTGTCAGCCCATCCTTCCATCCATTCAAACTGGCCCCAACCCACAGCCACACAACGCCATGCAGGTAAATCGGTAGGGAGGCCACGCACCGACTCCTCCGCACAGTCGGTATCAAACCAGCACGGCGCATCCAACACCCTCTGCAGCGCATCCCCCTTCCACCCGAACACGTAATCCCCATGCGTCCCGTAGCCCGTCGCGTCGCCAAATGACCACACGAACGGACTGCTCCCGTCGGCCGGCCACTCCAGCTCGTTAAACCCCCTGGTATCCCACACCACCTCGTACATCACTTGTCCCACACGCACGGGGTGCGAGTCCGGGCACGGCCCGCCGCTCTCGAAGGTGCCCGTCGCCGGGTAGCTCATGTGCGCGCGGTGGTCGGGGCTGTCGAGGTTCTTGCCGTCCCAGCAGGTCGGGAAGCGCAGCGAGGTCATGATGCCCTCCGGGCAGGGCCGCGTCGGGAAGGCCATAGTTTCCGGGGCGCGGCTCGTCCATGTGTCCATGCACACGTAGGTTAGCTGGCGGGAGTGGGATGCGGCGGAGAGGGTGCGTGCGGTCAGGTCGCCGACGAACATGCGGAAGCCCTGGGTTGGGGTGGGTTAGTTATTTTGGGAGGGTTGGGGTGTGATAGGTTGGTATGTACCGGCTTGAATGCCTGGACCTTGGACTTTTGGCCCTGGTCGTAGATGGCATCCTGCATGTAGTAGATGGTGAGCCCGCCCCGGGCCGTCTCGAACTGGTTGTTGCCTAGCTGAGGCACCCGCTTGTAGCTGCCGTTCTGTGCTCGGAAATACAGGACCGCTGTCCAATAGTTGGAGAAGTCGTCGGCGAACTGGCAGGTTGTGCAACTCGACTCTGCCGGGAGGTCCCTGCTGGGATCCATCGTGGCGTTGAAGGCATCCTAAGGGAGAAAGTATCAGGGGCTTGTATGAACCAGGTAGTGGAAAGAGCCATGAATAGGAGGGAGTAGACCAACACCGCCGACAATTTGATGGACATGGCTCGAGGGGATTGACCCTGGGTTGACGAGAGGGTCCAGTCTCTCAACGACCAACTGAGAGCAGTGGAACCGGACTACCGCCCTGCTCTTTGCAGCCAGCAGCAAAGTAAGGAACGTAAGCCTCATCGTGTCTTGCTGGTGTCCGTAACGTCTTGAAGGCCAAACTATGGTAAGCCAAGAGGAGCTGGAGGGACTTGAACAGGGGAGAAAAGGGCAGAGACACCGTTAACCTCCTGGTTCAGGCCGACCCGGAAATACCGGTCCTGAATATACGTTGACCAAGGTGATGTAAAGTCCATGCGCTCGTGATAGGTTAGGACACATATTAACGACATTTGGAGTAGATTAAGAAAGCGAAGGTGGGGGTCACGGTAGACTAGTAGAACGAGGAATCTCCCACTGCCGATGCAACCACGCCGACGTCGTGCCACCAAATGACGGGTAAGTATTAACGGATGAAGACCTGCAGTGCCGTGTATGTTCGGGTGTATAAGTAGCTACAAAAACAAGTTCAGGCCTCAACCCATCCATGTGCGTTTTCTGTTGATGTAAACCGTCAACATATTAGAGAATAGTAGCCCACGTATTTCACCTCAACACAATGCGCGGCGCTACAACTCTTCTGACCGTTTTGCTGGGGATTCATGGCGCCGTTGCTGCGGAAGGCAGCCAGTGCCCCGATACCGAGCTTGCATGCCACGATATCATGAATTCAAGCCAGTGTATAGCACAGGTGGCTCTTAATGCACAGGAGCCAGTGAGCAAAGAAGCAATGATCAAGTGTGTGGAGCATGAAGGCACAGCGAGCGACCTACCAGGAGCAGTAAAGGTAAGTGTACGAAACTTGAGCCATGGACTGCTTGGTACCAGTAGAGGTTAACAAGTCGTGAAATAGTATTGTCGATGCCCAGGCTGCCATACGCAACCGATCAACGCCGTGATTTCGGAACTATTCCCACCACCATGCGCGTAGCCGGGCTTGACGTCGGCCAAGAGGAAAGCTTTGGGGCGGGGTTTCTGAATACACGGTCGCTGCGTCTGTCAAAAAGAAGACGGCGGGAACCGGATCGGAGGAAGAAGAGAGGAGTTGTGCATTAACAGCGACGCCTGGCTCCCGGAAGAGAGTAGAATGATCTCGAATGTTGTTGATAGCACATACCTATCGAGCGTTTAGTACTATTAGTTATAGCCATCGACGGACATAGTATTCTGGATTCCAAGTTGCCTGTGACTCTCCAGGGAATCCCACACACCATCCGTTTTCCAACAGACCATTTCTCTTACTCAGAAAACGCGGCATCATCAATTCTTGGAACAGCACCAGCTCTGAAGCTGTGCCCCGTGCTCACCCCGTCACTTTGAAACACCCGAAGTTATGCGAACCCCCGACCCGGAGCGTGCGACAGCAGTGTTCAGCCGCGAGCGGCTGCAACTCGAAGCTTTCAATGCAGAGTCCTACTTGTCGATCATGGCGTCTCCCTCCAACTGTTGCTCCAAAATCCAATTGCTCCTGCAATGCTCACATGGTTTCTCAAAACACGAACCTCTAGCAAATAACACGCTCCCGCCGCGATGCCGAACTATGAACCCACCCCACGACGTTTCTCTACGGTCTCTGTCCCTCGCTCCTCGTCGCGGAAAAATAGCGTTGACGCCACTATCCACCCAGCCGTGGGTTACAATTCGACACTGCACGATCATCCTCCCGTTGACCTCGCAGACGCTCTTCAGCACCTACAACATGTTGAGCTCGAGAGTGAACAAGAACGAGGACGAACGAGACAAAGCGGCGGTGACAATGCGAGGAGAACGATCCCGAGCCACAATGGGTTGCCCACGTCGCTGTCTGCCCAAAGAGAGAGTAGCGCCAGTACCCGGGAACGGATCGCTGTCTGGGAAGCACGGAGCCGCAGCCAAAGCAAGAGTAGAAGCAAGAGTAGGGGGGGAGACGCTGGATCAAAACATCGGATCAGCGTGGTCCCTGAAGTTCCCGACTTGGCCTTGGCTTTCAGTGCTTTCAGGCCGCAGGAGGCCACGCCCGGGGATGGAACGCTGGCCACGGGGCAATTCGGGATGGAGAGCAATCCCGACAGCTGTACAGAGGACGGGTCCAGACCTAACAAAGGGCAGGAAGAAGTGAGCACAACTGTAGTTGAAGCAGTTCTACCGGCCAAAACGGTAGAAGTAGGGCTACAAATTGCGTCGCCGGGCCATATGCACACCAGTGATGGGGCTCATGGCGGGCTTGTGGCAAGGGGAGACCTTCCAGAGATCGCCAACATGGAAAGTGAGCGACCGCAAACCCCGGTTTACCATTCTGGAGAAACGGCGATGCCGCCAACGCCGGAGACGACACCGAAGCTGTCTTCATCGACGAGAAATATCCACCACCGCATGCCAACAACAAAGAAACCAACGGAGGGAAATGAAGGCCTTAGTGAAAGCACTGCACCTGCAACGCCACCACGAAAATCGAATCCCACGACCATGATTATGCCTCTGACCCCAGAGGCAACCCCTGAACGAGAGGGAAATAGTTTGCGTGGGAGAAGCCAAGCCAGGTCTTATCCTTTGGAAGCGGAGGGTCCTTTGCCAAGCAGGTCTGTTGGATACATGGCAGTATATCAACCAGAGACCTCTCGATCCCCGGTTCGCATGGATGATGGAACCGTCACCCAACTTCACCCACGGTACCATCTGCCTTCAGATCTGTTGTACGACGAATCACCGCAACACAACGCGCCCCAGGCCCATACTGCCGTGTCACAAGGGCCAGTCAGGCAAGCGGATGCGCCACTCGACCAAGCCGTTCCTGGACCGGAAATGGAGTCCAGGTATCACAATGTATGGCGCATTAACTCATACCAACCTGACTTCCCACTCCCCGACCGGCCATCCAACTACGTGGACATCCATACCTTGAGTCAAGAACGCTTTGAGGGGAACCCACTGCAACAGGTGCCTCGAGGACAGCTACCTGCGGAGCCGAGGAATCCCGACGGCGCTGGTTTGGAGTCCTACCCCTTTCCTCGACTACGCGAGTCCGGCGGCAGAGACTGGGTCGTCGATATTCCACCCTCGCCCTCAACAGCCTACTTTGCCGGGGATCAGGGCATTCGACCGCCACAGAGCCCGAGCAGGAGCAGGGGAAGGGAGCAGTACACGGCCCGGAACGAGGTACGGCGCCATGAGTGGGACGCGCCGTCGGTAATAGAAAGAGCCCTCCACGCGGCGTCCGTGAGTATGATCCAAGGGTTGAACGTGCCGGTGGGAGTGTACAGAGGGTTGCGCGACATGTACTATCCTGCTCCGAGTCGCCCCGACATCGTCAAAGCTTACCCCATACGACCGCGTCTTCCAATACGGTAAGCCAGTCTCGTCCTGACTCCACAAAGACGTCGCTGTTGGTATCGTTAGACCGAGTAAAGTACTTACCACGGAAACAGTATCTTCTTCCCCTGTCACCACGACCTCACCTCTCCAGCGCTGCTCCCTACGCTCCTCACCATCCACGGCGGCGCTTTCACCGTCGGCACGCCGGCGGACGACGACCCCTGGAACCGCACTTTCGCCGACTCCTACACGGTCCTCGTCATCGCCCTCAACTACGCCAAAGCGCCCTGGGCCGCCTTCCCCGCCCCCCTCCTCGACACCGAAGCGCTCTACCACGCCATCCTCAACGACGAGTCCCTCCCCATCGACCGCATGCGCGTGGCCCTGGCCGGCTTCGACGCGGGCGCCAACCTGGCCCTCGCCCTCTCGCAACTCCCCTCGGTGCGTTCCGGCACCGACCCCAACCCACCCCCCTCCGCACCCAGCCACCCCAACCACCCCAACCACCACCCCAACCCCTACCCAGCAGCACCCCGCTCCAACCCCCCACCCACCGCCATCATCTCCATAACGGGCATCCTCGACTTCACCACCCCGCCGCACCAAAAACTGGCCACCCGCCCCTACAAGCCCACCCTCCGCGGCCCGCGCGGCTGGGGCCCCGCGCTCGACTGGATGGCGCGCGTGCTGCTGCCGTCGGGCGCGTGGAGCTACATCCCCTACGGGCACGACGCGGCCGACGCGCTGGTGTCGCCCGGGTGGGCGGCGCGCGGGGACCTGCCGCCGCACGTCTTTGTGGTGGCGGCGGAGTTGGATTGTCTGGCCATGGAGAGCTGGGTGGCGGCGTGTCGGTGGGGAGGGAGGGTTGTGCCGGGCGCTGGGGAGAGGGTGGGTAGGGAGGGGGTTGCGGTGTGGAGGGGTTGTTTGGATGATGAGCGGGCCGGGGATGGGGGCAGGTTTGCGTGGTGTGAGGATTGGGGCGGGGCGGGAGGGGGGGGGAGTACGAGGTGGTTGTTGGTGCCGGATGTGGTGCATGGGTTTGATTCGGTCGCGTGGAGGAATAAGTATCTGTGGGGGGATGAGGTGGCGAGGATGGATGCCGAGATGAAGACGGTTGCGTATCAGCGGGAGGTGGCCGAGTGGCTTTGGGGGGTTGTTTGGCAGGGAGGGGGAAATTGAGGAAGGGAGGGACGGCCGGGGTTGGGATCCTGGGTGAAGATGGGGCTCGAGGAGGATGGCAATGAGTGCAACAATGGGCCCAGATGTAATAATTCATTTTTACCTGTCAACATCAAAGTTGGGATGTATTTCCCGTCGAGGGGGGGGGGTTGATTCACTCAGCGTCGCAGCGGAGACGGCTTTGGTATCGGAAAATGAAATTACATCGAGTGCTCAGCCACACAACGTCGTAATCGGGGGCCGCTGTTGGCGAACCATGGCCGTTGGTAATTAATGACAGCTGTCACCTTTCACGAATTCTGAATTTTAAAAGACCGCTGATATCTGACAACCGTCTATTAATTCTCACGACGGATCAAACACCGGAATGGCGACCACCTCAAAAACCGAAACAGCGGCCGTCGCTGACCCGGAGTTAATCAGACCGGACGACAATGATGGGGGCCAGACCCAGCCGAAAGTTTATCCAATGGGGTGGAGGTTGCATGCACTCACGGCCGGGTAAGCACTCTGACACAACTCTCCTCCTCCTTCCAGCTTACCTCCGTCTGATAGAGCCGCTGACCAAACATTCCTGATCCTTCCAAATTAAGCCTTTGTATCAGCATGCTCCTTTCCACACTAGAAACCACCATCGTCAGCACGTCATTGGTCTCCATGGCCAACGACCTTCAGGGGTTTGGGCAAGCCGGCTGGGTGGTCACGGCATACTTCCTGACTTACACTGGTCAGACTTACCATAGCATGCTTGAAGCGGAATCCACAAGCTGGGAACTAACACGGATGTGCTACCCTGTACAGGTTTCCTCGTCATTTATGCCAAGCTCAGCGATATCTTCGGCACCAAACTATTGCTCCTCTGTGCCATAGCATTATTCACCGTGTTTTCGCTGGCATGCGGTGCCTCCAGCACCATGTTACAGCTGTACGAACTACCACTAGCTATACATGTTGTAACAATCCTTACTCACAGTTGCAGTATTGTCTTCCGAGCGTTCCAAGGCATGGGTGGTTCCGGCATTTACTCCCTTGTCACCGTCATGACGCCCCTCATGGTCCCACCGGCGAAGTACCCGACCTACATCGCCATCATCTCCTCCGTGTTTGCCATCTCTAGCGTACTGGGCCCGCTGCTCGGCGGAGCCATCTCCGACCACACCACCTGGAGATGGGTCTTCTGGCTCAAGTGCGTCCCCCAAGTGCGGTCGTGATTAGGTGCCGTGCTAACATGCCCGCTCCTACAGCGGCCCTGGTGGGGCCCTGGCCATTACCCTTCTTAGTATCTCGATCCCTTTCAGTTTCCCGTACCCCGGCCCCGCCCGCTTTCTCAGCACGCTTGTTTCGGAGAAGGCCTGGAAACGGATAGATTATCTCGGAGCATTCTCCTCCCTGGCGGCCTCCGTGCTGCTTGTCTTCGCCTTGGAGCAGGCCGGTGTGGAGTACCCATGGGGCAGTGCGCCCATCATCGTGTGTTTCGTGCTTTCCGGCATTTTCTGGATCGTGTTCATTGGGTGGGAGAGGGGCCTGTCCAGGAAAACGACCAGTTGCGAGCCCATGTTTCCATGGAGGCTTGCTTGCAATAGGTTTGTTCTGGGCTTACTTCTGTGAGTGGCAGAGACGGATTCTTTGCGACGTGTCCTGTTTGCTAATTTACCTTGGTAGAAACGCGTTCCTGACAGGGTTCCCCTTTATGGCGGCGATTATCACGATCCCTCAACGATTCCAAGTCGTTAATGGAACAGGTGCCGTGGATGCTGGCATCCGCATGCTGCCGCTTCTACTTTCCTCTCCCATTGCGACAATCCTGGCGAGCTTGCTACTGTCAAAGCTGAGGCTTCCTCCGCTCTATGTCCTTCTTGGTGGTTGTGGTCTCCAAACTCTTGGGGTCGGCTTGTTCAGCTCGCTCGATTCTTTCAACCTTGAGGTGCCGTCGTTCCAATACGGATACCAAGTTATTATGGGTTGTGGGTTCGGTCTCAATCTCAGCACCGTGTTGATGATGGTGCCGTTGGTGGTGACACAGAAAGACATGCGTGAGAAACCAGATCCCCTTTCACAGCGGTCACTGCCGCACTTGTATAATCGTATTCTTGCTGACTTTGGCCAGCTGTCACGATGGGTGCTGCAACCCAAATACGAGTCCTCGGTGGCACGATCGGGCTAGCGATTTGCTCCGCTTTGTTAAGCAATCACGTTGCGCGTGAAACTTCAGAATTACTCTCCCCAGGGCAGCAAGCCGCGCTTCTTGAGTCCTCCCAGAGCATCCTGGGCCTACCGTTGGAGCTACAAATACAGGTGAGGCAGGTCTATGCCATGGGATACAGTCAACAGATGAGGGTTATGCTTTATTTATGCATCGCCTCGCTCGTTTCCTTAGCCCTTCTTGCCGAATGGCCTCTCAGGCGGTTGCGGATGACGGAGGATGGAGAAATTGCCGCCCCAGCGAATAAGTCAGAATCATAAATGGCGGCGTCGTAGCATACCTCGGTGCCCAAGGTACCTCTTGATTGAACATGGTGGTGGAGTAAAGAGCTACGCCTTCATGATCAAGAGCGAACAACCAACGGTCCAAAACCAAATCCGTCTGGTTTCCAGTTTGCTTAACGGTTAGTTGTATTGGTAATGCTCAATGAGCCGTAGTTCCATCATTCCGTCTCATTTCAGCCCTACAACTCAGCGTTCTGTCTCCGCAATCCCGCCGTCAGCATGATTTTTGTCTTTTATTAACAGCGCCGGACGCGTATTGGGTCACGGCCACGGCGTGGTGGTCGCTTTTCTCGGGGCCGGACCCAAGAGAAAGTCCCACGAGGTCTTAACTTTTTCTCCGGTATTGCCGCGTTGGCAGATATGAATTGAAAGTTAGGCAAAACACTTGGTTTGGCTGCCACGTTTCGGCCAGGGTGGATAGTTGGCGTGGATGTCCAAAATTGGGTGCAAGCTGCTTGGGACGCTTGGCAGAGGGCCAGTCAGTTGGCCTTCCAAATCAGTTTGCGACAAGGAGGAAGCGGCGTTCACAACATGAGCCTCCGCACCTCGCCGCACACCCCCTTGGCCGTATCCACAAGGGGACAAAAAGACAGACTGACGTTAGTAATCCGTGAGGAGGGCTGGCCAAACATTTATGTCAGCCCAAGAAAAAGGAGTGCCTCTTCGGGTTATACGTCCGTAGACACGTGGGAGGCGGGGGAGGAGCTTGAGACGACCAAGAAAGACGCACCGAGGACAGAAACAGGCATGCCAATGTGTGGTGACCTTTCCAGAGACCTTCACTCACCCGATGGGGCAAGAGAAAGGCCCCAATGCGGCACTTGACCCCTGCCTAGCAGACTGCCTCTTCTGTAATTACCTGTGTAAGCCGTGAAACGCGTAAATATTCCACACACACACATCCCCCTTTCCCACGCATCCATCCCCCCCTGCCCTCAAATTTGGCTGTCCACATCAAGTTGTGTTTCAACCTCTGAAACGACGTCTAAGATAGGGAACGATAAAAAGGCCTCGACTTCCTTCCAGCCGGGTGCGGCGACCATCAGACCCCATAGTTTCACGGTCATTTTCACGCCGATCAAGCCGGAGGCGGAGAAGCTTTTGGCCTCCCGTCTATCTGCCTCTCGGCTGGCTGTACTGATACTTAATCAACACCAAGAGCCCACAATGGCAACTGTCGTAGAACGAAACTCACTGAATCCAAAATGGCCCAATCCCACGTACCAAGTTTGACGGAAAGTGCTGTCCGGGTGGACCCCCGGGACTCGAGGGAATACGCCGGTAACCAGGAAGACTCTCCCTTGTACGACATGTGCGATAATCCGGCACAGCATGGCAATGTGCGGTACTTTGACCACGAGATGGTTGTCGTAGATGACGCCAACGCCAAGGTAAAGCCCCCATCTTCCACCAGAGAGAAACAGGGAGGAGACAATGGCTAACGGGATCATCCCCCAGTCCCCTGACCATATCATCCTTATGCCACGGGATACCTCAATCAAGGAAATCGCCAACTTGACGACCGAACACTTGCCTTTACTATATCGATTCCGACATCAGTCCCAGGTCGAAATCAACCGTATGATAACCGAGGATCCCAGCAGACTCCCACTGTTCATGAGCGGCTTTCACACCATACCCAGCTTATTTCCGCTTCACTGCCATGTGCAGGACTGGTCACTCAGCACTGACAAAATGTTCAACCCTAGACACTGGAAGGTGCCCTTCTCAAACATGTTCATCTCGTTGGATCATGTCATTGAAGAAGTAGAACGGACCGGAAGGATGTCGGTGGATACGGAGGCTTACCGACGTGACTGGCAAACGAAACCAATCCGCTGCCCGGTGTGTCCCGGCCCCCAACGCCAATGGGAGACCGATATCACCGCGCTGTCCGACCATTGGCGGGACCACGTCGAGGAATGGAAGACCACCAAGACTCTCCCACCCAACGTGTCGCCGGCTAGGCAGTGGGAGCCAAACTATCCCGTTATCTTGACCACCCGAAGACGCACAGGGTTTCGCATCGGTGTTACTGACGAGCTGGATCATCTCAAGAGGGATTTCCCGGGACTCGAGATTTATTGTTATTATACCGATGAATGGCCATCAATACCCAAGTACGTGCTTGATAAGACAACCATCTTTCTCTCGACCATCGAGCTACCACCGAACGAATACGCCCTCCCGCGGCTTGAATGGATTCACCTCGCGTCTTCGGGGCTGGACCTCCTCAACAACAGCCCATACAACCACCGCCCCGACCTCCGAGTGACATCGAGTACGGGTTCCGGCTCCGCTGCCCTGGCCGAGTTCGCGTTGATGAACACGATGATCCTGAGCCGGAACATTCCCACGGCACTACAAAACCAAGCCAAGCACCAATGGGCGCCCCAACCACTGATGGGATACCGAACTGTCAGCCAACTATCCGTAGGTATCCTAGGTTTTGGATCCATCGGCCAGCAAGTGGCGGAGCGTTTTCTTGCGCTGGGAAGCAAGGTCACCGCCATGAACCCGAAAGGCCTCCCCCAATCCTCGGCAACGCCCGGGTCACGGTTGAGCGAGGTCAAACTCCTGAGGGCCGATGGCAAGGACGCTCTGCGTGCGTTCCTCCGCAACCAGGACGTCCTCATCCTTGCTGCTCCGCTGACTCCCGAAACGGCTGGCCTCATCAGCAGGCAGGAGCTGGAGTCGCTCCCCCGGAACGCCATCATCGTCAATATCGCACGCGGGCCTCTACTAGACGAGCAGGCCTTGGCGGAATATCTCCAAAACGGACATCTGGGAGGCGCCGCCCTGGATGTCGTGAGCGAGGAGCCCCTGAATGCCAGGTCACCGCTGTGGGATTTACCAAACGTCATCATCACGCCACACATCGCGGCCATGCACAATAAGGTTTGCTCTTCCCCTTTCTCTCGGCACTCAAAGTGGCAAACTTCCTAACCCCCCATATCTAGTACAACGATAACATGATCCAAATCTTCGAGCAAAACCTGCGCGCCCATCTCGCGCACAAGCCGATGAGGAACGTAGCCCAACTCCCGGTTCCAGCTCCGCCATCCGCAACCCCAACACCACTCAAAACAATCACCCAGGCGCCGTACCTCAAGTCGACCGCGACCCGTTCCCCAAAGGTGGTGTATGCCGTCCGGGAGCGGGACGCTGGTCGCGACAGGTAAGGTACCGTGGCGGGAAAATGCAGGGGGCAACTACCTATGTTTAGGTGCGTAAGGTAACCTTGGCAGCAACAATGGTCTTGGTCGTGCAGCCTACAGGCAGCGATGGTGACAACATGAAATCAATGGGTGGCCGAGTTTGGGTGGGGAGGCCCGAGGGACTGGGAGACGCCTGGAGCACTTCCACTCCCTGGGGTTGGCCACAGAAAAAAAGAAAAAGGAGGGGGGGTTGTAGCTGTAGCTGTTGCTCAGCTTCGGCTGGGGGGGTATTGTTGCATTCCAGGGAGAACTTGAAAATACGGTAGCTTGTAGTACCTACCTAGCTGGTTAATTTCAGGGGCAACAAAGTCACCGCTTGTGCAGTCCCCTATCCACGTGAGGAACGGTGGTTCTTTTAGCATGGCAGGGTTCAATATTAACAGATACGACATTTACACGACTCGACTTATTACAGTGCTTAACCCGGGCTTGTAAATGCTTGTGAACATACTTGGTGTTGGGATGGGACGACGGCGATGGTGAGATCGGCAATGTGCCTCGCTGTGGTGGGTGCGTGGAGTGGACATGAAATCGTTGTGTTTCGACAAGCGAAAATGGCCGTAACACAGATTTCAGGCAGCTCTCGTTCTGACAAATACTAGTATGCGTACCTACTTATTGAGTCGCTTACTTAGGTTGCCGAGGCTCGGACCGGCTGCGGCGTACGGCATAGCGAGGCACAATACATACGGGTATTCGGTACTTTCAAGGCGGATGTCAGCTTCTGAAAATTGAAGCCATTCTGGGATGTGAACCCCCACTTGGGAAGAGGTCTAAAACTCGCGGGACTTCTCCCTCTTGGAGATAGACATTGGTGCCTGCTTGGAAAAAGAAAGTGACCTGATATTTGTCTTTGGTGGCACACCAGCCCAAGTGAATAATCGGAGATAACGCACGACATGCTGTTCTGGGAATAAGTCTACGAGCCTACCTAGGTACCTTAGGTAGGTATGTACCTCCCGGACGTATCGGAATGTTGCGCGCGTCGAAGGGCCCAACCCCCGGGTCCCCGGTGATATCCTTGGATATGGGGTTGCAAAGGAGAAGCTGAGATTGAATAGGGGCGTAGTTGGACATAGCCATGGAAATCACAGTCCGTTTCTCGGGTGGAGATAAATGTGAAGGACAAAAGGCAGCCAAGTTCTTTAGCTTTACTAAAGTACTCTCCATGGGACCAGGAAGCTACCCCCCCAAATCAGGTAGGCAGTGTTGTTGTAAGTTTCCCAACTGCTTTTCTGTTCTGTGCTGTCGTCTCCCACAACATTGAAGACAAGGGTGAAACAGTCAACCATATGGTTTTGACGAATCCAATCCACCTCGGCCATTCCTTTCGCTGGTTCTGATAGTTGAACTTGATAATAAAACGAAACTACACGGGGCACCAATTGCCAGCTTCCTAGGATCCATGCAGTGAACTGTTGCATTTGAATCAACGCCCGGACCCGTTGCGGCTAATATACACCCATATGATCTGTACGACCCAGATCCCAGATCGATAAACAGCGGAGAACTCGGATTTATATTACCTGCAGCTATAATGGACCGCCTTTCACGAACTTGGAGCGATGAGAGCAGATCGCAATCCACAAGCGCGGGTAAATATAGATCTCGCTCATCCGTCTGGAGCGGAAGAGCCTCCAACAATATTTGATTTTGCAAACTCCGGTACGCCGCGTCACCGTCCATATTGAATTGGCTCCTTTCCGGCAGTTCGTTCGGCCATAACCGGCCATGGTTATGATACAAAAACGTGGTGATCCCGAACCTTGGCGATCAGAGAATCCCTCCACGGCAACCACCCGGATCACCACCCAAGTCCTGCCACAACCCAACCCCTAGTAACCCACACGCCCAACAAAAATGCTCCCCCACCTAGCCACCCTCCTCCTCCTCCCGCTCGGCGCCCTCGCCGCCGCCGTGCACCCACACCCGCCCGCCCTGGCACGGCGCGAGGTCTCGCCCGACAACACGTGCGGCGAGGAGAACTCGGGCTACACGTGCCCCGGCGAGGCGGCCTGCTGCTCGCAGCACGGCTACTGCGGCTCCACAGACGCCTTCTGCCTGACCACGGCCCAGTGCCAGCCCGACTTCTCCAACTCGACCGACGCCTGCCACGAGCCCGTGCCCGGCGAGAGCGTCTCCATCGACGGCACCTGCGGCACCACCGAGGCGGGCACAGAAGGGTACCGCTGCCCGGGGAATGCCACGGTGACGAGCTGCTGTAGTGCGTCGTAAGTATTGCTCTGTTCTTCTACAGTGGACTGGGGTTTGTTGCTGACTGGGACGGGTAGCGGTTATTGTGGTACCACGGTGGATCATTGCTCTGCGGAGACTGGTTGCCAGCCTGAGTTTGGGAACTGCACCGAGGGCGAGCCAGCTGGCGATAAACGCAGTGTTAAGCGTAGTGTCTTGTTGTTTTAAGGTCGTTGAAGAGCACCTATGCAAGGCTTGAAACTGGCCTGGAACCATGGAAGATGGGGCACATGCGTGTGACCTAGACAGAGCATGAAAAACAACCAGTTGATCATTAAAACAACAAACGGCATGCCCACGGTTGAAGTGACTTTTCTTTTGTCCTCCTGCCTTCATACGCGCTTCAAAACCAGGAAGTATCCCTCCTACGCATGCCAACGCCTGTCCAACATCCGAGAACATTAGGTTAGCATCGATGCGGTCGCTCTTTCGGTACCTACCCTTCACTATCGCAAAGTTTAGGAGCCACGAATTCAGTGACGCTGACGCATAGGTACTTAAGCCAGGTCTGCTGACGGTACGGTGTACATACCTACCTCTATTTAGCAAGTTTGTAGGCTTTCAATATCGAGATATGTAAGTACCTAGGTAACTGGGATAGTATCATGAATAGCGAGAAAGAGTTGCCGATTAATGTATGCGGGCCCAAACCTCATGCCAGCTGGAAGATATAAATCGCGCTCCGAACTCTGCATGCAGCTGGCCGCCAGAGTTGCAGCCGACCCCACAAGTCACAACCAGCTCCCGATTCATCCATGCGGGGGGCTGACAGCGAGCCAAAACAAATCGTGAAGCCTTACAGGCTACTGGGCCAGTTGGGAGGGGAACTATGCAGACGCAAGTACCTCTAAGCGACGTTCTCTTCCTCCGCTAAAGTTTGCCGACGTCGGACGATCTCAATATCGAACGAGGCTCCCACTTAACATGGCGTTTCAAGTGCGTCTTGCTCCCCTTTAGGACTGCTGGTCTGGTACTGAAGCGAGGGTAAATTAACACAAAGTAAACATCCAGGACGCCAGCCGGTCGCCGGTGAATCCTGGACAAACGGCCGACGCCTCATCGGAGCTCCCACCTCACGCCGAACTACCAGCCCCGCCTCTGGGTTCTTCTTTCATCCGGAGAGGTTTGAAGAGCTTCAGCTTCAGCCGGAAGAAGACTGGGCCGGCAGAGCCCCAAGACACGTGGGGTCCCTTGGGTCTACGCGTGCTGCACTCACCGCCCAACCCCCTTATTGATGTGATCTTTGTCCATGGCCTACGGGGCGGATCAGTCAAGACATGGTGTAGTTCTGAAGACTTGCAGCTCTTTTGGCCGGAGGCTTGGCTGCCTCGAGAAACGCATCTTCAAGACGCTCGAATCCATTCGTTTGGTTACAACAGTGATTGGGGAAATACCACGGACACTTCTCTGGATTTGCAAGACTTCGGCCGGGCGCTTCTCGGCGAGATGTGGACTTCTCCCGTGCTCGTGAACGGGAAAGAGGTTCTGAACCCACAAGCCTTTATCCGCTGCTTCCTGGGAAAAGCTAACGATACGGCAGACACCCATCCTCCTTGTTGGGCATTCTATGGGCGGTTTGGTCATTAAAAAGGTACCCCCTTGTCTCGTTAAAGTCAAAGGAACTTCGTCAATAGGTACTACTGATATTGATTCTAACATGGCCCTAGGCCTACATTCTGGCACGGCAGAGTGATCGGACCCGTGAACTAGCTGGACGAATTCGTTGCATGTTCTTTTTAGCAACTCCTCATCACGGGAGCGATTACGCAAATCTTCTGAATAGTATCTTGCGGGCAAGCACTATTCTCAGCCCGAAGCAATATGTTGCAGACATCGCCCGTGATTCTGCTGCGATAACCCTCATCAACGACGAGTTCGAACCATACGTAGAGGATCTGCGCACTTGGTCCTTTTACGAAACGATCAAGACAAGAATCGGCGTCAATTACGGCATGGTCGTAGAGAAGAGCTCGGCGGTCATTGGTACGTACTTGGGCTAGGGACCGTGCCAGGTCATCTTCTTGCTTGGCTAAAACAACGCAACCTGTGTAGGGCACAAGAACGAAATCACTCACCCTGTAAATGCGGACCATAGGAACATCTGCAAATTCGACAGTCCTTCTCACCCAAACTATGTCTTAATCCGAAATTGCCTAGTTCATGCCGCCCAGAGTTTGCTTGGTGACGGTAAGACACAGGAATCCCTTACAGAACAGGCTGAGCTCACGGTTAACTCTTCTTCAAGCCCTCAAGCAGCGAGCAGATGAAATCAAGTTACAAATGACTGTCCTTGGCAACTTTTTGCAAACAACACACAGTTCTGAAGATGACCTCAATACCATCGAGTCAAAGAAAACGAAGGGATCATGCCACTGGTTAACTAGCTTGGATTCATTCAAGGACTGGCAGGCTCTGGAAAGTGAGCTTCCTGTATATCACTGGCTCACCGGCCAGGCAGGTGTAGGAAAGTCCGTCCTCACAACACACGTCATACGACATCTCCGGGGACAAGGTGTTGTTACCTGTTACTATTTCTTCCGGCATGGCCAAGAAGCTCGGCAAACAACCAGCAGCCTTCTTCGTGCTTTAGCGTTCCAGCTGGCTCTCCTACACCCGCCTGTTCGAGAGACTCTTTTCGCGATTCAAAAAGCCGGTGTTCGTCTCGACAAAGACGACGAGAGGGCGATCTGGCAAAAACTCTTTGCCAATGGCATTTTTCAGGTACCGATCTCAACAACTCAGTACTGGGTGATTGACGGACTTGATGAGTGTGTCGACTCGGAGAGGTTGTTACTCTTGCTGCAAACGCTCGCCTCCAACTTTTCCATTCGGATATTCTTCAGCTCTCGGCGGCTTCCGGACTTGGAAAAGCATGTAACGCGTTCGCAGTCTCCTGTTTACCGCCACCACATCACGAGGGAGCAGACTAAAGCGGACATCAAGCAATTTGTGGAGAACAACTCGGCCGAACTTCCGGTAGACCCGGAACGTAGGCCTGCCTTGACGGACAAGTTGGTGGACATGTCAAACGGCGCTTTTCTCTGGGCTGAATTGGCCCTTGATGCACTCAGAGGCGTGTTCGGCGAAGAAGAGATTGAGACGGTTCTCAGCGAATTGCCTACCGGCATGACTCCGCTCTATGGCCGCATTCTCGAATCCATGGGAAAGAACCGGCGACAGGTCAGAATCATCAAGGCCATACTCGAATGGACTGTTTGCGGCGTTCGTCCACTGAGCACAACCGAGTTACATGCGATCCTGGACTATGACCTAGGTTCCAAGGTTCTCAGCATGGAACGGGCCGTCGAGGAGCTATGTGGGCAGCTGTTGCAAATCAACAATGGCAGGGTTCAGATGATACACGCAACCGCTCGTGAGTTCTTGCTTGGAGAAACTTCGAATTTGGACTTTCGTGTCGATCAAGGCGCCACAAACGAACATTTGGCGACCGTGTGCCTGAAGTACCTCACCAGCGACGAGATGCGACCTCCTAGGCACCCGGCGTTACTCTCAAAGAGAGTCCCCAGGTCTGTCTTCGTGGACTATGCCTGCACTTACTTCTCGGAACACCTTGTTGCGTCTTCGTCCTCCTCGGATGAGCTGCTCCTGTTGGTGGACAAATTCCTCGGAAGAAATGTCCTATCCTGGGTCGAGTACATCGCAAGGGAAAGACAGGATCTCTACCATATCACCCGAGCATGCAAAAACATTCAGGGGTTCCTGGAACGACGGAAACCGGCACCCTTGCCACTCGAGGAGAGTTTTCGCAACGTCGATGAGTGGCGAACGGATCTCTCACGGATTGCCTTGAAGTTTGGCGACAACATTCTTCAGGACCCTCCGGCGGTGTACTTTCTTCTACCGTCGTTATGTCCCGCCAATTCAAGAATACACAAACAATTCGCACCGATCAACAGAGGATGGCGGCTCAGCGGGCTCAGCAACGCTTCTTGGGATGACTGCATCTGTTTCATGGACCATCGGCAATCCCGAGCAATGTCATTAGCAAGTTGCGACGGGTTGTTTGCGATTGGCTTCAAATCTGGAGTTGTTAGACTGTACCAGCAGTCAACCTACCAGGTGATTTCCTCTTTGAATCACGGAGAACCGGTCAAGATCTTGAAATTCAGCAATTCTTCTCATCTAGTAGCATCCGGTGGTTATCGACACCTTAAGATGTGGTCGGTCACCGGGGAGCTCCTTTGGTCTATCCCTCATGGAGACCCGTTGTCGGCCATCGCTTTCACGGAGGGAGACCAGTGGTTGGTAGTAGCCAACAAGCACAATACCATCATCACACTCGAGGTAAACGACGGAACGAGGAATCGGCATGATGAAGATGAGAATGCACAAGACCTGAACCTGAAGCCCAAGGAAGGTTCCTGGCAGATTGTGATCAGCGCCGACATATGCCCCAGGACCGAGCTCCTTACCGTTGCACGCCGAGGCCGTCCACCCGAAATATGGAGCATAGAAGCCGATACCATGATCACTACCTGTCACTTGGCCCGAGACAAGCCAAACGTCCCCATCATGTCCGCCTCACGGGTGCTCTTCAATCCAAACCGAGCTATCGAGCTCTTGGCGGTGTCATACCAGGACGGAGAGCTTGCAATTTTTGATACTTGGGCCGGCGGGGATCGAGAGGTGAAATCGCTGTCCGCTGACTCCCTGACACTCGCAGCGACCGCAGACGGAAGGACGCTAGCGAGCGGCGATGGCCGTGGCACGATCAAACTTTGGGATTTTGAAAGTCTCACGTTGCTCTACTGCATCAAATCTACAGACTACGAGGTCAGGACATTGGCTTTCAGCGGGGATGGGCTGCACTTGTACGACATCAGGGACACGAAAACGAAGATATGGGAGCCTGCTGTTCTCGTCCACAGGAGCATCCACGATCAAGATAGGTTCGGTGAATTGGCTCCGCCGCCCGCCCCGGCGGTGGGTCGACATCGTGAGGTCAATGATATTATGACAATACACGGACCACCAGACGCGGGATGTATTTTCGCCGGGATGGATGATGGCTCTGTCGTTTCATACGATTGGGAAACGGGCCACATGGTTTCCACACTTTACTCGCACCGCCGGTACACCTTCGTCACCAGCATCTCGTGGAACCCCTTCATGATAGCAAGCTCTGATGCTACCAACAAAATTGAAGTGCACAGCCTGGGCAAGTCGCTACCCGGCATTTGGTCTTCTGCCGGAAAACAGTTCGAGAAAGTTGCGGAAGGCAACCAAACGATACAAAAGCTCCTACTTCACCCCAGGGAATCCTGGCTGTTGGTTTTGCAGGCCCGCCGATCGATGACGGTCGATCTCCGAACGGGGCAGGAATATCCCATACCGGCACACACCGGTGACGACCACCGCGCGTGGGCATGGCTTTGTCAAACGCCGGATTCAACTCTCCTACTTGGGGCGCGTGCTTGCGAAGTCGACATCCGAATATTCGATAAGCCTGCTTCTCTTGACGATTGGCGCGACCGCAAATGGCATCCTACAAGCAGCGGAAAGGGGCTGGAACAACCGATCGACAAGATTGAGGTTGACAAGCAGCAGAAATATATCGCGATTCTGCTCGAGGCAGCAGGCCATGATTCACACGTCCCAAGGCTTTTAGTTTACGGGGCAACCTACATGGAGGACGAGACGGAGGGTGGAATACTCACATTCCCTGAAATCCTTTCTGTCCCGGCTCTAGCAATGAAGACATTTCTAGGGTTCTACGGAAGCCGAATCGTATATTTAGACCACCGCCTATGGATTCGGACCATCGACCTCTCCCGCGTGGTTACGAACACCGCCTTTGACGCGGTCCCATCTGAGCGGTACACCTTCATCCCCCCCGAGTACGTCAGTGGCAACAATGGCGTGGACGGCGCCGTGACGGGCATTGGTTCGGTTGTCTTCCCCAAGGACGGAGAGATGGTTGTCCTCAGGAATTTGTTCAAATGGCCATTCACTGCTGAACCGGCCAAGCTCCGCGCCAGCTTCTAGCTAATGTGAAAATATGGCCGCTCGTCAGCCCAAAACCGAACGACAGAGCTAGGGGCTACAAAATTGAGTATGAGATAGAAAGGCAGAAAACTCCCACCCCGGGCCCATGAGCTACAATAGTGATACACATAACGCCGCCTATACTGACCCTCTCGAGTAATTACCTACCTAAGTGAAGTAGCCACGCATTTATATCCACCTCTCATCGTCGGCCCTATTCTCTTCCAAATGTGCCAACACCTGGTTATAATCCCTACAGACATGTTTCGCATCCCACCCATCACTTCCCGTGAACCCGGGTGGGAATGTGGTATGTTGGCCCTCTAGAGCCATGTCACCGCAGCACATGATGCTCTGTCGCAGGTAGTCGAAGCAGTGGCTGATATGCCATGCACCCGCTTCTGGCAACTTGTCGAGTTCGTTGGAGGTATAGGCCGCCACTATCCCGACGATCGAGTGCAGGCAGTGGAGCTGGTGCGTAACAGAGGTGGTAAAGGTTGAATTCGGGTACAACTCCAAAGGGGTGGGAAGGTTGTTGTAGGGACCGGTGTTGTTGATTTGGAGGTAGCCTAGTCCCTCTGCATTGCATCTTTGTTAGTCACTGGTGTAATTAATGTCATACACGCGAACCATGAAAGCAACTCGAGCGGAACTAGACGTACTCGGCACAATACTCAACCATCTCGACCGAACTGCCTCCGTAAAGAACTCGGACCCGTTTTCCGGGATGAACATGGGATCCGGCGCAAAGGACGTGATTTGTTGCGACACTGCGAAGTCGTCAGTAACAACAGCCGCGAGAAGAATCGGTTCAAACCTTACTCTTCGGAGCGAACCCCGTAATGTCACCCCCAACCTCGAAACAGGATGGTTTCTGCCACTCGCGGTCCAGTACCAGCCCCAGGATAACAAGCAATAAGATTGTATCCAAAAGCGAGCGCATCGATATCACAGTCAACCAAATGCGCCGCCTTCTTGAAACCCTCCTCTCTGCCATGGCCGGATCCCTCGCCGTGATATCGCTCCACGCCCTTTCTTCGTCCTCAAAACCCGGAAATGGTTCATCTTTATCCCTAGCCGCGTCATTCCTCGCGGTGTTCACCGCCTCGTCATTCGTTCGGAGCTCCTGGTACCTGGGTGAAGGGAGAGATTGCATCATGATGAAATGTGAGCGACAGGCTAGCAGCAAGCGCTCGAGGTCAAATTTGATGAATTGAAGATGAAAAAGCCGGATTCGACGAAATCACCGGGGAACAGATGATCAAGTTCTTGGACGCAAGCCGCTTTGATGTCCGTGGTTTCACTCGTGACCCCAGACATTTAGTGTTTCACGGTCACCATTACGGCAGGGCTCAACACAATCCCTGCTATTGCGTCACGACCTATGTATCTGGAGTGTCCCTGATCTGCACTGGCCGGGGATGGACACGGGTGATAAGACAATACAAGACAGCAACAGCAGGAGGTCAAACAACAAGCTGCAAGCCCGCCACTGCACATCCCATCCCACCTCACTCACCCACCTCACACTCAGAAACCTCCACATCCCCCGTCTCCCCATCCACCCCAACCAAAAACCCCACCGCCGGCTGATCCTCGCGCACCTCCTCCCTCGCGGCGAGATACTTCCCAATCAGCGGCATGCGGATCTCGGAATCGATCGCATTAATGATGCTGCGGGCGCCGAGCTCCTTGACATAGCCGCGCTCGACGAGGGCCTTGTTGACGGTGTAGCCGCGCTTGATTTGTAGGTGCACGTTGCCCACCGGACAGTACCGCGCAGGCTCCTCGCTGGTGTTGATCGGCCGGGCGAGCTGGCGCCCGAAGTCGGCGAGGTGCTTGTCTGCGACGGCGGCTCGTTCGAGGGGTGAGAATGGGAGGAAGGGGATGAAGCCTGATATGCGGCCGGTGAGGGGGGCCTGGTTGGGGGGAGGGGGGTGTTAGTGAAGGTCGGGTCGGGTGAAGGTAGTGACATGGAACTGAAGGTGGTGATGGGATGCGAATGAGGAGCTACTTACGCCGAGCACAGTGATGGACTCCTTTTGGATTCGCCCCGAGAGCTGCCTTGCCAGCTTGTGGACCTTTTCTTCGTGCTGCTTGGTGCCGGCGTCTTTGAATAGATCGTCCTGGTGGCTGTAACAAAAGCTCTGGATCGTCTGATCAAAGGCATTCGTAGCAAGGATCCAGATAGTCTTTGAGCAATTGGCCGAGTTGTCGCCAGCGCGAACGCGGCGGTCCCGGTATTCTCCTGCTGTTGAGTTAGCCTCCAGCCTTGTGGCGATAGGCAGATGGACTTGTACAAACCACTTTCGAAGGGAAGGAGAAGAGCTCGGCGGACCTCGTCCTTGGTCTTCTCGAACTCGTCCATGAAAACCACACAGCGCTTGCCGCTATGGCTGACGAGGTAGTTGTTCACAGCGGAATCCTCGTCCCACCCTTCAAATGGAGGCCAGGGACCGAACAAGTCCGTCTCGGCCTTGAGGTGCGTGCAATCAACGGTTTGGAGGTCCATGCCGAGCAGCCAGCCCAGATTCCGAGCCACTTCGGTTTTGCCATGACCACTGGGGCCGGCGAAAAGAAGAACGAGGGGTCGGCTAGTGGGCATGGACAAGTGCCTAGGTAGGTAGGTAGGTGTCAGAACGAGCTTGTGGTGCAGCAGTGGCAAAGCGGTCAGCGGGCGGAACTTACGCGAGGAAGCGGTCCAGGAGAAGCCTGTACGCTGGGGTTTATCCAACGATGAAGTAACGCATCCCAAACAGCTCCGAGGCTTTATGGACTTGGGCAAGTTTCTTGTTTGCGCCTGAGGGTGGCTGGTCCCGGGATGCGAGATCGAGGTCGTATCGCACGGTGAAGCTGAGATTCAGCGCCTTGGCAAGTCGGACTCGAATGTTAGGGACGCACCACGCCGTCTTGCCCTTGTGGAAATCCTGAAGCTCGGTCTCTGGAGGGCCATCATGGGGGAGATCTCGTTGGAGGGGCGAGTAGAACGCCCGTGGGATGACATCCGCCGGGTAGCCTGAGCTGAGCAAGGTCTTGACGACCATGGGCATGTCGGTCCGATAGGAGTCGCAGAGTGCGATCGCAAAGCCGAGGAGAGGCACTTTGCAGTAGGTGTGATCTGCGGTTCCGGCATAACTGATCCATACTTTTACCATGTCCGCGTTGCCCGTCTCAACGACGAAGAAGACAGCTGGGTAACCGTCGACAACGCCATTCAGACCATTCTTTATGGCTTCTAGCCCTAATGCCTCAGCAAAATGGGTCAGGTATGTTCGGACAACGCGGCAAGTCTCGCCATTCTGGATCGCCCCGATCAGGTGTCGAACATGGAAGCCGGTATCATCGTCCCCGTTGGCGGGGGTGTCCCAGTGATGGCAGAGTTGGGCGTCCCGGTGATGGGAGAGTTGGCCGTCCCAGGTGTCAGGTTCCAGCCGCCGTGACTGCGGAATGTGGCTGGTGAGGCTCTGAGGAGCTGGTATTCGGGGTAGACTGAAGTCCCATTTGATATTCCCGAGAAACTCGTCGCAGGCTCCTCGTATGTTTCCGGCGTGTTTCTAGGATGTGGCTTGTTAGAGATGTTACTATGGACTTCGAGGTGAAAGAGGATAAAAGATTAGGTACTATTAGGAGTGTTACAGCCCTCGGTTTGGGACACCCGGTTTGGTGTCTCATCACCTCAACGTGCTTATCTCTGGGCGACTGCCCCGTGCGGTCCATCTTGCAAACGACGAGCAGGAGTCAGGGCAAAGTTGTTGGCCGAGGCTGTGCTGCGAGTCAAGTAATAACCAAGATGCCAAAATATCCAAAGCTGAACTTGAATGGTTTGAGGCTTAGCAGATTGGTGTCAAGGATTCCTCGCAGGCAGCGTGCAAGATGTTTAGGGACATACAAGTGCACCAACGGCGTTGTTTTGTGTTTTTCTGGCTCGTGGACACCCACGAGGAAGAAAGACTCTGTGCTGCAAACGCCGGGCCGCCTTGGCAAGCAAGCGCTGGTTACACCATTTTCTTTTTCGGAAAGACAAACAGGTATATTGAAGGCAACTCCTCGGCCATTCTGTGTACTTAACACCTGAAAGAAGCTCCCATATACAATCATTATCGATGCCTGCATTTCTGCGCCGCAAGCCTTTCTATATCTAATGCTACGAAAGCACGATACCTTCCCCACCCCCCCTTTAAACAAATTCACCACCCCAAAACACAATGATCCAACCGCTCACAGCCCCAAAAGCACAACTTATTTATGCCACCATTGGCAGTAGTCCCCTCCACCCCCGTCTCTGACAGTGTAGAAATGATCTAGATGGTCTTGGTACTCTTGGAGCAAGTGACCGAGTTGCTGCCAGCGTGGCCGCGGCGATTCCGGTATTCCCAAGTGTGCCATGTGAGTCGGATTCGGACGCACTTGAGAGCGATGCTAACAATGCCGCCCAATATCGAGATGAAGAGAGCGAGTGAGGCAATAGCCAGGGCGTTTCCTTCGGTGCTTTGATGATGAAGCCAGCGTTTGAGCTTATTGTGTGGCGGGGGACGAGCCATGAGCCGGTCGGAAACTCGAATTGTGCCACTACATTGACAAGTACACCGCGTCCCGGCTTTCACAAAGCTCTTTGCCCGAACCATCGTGTTCCAGTTTCTCTGTTGGAAACCATCCATTTCCCTCCGATCCTAAACCAGAAACTCCCTTGTCATACTCCCCGCGCCGACCTTCCCCTTTCCTCATTCCCCTTCCCCCTTTTCCCCTTTCTTGGTTTCCCCCATCTCCGCCGCCGCAAAGTACTCCACGAAATATCTCGTCTCGATCACAAACACCCCTGCCGCGTCCACCGGACCGACAGGCAGCGAGAACTTGGCGCCAACTCGGGGCACTCGTGTAACGTGCTTGGTGGGTAACACAGTACCCAGCTCAGCGGTATTACGGAAGGATTCGATTGTTTGCCGTTCGCCCTGCCGCGTCGGTCCATCATGCCCCGTTTGGCAAGCAAGTCTCGAAGTTGAACTTTTAGGTTTGTCTCCCTTGTATGAGACCATGGCAGTTACTTGGATTGCACAAGCCCCGGTAACTTGATTTCCACCCCGTCCAGCGCTTCCGACACGAGGACCTGACAGCCCAATCGACTCGTTGGTGTGAGACCGTGTGCTAGATCCAACATGTCGTCCTCGCGCTCAGTGGCTGGAGGCATGGCTCCGTATGAGCCAGCGTCGGTCACGATGATGTGGCACGTCGAGCAGGCACACTCTCCCTGGCAGGCACCTGGAGAGCAAAGAATAAGAAGACTTTAGTAAGATGCTGTCGATACTTTCAAGGAAGATTCTGAGTGGGAGGGAAGTTTCAGACCCACCTTCGACCTCAAGACCGTGGGCTTTTGCGATGTCCAACAAGGTCTGTCCGTCGCGCGCACGACATGTCAATCTCATGCCCCGAGGGTCGATGAAGTTGATGGTTCGCCTAACGTCAGACGCAGAGAAAGTTAGAAGGAAGGTTTTGTTTAGGTACCACGACCAGAACCTCCTAAGGGAGCATCACGTACTCTTGTTTCCCCGGCCGAGGGAACGTAGGATCGAAAGCTTGTGTAAGGTCTCCCCGGGTCTCAACGGCCGCATGCATGTGGTTTGTGAAGAACGATGGGCCGCCGAGTCGGAGAGACGAGCAGCGAGACTGGATCATGGGAGTGGGTTTCGGAAGTCCTGCCGGCTGAAGGCTCGGAGCGAATCCAGAGGACCTAACAACGTTTCGCCACAAGGACGCCATTGCGTTCGAATTGGATGATCAATCAACCAACTCGTCAAGATAAATGCGAGACAAGATTCAGTCCGCTTCAGTATCCCGAAGAGTTACAAAAAGCGACAGTTCCAACCAGTACGAGTGAAGCCAGAGGCGCCTGGCAAGTACGGGAGGTACCGACGTTACGAGTCAAATGATTGATGTCTTGTCGCAGGGGGCCGAGATTATAAAATATCAGCAAAGCAGGGCAGAGAGGCCGGGACAGTGATGACGGCAGGGAAGCGGCGGAAACAGGGATCGTTTTAGAGGAAAGGTCTCAGTTCATATGTTCATCTTCATGGCCCGAGTGGGTCGGGTTGGGCTCGGTATAAGTCGAGACAGACCGCTCATCATTATCCCCCGATGATCTTCGACCGCAACGTGTCACGCCGGAAGACGAAAATTTCATCCGAAACCGCATATGGCTTATTGCGGATCTGAACGGCAGCAACCGCAATTCCCGAAGATTCGTGGTATTGCGCACTCGGGCCGATCAACCTCCACCGGTGTTCGGTCCCAGGGGCGGAGAGCGAAAACCAATGTCCTTGAAACATCAGACCGCCCCAATATTCTCAGACATGTCCCGCCGGAGCCGGATCCGATGCTGAATAAATAGACATGAATTTAATCGGGCTTTTGGCTGTGTTCTGTGCCCCATCTCTGTAGCGTTTTGATGTCGAGAAAGCCACGAGCCGCTAGGTATCGTTACCTTGGTCCCTTCAACTTACGCCTAAATCATGGATCGCATGCTTGGGTTAGCAGTCCATCCGGATGACCCGCGGCGGTCATCCGTGACATGCAAGATCTACCATACTTGGATCCCCTGCATTGTCGGTTTCTTCGTCTGCTTCGCTTCAACCTCCACCGTCCCCGCCGGGCTGCAGCTGCAGCAAGCCTTTGGTATAGGCGAAAAAGCCGCTCTCCTGCCATTCGCTCTCTTCATCCTCGGGCTTGGGTATGCAAGCCACACTGGCACTGCATGCAAAAGCAGCATGCCGGCATATTGCCGAGGTCGAATCCCTCGCTAACTTGATTTTTAGCTTGGGCCCCATCATTGGGGCGCCTATCAGCGAGAACTTTGGTCGGCGTCCGGTGTACTGGCTTAGCGTCCCCGTCTTCTGTCTCTTCACCGTGGGTGCAGCCCTTTCGCCTTCGTTTGCTTCGATGCTGGTCTGCCGCTTCTTCGCCGGCGCCTTCGGGGGCTCCGCCCTCGTCGTGGGCTTCGGCTTGCTCACCGACGTATGGGGGTCGCATCGGCTGCCCATCGCCCTCTCCATCTTTAACACGGTTCCTTTCATGGGCCCGAGTGTTGGGTGAGTGTTACTGAGAGCTTATGCGGCCGGCGCCGCTTTTGTGGACGCTAACCGAGCTCGTCCTAGTCAACTGGTCAACGCATTTGTAGTTGAGACGCTGGACTGGCGCTGGACGCAATGGGTGACGTTGCTCCTCGGCGCTCTCACTTGGCTGACCGTCCTGCCAATGAGCGAGACCTACCTGCCCGTCATCACAAAGCGGGCGACGGACCGCCTGCAGGATCGCCAAAGCAAGGTATCCGCTCGTGAAGTGACCATGCGAGTCTTGTCATCCATCCCGTTTCTGCGGCCCTTGCAGATGTTGGTTACAGAGCCTGTTGTCGGGCTCTTTGCCGTCTGTCAGTGGACCCCTTTTTCAGTTTTGACTTTCTTCCGAAGCTCATGTTTCTAACGGTGCCCGCAGACGTCTCCTTCAACTTTGCAATAGTGTACTGCTTCTCGTCAAGCGTCCCTTTTGCCTTCCAGACCGTGTACGACTTCAGCCCCACTGCTCAAGGGCTCGTCTTTCTCGGCCTGACGGTCGGCTACATTCTGGCGGCACCCACCATGGTGGTACCCTTCTACTTCCAGATGCGGAAACACACGCCGCGCGCCAAGTCGCCAACGAGCGAAGACGATGCCAGTGTCACCGAGTCTCCAGAACCCGAAGCTCTCCTGTGGCCTGCCCTGCTAGGGAGTGTTGCTATGCCCATCAGCTTTTTCTGGTTCGCATGGAGCGCCAACGCCGACACCCACTGGATGTGCCCTATTGTGGGGCTAGGGCTTTTCGCCTGGGGAAACGATCTTCTTTATGTGGGTACCTGAAGCAGATCCTGCTGTGACTCCCTGAGACATTGCTGACTGGTGCATGCAACCTCCCCGAGTAGAATGCCGCCCAGTTGTATCTTCTCGAGACCTATGGATCCAAGTATGGTGCCAGCGCCACGGCGGCCAATAACCTGCTCAGGTACTGCCTGGCTGCCATTCTCCCGCTGTTCATGACCGAGAGTGAGTTGTTGTTTCGTTGTGTGGTCTCGGGATATCAAATAGGCCCCTTGCTAATGACGACGTCTGCTAGTGTATGGAAACCTCGGCGTAAAATGGGCCGCGACATTGCTTGGTTTCATTCTCCTGCTCTTCCTTCCCATTCCTTGGGCTTTCCGCCGGTACGGTCCGTGGTTACGGTCTCACAGTCGTTATGTGGTGCACAAGGAGGGTGGTGGGTTTCAGTCAGACAGTAATTGAAGGAGCCGCGCTCGCCGCGCTCACCGCGCTCGCCGCGGTTATTTCATATATAGACGCCCGGATCTCATTGGCGCAGAGAGTGTCGAATAAGAAATATTATGTGGTCCCCGGGGGTTGTATTGTCACCCGTCCATGTGCAACCTTTCTTTTGTTCCCTCGAGACAAGGGGCCTTACTTGGCGAGTGTCACCGCTTCGTTCATCCTCTTGTACTACACGTGTACGTCGGCCAAGGGGAGGCTGATCAGGTTGATCACTGGAGCCACAACACCGCATCGGTGTCTTGAGCCGCTTTCTTTTTGCGTACCGAATCTCGGCACGGGAGATCCGGCCGATTCCCGTCTGCGCAACGTCTCTCTGTCTCGGATAGGGATTGTCCGTGGCGTAAGAAAATCTTTTGCGCTGGAGCTTTGACGTGTCCGGACATCAAGCTGTTCAGAAAGTCCTTGGCCCTAATACTTCAAATGGGCGCCATGAGACAGGAGGCTTCATGATACCCTTCTTTCCGTCGTCCAGTAGAGTCTTCGTGGAGCTGTTTCCTTCTAGCCCAAAAGAAGCAAGATGGCGTCCATGTTGAGGAAGTCCTATGACATGTTCACGAAGAGCAACATACCAGAGCTCTTCAAACAGTATGCCCCTCATCTCGATCCAGCCCCCTACTTGGCGGCAGCACATGTCTTCCCGATGAGGGTAAATAATCATGTAGCAGAATCTCTCGTCGACTGGTCAGTTCACACCCTGCCTTTCCTCGTGCACTCTCCAGTCCGGAGTCCTGACATGGCGTGACTTGTATAGGAAAAATGTGCCAGAGGATCCCATGTTCCAACTGGCATTCCCTCAGCCGGCGATGTTGCATCGTCCGGACCTGGAGAGGATGATGCATGCGTCCCGGACTGGCATCCCCAAAGCCGGTCTTCAACAACTTGCTGAAGAGATCCGGATGGAGATGAACCCGCACCCGGCCAACCAGAAGACGGAGAACGTCCCGAAGCTTAACGGCGAGGAGCTCCCCGGCATGCAGCACAAGTACCGCGAGACGGTCCTCTTCTTCCCTTCCGAGGGTCAGTTCTGCCACGCCTTTTGCACGTACTGCTTCCGGTGGGCGCAGTTCACCTCGGTCGGCTCCGCGCAGACCTTCAAGTCCAGCAACGCGGGTCAGCTCCGCAACTACATCGCCAAGAACCGCCAGGTTCGCGACGTTCTGTTCACGGGCGGCGACCCGATGGTAATGCCGGTGCGTCACCTGGCCGGGTACCTCGACCCTCTGATCGCGAACGACACCGAGGACCTCGCCCATCTCGACACGATCCGAATCGGCTCCAAGTCGCTCGCCTGGTGGCCGTACAAATACACCACCGACGGCGAGGCGGGCGATGTGCTGCGCCTGTTCGAGCGCGTCGTCCGCTCGGGCCGCCAGCTCGCCTTCCAGGCCCACTTCAGCCACCCGCGCGAGCTGGAGCACCCGGCCGCGCAGGAGGCGATCCGGCAGATCCGCATGACGGGCGCCCAGGTCAGGGGCCAGGCGCCCTTGATCCGGCACGTCAACGACAAGCCAGAGGTCTGGCGCCGCATGTGGGATCTGCAGGTGAAGCTGGGGGTCGTCCCATACTACATGTGAGTTTTTCAATCACTGGCAGCAGCAGCAGTCCCTTCACCCCCGCCTCTGTACGTAAGTGTCGTGTGTTGACTTGTCACGTACCTAGGTTCGTCGAGCGTGACACCGGCGCGTCCCACTACTGGAACGTGCCGCTGGGCCGCGCCCACGACATCTTCAACACCGCCTACTCGCAGCTCTCGGGCACGGCGCGCACCGTGCGCGGGCCGTCCATGTCTGCCTCCCCCGGTAAGGTCGGCGTCGTCGGCGTCGAGAACATCCGGGGCGAGGACGTCTTCTTGTTGAAGTTCTGGCAGGCGCGGGACCCGTCCTGGATCGGCCGCGTATTCTTCGCCAAGTATGACCCGGAGGCCACATGGCTGAGTGATCTGGTGCCTGCGTTTGGCGAGAAGGAGTTCTTCTTCGAGCCGCGGTATAGGGAGCTTGTAAAACGGACCGGCGAGGGGTCTTCCGGGCAGCTTTCGGATTGAGTGGGGAAGGGAGATGGTTGCACTCGGATATTAAAAAAGGGGGAAGTGGCATGGACCGGGGAGTTGAAGCGCTGAGACTTGGATACCCTGATACTGGGACTCAAACCCTGGCTGTTGAGGCTGTCGAGACCTCTGAAAGAGCGGTAACTGCTGGGCAGTGGAAGTCGAGGATGTTAGCGTTAGACCATACTGATACGAACATGCTCATCCTTGCATCAATGGACAGCAGGCCAACAAGCAGGTTGGGCTGTGTGTCGAGAACAGAGAGCTCTGCGCCGAGCTATCCAAACAGTTAAACTGTCCAGTGTTTCCATCCACTTTCGGCAAGATACTCAAGGATCGTGTGTGGGAAGCCCTGCCAACATACAGATTACAAACCCTTGATTCTGGAAGGGAGACTCGGAGAATGAGCGAGAGAGGGCAAGGAGGCGGTTCTGAATATATTGGCTTCCCAGTAATTACACCATCACAGAAGCATGGTACTTCTAAATGTGGAAGCTCGATTGCAGCGTCCGGTTGTCATTGGTTACCTCCATGTCGACGGAAAGCCTCAGTGTCCAGAGTCTGCCAAGGACCAGACCCAAGACCTTGGTATCGGACCGGTGAGGGGGGAGAGAGCCCGGTTAAGAAGTGCGGCTGAAAGCTTAATTTCTGGACACTATGTAGAACAATGGACAGTAACCAATCCAGATGATCCTGGATAAGACGAGGGGGGCCGGGGAGGGTGCCGTTGCAATAGGTGAAGCAACGCTAGACCAAACCGACAAGAGAATAGAGTTACCTAATTAAAAGCAAAGACTTCATTGCATCTCCTCGGAAACATTATAAGAGGGGTTGTTGATGAATACGTAAAGCGAATCGTCAACAAGCCAACAGGAAAGATGGCTAATCAAGACAAAAGGTTACACGGCATCTCTTGGGAGGATTGTGAAGTGACCATCGCGAGAGTAGATCGAGGATATCCAAGTAGGCGGGCGGTTCGGTCCCAGTTAGCCTTGATTTTCTATTTCAAGGGGAACATCCCACGGCCATGGACAGCGGAACCGACCCTCATCTACTGCTTGATTCCATCTATCCAAACATCTATCTCCCACTGAACACTTACTGAACACCGTCACCATGCACTTCTCACTTCTTCTTGCCGTCTTGCCCCTTCCCGCTCTGGCAGCTCTCAACGGCCGCTGCACTGGTAGCAAAGCCACGGGCAACTGGGGAGAGGATGGCATATGCATCTCCACCAGCACCTGTAGGAGCCACGGCGGAGAGTACAAGTCCGGCGCCTGCCCGTACGACCCGGAAAACATCAAGTGCTGCGTGGTAGGAGTTTCGCCAGACGGCGACCAGAACCCCTGTGGGGGACTGTCGTGGTGCACATGGACGGGCAATGGATGCTCGGGAAATTGGAGATCTGGTGAGTGATATCGCCATGCTTTATGTGCCTACGACAACAGTTCCGGTCTTCTGACAAAGGTCCATCCGCAGGGTTTTGCCCAGGAGGAAACAACTTTAAGTGCTGCCGCGGTTAGGAGGGCCGCAATGATGAACCACTGCATGAGGTATAATGACGGTTTACTTCTGGGGATGGCATACAACAAAGCAGGACACACTTTGGATATCGCCCCGCCATCAATAGTAGTCCAATTGAACAGTCTGTCGAACAAACCGTCCATCGCAGCTGCAGGTCAATGGCCGGCTCGACGACATCGACGAAGAAGAGCTCAACGAAGAAGAGAAAGCACTCCGGGGCTACCAAACCTTATACCACGAGGTCGGCATTGATCCGAGCGATTCGGTCGCAGAGTGCAAGAGGAACTTGAAGAATAAGTTTAGGTAGGTAGGTAGTCAACATTGTCGACCTCATCCATACGCGGCGGACGGGCAAAGTGGTATAGTTTTAAAGAGTTCTGTGCCTATACCCTACAAGTTGAAAAGAGGGGATTTTCAACAGGCGATGGGGGCCCCACGGTACCTTGCGAGCTTGCTTCGTTGTTGAATGTCAGGGCCATGGTCACATAAAAACAGGCCGCCTTTTGTGGAATATATACGTATTCGAGCTTTCTCAATCTCTTCAAGAGTATATGGTTGGATTCAGCTTCTCAACTTCCTCAATCTGTTTAGCCTATTCAATTTACTTGATATAACTATCGTTAAATTCGCTACCGGAGTAATGGTTGTTGCTGCGTACTTGTCTAGCCCTAACCCTAGTCTATTCGCCCCGGTATCGACAAGGGCGAGCTATATATCTGAAAAATAACAACAGGACTTGAGAGATCTGCATTTAACTGCGTTTTTGAGAAATCTAGTTGCCTCTAGATTAATATCTTTTCAATACGTTGTGGACTGAGTTTAATTCAATTGATAAACTTTGTAACGAAAAGGGGAGGCGGACGGCAGGGTTGGGGTTATGTGTGGAGGCAGTCACGTGGTACGGTCCGCGGGGACCAGCGCCTCCGGTCCAAAAAGGCCGCCTCACATAAAAAGACTCGGAGCAGAAAACGCAAGGCAAAGCATCGGGCTTGGAAAGAGGAGGCAGCTGTTTGCTGTTTGCGGTATGGGAGGATGATAAGGTACCTAAGATATTTGTCACTTAGTCATCGAGAATTTTACTCTATCTTGATTTGACCAACAATTTACGACTGTTAAACTCCGAAACTCGAACTTTTTTTTTCCACCTTCCCCTTAGGTTCCTTCCTCAGCCATCATCGCCTTCCAACTTTCACTTCCGCAGTTCCGCTGTCGCACCCTTGCCACTCCCCGCCATCGTCTTCCACCCTTTATACACCCACACATCCACTTCTTTTCCAATTGCACAAAAGCCTGAAATCCGACGACGGCACGACGTGCTATCCCGCCTTTTCCACGGCGTTCGAGGATCTTTTGGTCGCCGATTTTAGAATCCCAGAATCCTAAAATGCCCCCAGTAGAGTGACCAACCCCCACAGTCTTGTGAGCAAGGACTACTATGTATCGATCTACCGCAAGTAACATCGCTGGCGGCTGGCCACTCATGGGGCGCTCTTTTTTTGCCCGGCCGCTCTCGAAGGTATGTGACATGTCCAAACCTGTTTTCTCTCTCCCCCCACTTCTCCCTGTCTATCGCCCAGAGTTTCTCAAACGAAAGCACTAGCTTGCCAGCCCGATTTTGAGGCAAAACCCGCACCAGACCGCGGCCACGGTAGTCGACGATTTCAAGCATCTCATCGACCAGCAGCAGGAGCTACGCGGCGCCTTTAATGGGCAGCGCCCAACAAAGAACCCCCGAGACCAAGTCCTCTTCCAGTTCCAACAGAAGCTGGCGGAATCTCAGCGCGCGCGCGCTGCCCCTATGAGACAGGGAACCCGACTGTCGTACGTGCCGCCGTCGTATCCGCCGTGCGTGGCGCCCTTCTCCGAGCTCAAGAAGACCATGATGGGCGACCTGCTACTCGAGACGCATAACCGGGGAACCTACATGCTCGTGCGGTCGCTAACGCCCCAGGACCGGACGACGGCCGTCCTAGCCATTGTGGAAGACGAGAAGGGCGACGTCCTCATGCTCCAGCTGCACCACCAGGTGGACGACAGGGAGCCTCTCGTACGCGAGGGCACCGTCATGATCCTCAAGGAACCGTTCTTCAGAATGATGATGGACGGAAACTACGGGCTTCGCGTGGATCATGTGTCCGACGTTGTGCTTCTCCCGGCCAACGACGAAAGGATCCCAGCCGCGTGGCGGGGAAAACCTGATCACAGCGGCACCGCCCTGGCTTGGAAGGCGCAAGGTAACAACCACTTCAACAGGTCCGAGTATCGGTCTGCCATCGAGTGGTAAGTTGGGGCAAAACCCGGCACTGAACAACGCTAACTTTCGCGTGGGCAGCTATACCCAGTCGCTAGCCTATCCGTCGACCCTGGAAGAGATATGCACCGTGAGGCTCAGCCGGTCCGTGGCATTCCTTAAAGCTAGACAATACGATGCCGCTCTGTTAGATACCGAGCTCGTAACGACCACGGCAGCAGCGGGTAGCAATCTAGCAGATAAAGCGCGGTTCCGCAAGGCCGAAGCGCTCTACGGGCTCGAGAGGTACCGCGAGTGCTGCGAAGTGCTCAAGGAGCTTCGCCTCGACTATCCCCACAACGCGCCGGCCAAAGCCCTGCTGACCCGCGGCATCGCCCGGCTCGCCGAACAGACGAACGGCGAGTACCAATTCAAGCAGCTACATGACGACGCCGCCAAGCTGCGGCCGCCGCACCTGGACCACGCGACCTACATCGGTCCCGTCCGGGTCCAAGACGCTGGCTCCCGCGGGCGTGGGCTCTTCACCACCAAAGCGGTCAAGGCGGGCGACCTCCTCTTCTGCGAGAAGGCCTTCGCGTACGTCTTTTCTGACGCGGACGCGGGTACTCGCGAGGTCCCGCTGCTGGTGGACCCAAGGGCCGGAGGCACAGTAGGCACACAGTCAGACCTCGTTAACATGACCATCCAGAAGCTGCACCGCAACCCGTCTCTGACCCCGGCCATCACCAACCTCCATCACGGCTCCTATCAGCCGGTCGCCACCACCCAAGTCGACGGTCAGTCCATCATCGACAGGTACGCCCCCCCCCCCCCGCCCCCTCCCTCTTCAACCCCCACCACAAATCTAATTAATAACCGTCCCAGCTTCCACGTCCGCCGCACCGTCGGCATCAACGTCTTCAGCAGCTCCCTCAGCTCCCTCGTCCAGCTGGCCAACCCCAACGGCCCCATGGGCAACGCTTCCGGCATCTGGCCCCTCGCCTCGTACCTCAACCACTCCTGCGCCGGCAACGCGTTCCGCGCCTTCATCGGCGACCTCCTCATCGCGCGCGCGACGCGGGACCTCCCCGCCGGCACGGAACTCACCTGGTGGTACTATTTGCTCGACGTAGGTGGCGAGTCGGAAGGCGAGAAGAGGAGCGATATGCTTCGGCACTGGGGGTTCGAGTGCGACTGCCCGCTGTGTGCGGACGCGAAGCGTTCGGGGGAGCGGGTGGCGAGGACGAGGAGGGCGTTGGTGACGGAGCTGGAGCGCGGGGTGGAGGAGCTGCGGCGCGGGGTGGAGGCGGGCGTGTTGTCGACTGCTGCGCGGGACGCGGTGCTGAGATCGGTGGAGAGCGGCGTGGAGGCGCTGGAGGAGACGTATGCGCGACCGGCCGAGGAGGTGCCGCGGTTTGATGTGTGGGGGGCGCGGATGGACCTCGTCGAGGCGGTATGGGTGCGGAGGAGGACGATGGCGGCGGAGCAGGCGGTGAGGTTGATGTTGAGGGCGCTGGGGGCGCTGGGGTATGTCATCGAGGGAGGGGAACGGGGGACGGTCGTGGTTAGGAAGTGGGGGGTGATGGACGGTGGCGTGGTCGGGTGCTGGATGTTGCTGCGCGATGCCTATCGGGAGACGGCGCCCGAGCTGGTGGCGCCGGCCGAGGAGTATGCGCGGACTGCGTACCGGACCTTGATTGGCGAGGATGAGACATTTGTGCACTTTAGGGTGGGACCTGCGACGCCCACGGCAAGTTGGTCTCAATCAGTGACCTCACGGCCCTCTCCTTCCAGACTATCCGGCGGCTCGTCACCACCGCGGTCGATGCCTACGCCTTCGACACCGAGACCGGCAGCTACATCGCGCTGGGGAAAGTCTGCTCGCATGCGGTCGGCTCAGGGGGGCACGCAGCCGACCACCCCGCGGAAAAAGTGACCATCGGCCAGATCGTGTCCGCCTAGCTCGACGTGACTGCCGCCCTGGTCGAGGTGTTCGAAAACAACTGCCTATTTGGTGACAGTGTCCAGAGTGATGTCGACGTTATGTAGGTATAGAATACAGATCAGGAAAGGTTGTATTTAAGGTTCGATGAATCGAATGTCAATACACTCAAGCCTGCAAATTAACGCCGTGGACACTCTCCGATTCATTTGCTGATTGACATACCAATCTGGCAAGATAAATCCCTTTCACAACAACTCCACGTCCTTCCCTCGGGCGGTCCTATACTCATGACTGTCGCGTTTGGATTTGGCTGTTTCAGGTTCGACAGATTCGTGCCAGGTATTTCACGCAGGCAGCGTGCAAGATGTTTAGGCACATACAACTAAACCAGCGGCGTTGCCTTTGTGTTTTTTCTGGCTCGTGGAAACCCAGAACGAAGAAACGCAGACTTTGTGGCGTAAACGCCGGGCCGCCTTTCAGGTTGGCACGCATGGCTGAGGCACCCAGGTAGGTACACAACACTTTCTTGTAAAAGACAAATAGGCACATTGAATGCAGCAATTAACCCCTGACTAAAGCTCCCCTACAATACAATCAGTATCCGTATCATTACATCCCCGCGGCGCAAGCCTTTCCCCCTCTAATGATCTACCAGACCACGACACCCCCTGAACAAATACAGCACCCCAAAACAACCCGACCCAACCGCCCACAGCGCCAAAAACACAAACGCCACCACGGGCGGCACGATCCCCGGTACCAGCACCGTCCCCCTCGAATACACCACCGCCTCCCCATTGACAAACTCACTCGCCTCCCGATACCGCCCCTCCCCATCCACGTACCCCACCCCACCATTATACACCAACTGCATCACGTACAGCCCATACGCCCGCGTCAGCGACCCCCGCAGCTCCTCCGCCTGCAGATACGCCGACTGCAGCGGCACCCGTGTCCCGATGAAATGCGTGCCCAGCTGCGCATACCCCTGCGCGAACCGGCCCGCCGACGCATACAAGTGGGACAGCCACTCCGTCTCGGCGCGGTCCCGCGCCGTGCCGGAGAAGAGGAGGTGCGGCACGCCGATGGAGAGGCGCTCCGCGCATTTGGTGGAGGACGCGAAGCCGACGGGCGTCGAGTTGGAGGGTTGGAAGGTGTGGAAGGCGGCGCGTCGGCCGTCGAGGTGTGCTGTGCCGACGGCGGAGGTGGACGTGCAGCGGACGCCGATGGCGGCCATGGGGGTGGGCGGGGTGATGTTGTAGGCGTCGGCCTGGGTTTGGTAGGCGCCGAAGAGCTCCGGGATGGTGTCCGGGAGGGTGAAGTTGAGGGTGGGGGGGTTTTCGATGATGTTGGGGTTGGTGTTTTTGGCGCTGAGGTTCTGCCAGAGGATTAGTTCAAGGACCTGGGGCTCGTCGTCCATGCCTGGGTATGGCATTGTCTTGCTCTCGGGGCCGGGGATGCTGATGGGGTTGTAGCATTCGGATGAAACTGGTAGGTTGGTCGTCTGTCTCCTTTGGCGGTACGGCCAGTTGTAGCCCACCTCGGCCACGGCTTGGAGGTTGTTTGCAAAGCGGGCTGTGGCCCCACTGGAAGTCTGGTTGTAAATTTCGATGGTCGCGTTGGGTCCGAGGACATCGTATCCGTATGCGTCGCCACTTGCGAGCTCTGCGTCTTCTTTTCTATGACTTAGAATGGTGAAGTCGGAGAGCTTGGTGACAACGGAGCATTCGTAACTAAAGGCGAGCCCCCATGATTTACCATCGATGGGGGCGCCGGTGTCGGACTGTGGCGCGAGGAAGACGTTAGAGACACCTGTGTCCCTTGGGAGGCTGTTGGGAAGGTTGGTAAACACGCCGCTATCCGCAAGACTGGATCTGTCGACCTCCTGGGAGGTGTAAATGACCCCGTCCCCGGGAGGTGGTTGGATCCTCGTTGTCTCACTCCACCTCGAGAACGCCCGCTCTGTAGTATCAAATGTGAAGCGCGCGTTCCAGTTTTCCTTGTTATATCCCATGACCGTGGGATGTCTATCCGTGCCACCAGCCGGCGCCCCAGAAAGAAATTGATATCCTGTCTCAAACTCCATTGTCAAACCGGAAAGAGGGAGTCCGACATAACCAAATAAGGTGACGAGGCTCAGCAACGTCCAAGCGAGCGAGGTGAGGCCCCGAGTGGCCGGCTCACGGCGAAGGAGGACCGGCCTCCCGAAGGCCAGCAGCCATCCGTTGGGCGGGATGTGATCATCTTGATGTTTTGAGTCAAGAGCTAACGACTTGGGCCGGATAAGCATGCGCTCCGCAACACCCTCACGTCCGTAGTGGAAGATGCTCAAGCCGACGGACGCCAGCACGAACCACGAGTAGTATATTGCGTTGGCGCCAGAGCGACCGAAAACGAGACCATTGCCGTTGTCGTTGTCTGGGACGAGGTAAAGGCGCCATATTACTAGGAAGTAAATTGTCAGGGCTAGTGGAAGCGAGATGATCACTATCCCGCGCATAATGCCACGGGACTGCCGGATGGTAGCCATGGTATTTGCGCTGGCAGGTCGGGCGACCTCAGGGTGGTTCTTGAGTGCCCTTGGAGCAGTTGAAGACCCACAGATGATGGCGATAATTGATAGGTGTCCTGGACCGGAGCAAAGGTTTTCACAGAGTGCCGTACTGCGAGTGAGCTAAAAAGATGGATATGTATTATATATGGCTATGAAATCATAGAGAGGATAAGGCTCAGCCTGATGTAAAGCCTGTTCAGCTCGATGTAAGCTTACGCCACCGTTAACGTGTGGTGTGGTTACGCAGGTAGCACAAAGCCAGGCGCTTGACTTGGGGTCAAGCGCCCTATTGGTCTGCGGTGGTAGTCAGAGTAACTCGCAAGATTATCGGTGAGGTTATTAAAATAGATGCCGACGTACCTACCTAGGTACCTAGGTAGGTAGTGAGCGGTTGTAACAAAGCTCTCTTAACCCATACTTGAGGGAGTTGGTCGGATTGAGGGTGGGTACATGTGAACAGAGAAGGCTACCGACATAACCCTTGACATATTGGTCACCTGGTCTCTTGCCCAGGGAGTTGTCCGGGCAGTGACACCGGGGAGACGGAGAGGGGTAGGTAGGACACATTCAGCTGAGCTTGGCGCAATAAGGGTGGCGAGAGAAGGTGACAAAAGTACATAGATGCCTCGGGAGAAGTCCAAACAACATCACATGGAGGTCACACAAGCGAGGCTCTGTATAGGTAGGTCTCAAGGCAGGTAGGTACCTTACCTATTCAGATCTGCACCGCCGGCGCTGCTCGGTGGTACATACAAGCACGCAGTTCTGACAGAGTGGCATCCCGAATTTGGAAGGCTACTGCATCAGGTTACCGTGTTAGAATATTGTATTAACTACATTACATATAGTAAAAACGAAAACAAAAAATGAGCGTAGAGACGTAAGACATGGTCACTCAGCCCCGGTGACCAACTTGATGCCACTTCATAAAGCACAGGGTTAGGGTTACCATCCGTTTCCCGGAAACCTATGCGAGAGCGAATACGACAGCTTCTCGATGGAACTTCTGGTGGCGTGTTTTAGAAAGCAGTTGTAGGGTGTGTGGGGTTTATTCGTACCTATCACTATCGGAGAAAAAAGCCATCGATCAGTTATGAGGATGTTGTCGGTAGCTGGAAATGGATCGAACGCTCTCTTTGGAGGGGTGCCTGAATCTGAAGTGGGCCCACGTGCCGAACTCCCCTGAAAGGCGTGGGGTGCACTCCGCTTCCAGCGACCCCTCCAGCGGCCCCTCCCGCACCATGTTCCCTGCACGCCACCGATAAACCAATCGACGATCATATCGCAAGCACGCGCCTTTTGGGGTATGCGCGGACCTGATCGGAGGCGTGGGCGCGTCGGTGAACCTCCCGGGAAACAAGTACCTGATGTTACATTGGAACATTGGGACAGGGTATGATGGTTTCCATGTGCTATTTTGGCGACTCTAACCTTGGTTATCACGTCGAGAAAATGGCCGAGGAACGGGGAGAGATGGAAGTTAAATGGAGGGCTATCCCGCCCCTGGTTTTGGGTGAATAATTCATCTCATGCCATGGGCGGGCACGCACATTCGGTCTATTAGAAGCCTATCCTAGATCTCTATTTACTACAATGGCTTTCTCCCGCCGCTTTACCGCGGCCGCCCTGCTCGCCTCCACCCTCTCGATCCAAGCAGCTGCCGTCGATGTCGAGATCCCGGTTTCAGCCGTGACCTCGGAAATCGAGTCTGACTGGACGTCTGTCTACTATGGCAGAACCCCTCTCCTCCTCGGCAACGATGGTACTGCTGGTAGCGGTGGATGGCTCGCCTGGAACGTCGACTCGGCCACGCCTCTGACCCAAGTTCATGCCGAGACTCCGGGTCGCCGAACCAAGGTTGTGACCACCATCCATGGCCGCGACGACGACAACAAGTCGACCGGTCTCGCTGTCAGCATTGGGCAGCCGGACTCGGTGCTCCGCGCTTGGGAGCTGCCCGACTTCGAGGAGGTCGAGTCGGCCCGGACCACGGTGCTTGGCGACTGGTCCGCCCTCTGCTCGTGGAAAAGCCCGAGCGGTGCTGACTACGTGTACCTGTTTGGCAAGAAAGAGGCGAAGGTGTTTCTTGTTCGGAAGGACGACGACGAGGATGACTATGAGGATTCCAAATTTGTGGAGGTATTTTTTGTTTAGCGGCGGATGCTACCACTCAAAAATGAACGTAAAAGGACTAACCAGCGGATAGATCCAAACCTTTCCCCTTCCGGTTGAGGCGTCGGGTTGTGCTACCGCGCCTTCCCTTCGCAAGATGTTTGTCTCGGCCGATGATGACAAGGACGTGTACGTCTTTGACCTGGCCGAGTCCACTGCCGACCCTACCATCAGCAAGACCGGTGAAGCCGCGGACGACGTAACGGGAGTGGCGGTTTATGTGTCCAACACTACCAATGTTGACTACCTCTTCGTGGCCATGGACGACACCGTGGCTGTTTACGCGCCCCCGTTCAACCTCCTCGGCAACCTCAAACTCGTAGGGTACGAGGACATTGAAATCCAGGGCCTTGCCATCTACCAGGGTTCCACGTCCAAGTACGCCAGCGGCGTGCTGACATACGCCATCGAGTCCGACGACATCACCGGCTTCGGCGTTAGCTCTCTTGACGGCGCCATCCAGCAGTTGGGCCTGCAGGTCAACACCAAATATGACCCCAGCCGCGAGTCCAATAAGCCGTCGCCTATCTGCAGCTCCTGCTCGAACAATGGTTTCTGTACCCAGGTTAGCCGAGGCGTTGAATGTTCATGCTTTGCAGGTTGGCAAGGCAAGACTTGCAGCACGTACACTTGTGAAGACAACTGCTCCGGCAACGGTCAGTGTGTGGGACCGAACCAGTGCAAGTGCAACGCCGGTTGGGGGGGCCTCCACTGCTCTTTCGTCGTCGTACAGCCGGTCGCCGAGACGGACGCCAACGGCGGTGACGGAGACGACCCGGCCATCTGGATTTCGCCCTCCGACCGCAGCCAGTCGCGCATCATCACGACCACCAAGTCCGAGCAAGGTGCGGGCCTCGGCGTGTTCGACCTCTCGGGCAAGCTCCTGCAAACCATCGCCGCCGGCGAGCCCAACAACGTCGACGTCATCTACAACTTCCAAGCCGGGCCCCGCAAGATCGACCTCGCCTACGCGGCCTGCCGCGACGACAACACCCTCTGGTAAGCCTAAGCCTCCTCCCTCCCCCCCCATTCCCCCAACCACAACGAAAACCAGCACTAACCCCCACCCCCAACCAGCCTCTTCGAGATCACCGCGAACGGCACCCTAACCACCATCCCCGGCGGCAGCCAGCCGACCCCGCCCGACTACGAAGTCTACGGCTCCTGCACGTACCGCTCGCCGACCACCCAAAAACAATACCTCTTCGTCAACGAGAAATCCGCCAAGTACCTACAATACGAACTCACCGCCACGGAGGACGGCACGCTGACCACCACGCTCGTGCGCTCCTTCACCGGCGGCTCCGGCGGCCAGGTCGAGGGCTGCGTGGCCGACGAGGCCAACGGCGTCGTCTTCATCGGCGAGGAGCCGCACGCGCTGTGGCGGTACGATGCCGAGCCGACTGCTGGGGAGGAGCCTGAGGGCGTGGTGGTGGGCGTGGTGGGGGATGGGCACATGCGTGCGGATGTGGAAGGGGTGGCGCTGGTGTTGGGGCGCACGAAGGAGGAGGGGTTCTTGGTCGTCTCGAACCAGGGGGTGAGTGGGTATAATGTGTACCGGCGGCAGGCGCCGCATGAGTTTGTGATGGCGTTTACGATTGGAGAGGGGGAGGGGGTGGATCGGGTTACGAATACGGATGGGGTGGCTGCGGTGGGGACGGGGTTGGGGGAGAGGTTTCCCAAGGGGTTGGTGGTTGTGCATGATGATGCGAATGAGTTGGCTGGTGGGCAGGGCACGAGTGAGGAGGCGAGCTTCAAGCTGGTGCCGTTGGAGAGGATTTTGGGGGCGGACGTGGTGAGCCAGTTGGGGTTGTTGGATGAGGTGGACAGCGAGTGGGATCCCAGAGCTTAGGGGAATCGGGAGGATCTTTGGATGAACAACATGTTTTTGGCAGGGACGATCAATGTTAGGTAACACGGAGGCAAGGAGCCTGCGGGGGAAGAAGGTACTTCGGGGGTTTCGTAGTGGAGGACCAGATTGAATCTGGAAAGCGCAATGTTGTGCATGCTAGATTTGTACGAATCCTTCTCAAGGGCAGTGCGGTTAACTTCAACCCACAATTTGATACATGAACAGCAATCCGTGGAACATGAATGAGGTTCGTATCTCGACGCACATGGTTCTAACTGTCGGAAATTCCCGCAAAACCGTTTTCACATGCGACGGAGACCTGTAGTTAGTGACGTCATGACCGTTATGCCACCAGCCTTGGCAGGCACGGCAACGTTGTTGAACAGGAAAAGTCGGCGGGGATAACCACCGAAGATATTTAGTTTTCCACCCATCAGGATCTGGCCGAAGCTAGTGAACACAGCTCAGAACATACTCACGAGAGGAAACCGCAGAAATGACCTCCCAATCGCGGGTTTACAACCCACTCATACATCCCTTCCTCTTCCTCTTCCAACTCTTCCAATGGCTCACGGATAAGATCCTCTCGCCCAACCCTCCCGGGCCCAGCACACGCCTCAGCCGTCCCAAGATTGCCGTCATCGGCGCGGGCATCACGGGCGTGACCAGCGCGGCGCACTGCATCGGCCATGGCTTCGACGTGACCATCTTCGAAGCCGGCAGCGAGGACGAGCTGGGCGGCATCTGGAGCCGCGTCAACAACACCTCGTCCGTGCAGATCCACTCGGTCATGTACCGCTTCCACCCCTCCGTCAAATGGGAGCGCGGCTACCCGGACCGGCAGCAGATCCTCAGCCAAGTACGCGACCTGTGGCGGCGGTACGGGCTCGAGGAGCGCACGCGGTTCGGCACCAAGATCGACCGCGTCTACCAGGACGAGCGCGGCCGCTGGGTGGTCAATGACATGTCGCTGGGCCGCTTCGACGGCGTCATCGCCGCCATCGGCACCTGCGGCGAGCCCAAGGTGCCGCGCATGCCCGGCATGGACGGCTTCCGCGGCGAGATCCACCACTCCAGCCGCCTGACCGGCTCCTGCTCGGCCAGGGACAAGACCATGATCATTATTGGTGGTGGTGCCAGTGCGGTTGAGGCGCTCGAGTTTGCGCATGAGGAGGGTGCCAAGAAGATTTACATCCTCGCGCGCAGCGACAAGTGGATCATCCCGCGGAATCCGATCTGGAACATGCTGCTGGCGATGAACGTGTTTGGGCAGGAGACCTTCCTCAGCTGGATCCCGGAGCTGTTGCTGCGCAAGATGTTCTACCGGGACTTGGAAGACCTGGCGCCTGCCAACAAGGGGCTCTTTACGGATACCCCCATGGTGAATTCGGATATCATGGAGAAGCTGCGTTCGAAGCGGGCAGAGTGGATTCGTTGCGACATCGAGGGGTTTACCGAGGACGGCGTCAAGGTCAACCGGCGCGCCAAGGGGGTTCCGGCCGGTGGACCGGGGCAAAAAGACGTAATCGAGGGTGATGTCGTGGTTATGGCGACGGGGTTCGCCCGACCCAAGCTGGACTTCCTGCCCGACAGCTGCTTTGAGAAGCCGTACGAACCGCCCAACTGGTACCTGCAGACATTCCCGCCAAATCACCCGTCCCTTTCGTGCATCAATTGCACCTACATGAATGCCATCGGGACGGTGGGCAACTGGCACATCGGGATTTACACGCGCATCCTGCTCATGTTCTTGGTTGATCCCTTGACTCGGCCGAATCCCTTTTGGATGAAGCGGTGGATCGACATGACGAGATTGTTCAAGATGGCGTCGCCGGTAGGGCCCTTCGAGTTCTTTACCTACCTCGAGCTTATTTGGTGGTTTTCTTTCTGCGTCGCATTCAACCCCTTCCGATGGAAGTGGGCATTGTTCGTCTTCTTTGGACTCGGCTTCATGCTCCCGAAGAATGTGGTGGCTGCCGAAGACAGGATTCGGAACGGACTTGGCATGCGCCAGGAAACTACTGGCGAGGATGTTGGCCTGAGCTTGTAAGGTGATGCAAAAATCGATCTTGTAAAGGGATGGGATCTGGATGGTGGTTTGGGACCTTGCAAAAAGAACGTGAAAATTTGGCGAGGGGTATCGAGGTGATAATTGATGGCGTTTGTTGGACGGCATTGAATTTCATTTGCTTTGAACTGTCAGATTTTTAGCGGCCCTTGCCTCTTGTGCCACGGCCACTCTCCAGAACCTTGAGCCTCTTTTGATACCTCTCGCCCATGTTCGCCCCATTTCCTCGCGGCCCGTCCGTGGTGTCGATACCACGCTTGCGGCTCTTTTCCAACAAAGCTTTGGTGCCGCCTCCTGTCCTCTTGCCCTGGGTCAACCGGCTGATGCGGTCCACACCCTCGCTGAGGTCCCGCCATTCCTCGCCGCCAAAGTTCATCCGCCGACTGCCGCCCTCCTGCTTGGCCCTCTTTGCGCGATCCTTCTTGCTCTCCTTGGGCAGACGGACAAAGTTCGTCTCTTCGAACTCACGGCGCTCGTCCTCCTTGCGGCGCTCGGATGCCGTCTTGACCTTGCGGCCAAAGTTCACAATCGTCGTACCGATACTGGGCTCGGCGATGGGGGCGGTCGACATTTCGTCCACAATGAACTCATCAAGCGTGGCGGACTTGCCCACCCGGCGCTCGGCCTTCTCGCGCCTCTCGGTGGTTGGCATCACCACTGGCGCAATCTTTGGCGGCCGGTAAACCCCAGAGGCATCCGTCTCTTTGCCCGAGTATACCGCAGCAGCCGGCCGCTGGAACCCCCCGAGGTTGGGACGATGTTGGAGGTCCGCGATTTTCCGCCCGTCCACGGCACCGTCTTGGTCATCCTCTTCTTCGTCTGATTCGCCTTCCTCGCTGCCGGAGTCGGACTCAGACCCATGCCCATTGGCCTTTGCGGCTTCCTCATCAGCCTTGGCATTGCGCTCTGCGTCGTCGGCTGCGCGAAGCACCTTGTCGATCTGGAACCGAAGCTTGTCTTCTAACGGTCGCGCCCCCTTCTCGAGGTAGAGTCTCAGCTCCACAAGCTTCGACACGACGAGGTCGTCGAGACTTTGGTCGTTCGCTTCATCGTCTGATCCCCCGTTCTTCGCCTGACGCAGTTTGAGGAGGATGAGGAACACGAGGTTCTGGAGATATGCGAGCAGGAGTTCGTTCTTGACGTCAAGCAGCGAAATGCCGTCTTTAGGGAGCTCGGCGCTGGCAAGTTTCGGCGCTACGTCGAGGGTAGTGGTGATCGATTTGGTAAGGGAGTCCAGCAGTGCTGGTAGAGTTGCGGGTGCCGCCATTGTTGACGCCGACCTGAATTGGCGATTATTTCGAAGCAAGACTTGCTTTGGATCGCACGAGGAAATCTGTCGTGCCTGGCCCCTCCAGAAACTTTTTTGTGGCGCCTGCAAGGCTCTTTCTTGCCAAGTTCAGCTGAAATCCCGGCGCGAAAGTGGGCTCGGTGGGGGTCGCAGCATGGCGCGGCGTTGCACGGGCCAACATAATTCGTTCTTTGTCTCGCTCAGGGTGCGACTGCATTTGAAGACGACAAGTTGCAAATCTCTGGCAGATGTCACGTAACAGCCAGAACGCGAAATACCAGTTTTTAATTCCCCCTTCCAGCCTCCCAAGCTCCATCTGCCACTCGATTTACGACTTCCGCATGCTTTATCCATTGCGGTAACGCGGATCCCTCGGGGTGGGCCGAAGCGCAAACACAAGGAGCTTCCTTCGTACCTTGCAGTACGTATTACCTACGACTACTACTTGGGGGCCCCTCGGCTGCGCCTGGAAAGCCCCCATTGCGCAGCAACCACCAAACACCTCCATTCCCGTCCATGGCTGGCAACGCCCTAACATCTTCCTTGACAGAAACACGCACGCCAGGCATACACATCCACCATGCAACTACGAACAATCGCGCCCGCAGGGCCCATCCTCACTGCGCTGCTGGCCGCGCCGCAGCTCGTATCCGCCTTCTACCTCCCCGGAGTCGCTCCCGAATCATATGAAAAAGATCAGATAGTCCCTCTCAATGTCAACGCGATTCGGCCTGTCGCAGGCTCCGACGCGATGCTGCACTCAGTCGTATCTTACGACTACTACCACCCGCTCTTCCAGTTCTGCCGCCCGCCAGATGGGCCCCAGGACGTCGGCGCGAGCTTGGGCAGCATATTGTTCGGCGACAGGATAAAGACGTCACCGTTCGAGCTCAAGATGGCGCACAACGAGAGCTGCAAGGCGCTTTGCAAGACAACATACCAAAGAGGAGCTGCTTTATTCGTGAACCAGCTGATCCAGTCCGGCATCAGCCTCAACTGGCTGGTAGACGGTCTTCCGGCGGGGCAAAAGATCGTCGACGAGTCTACAGGAATCGAGTTCTACAACCCTGGTTTCCTGCTTGGGCAGCAGACCGGGGATGGCGACCAGGTCCTGTTCAACAACCATTACGACATCATCATCGAGTATCACGAGGTTCCCGGCAGCAAAGATCTGTACCGGGTGGTGGGTGTCGTCGTTCAGCCCGAGTCAAAGAAATACACGGGGCCGATTGACGACCAGACGTGCAACATGGACTTGGACCCAGTCATTCTGAATGAATCGGGTGATACCGAGGTCCAATTCACGTACGGCGTCTACTGGGTCCCCTCCAAGACGGCCTGGGCTACTCGTTGGGACAAGTACCTCCAGGTTTTCGACCCCAAAATCCACTGGTTCTCCCTCATCAACTCGGCTGTAATCGTCGTCTTCCTGGTGCTCACTGTCATGTCGGTTCTTGTCCGCGCCCTCAAGAAGGACATCGCCCGTTACAACCGACTCGACCAGCTCAACCTCGAGGACCTTTCGGGCACATCGGCATTGATGGAGGATGGCGTGCAGGAGGACTCCGGCTGGAAGCTCGTCCACGGCGATGTTTTCCGGACGCCCAAGCATCCCTTGCTCCTCTCCGTCCTCGTCGGGAACGGCGCCCAGCTGTTTGTCATGACGGGCTTCACCATCGCTTTTGCTCTGCTCGGCTTTCTTTCCCCGTCTAACCGGGGCTCCCTCGGCACCATCGTCATCCTGCTCTACACCATCCTCGGCTTCGTCGGCGGCTACACGTCCTCGCGCATGTACAAGTCGTTCCAGGGCGAGAAGTGGAAGCTCTGCATCATGCTCACCCCGGTCCTCGTCCCGGGCATCGTCTTCACCTCCTTCTTCCTGCTCGACCTCTTCCTCTGGGCCAAGAGCTCGTCGGGCGCCGTGCCTTTCACGACCATGCTCGTCATCATCCTCATCTGGTTCATCATCAGCGTGCCGCTGTCCTGCGCCGGCTCTTGGGTCGGCTTCCGCGCCGCCGCCCTCGAGCCGCCCGTGCGCACCAACCAGATCCCGCGCCAGATCCCGCCCGTCACCACCTACCTCAAGCCGGTGCCGAGCATGCTGCTCGTCGGCCTGCTGCCGTTCGGCGCCATCTTCGTCGAGCTCTACTTCATCATGAGCTCCATCTGGTTCAGCAAGATCTACTACATGTTCGGCTTCCTCTTCCTCTGTTACGGCCTCATGATCATGACCTGCGCCGCCGTCACCGTGCTCATGGTCTACTTCTTGCTCTGCGCCGAGAACTACAACTGGCAGTGGCGCGCCTTCCTGGCCGCCGGCACCACGTCGGGTTACATCTTCCTGAACGCCATCCTTTACTGGGTGACCAAGCTGTCGCTGGGCGGGTTTGCGGGCAGCGTGCTGTACATCGGATACAGCCTGCTCATCTCGTTCCTGTTCTTTATCTTGACTGGTATGTCCGACCACTTGCCCTGGGATCTACGAACGGTTGTGCTGACTTGTGCAAAAGGATCGATCGGCTTCTTTGCTAGCTGGCTGTTTGTCCGCAAGATTTACGCGTCTATCAAGATCGATTAGAGAAGTGAAAAATGGGGGGATGGGTGCGCGGTGGATTTTCGTGGATTGAAAGCGATTTAGAACTCTTTTATGTAACACCACAAAATGAGCGCTGGAGCTACGACAAGGAGGTTGTAGTATTATCATCTTTTTTGAGGGCGGATAAGGCCTATATTAGACTTCAAGGTAGCGTCCTATCATTGACTGACCGGAGCTCACACAACCTAGAAGCTATATGTAGGCAATCTCGAATAGTTTCTCACGCCCTGTAGCTGTTGTTGATGTTGGATCCATGGCCCGAATGACGAGTCCAGTAGACAGACCCAAGGATCTCCATCACGGCACTTTTATGTTCCCCTGTCTTGATGAACTTCGCCCGTCACCCGTCCGTGAAGCCATGGCCAGTTTCTCTCGAGATGGTTTGCATGCGCCATCATCGTTCCATCACCATTCTCTTCTTCATCTCCAGCGCTTAGTGCTGTTTCCCGGCTCGGTATCTCTGCAATCTGGTCCGGTAGCAACTGATCTCTGGGGATCCTTATTTCCCCAGTATAAATTATCTCCCTTCCGAGGAATTATCTGCCTACGGCTCCCATTCCGGAGACGAGGGCGACGAAGCCGGCGGAGACGACAAACTCGACGTCTCCGTTGTCGTTTCTATCGTAGATGGTGACGCTGAGTCCTCCGGTACCTCTTCCCGCTCCGGCGTCGCAGATGGTGGTTGTGATATTTCTAGCGTCTTTATCTGCTCCGCCATTGCAGATGGTGAGCCCGACGGCTCTGGTGTCCCCAACCCCAGCACCACATATACCGGTTCCGATGCCTCCGATTCCTCCTCTTGTTCCACCGTCAAGGGTGGCGAGCTCGACGGATTTGGCGCCTTTTCCTCCTCGGCCGCTGCAAATGGCGCGCTTGTCGTTTCCAGTCTGTTTTCCTGCTCCACCGTTTCAGATGGGGGATCCCATGAGTATGGTGTACCCAGCCCCAGGGTCACATATCTCAACCGCAACGCATCCGGTCTATCTTCTTGCTCCACCGTCTCAGGTGGCGAGTCCGACCCGTACGGCGTGCCTAACCCCAACGTCACATATAGCGACCACGGCACATCCGGCCTCCTTTCCTGCTCCACCGTCAGGGGCGGAGAGCTCGAGGGCTCGGTATTCTTTTCCTGCTCTAATATTGCACATGGCGAGGTCGACGAGTTCGGCGTCCCCAGTTCCATCGTCACGACCGCCGGTCTCGGCACCCTTGGTGTGCCCTGTTGAATCAAAGTCGACTCCTCCCTTTCTTGCGTCTCCACCGGCGGAACCGATACCTAATCGTCCTCATCCTCATCATCATCCGACCCCAAGAACGTAAACTGCTTAGGCTTGTCCCTGCCCACCGCCACACTATCCCGACGCTCGAGCTCCCCACCAGCACCACCACCAGCACCAGCCCCAGCCCCAGCCCCGGCCCCATTCCGCTGGCGGGCGAGCTCGCGGTCGCGGGCCATGCGGTCGCTCTCCTCGCGGGCGCGCTTCTCGGCGGCCTCGCGGTCGAGGCGGGCGCGCTCCTCGGCGTCGCGGCGCGCCTGCTCCTCGGCCTGGCGCCGCCGCGCCTCCTCCTCCGGGTCGTAGCCGCGCGGGTCGATGCCCGCGTCCACGAGGCGCTGCAGCGCCGCCAGCGCGCCCGACCGGATCTGCCCCTCGGTCGGCCACGGGTGGAACGCGGCGCCGTGCAGCGGGTTGACGGCCGGCTTGAGGTGCGGCGGGATCCGGTCCTGCGTCGTCGTCTTGGGCGGCTGTGACGGCGGCAGCTGCGTGGTGGCTTGCGTCTCGGTGGCCGTGGTGGGCGTCGCCGCGCTGAGACCGCCGCCGCCGCCGGGGGTGCCCACGGTGCCGTTGAAGCTGAGGTTGAAGCTGGTGTTGGGCGTCTGGGTCTGAGTGGGCTGGGATTGCAACCGGAAGGAGTCTTTTACTTCGGTTGAAGGGGCGGCGGACTGCCGGGGGCTCATGTCGACGCCGTTGGTCACGCCCGGGAGAGGGAGGGTGTTGCGGCTGATGCGGCGGGCGTAGGAGAGGAGTTCTGTGGTGGTGAATTGGTGTTTTGGGCCGCCGGCGGGTTTGGTGGTTGTCGGTACGGCCTTGAGCTCCTTGCGCATGTTCCAGAGAGAGCTCATGATATCCTTCAGCTGGGTGTCATGAAGCGAAGTCTCCTGTCTTAATTGCTGCAGCCGTGCATTGTTATTTTGATGTGTCTCGAGCAGCTTCAAGGACTCGGAGAGATCAGTTTCGGCTGCTAGCAATTCATCGGCCAGCTTTTGTGATGGGTTGTTCTTGGCGAGGCTGTCAATCATGCTGCCGAGCGCCTTCTCGACTCGCTCGAAGCAGCTGTCCAAATCCGACTCCATGTTGAATGATTAGATACTGCGTACGATAACTGGGAAATCGTCGTGTAAATCTGTGAGTAGGAATAAAGGTCGATGAAATGCAAGTGAGAGAGAGTTTCTTGAGGGTGTCCTCTGCAGCTAAAATGGCAGCGGACAATTGAATTGGAGTGATGGTTTTGGTGGTTTGCGGAACGGAATTGTGGAGCTGGAGCTTCAGAGCCATCGGGCATTTTGGGAACCGGTACCCGCTCGAGCCGCCTCTAACTTTTGCCTGAGGCACTAACAGAAGCTCGGTGAGGTGGCGTGAACGAGTTTGTGCTGGTGCCTCAGGCCACAATAACCCCGGGTTTGTCCGGTCGGAAACTCGCGCGAAACCCAACATCGAATCTTTTGCAACTCCAAGATTGTTTCGCAGCCATTGAAGCAGCCCCTCGCGCTCTTTTGCCGAAGTCGCCAACATGCCGTTCCCCGTACGTTATGACAATGTTATGCAGCGCTCCTCTGCACGTTTCTGCCTTTCCCAAATCCGGGAATGGCACATCGCAAAGACCGACCATCGGCTAACTGGTCATATTAGACTGCTCCCCGCCGGGCACCCTTCCCCGAGTACAAGAGCCCCTACGGCCCGAAGTAAGCACGCACCACTCATACAAGTCGCAAGCGACCCTAGCCCACCCGCGAGACGCTACGAGATCCCGCAAGTCGAAGAGCGGTGCCACCGGCTGCGGCTGCAATCTGGGGAGGCAGGGACATGCGCTGAACAGGCGCTAACCGCTTCCAGGTACTTCTATCAATCCCACTTCGCGGGCATCACAATGAACACCTTCCTTAAGACGTAAGTCTACCGCTTTTTTTTGGCATACACAAGGAGGGGTCAAGGGATTGTTGCATGCCGAGGCTTGCTTGATCTGGCCGACAACTATGGAATGTGGCTGTGGTGATGGGTCTGGTTTGCGACAAAAAGTAACTTGGGGGGTGGTGTTGGCGGAGATGGCGACGACAGCAACGCACGCATGGGCAAGGCTGATCATACAAACAGTGGCATCAAGGCGGGCATGTTCGGCGGTGTCGCTCTCGGTGCCGTCATCTTTTTTGCGTCTGGCATTCCTAGGATCCAGCAGGATATCCTCTTGGTACGTTGGTGTTAGGACTTCTAGCGCCCGCGTCCACTTGCTAACCCCACGATAGAAGATCCCTTTCCTCGGCCCACGCTACCCTGTTCGTGAGGTTCACCCCGCAGACAATGTGAGCGCTCTCCCACTCCAAATACCAGGCAACCTACTAACGATTTCATCATAGCCGTTTTAAACCAGGATCACATGGCTTTGGGACTTACGGCGGAGACTCCCTGGGGGCTTTTGGCGCTAGGTGTAATGGAACTGTGTATACAATAGAAAGACGTGATAGACAGCCCTTCTCCAACCACCATTGGTCTTTCCCAACACTGTACTCTTGCATCTGGCAATCTTTGGCGCGAGGTTTCGGGTCGGTGTCAGCGGCGCTGAGTCTAACGCACGGACCACCTCTCACTCTGTTGCTGTTGACACCTGTAATTGTTTGGCCCACAACGAGATCAGCTCGAAAACATCAATTTACAACTTACACAACACACGACAGACACTCAAAAGCAACGGCCCAGACTGTGAAATCTCCTCGCCATCAGAGCCGCAGTGAACTCGTAAGGCTAGGATGGCATCTAACTTATTTCCATAACCACGCTCGTTTTTCCGTTGATCATGATGGAAGTCATCCAATCCCTGCGCCAAGCGCTGCCCCTTAGGGATGTGCTCACCAGTCTTGCAATCGCCCTGGTCCTGGCCCGTTATCTTGCGTCGTCTGAAAAGCACGAACAGCCGCGTTTGAAGAATACACTATCGTCCTCATTCAGCACGCAAATAGCCATTCCAGTGGGATTCTTCGCCCTCTCCTTCGCATCCCGAGTCTGGCTTGCTCTTGTAAACAAATATGTCCCTGAGCCATACCTCGTACGTCTACGTCTCCCCTTTCCTTTTTCCGAGACCCGACCAATGCTCTAACTATCAGCCAGGACGAGGTTTTCCATATCCCGCAGGCCCAGACCTACTGCGAGGGGCGCTTCTGGGACTGGGATGACAAAATCACCACCCCTCCCGGCCTGTGAGGATCCTTGACTTGTTCGTTTCGATCACGGATAACTGCTAATGCCACGACGGAATAGCTATCTCATATCCGTGGGGTATCACAAGCTGAGGATGTTTACGGAATGTAGTCCGTCCAGTCTCCGCTCCAACAACACGGTCGCGATCCTCTTGGCTCTGGTTGCAGCTCAATGCCGCCACTTAATCGAGGTTCGGGCGGCCGAGCGGGCGGGCAAGCAGGCACCTACGGGCACTTCGTTTGACACCTACTATACTGGCCTGAACATCGCCTTGTTCCCTGTTCTTTTCTTCTTCTCGGCCCTGTACTACACAGACGTCATGTCGACGCTGGTCGTGCTGGTTGCGTACCGCAATCATCTACTCCGCCTGGCGCCGCGACCCCCGGGTTTCGTCAATGACTTATGGACAGTTCTCTTGGGCGTGGGTGCCTTATTCATGCGCCAAACCAATGTCTTTTGGGTTGTCGTCTACATGGGCGGTCTGGAAGCGGCGCATGTCCTCCTTACTGTGGAACGCGGATCGCAACATCCCCTTACGAAACTCCATGATCCACCTCTGACTTGGTCTAGTCCAGACGGTAAGTTCCCCGGCTCATGCCGGATGTCCACTGCTGATGGTTCAGACTGGTTCTTCTGCGTGGTTACACTCGTCACCACGGCTCTCTGCAACCCGGTCAGGGTTCTACGTCAGATCTGGCCTCACATCAGCATTCTCGCGCTATTCGCCGGCTTCGTGGCATGGAATGGAGGTGTAGTGCTCGGTACATTCTCCCCAGATATGAGGCCCGGGGCTATGCTAACAACACATAGGAGACAAGTCTAACCACGTTGCGACTATCCACCTGGCACAAATGCTCTACATCTGGCCGCTCCTGGCCTTTTTCTCAGCCCCTCTCATCCTCCCATCAATCTTAGGGGGCGTCTCCCGCCCTATTCACTATCTCAGATCCGTCCTCTCGTTAACGTCAAAGCGAGCAACCCTCCTCTCTCTCCCCTACACCCTCCTCACCATTATCCTTTCCCTAGCCGTCGTCAAATACAACACCATCATCCACCCCTTCACCCTCGCCGACAACCGACACTACATGTTCTACGTCTTCCGCTACACCATCCTCCGCTCCCCAACCATCCGCCTCTCCCTCGTGGCCGCCTACACCGCCTGCCGCTGGGTAGTATGGGACCAGCTCGCCGGGACCAGCCACGCCACATCACCACCTAAACAACAACAACAACAACAACAACAACAACAACCCACCACCAAACCAGCCCCTCAAGCCCCAACGCAAATCACCCCCACCCCCGACCACCACCACGCCCCTCCCTCAACAACCACCGCCCTCCTCTGGCTCCTCACCACCGCCCTCTCCCTCATAACCGCCCCCCTAGTCGAACCCCGCTATTTCATCCTCCCCTGGGTCTTCTACCGCCTCCTGCTCCCCAGCAGCAGCAGCAGCAGCAGCCGCCCACCCTCCTCCTCTCCTCCTACCCCCCCCGGCAGCAACACCGACGACACTACCATGCCGACGCCTGCGCCCGAGCGCAACCCGTTGGCGCGGCTGTCGGCGTGGGTGGGCGGGCCGTGGGGCCCCGTCGGCGAGGGGCGGCTGGTGCTGGAGACGGGGTGGTTTGTGGTGGTGAATGCGGTCACGATGTATATGTTTTTGATGAGGGGGTTTTATTGGTGGGGGGAGGATGGCGCGGTGGGGGATGGGGGACGGGTGCAGAGGTTTATGTGGTAGGCTCGTAGGGGAGGGTTGGTAGGTGGGGGTTGATCGGTGGGGGCCTGGCACGTGGGTTGGTTTGGTGTGTTGGGTAGGGCTTGTTTTCGTGGTATTATTGGGGTTGTGGGTGATTTTGGGGTTTTGGCCGTGATTTGTGAGGGTCCGTTGACCACCCACGCAAGGGTTTGGGGGATGTTAAGGGGAGGAGTTGGATCGTGAATAGAAAGAGGAGCTTGTTGTGTGTTTGACTAGTTTGTATGTTCTTTCTCAAGTTGCCGACATCTATGTCCTATTGCACCATATTTTCCGCATCCCCATGCCCCTGATCCAAACCCAGTTATGTATGGTTATGTGCCCTTGGTTGTGTTATCCCACCCTAACGCCGATGCCATGGAAAGGTGATCGAACCCACCCGTTTCCGTCAATCCCGAACATGCCTTTGTCGTTAACTTCGTTGGGCCCGCTGCGTTCTTCGCGGACGTTCCCTTCATCCCATCATCATCCCTTCATCGATCTCAAAGACTCAGCCGGTCCAAGCTCAACCTGTCCCCGCTCCTCACCCTTCGTACAACCCCGAGCTTGAAGAACCTTTCTTCCCCAGCCGCGGTCCGCCCCCCGATGTACAGTTTCTCTGCCCCCAGGGCGTCCCGGAACCCTTCACTGCTGCTGTCACTTCCTCGCCTGCGGCCATGGCTATCCCGGTGGCCTGGTGACTGTGGTATGGGGACGCCAGCGCTGTGGTGGTGGTGGTGGTGGTGTCGTGGGGAGTGTAGCGGGAGCTGGCTCATCACACTCCCCGACCGTGGTTGCGGGGAAGTCCCTTGTGATGATGCAGCAGCCGCGGCTGTTGATGATATCGTCCGCGGTGTTGCCGTTGACGCCTGTTGGGTCGAGGCGGAGGACTGTGTGGTGTGTTTGTTGGGCTGCTGGCTAGACGCGCTCGCGCTTGTGAGCGAGGCAGGCGTTTGCTGGCGGAACGCGGCAAAGAAGGTGGAAAGGAAGAAGGGGCGTTGAGACGACATGTTGCCGTTGGTGGGCGTGGTGGGGTGGAGAAGGTTGCGGAAGGCAATGCCTATGGTGTTGGTGCGATATTCTGCTCCCGGCTCAAGACTGATCCTCGATCGGTCGCCTGGGAAAAGCTTTCGTGGGTGTACGATTCCCTCGGTGAAGAGACCGGGGTTACTTTTTCCTGGGCGATGGCCGATTCAAAAGCAAAAGTCGCGGCAATGTTTCCGATGGCTTTCCGATGGCCTCGGGCGGCGTCAAGGTGGGCTTGGTTCTCCGGCTTCGGTTGTTCGACTCGTCGCACTCGATATGTAACTAACTCCTTTCGCTTCGGAATTGACACTAAATCAATAAACGCTGGCACAATAATAATGATGAACGCGGATGGGTTGTCGTCGGGTCGATGTGCATACAGCATGGGCAAGATCAAAGTGGGAATGCATCTGCGTCTGACGTCGAAGAGTGGCCCTGCCTTGCAGCTGCACGAGGGCGACTCGGCCAATCCCGGGATCTGAACAGCCAATGATTGGTGTTAAGGGAGTCGCACCGGACCAGCGGGGGTGCTCTGCTGTCATGCATTTACCCCGCGTCTGATAGGCCGTTGTGGGGCGCCGGGCAGCCACGCAGCCAACGGCCCGAGGACCACCACCGACCTAGTGCGGGGACTTCGGAGATTGATGGAGCCGCCCGAGCCGCCTCCATGGGACCTTACCAGTATCATGAAGGTCAGGTAAGTTGTCTGGACCTCATCATGGTGCTGGCGAGCCATCGATTCTAGACACGACGCATCCGCCTTCTTCGTGGAGGAAAACAGTTGCCGCACTCAAGTCAAGCCGGGATTTATGAATAACTTAAATGATAAATGGATGAGACGAAACTTTCTGTAAAAAGTGAAGAGCGAAGAAATAAGAATAGAAGGAAAGAACGTTTTGCTCCCTCCCATTCCCACCACACCTAAAATCCCATCCAACCGCAAACTTCTCCTTTATCACAGCACCGGATGTGATGAGCACTCGCTCTCCAGTTGCAACGATGATATTTTCTGACCATCTATTTATTTTCTTGTATTTTTCTGCTACTATTTACTATGTCGAAGGACGGGCCGACTCCTAGTACGAGCACCACCTCACTCTTCGGCTGCCTTTTCGATGTCTCTGGCTCTACCGGTGGGGTTCTCGAGATCGGCCGCCCGCATGAAGAGGCAGGTCGACCACCTCGGCGCAGTGCTCAGATGTTCGTGGGCGTTCGGACTGCGAGTCGAGGCGAGATGCCCGCGAATAGTTGACCTGTGCAGCGTCACCAGCGAGCTTCTCGATAGCCACGGGGATGACCCGAATGGGCACGGCCTTCATATCGAATTGACAAACCGGAACAATATCGGACACATCACGAACTACATCCAGACCGAAAATTGTCCGACGACGAGGCGCGTATTCCCACACCGGCAACTCTACGACCAGGTAGCCGAAGCGTAGAATGCGGGTTAGCGTACGCTCATTAGTATGGCTGCGAGGGTCCCCCGGGGCACGCATCTGATACCTGTCCCCGCGTTGATTACCTGGGGAACCGCCTTCGTCCAGCGAATGCGCGCTGTCCACGGGTGCGCCGTAGCATGTAGCGCAGAGATGCTCGAGGAGCTTTTCTCGCGCCTGTTATCAGCCGGTCTTGTCAATTCTCTGGGACGCATCGAGCGCGATGCGTACACCCACGATGAACATATGCGTATACGCAAGAACCCGCGGGACCAGCTGCAGTCGCGACCTGTTACTCGCACACCATCCCTAGGGTACTTCCCATGGCACTTAGTCGAATTGTCGGTCGTGAGTCAGGCTACCCAACCATTCGCGAGATCCGTACGACAAGTACGGAAGAATTCCCGTCCCTACCGGAGCCTAAAATCAGGCGAAACACCGAGGAAGTATTGAAGAAGGCGTGTACTTGGTATCCTCCACTCCGGTTCTGCAAAGTCGACGAGCAGGGCGCACATGAAGGGGGGTGGTACGCTAACGGCTAGTACTCAGATATGGTCTACGCTTTCCTGGCTTGTTCTATCGAGTTGCTGACAGCTTAGCGGCTATTACAGAAGACAATTCCGATTACTCCGTCTTCCTCTCCTCCGACTCCATCTTGGTCAGCGCTGCTGTATCCTTGTCTCCATACGCGCCCGACATGAGCCGCCGTGTGATGAGGTCGAGGTCGGCGATGAGCCGCCGCAAAGACTTCTCGTTCACGGCGCGGTCGTCGAATATGACACGGACATCCAGCGCCTGCAGCACCTTGCCCTGCACCACCAGTGACACATCGACGGTGAATGCCGCGCCATCGCCGGCGAGAACCGACAGTTCGCGGCGGCGCAGGTTTATCTTGGTGGCCGGCTGCTCGGTATAGGGGTCGTGGGGGTGCACGACGACCTGTGGCGCGGCACGGTACGCGTTTCCGGCGGTGGGAGCTAGGTGCGCCGCCTCATCCATGGCGAAGTGCTCGAAGGGTGCTGCACGCCGTAGCTGTGCGCGCACGTGCGCAAGATACTCGGGTACCCGGGTGGTACGACGTTGGATAAGTAGCGGCACCACGGTCACGGTCGGGCCGACCAGCTCCGCGATGTCGGGAATTGTCGGTGATGTGCGTCCTGTCGAGATAATCCGGAGCAGTGTGTCTGGCGTCTGCGACTGACAGTGCAAGGCAAGAGCTACGGCGGCGTAGGTGACTTCGGCATGTGTGGCGGTGCCAGCTCCGGCCCCGGCCCCGGCTCCGACGCCGGTAGGGAGTTCTATCCTATGACGCAGCACTCTGTTAGGTGTGAAGCCCTGGTCGAGCTGGTCGAGCTGGGCGATCGGCTTGGTCTTGGCTTCGGCAAGGGACGTGGTCCAGAAGTCAACAGCCTGAGCGCGGTTCTGGTCGAGCAGGGCTTTCACAAACGACTTGAACTGGGGCGGGTGGTAACCGTCGGTCCCGGGGTCTCGATCGGCTAGGTACATTTGCTCGAGATGGTTAAACATGTTGGTTAAGGACCAAGCGTCATAGACCGAGTGATGCAGGGTCAGTACAAAATGCGCCTCGTTTAACAGGGTGGCGCTGACCAGCGGCTGGCCCTCCAAGCTCGGCATTCGTCGTAATCGATGCATGTCACTGTCGAGGAATTCCTGCAGCGATGTCCCCCCGGCGTCGTGCCGAACGTGCTGGATCACAGTAGGCGGGCAGAGTACGGCTTGGAGGTAGTGTCCCTCGTGGATCAAGACGCGCGTGCGCAGGATATCGTGGGCCTGCACAACACGGTGCCACGCCCGTTCCAGACGCGGGAGATCGATATCCGCTGGAACATCAAAAACGTTATGCAGCCACCAGGCGCCCGGGCGAGCCATGGTTCTGCTCACGATGGACCGTTGCGTAGGTGTACAAGGATAGATATCAAGGACATGGGCCGGAAGCACTTGGCAAACCTCGGCCGCTTTGGCAATGAGGTTTTGTGTTTGCCCTTGCAAAGGCGTGGGTAGGAGAGAGAAAGGCGCGACGCCATCGGCTTTGAGTGGGTCGATGCCGTTGATTGTCTCGGCTGGGGCTCGGCCGGCCAGCACGCTGGCCAGATTTAGCAGCCGGGGGTGGTCGTATATGTCCTGGACAGACAGCCAGACGCCAACAGCTCGAGCTAGCGACGACATCCTCATGGCGGCTATGGAATCGCCGCCCTTCTCGAAGAAGTCGGCCTCAACGCCGAAGTCGCAGGGATCCAGGGCCAGCGCCGAGCTCCAGATAGCGTGCAGCCTCTTCTCCATCGGGCCCGTGGGCGGCTGTATCTCGTCTCGCTGTGGGAAGGTGAAGTGGGCGAGCTGGGCAAAGCCGTGCCGGATGGGACCAGCGAGGAGGTCGTGGAGGAGCTTTCTATTCGTCTTGGCCGACTGGCTGAGCGGCATAGCCGTCAAGGGGATGAAGAAGCTGGGAATCATAAAGGTGGCCAGCCGCGAGGCCAGCTTGGTGCGCAGGCCGGCAGCGCGTACGGCAAAACGCTCGAGGGTCTCCCTATCTTGGACGATAGCGGGTTGTTGGCGGTCCTGTGGCAGGTTGGGCGGAGTGCAGCTTATGAAGGCTACAAGGCGTGCGTCTTCAGCGTGCCGCTCTGGGCTGCGCACCAGCTCGACGGCAACCTCGGCGGAATCCTGCAGCACGGCGCGTATGGCGTTCTCGACCTCGTTCGCATCCACCTTGAGCCCGTGCAGTTTAACCTGCGCGTCCCGGCGCCCTAGGAATTGCACGCGCCCGTCTGGCATCCACCGGGCCAGGTCGCCCAAGCAGAAGATGCGGTTGGTGCGCCTGTTCGCTGGCAGCCAGGAGAGCTGCTCGCCCTTCAGGAAGACAGCGCGCGTCTTGGACGGGTTGTTGTAATAGCCAGCCGCTACGTTGGGTCCTTCCACCAAAAGCTCGCCGATAGCGCCGATGGGCATAAGCCTATTATGGTTCTCCCGATCGACGATCCATGTGGCGCACCCCAAGGACCAGCCGATGTCCGAGCCGTCGTCGGTTTCTTGGAAGCGCGGGTGTGCATGACTCCAGATGGATGTCTCGGCCGGACCGAAGCTGTTGATGAGATGCACCTTTGTTGCCCACATCTCCACGTTGGCTACGGTGGCAGTCTCCCCACCAAAGAGCAGCGTGCGGAGGGTCGGTACGTGATCCGGGCGGAGCAGCGACGCAACGCTAGGGGTAAGGAAAGCCCAGTCGACCCGCATCCGCTCCATGGCGCCTGCAAGGTCGTTCATGCGTTCGTCATCCGACGGAATACACACAGTAGCGCCACGGCTGAGCGAAGTGAAGATTTCCCCCATACTGACGTCCGAAGTGTAGGCCGTGAACTGTAGGTTTCTTGATCCCTTGCGGTAACACAAGGTCTCGCCATGGCCACGGATGCTGCTGCAGAAGGCGGCATGGTCGATGACGATGGCCTTGGGCTTGCCCGTGCTGCCGCTGGTAAACAACAGAAAAGCGGCATGGTCGGGGGTGATAGTGTCAGATGCTCCATTTTCCCCTGGAAGCAGGCCCTCCCCACCGAGGCACGTAGCCGGCCCAACCGAGAACGTCGGCATGCCCACCTTGGAAGCCAGCTCCTGAAGAGACTCGCTGCACAGCACAAACCCGGCGTCGATATCGGCCGCCAGCTCTCGCAGCTTCTCGGGGCTGTGCCCCGGATCCATGGCCGCGCAGGATGCTCCGACCTTGAGGACGGCCAACATGGCGACCACGGTCCACATACTCTTCTCGAATACCAGCGGCACGTGTCCACCAGACCGGAGTGCGCAGTGCGTCCACAAATAGGCAGCCAGCCGGTCTGACAGCTCGTTGAGCTCCCGGTACTTGAGGGTCCCTTCCCACGAGACAAGGGCCTCGGCGTCGGGCTGCTCGGCGGCCTGCGCTGCGACAAGTTCATGAATCAGTTCCCGGGCCGGTGCGGGAACGACAGAGTTCCAACCCATCATCTCGTCAGCGTCCTCGGGAGGAATCAGCTCCAGGTCGGCGACGCGCAGATCCACCGATTGTTCCGAGGCACCGACTTCGCACAACTGCGACGTGATATGAGACATCTGACGCAAGAACCGCTCTGCTGCGCGTGCCGTTATGATGCGGTCGTCGTGCGTAGCTACCAAGTGCATCTTGTCGCCCGAGACGGTCGCTTCAAGCACCATAGCGCTGCTGAGGAAGCCATTGGCTAGCCCGGAGGAGGTTGACCTAGGGTGCAGGACCAACTGGGGTGCCACGCTACCTCGGTTCGTAACAACGTCCTCGCCGTCGGCTTGCACTACCAGTAGTGCTTGGGCATCGATCGTGGCTAGGGCCTCAAGGTTAAGCCTGCGGATGTTTTGCATCCCTTCCTGCTCGTGGGCCAGCATGGCGGCAGCGTCAGCCTGAACCGAAGCCATGACCTCGCGCAGCAGCAGCTCCCGTTGCACGCGGACGCGGACGGGCAATGTGGCGAGGGTTGGTCCGGCCACCGTAGCGGCCGAGCCCTCGTTGAGGACGACGGCACGGCCGTATACCGTGGACGCGAAGGTGATGTCGTCGGCATCCGAGTAGGCGCCGAGCAGGATGGCAAACGCTGCGCGCACCAACGCCGTCGAGGTGAAGCCGCTCGTCTGTCCCCGGCCGCCGGTAGGCAGAAGGGCCGTCCTCTCGCATACCGACGACGAACGTGGCCGGAAGGCTGGCCCCGGGAGCGCCGGCCACCCCAAGTGCGGGGCGTCGCCGATGTAGCTCTGCCAGAAAGTCCGGCTGCTCTCGGCGTCGCGGGCCTCCACGTGGGCGACGAATGCACGATATGGTGTCGCCCCCTCGGCCGGGCTCAGGCCCGCATATGCGTGCCGGACCGAGCTCAGCAGCAGACCCAGCATCCACCCGTCGTAGATGGCATGGTGGACTGTCATGACAAAATAGGCTGGCTGTCCGCTCTCGGACCCGGCCCCGGCCCCGGCCCCGGCCTCGTTGTGCAAGACAGCCAGGCGGACCATGCGGTCACCCACCTGCATCCGGTCTCGACTGTCCAACGCTAGATAGTCTGCGAGGCTGCCCGACCGCCGCCAGCTCACCCAGCGCTCCCTGATCACGGCCTGCATTAACCGCGAGGTCCCGTCGGTTCGGCGCCACGCGAAGAAGCGTGTGCGCAGGATGGGCCAATGTTCAAACACGGAGCGCCAGGCGGATTCGAAGCGCTCAAGGTCAAGGCCCGACGGCAGCTCATACACCATCTGCGCGACGTAGCTGTGGTGCGTGCCCTGGGATAGGGCTAGAAGACCCTCCTGGAGTGGAATGCAAGGGTATATATCTTGGACGTCGGTCTCGTCCACGCCCAGCTGCGCAGACGCCGACTGTAAGGCGCTCGCTATGGCCGGCGGCCCACCAACCAAGGCAAACGGGGCTGCGGCCGCCTCGACACCCCCCTTCTTCTCCTTGTCCTTGTCATGCCTTTGCTGCTCGTCTTCTTTGGATTGGGTGGTATTGTCTATCAGCGGAGAGGCTGCCAGTGCCATATCCCGTAGCCTGGGCAGCCTTAAGACCTGCTCGACCGACAAGCGGATGCCGTCCTTCATGGCCAGGGACACGAGCCGCATGGCCGCCAGGGAGTCGCCGCCGATCTTGAAGAAGTTGTCGCGCACGTCCACAGGCATCTCGAAGCTGCGGTTGAGCGCGGCGGCCCACAGCCGGGCGAGGAGGCGTTCCATCACCGTGCTCGGTCCTTGTCGGACCTGCTGGTCGCCCGCAGCCACAGCACCCAGCTGGGTGAGCTCTTCGGCCGACAGCGTGCTCGCGAGGCGCTTGAGCGCCCCCCGGTCCGTCTTCGCCGACGCGGTTAGTGGCATCTCGCGCAGCGGTATGTACGCCGCCGGCACCATGTGGCTGGGCAAGGCTGCGGGCAAGGCGACCTCGAGGCCCTTCAACGCGGCGGCCATGCGCGGGATGCTCGATCGGACAAGGAGGTCTGTAAGCTCGGTCCCCTCCTTCGGGACTGCGGCGCTGTTGCCCTTGTCGTTGCCTCGGTCCTCCTCGGCCGCGGGCGCTTCCTTGAGCGCAAAAAAGGCCGCCAGCACGCGCAGCGAATCTGTGCCTGCTCCGCGGAGAGATACCACTTCAACAGCCACAAGTATGCCGTCGTCGTGAATGAGCCCTCGTATCTGGTGCTCGATCTCGCCTAGCTCCACGCGCAGTCCGTTGAGCTTGACTTGGTGGTCACACCGGCCGAGGTACTGCACCATGCCATTGGGGAGATGGCGGGCCAGGTCTCCCGTCTTGTACAATCGCATGGGCCCTCCCTGGCGGTCAGCAGGCTTCCAAGCCGGGTCCCACACGAAAGTGCTGGCCGTCTTGCCGGGCTCGTTGAAGTAACCATCCGCAACGTTTGGTCCCTCGATTAACATTTCACCAACGGCCCCGATCGGCCGTAGGCGGTGGTAGTTGACAGGGTCGACAATCCATGTCACGCAGCCCACGCCATAGCCGATGGTGCTGCCCACATCACTACCGGCCGCGATGGGCCGCGGGACACAATGCGTCCAGATGGAGCACTCTGCCGGCCCGAAGCTGTTGATGAGGTACAGCGCCGGCGCCCAGGTCTGGAAGTTCTCGGGCGAGGCCGTCTCGCCTCCGAATACCAGCGTGCGCAGCGACGGGACCTCGGTAGGCTTTAGCAGGGCTGCCACGCTGGGTGTGAAGAAGGCCCAGTTTACGTCTAGGTCCCGCATCGAGCCCGCTAGGTTGTTCTTGCGGTCCCAGTCTGAGGGTACGCACACGCACGAGCCGACGGCTAGCGAGGTGAAGATCTCGCCGATGCTCACGTCGGACGTGTAGGCCGTGAACTGAAAGTTGCGCGAGCCCGGACCCGTCGAGAAACGTAGCAGCTGGGCGTGGCCCCGGATGCTGCTGGCGAAGGCCCGGTGCGGGATGAGGATGCCTTTGGGCCGACCGGTCGAGCCAGACGTGAACAGAACAAAAGCCGTGTTGGCCGGTGCGGCCTTAGTGGCCACGGCGGCGGGATCCTCGTACGGCGGCCGCGTTGCGAAATGTTGTAACATGTCTGCGTCGACCACCGCGACGTGCCCACCGACCTGCAGACCCATGGCCAAGTCGCGGTTCTGGGTGCTCGCCAGGACGACGGCGCACGCGTCACCAAAGGCGCTGATCAGGCTGCGCAGTCGCTCGGCCGGGTGACTAGGATCCAGGGCGACGCTGGCGCCGCCGGCCTTGAGGATGCCGAGCATGACGACGATGGCGAGCCCGCACTTCTCCCACAACAGAGGCACGAACTTGCCCGGCCCCACGCCCTGGGCGCGAAGCCACCGAGCCATGCGCTCGGCGTCGCGGTCCAGCTCCGCGTACGTCCACTCGCCGTCCCGCGCGCAAATGGCTGGCGCGTCAGGCTGTGCCGCGGCTTGCCCCTCGAACAACTCGTGCACCAGCCGTTCCAGCGGCGCCGGGACGTTGCTGTTCCACGATAGCAGCTCCTCCCGGTGGGCGTCCGCGACGTGGTCGATGTCCCTTAGCCGACGGTCCAGCCCTGGGCTCGTGTGAGCGCTGCTGATTTGGCTCAGGACGTGCTGGTAGTGTTCCGCAAGCCGCCGCACTTGGGCCGGGTCCAAGACGACGGGGTCAAAGCTCATGCGCACCCTGAGCGTGGTTGCCTCCGTGTCTCCGGGCACGGGCGTCATCTCGATCACGAGGCTAAAGTTGCGCAGGACATGGGGGTCGCCTATTAGTTGAAATGCTCCCTGGGTCTCGCGAGGGGCGGCGGGGGAAGCGGGGGCAGGATGTATAATTAGAGCGGTTTGAAAGTTCCCGGTTGTACAGGCCAGGCTACTAGTAACCCTCGTCCTGGCGAAGCCGAACTGTGCGTGAGCAGTTACCTGGCGCGCCTGCTCCTGTACGTCCTCAAGGAACTCTGCCACAACCATATCCGGGTTATTCATGACGATGCGCTGCGGTACGATGGGTGTGAGGGTTGGGCCAAAGACGGGATCGGGGCCGGCATGACGACCGTGGGGCACGCCGACGCCAAATACTACGTCGTTGGAGTCACAATACTGCCCGAGCGTGAGTGCCCACCCGGCCTGGAGCACCGCTGGAGTTAAAGATCCCAGGTCAATACGCAACAAGTGCTCCTTGCGCATGCTGGCGGTCGTAAGCGGCGAGTGCCCAGGGCGGATTTGGGGAAAGGCCGTGTAGGCGGAGCCGGCGAGCTTGTTAGACCAAAAGGTCTTGGACACCTCCTCGTTCTCGTGCTCCTTCTTCTTCTCCTGTTCCTCTTCCTTATGAGTCTGCAGCACGGCACAGATGGACGAGCCGTATGAGGCGAGGTCGGGCACCGGGTTGCCGGCCACGGCCATGTCGAGCACTTGCAACATCTTTTCTACCTGGGTATCCGTAGCACCGAAAACAGCACTGTGAGCCGTGAGGACAACAAAGGATGCCTTGCCGTGAGGCATCTCGGTGCGAATGAGGCCGAAGCGTGCGAGCGGCCGGCCTAAAGCAAAGCCAACCTGGCGATCCATAGTCAAGTATGCCTCCAGATCGAGCCCCTGTTCCCACTCTGCGGGTTCGTTCACGACGGCCTGCAACAGTTGCAGCTGGGTATGCTCCCCCGGCGCGACTACAGCTGCGAAGAACCGCAACCGCAGGGCAGGTGCATGCTGATAAAGGGTGTTCCATACAGCCATGACCGAGTCGGGAGCAATGGAGTCGGGGACGGCGAAAACAAGTCGAGATGCGTTGACCGCCGGTTGTTGGAGGGACACGGCAAACGCCTCGACCTGCATCGCCGTACACGGGTAAATATCCCCGACTGCCTCCTCGGCCGCACCACATGAGACCGCGGCGTGCTTTCGAGCCCGGCCTGCGGCCACCGCAGCAGCGCTCCCCAACTCTCCCTCCACATCGTCCAACGTCATGGCCGGCCTCGATAGGAAGAGGTGAAATACCTTCTCGAGCTGCGCCGCTATCTGAACGACCTGGCTACGGCGCAGGGCTCGGCGGTCATAGGAAATACGCAGAGCTGCTGCGTCCCCCTGACGCGTGCCCAACTCCAGCACAACTGCGTAGCTGAGCGGCTCAACTTGCTCCTCGGCCGCTGGCACTATCATAAGCATCCAGGGGGCTTCGGCAATGAGACCGCCGTCGAGTGCGTCGGTCGCTTGTACGTTGACAAGAGTGCGGAAGCTGCATGCCCGGCGCGCATCGGCGCCTAGCTCCTGAATGAGCGGCAGGCCCGCCTGCTCCCAAGCGCTCGCCTCGACAGCCAGCATGCTGACGCGGTGCAGGAAGTCGGCGACGGTCGCAGCGCTAGAAGAAGCATCATCCCCGGTTCCGATTCGGACCCGCATGGGGGTTGTAGCCATGGTTGGCGCAACCATCTCGGCGCATCCCGGCACGGGCGCGTATCGTCCGCTGCTTGTGACCCCAAATACGACGTCGTCTGAGTCCTCGTAGCACCCCAGTAAATAGGCCCAGGCGGCCTTGAAGACGTTGGCAAGGGTAAAGCTGGCCCCCTCGGCACCGGCGCACGAGAAGGGACGCGTATACAGGGCGTCAGTGCGGTAGGTGGACGTGACGCCCACCCGCCGCTTCAGCTGACCCCTTATCTCCTCCTTCTCCTCCGTCTCGCCCCCCTCCTCCTCTTCCTCCGTCCCCAAGAGCCCCCAGCCGGCGACACGGAGTTCCTTGGTGCCGTATGGGAAGCGGGGTGCCGGGGAGGCCCGCAGGTAGTCGGACCAGAAGTGCCGCCACTCATGGCCGCGGCGGAGTTCCAGGCCGTGCGCGACAAAAGGCGCGAAGCTGGGGGGGTCGGGGAGCATCTCGGCGCCCGAGGCGATATCGGCGATATGCTGGGCGATTAGCGCGAGGGACGCCATATCGTAAACGGCGTGGTGCGAGTGCCAGAGGACCGCGAGCTGGTCCGCCTCGCCCTCGTCGACAACCACTTCAATCTTGACGAGCGGCTTTCCCAGGGCTGGGACCGGGCGTCGCGCATCGGGGTCTACCTCATGCACTGAGGCGACGCGGATCACCTCGATGGGTGGCAGCCGGGATAGGACAACCTGCAAGAAGCCGTGTTCGGCCGAGGTAGTCATGGCGGTCCGGAGGATAGGCAGTTTCTGGACAGCGCGGCTGAGAACGCGGCATAACCATTCCGGCTGGGGGTTCGGCGGGGCTCTCAGTCTGAAAAGCCACGAAGAGACGTAAACACCTGGCTGACGGAGAGAGTGCGCCATAAGCCCGGCCTGCAGCGGCGTGGCCGGATACACGTCCTCGACGGCATGGGAATCGGAGACGACGCCGCACTGCTCTTTCGCAAGCACGACATCCTCTTCGCTTACCAATGAGAAAGGCTCCGGTATAAGAGCGGCCGCCATAGTATCGTGAGCTTGAGCAGGGAACGGGGAGGCCATGGCGACCATACCGGCCATTGCCGCGAAGACCGGGGCCAGGAAGACGGTCTGGCGCGCGAGACACAAGCCGCACTGCCCGGCCAACATGGCTAGCTCGGCCGCCGCGATCGAGTTACCCCCAAGCTCAAAAAAGTGAGAGCTGGCCGTGATGTCGTCGGCGTCGATGTCCAGTACGTCGGCCCAGGCCTGGCGCAACATGTTTTCTAGCTCGTCCCTGGGCATTTCGCTTTGCAGCGCCTGGTCGCCAGCCCCGAATGAGTGTGTAATTCCTTCTTGGGCGAAGCCTCGAGGCTGACCCGGTACAGATCCTACCGAGGAGGTCAGCATGGCTGTCTGTCTGCGATATAAATCAAGGTTAAGGTGAGTTGATAAGTTGGCTCGAAGGTTGAGGTGAGTTGATAAGTTCTCTCGGCTTAGGCCAGTCGTTTATGCTCTCTCTCTGCCTCTCTCTCTCTCTCGCGCGCGGAGGCCTATCGAGGCAAGTCTTTGTTGTGCTGCACAGGTGAAGAAGGGCTCGTAGAAATGTTGAAGCGGTGGGGTCGTGGGCGTCGAGTCGCACTGTTTACTTCAGGTACGTTGGCGGGCTTGTTTTGGGTGTCCCCGGCATGAAGATACACCTTCATACATACACACCCATATGCGCGACTACTACATGAAAGCATGTCCCATATCAAGCTGAGATGCAAGAGTGGCGCCACGCCCCATCCATGTCCCCGGTGGACGCACCTCAAGCGACGACTCGAAATCAGAGAGGGGATGAGCCACTTAGCTCGACGGAGACACAAAAGGAGATGCAAAGCATAGCTGCAGAACTACCGGCCAATGTCGTCCAATTTGCACAGAACATCATGGCATACACTGCCCGGCGTGGTGAAGTAGATGCGAAGGCATGGCCATGGCAACTTTTATGTCAAAGGTACCTTACCTATTCTAAATGATGCCAAGTTTGCCAATGCTTAAAGGGGCGACTTCGGCTGTCCGAATAATGATGAGTGGACACACCCGTTCTGATTCGGGGTTTGATAGCAAGGGCGACTCTCTCTCTCTCTCTCTTTTTCTCAGCCATGGCCGCCGGGTGGTGACACCCAAGTGGTATTTCCCCCCAACCCAGCGCCTTGTATAGGTAGGTAGGTAGTACAGACTGCCCCACCCACACCTACGTACGGGAGGGAAATAGGGGGTAAGGGGGGGTAGGGGGGTGAATGCAGTTGTCCCCCCGGCCACATCCCTTGCCCTGAGCGGCGGAGTTCGAGCAAATGAGGAAGTAAGTAGCATGTACATACCGTGTGCAGTGTACAAGGTGCTTGTTACCGATTATGGGAAATGCTTCTCCCGTACGACTACTTTAATGGTTGCGGCTACCTTACCTGGGTTTTTGCGGTCATGGATATCATAAAACCGAGGCCGCGGCGTTGACCGCGATGGAATCGAAAACACACGCCCCCAAAGTCATACAAGGAATACAAGGAAGGGTACTAACTAACATGGGCACATCAACAGCCGAGGTTGGCGGCAACAAGGCATCAAGCCTCCATATCGGAGGCGAAACACCGGTTCTGGCCGTCTGGGGCGGCATTGGATTCAGCCGGCGTCCGCTAAAGGATTTGCGTGATCTCTATCACCTCTACGAGGACGAGCTCTCGGAATTTGTCCAGCACTGCAGCGGCGTCCTACGATCCCTTACCTTGCAAGACCCGATCGTTGACGGGCACATCGAAAACAAGAGCAAGAGCAGGGCTGCCGAGTGTTTACAAATTCAGCAAGACCTCGCGGGTTGGCTAGCAGACCCGTCGGTCCGTCGGCCGCCCGTGCTTCCGCAGGTGGTGACGGCGGTTGTCACCACCATACTACAAATGTCCCGCTATGTCGTGATGGCGAAACGGCTCGGCGTGACCCCGGGCGAGCTGGCGTCTCGCTTCACGGCCTTTGCCGGCCACTCGATCGGGATGATCGTTGCCGTCAGCATGGCAGCCGCCGACTCATGGTCCTCCCTCTACCACCTAGCCGAGGTAGCCCTGACCGACATGTACCGCGCCGACCACCTGCTCAGCTCGGTCTGGGACCAGAGCGTGCCCGTTCCTCCCTCCGCCGCAGCGGAGTGTGTCCGGCGCGGGGAGGGCGTCCCGACGCCCATGCTGTCTATCACAGGTACGGCACGGAGCAGGGTCATGTCCGAGATGGTTCAGGTCAACCTTGACATGGCTCCCGAGCGGAAGCTACACCTGGCCGTTATCAACGATGTCGATGCCTTCGTGGTGGCGGGCGGTCCCGAAGGTCTGGTCCGGTTTTGCGCCCGGCTGCGGACACCGACCCCGCTGTACGAGCAGACCGCTTCCTCCTCGTCCTCCGCCTTCTCCTTCTCGCCCTCTTCCCCGCTTAGCCAACCCCGGCAGGCGGATCCTGGTATGGGCTCGCTCCAGTTCTTGCCCTGCTGCGTTCCCTTCCACTCCCCGCACATGCAGAGGGCGACGTCCTTGCTCGCCGAGCGCTCGGCCGAGCATACCGCTTTGACGAGGGAGCAGATTCGGGTGCCCGTGTGGGGACTGGACGCACTCTTAACCGAGGCCCCGAACCTGGCGGGGGACTTGGGCGCCCGCATCAGCCAGCTAATCCTATCCCGGGAGGTGAACTGGCCTGCCATCCTGGAGCCCATGACGGGCCGCTGGCAGGTTTTGGACTTTGGCCCTGGCGGTCTCAGCGGTATCGGTATGGTCGTTGATAGGATGAAGGCAGGCTCCCGGTCCCAGACATATGTCGTGTGCCCAGCGGGTATCTGGGGCTTCCGGGGAAGTAAGCCGGGCGCCAAGGGAGCGGATCCGGCTGCTTCTTCCCCATCTCCTCCCCAGCTGCTCACTCTGCTACCCATGGCGAGCGCTAGGGGGAGCCCCCGGAGCTACGCCAGCGTCGAGTTTGAGCCGCCCCGCGCGTCAGCCCCTGAGACCCCGAGGCCCGCAGCCGCGTCGAGGTTCACCGAGTCTCTGGGGCTTCCCCGCGTATTGGTGGCCGGCATGACGCCTACCACATGCGACGTCGACCTGGTCGCGGCCGCCATGAATGCCGGCTTCTACGCCGAGTTCGCGACGGGCGGCTACCACGACGCCCCGTCCCTAGTGGCCGCCTTGAGACGGCTCGCCACTATGATCCCTGAGGGGCGCATGATCACGGTCAACGTCGTGTACGCGAACCCGCAGAGCCTCGTCTGGGTGGTACCGCAACTGGCGGCGCTCGTGCGGGAGGGATGTCCCATCGGCGGCCTCGTCATCGGCGCCGGTGTGCCGGGTCCGCCGGTCGTGGCCGGGTACGTTGAGGCGCTGCAGCCATGCTACATCGGCTTCAAGCCCGCGACGGCCGAGGCCATTCAGCGTGTGCTGGACATTGCAAGGGAGCACCCGACGCTGCCCGTGCTGTTGCAGTGGACCGGCGGCCGGGCCGGCGGACACCATTCGCTCGAAGACTTCCACCAGCCCATACTCGAAACGTACAGAGCCATCCGCGAGGTCGGGAATGTCGTCTTGGTTGCGGGTAGCGGGTTCGGCGACGCCGGGGGCGCGTGGCCCTATATCTCGGGCCGGTGGTCCCAGGGGTTTGGCCGCCCTCCCATGCCTTTCGATGCCGTCCTGATCGGTACCTGCATCATGACGACGCTCGAGGCCAAGACGAGCATTAATGCAAAGAGAGCCATGATCGAATGTCGCGGCGTTCCGGACACCGAGTGGACGGCCACCATGTCAAAGCCCGGAGGCGTGGGGGGTGTTATCTCGGTCGTGTCGCACCTCGGCGAGGCCATGCACGTCGTGGCCACGCGCGGAATGCTCCTGTGGGCGGAGCTCGACCGGACCCTGTTTAGCAAACCCAAGGCCGCCATGGCTGAGGCGATCCGCGTGCGGCGCGCTGACCTGATCGCCCGGCTCAACGCCGACTACCAGAAAGTCTGGTTCCCCTGGGACTATGCCGCGAGCATGGCGGCCGACGACCTCGGGGACATGACTTATCGAGACGTCCTGCGCCGCATGCTCGAGCTGATGACCAAGCCCGCAATCAGGGGCGAGTGGGCTCACCCGTCTTACCGTGGAATCTTCGGCGACTTTTTGGTGCGCACCCTCGAGCGCTTTGGAGGCAGTGCCTCACGCGCCACGGCTCTGGCGGCGGACTTAGCAACCCTCGAGTGCCCGCTAGAACAGCTCGGTGCCGTGACGGCCCGGGTACCCCAGTGTGGACACCACTTCCTAGGGGTGGAGGACGCCGCCTACTTCGTCGACATCTGTAGTCGACCAGGGCAGAAGCCGGTCCCATTTGTGCCGGTTTTGGACGCTGACTTCCTTGTATGGTTCAAGAAAGACCCCCTCTGGCAGTCCGAGAATCTTGAGTCGACGCACCACGGCGACGTTGGCCGCGTGTGCATCCTGGCTGGTCCGGTAGCCATCCGGCACTGCCGAGAAGCCGACGTCGCGGTAGGCGTTTTCCTTCGCGGCATCGATCAGGGTATCAGGGACCGCGAGGCGCGGGCTGGGGTGGCACCGCCTGCCTTTCATCTCACCACCACGTCGCTCCGCCAGGAGGACGAGCTCATCCAGGCGGTGGGGTGCCCATCCCGCCTAGTCCTCGGCCTAGACACCGTGGAAGTCGCCAAGGATACACCCCCGGAAGCCCCCAGTCTGGACAATGACAGCTGGCTTCTTTTGCTTGGGTCGCGCCTAGGTCGGTGGGGCCTCTATGCCCTGGGTACGAGGAGGTTAGTGTCAGGTGGACGGGCGTACGAGAATCCCATCCGCCGCCTGTTCTCTGTCCGCCCAGGCGCTCTGGTGCGGTTCTTCGGCAAGGACGCCGATCATGGCCATTATACCGGGGCCGAGATGTGTAGCGACATCGACACCGTCCGGCTGTGGATAGACGGTGACACAATCACGGCGGCCATCGCGAGCCGCTGCACCGTGGACAAGGCACAGGAAGAATGTCCGCTCCGGTTTGCCTACAACGAGCTCCGCCCCTACGCGCCCCTCTGCGAGATGATGCACGACCGGTTGGACCGGATCAGCCACTTTTACTGGAGGACGCTTCTCGGCGGGGGTCTAAAGCGGCCGGAAGAGCGCAACCCCATCGCCCTAAGGCACGCCCCCCCTGACCGTGACACGCGAGCATGTTTTGGCATGGCACCGAGCCACGGACGGCCAGGGTCTGGACGCCGGCTCTCCCAACCACCTAGGCGCCGCAGGCGAGGTGCCCATCGAGTTCGCGACCGTCTTAGTCAACGAGGCAACGTGGCGCCACCTCCTCTCCTGGGACATGGATGCCTCCAGGCTCCTCCACCAGCACACGGCGGTCACGCTTCGCGAGGGCCAGAAGGCGCTGTCCGTCGGAGACACCGTCACGGTCGAGTCGCGGGTGACCTCCGCTAGCAATGGCGAGTCGGGCGTCATGGCTTGCTTCTCCATGACGCTGGCGCGTGACGGCCGAGAATTCGTCGACCTGGTCTTGCACTTCGTGTTCCTCGGGCAGCAGTTGGCTGACTCGCTGTGCTTCGAGGATGAGAAGAAGAAGAACAAGAAGAAGAAGAAGGAGGAGGAGGAGGAGGAGGGAAGGGAATTCATCGATACCCAGGCTGACCCGCTCGCCAGCTTCCTAGAACAAGCCGCAACAACGGACGTAGGGGAACGACTGCCGCTGCCGTCGGAACGGACGCTCGAGACGGTTAGCGTGACCACGCCCGATAACAGCGTCGAGTACGCCGTCGTTAGCGGCGACTTCAATCCCATCCATACCCTGCCTGCCTTTGCACGTTTGGCTGGGTTCTCTGGTCCCATTCTCCACGGTAACCAGACGGCCGCGCTCGTGCTGCAAGCCATCCGATGTGCGGTTCCCGGGGCCAACGCCGCCACGCTGCGCCGTTACCATTGTAGCTTCCTTTCTGTGGTCTGGCCCAACGACACCCTGACCGTCACAATCAAGCGGGTGGCCACGAACAGGGGCAGCCGCCCCGTGCTCGGCTTTGCGGCCCGCCGCACAGGCGAGACCGAGGAACTGGTCCTGGAGGGCGAGGCCGTCCTCGAGGCACCCCCTACGACCTTCCTCTTTACCGGCCAGGGTAGCCAATTCCAGGGGATGGGTCTTGATCTCGCCGCTCAGAGCCTTGCGAGCCGCAAGGTGTGGGCCGAAGCGGATGCCTACTTTGAACAGGACTGGGGTGCGCATTGTTCTCCTTTTTCTTTTTCTTATTTATTCCTTTTGTTTCCTGTTCCGCCCTACGGCCCCTCGTCACTCCTCTGTTGGGTTTGCCTAACGAATGAAAAACAGGATTTTCCATCACCGATATCATCAAGCAGAATCCGGTCAAGCTAACCGTTCACTTCTCCGGTGTGCGCGGTCAACATGTCAGGCAGAACTACATGGACGCCCAGGCCATGGCACGTTCCTGCGCACTCGACTGCGAGGTAAATCTTTTCAGCGGGCTGCACGCGCGCTCGCGGTCTTACACGTTCTACTGCAAGGACGGCCTCCTGGGCACGACGCAGTTCGCTCAGCCGGCCCTCGTCGTGACCGAGACGGCCGCCTTTGCGCACCTCCGACAGCTAGGCCGCGTGCCGCCCCAGTCGCGGTTCGCTGGCCACTCGCTCGGCGAGTTTGCCGCTCTCTCCGTCATGACCGCCGCGTTACCGCTCAGGGCGGCGCTCAAGACCGTCTTTACCCGCGGCGCGCTGATGCAGGCTGCCGTGCCGAGGGATACTGCGGGCCGGAGCGGGTTCGGCATGGTGGCCGTTGACCCGTCGCGTGTGGGGAATGGTAGGGGGTTCCTGTTTGCTTCCCTTTCTCTTCTTTTTCCTTCTTTCCTTCCCTTTAACTTTACTAAAAAGCTCCTGTTCGGTTATTTAATAGTCACTGACTCGGGCCTCTTTCTGCAGCTTTCCAAGAGAAGCACATCCTAGAGATGGTCCAGGCTATCACGGTTCGCACCGGGCTCCTACTCGAGATGGTCAACCTCAACGTCAAGGGCCAGCAGTACGTGTGCGCTGGCGATAAACGGTGCCTCCACCTCCTCCAGCGGGTCACCGACGAGCTGCACGCCCACCAAACCTTGTCACCTCGGCCTATCGCCGACTTGGTGGCGAAGCACGCCCCCAGCATTGCGGTCGTCTCTCCGAACGACCTCGTCCTAGTTCGCGGGGAGGCGACCATGCCACTCAAGGGCATCGATGTACCTTTCCACTCCACCCAACTAGCCTGCATGGGAGGGGCCTTCAGGCACACACTCGTGAATAGCATCAGCCGAGCCAGTGTCAGACCCGAGGACCTTATTGGGAGGTGGATCCCCAACGTAACGGGAAAGCCGTTTGCTACGGACCGGAAATACGTACAGCTCGTAGCGGAACTTACGGGCTCTCCTCGAATTGTGGCCCTCCTTGCCGGGATGGAGTAGGTTCCCCCTCCCAGACCGAAACAAATAAATAAATAGAATTTATAGCCTTTGTACAATACCGTGCTATAGCCCTTGAATGCAGCACCTGTATTTTATTCCTCTGAAAGTATGACATTAGTTGAGCTAGAGGGTTAAACTTCCAATCTCGGGGGTCAGGGATGAGATTTGCTTCCCCGATTCCATGTTAGTTAAGCCTCAAGTCTGACACGCCCATGGCTGAAATTTGGTGCTTTCACACATGCTCTGTATTCCATCAGCGGTTCTCGGGGAAGTAATTGTCACTTCCATGTTACTTTCTTCCAGCTGCGGCTTTGGGCGCCGCAGATTGGCCTCTCCTCCGCTCTCCATGTCCGGTCTCTCACGTCGAACCACCGTGGTGGAGGGTGGACCTACAACTGCCTCGGAGGCGGCATGGAATCGAGTTGCGTTGTCTCCCCACACACACACATTCCTACCTACTTCGGGCGCTAGGGTGGCTGGCTACCTGCAGTGGTATCCTACCGAGGGTGGTGCCACCCGCCACCCGTGTTCTAGACGCGGAGCCAAGACCTGGATACGGAAGCGGAGTGATAGGTACGAATACCTGATGCAGCTCCCGTACTGTCCGGAACGGCTGTTAGCGCGGGTACTTAGGTAACCGATGGACAAGAGCTACTTAGGTACCTAAGGGCGGCTAGGACGCCGTTCGCATGGCGCTTTCGCGATACCTCGGTACCTAGGTTACTATCAGCATGCTTTCAGCAGGATTTCTCCTTTTCCCATTAAACCCAAGGTACAACGCAGTCAGCCGCGGAACGGGATGAGCTACAATACACAGAAATACCCGTACCTTCGTTAGATAGGTAAGGTACCTAAGGCGGTAGTTTAAACACATTCGATGTTCCCCTCTGAATCATCAAAGAGCCGCCTTCCCTCCGTTTGCTGAACAACCCGTAGGCGGTCTCACCTCAACGACGACTGGATTCGGTAGTTTCTTTTGACATGGGCGACGCATTAGAAAATAGCGATAGGAACAGCGAGACGGCGTACGAGTTGCTGCTGGCACTTCTCGAGTTCGTCCCCTGAAATTCTCAATTCTCCTTTCCCGTTTATTTCCTTGCCACCTGGTTCCGTACAAAGTTGTAATAGTGATTGAACTCGGTGTCTTTTCTTGTCGAGGCTAATGAGCTTAGGTACCAGCTCTCGTCTCCCGTTCAATGGTAAGCAAGCGCATGATTCCGATCCCTTTAGCTCACGCTCAGGAAGCTGATAATACCGCCGACACTAGGATTGCAACGCAGGCTACGCTACACGAATCGCAGCCGCAAGGCCAGCGTTATATCGAGATTGGCCCCGGGGACACGCTACGGTCGATGTTGACGAAGACATTGGCGCAGTATCCGGATTACAGCCACGATCATGTATCGGCATGCCTCACCTTTGGGGAAGAGTTGGAAGAGAGTCAAGAGACCAAGGAGGCTGAGCCGGCTGAGAGCGAGTCAAATGGTTCAAAGCCTGCTCCACGTCCACCTGCTGAGCACCACCCCGTGGCTCAACCACAACCTTGTGCCGTCGCAGTCCAGCCTCAGCCGCCGCCCCGCAAGATGGCAGAAGTAGGCGATGCGCCGCCTTCCGCCACCGAGGCCCTGCTGGCCATCATCGCTTCTGGGCTCCGGGTGCCCAAGAGTAGCGTCGACATGACCCGTTCGGTGAAATTCCTGGCCAACGGCCGATCTGCGCTCCAGAACGAGATCATCGGCAACCTTGCGGCCGAGTTCGGCCAGTTGCCAGACGCGGTAGAGGACAAAGCAGTTATCGAACTCGGCATGGAGCTGCAGCGCACTTTCAGCGGCAGGCTCGGAAAGTACCTCGTTGCGTGGCTGCCCAAGAAAGTCGCGGCGAAGCTAGCCCCGTCCCTGACGGTATCCAAGATCCGTGCCTATCTCCGGGACGTCTTCGGGCTCCGGGAAGGCCGCCAAAGCTCCTTCTTTCTGACGGCCGAATTCGACGAGATACCGTCTCGCATAGCAGATGACGAGGGGTCGTGGCAGGTTGTGAACCGCTGGGCCAGCGCTTATGTCAAGGATCGCGGCATAGAGCAGGCGGCCGGCACCACAGATTTGCTAGATCGAACCGCTGGCGGCGAAACCGGTGCGCCCCAGGAAGCCGTGATGACCAGCCCCCAGCTAGGCAAGTTCGGTCGCGAGCTGGCGGACCTGGTGGCCAAACACTTCGCCTCCGGCGACGGCAGCCACGCAGTACCGCAAGTCCCGGAACCACAACAGGGAATGGACGAGCCGACAGAGCTGGATACGAGCCAGTTGGCTGAGGAGCTCGGCCATGATTTTATTCGTGGCACGCAGTGTATCTTCAAGCCTGAGATGGTGTACCGATACCAATCGAGCTGGAACTGGGCAGTCCAGGACCTCTACGTTACCATGTCCGATATCATCTCCCGCGCGCAGGAGGGAGACGAACAGGAGGATCCCCATCTGCTGCCCGACTGGGTTGACAGCGCGTGCCAGAGGCTCCGGACACGCCTCACAGACCGGATGCGTCGATGCGCCGAGTACCTGCTAGCCAAGTGGGAAGGACAGAGCCCTACATCACCGGGTAGGGACCACTGTGTCCTATTGCTACGCGGGGTGTTGCAGAAGGACAAAGTCTGTGGGGTGGCCGCCGCTGCCGCCGGAGTGCACAGTTCCGGATTTGCCACGCCAAATCGCTCCACGGTTCCGCGGACCACCATCACCGAGACCGGCGACATCATTTACGAAGAAGTCCCCGTCGCCGAGGCACACGGCGCAAGCCGGGATTCCGAAGCATCCTGGGATCGCCTCGAATCGAATGAGACCGCTTCTTCGGCGACCTCGGGGGCTTCGGGCACCACCAGGCCACGATTGTTGACGCGGAGCCCTCGGGGCGACGCATGGGAGGTGAACGTCGAGCTGACGGCGCAGTTGCACGAGGCAGAGAGGCGTCTCTCGATCGAGCCGGAATTGGGAAGGTACGGCACCACCCTCATCATTGGCGCCGGACAGCAGTCCATCGGCTTCCGGCTCGCCGGCCGGCTCCTCGAAGCGGGATGCCGCGTTGCTCTCTGTACTACCCGACTGACGCTGGCTAGCCGCAAGGCCGCCGCGCAGCTCTTTGCCGAGGCGGCGCGGCCGGGCGCCGAGCTGGTGCTGCTGCCCTTCAACCAGGGCAGCGTACGGGATGTCCATGCCATGGTGGAATACGTCAACAACACGCTAGGTTGGGAAATTGACCACTTGGTCCCCTTCGCAGCCGTTGCCGAGCCGGGCAGGACCATCCAGGATCTCGACTCTCTCTCTGAGCTCGCGCACCGCGTCATGCTAACCAATACGCTACGGCTGATGGGCAGCATTGCCACGTCCAAGCAGCGACGGCACGTTCTGAACCACTCCACACAAGTGCTAGTGCCCTTGTCGCCCAACCACGGCCAGTTCAGCAAGGACGGGCTGTACGCCGAGTCAAAGCTCGGGCTCGAGGCGCTGGCGAACAAGTGGGCGACAGAGCCGTGGTCGGATCAGCTCTCCATTTCCGCCGTCCGCATAGGCTGGACGCGCGGCACGGCCATCATGGCCGGCAACGACGTTTTCGCCGAGGAGATGGAGAAGCTCGGTGTCCGCACCTTCTCGGCCCCTGAGATGGCTACGCTACTGACGCTCGTCATGTCGCCGGACCTGGCCGAGGCTTGCACCCGGCAGCCCATCCTCTACGACCTGAGCGGCGGTCTCCAGTCCGTAGCGAACATAGCCGACATCCGCAGATCGATCCAAAATACCGTCTCGGTGAGGAGGCAGCTCCGAGGGGGTGAGTCCGAGACGGGCAACACTATCGGGAAGCTCGGCCCAGCGGCGGCGTCAATGGAGAGGCGCGCAGGGTTTCATAACTCGTTCCCAGTCCTCCCCGAGCGGAAGGAAGACGCGTTTGATGGCGGCAAGCCCCAGGCGTTAGTCCTAGACCTAGACTCGACGGTCGTCATTGTTGGGTTCGCCGAGCTTGGCTCAGCCGGCAGCTCGCGGACTCGGTGGGAGCTGGAAGCGTACGGGGAATTCTCCCTCGAGGGCTGCATCGAGCTCGCGTGGATGACGGGCTTGATCAGCTACGCGCGTCACCGCGTCCACGAGGGAAGAGACCTAGGCCCTGGCTGGATCGTATGCGAGACCGGCGAGCCCATTCGGGAGATGGACGTCAAGTCCAAGTTCGAGGACCGCATCCACGAGCACACAGGCATTCGCATCCTAGACCCGGGGGAAGGCAACAACCCGGACCCGCGCCTGCGCAACATGCTGCACGAGGTCAACGCCCAGGAGGACCTGGCTCCGTTCGAGTGCCCGCTCGAGGCGGCCGAGGCACTCAAGGCGCGCCACGGCGACGCCGTCGAGGTCCTAGGCGGCAACGGCGTCACGGCAACGGCGCGCATCCGGCACGGCGCATCCTTTTTCGTGCCCAAGGCCATGAACACGGCCTTCTTCGTAGGCGCCCAGGTGCCCACCGGCTGGGACCCCGCGCGCTACGGCATCCCGCCCGAGGTGCTGTCGCAAGCCGACCGCCCGTCGTTGTACGCGCTCGTCTGTGCCGTCGAGGCCTTCCTCAGCGCCGGCATCACCGACGTGTACGAGCTGTACCGGTACGTGCACGCCTCCGAGGTTGGCAACTGCCTTGGATCGGGCGCGGGGGGCGGCACAGCCATCCAAACCTTCACCCAGCAGCGGCTGCTGGGTAAGGATGTCCGCAGCGACATCCTGTCCGAGGCCTTCGTTGGCACGGCAGCGGCCTGGGTCAACATGCTGCTCCTCTCGGCATCGGGCCCGATCAAGACGGGCGCCGGCGCGTGCGCGACGTCGCTCGAGTCGCTTGATACCGCATGCGACCTCATCGCGAGCGGCCGAGCCAAGGTGTGCCTGGCAGGCGGCCACGACGTGTTTACGCACCCGATGTTCTACGAGTTTGGCGAGATGATGGCCATCGGCAACGCGGCCAGCGAAGCCCGTAGCGGGCGCCAACCGAGCGAGATGTCGCGGCCCTTTACGTCGACGCGAGGTGGCTTCGCGCTAGGGGAAGGCATCGGCATGCAGGTTGTCTGCAGCGCCGCGCTGGCCCTAGAGATGGGCCTACCTATCTACGGCGTCGTTGCCATGACGCACATGGCCGCGGACGGGCTGGGTCGCTCTGTGCCGGCACCCGGATGCGGCGTGCTGACGGCCGCCAGGCAGGTCAACGGCGCCAGCGGCATGTCGTCAGCGCTGCTGGACCCGTCGCTGCGCGCGCAACGCATCCGCTCGTCCCTCGCGTGCGCCGAGCGCCGAGGCGAGGACGACGAGGCGGCGGTACGCGCGGAGGCGCAACGGGTGGGATGCACCCCGGCCGAGACGGAGGCGCGCGTCCAGAGCACCCGCGAAGGCATGCGGCTCGAGAGGAAGGCGATCCTGCGCGCGCTGGGCCACAGCTACTGGGTTGGCCACCCCAACATCTCGCCCATCGTCGGCGCCCTGTCCGTCTTCGGGCTCGGCGTCGACGACATCACGTTTGCGAGCCTACACGGGACGGGAACGAGGCTCAACGACGTCAACGAGTGCGCGACGCTGGACCTGCAGATGCGCCACCTCGGCCGCCACGCCGGCAACCCGCTCCTCACCATCGCGCAGAAGTCCGTCGTCGGCCACGGGCTGGGCGCGTCAGGTGCGTGGGCCGTCAACGGCGCGCTGCAAGCCATGCATGCGGGCCTCATCCCCGGAAACCGTAATGCCGACGACATCGACAAGGCTCTCGAGCCCTTCGAGCGGCTCCTTTTGAGCAATAAAAACATTGCTGTCCGCCCCGAGGACATGAAGGCCTTCTCGGTGACATCGTTTGGCTTTGGCCAGAAGGGCGCTCAAGCACTCGTCGTACATCCGCGCTACCTCTATGCGGCCATCTCGGACAAGCAGTACCAGGTCTATCGGGCTAAGCGGATGGCTAGGGCCCCGGTGGTCTCTCGGGCGTTGGATCGCACCTTGCACGGACAACCCTCGTTCCAGGCCAAGGACGAAGTGGCTTACGTGGGCGATGAGCACAGCTACTTGCTCAATCCGCTAGCTAGAACTGCTTGATTTGTGGTAGATGTTGGAACCTTAGGGGCCTTTGTTTTTTACCCGGCTTGCTTCAATTCTTACCTTGCTTCGGTCACCTGTATTGAATCGTTTTGTAGCTAGGTAGCTTTATCTTGATCACAACAATTCCGACTAGTGCCGTAGCTACGACCTCCGTGGCTCTCTCCGAAGCTCACCCCTGATATTACCTACCCAGCTACATCGGAGGCTGGAATTCATCATTGGGAGCGGCTAACTGCATCCGGATCGAAGTCACTTCGCCTCTAACTTGTACAAGCTCACTCCTTTATCCCTCTCTAATGACGCCTATGCATCTTGCCATGATTGTTAGCAGATCAGCTTGGAAACTACGTTCTCCAAGTGTTCAGCGTCCTAACTCCGGACCCATCCGACTGGTGGGGGAGGGCGTGGGGGTTTCTTTTCTTCTTTTACCTTAGGAGTTAGGGTCCCATTAACTTCGTTCAAGCAGCTGCAGGTTTTGCCCCATCTATCTTCTCGTGACGCCTAGTTGGATTCTTTGGGGAAAGAAAATACAAGATTTCCGTAATTCATTCACATTCACGGCTTACTCCCAGGGAGGTTGTAGTAAACACGGTCAGTGGTTCGACTGCTACCATGCGGTGCGCGCGCCATGAGTGAGGTGGGCAACAACACCACGAGTGGACGCACCGTTGGGGGTGGGCACACGACAGGTGGGCACACTACCTTCTGCTTGTGATGAGGCATTAAACAGAGGCCAGGCATTAACCTACCGGTCTAGGCGAGCACGTCCTGCGCAGCATGGTGCAGGAAGAATTTCAGCTGGGCAGGTACGTCAGCTGCTGTCGTAGCCGTGGCATGTCTGCAACGAGCGACCCGTTCGTGCAGTTACACGACATCCGCCCTCGACTACGTTCGTAACTTGTATCTTTTGGCCAGCTCTAGAATGTAGAACCATGTGATAAGCAGCATCGCCGCTGCAGCCGCTGTCGTGCTACCAAGCGGCATAATACGTTGGTAGGGTAGTACTAGGTCGGTAGGTATGTACATGTACATGTAAGTAAAAGTACCTGGCATGTACTGTACATACCATGCGAAATTCCCAAACCGGCCCCTCTCCTGCTGGGTGTAAGGGTGATCCCACAGCACCCCCTACCCTCAGGTCAAACCAGGCCACCTCATCGGCCCACCAAGCGTACATGACCCAGACTGCATGTACGGCAAATGAAGTGTCAATTTCTATCGCGATGGTGGCTATTCCATGGTGCCACGGCGGTTTCCCGAAGCCACCAGCCTCAAATGCGGGATCGCAACCTGGAACCTGGAACGAAACATAGTGTTGCTATAGTGAAACTCTCCGTCTACTATCTTCGAGTCCCGATTTTCAAGAATACATAAACAGCTGACCTGTTCCACATTCCGGAGCCTCTTACATACCTAGGTACCCATCCACTCACCCAGTCTGTCTCCATCAGATCGCTAGACTCGAACAACTGACAACGCACTTCGTCCTTCTCAACCCAGACCCCAAACTTGCACCATATGAACGCCATGCCTCACGTCGCAGCATTCCACGAACTGCATGGCGCTCTGGCGAGCTTCTCGGAGGACTCTGACAGCCACGCCGATAACCTCTCTCCGCTCTTCGATCGGTTCGCGGCTCCCGATGTCAGCGTCCGCTTTGTTGGCCAGGAGTTCATGCTGGCCCGTGACCTGAAGGGCCTCCAGGCGGTCAAGGAATACTTCCAGGGAACTTTCCTTCCCGCCTTTTACGGCGCCTTGGACACGACCAAGCCCGTTCATAGCGAACCCCCCATCTTCATGGGCAGCCATGATAGCGAGTGGTCGGCTGTTGAGATGAGGGGCTCGGCTACTACCAAGAATGGTAAGTTCCACCCCCCCCTTTTGGTGTACCTCTCCCCCCCCCCCCCCCCCCCCCCCCCCCGGCGGTTGGCAACGCGTCCTATAATACTAAACCAAGCGGTGCAGGTAAACCGTGGGTTAATGAGGTCGTTCTGGTGGTCAGGAGCAACAAGGCGGGAAAGTGGGTCGAGGTCAAGGTGTACATGGACACGCTTCACCTGCAGACACACCTTCTGCAGGCCAAGTAGTAAGCGGCTGGAGAGGCGAGCCGGATGCCCTACTTCGTTGTCGGCCCGAGAGAGGAGGAGGTCGTATTTTCGAATGCTGCTAAGGATTGAACCGCCCTCGCTATTTTGTTTTGAATCAGAGCAACTCGGTACCATTTGATGCCGCCGGGATCAGTCTGCAATGCCGCTCGTTTACATGTAGGCATCTGAAATTCAGGTGCTATTTAGTATTAGAAAAGCGAATACAACACACGGTTATTCGGAACATCGTTTCCATGTTCTGAGGCAATGGAACGTCAACGTCACTTTGGACGTTTTTGGATGCCATGAGAGTAGGGGTTGTATGACCGTGACTGCAAGCCGGTGAAGCCGTATTCGGTAAATCGGGGCAAACCAGCGCGCCTCCCGCGTCTTCTAGTTAAAATTCCGTCCCAATGCAACCCGTTTTCTCCCTTTCAGCCTTTCAGCTGAGCCACGGCAAGCGGTCGTCGGGGGTTGAGATGTATCATTGGCTCTGTGAACGAGCCCCCGCTCGGGGATCATCACTGCATAGGGTCGGACGAGGCCTGGGCGTGGGCGGAAACGTGATTTAATAGGTGCGCAGGTGATATCTCGTTTCTGGCTGATTGTGACTTGCCAGCTGACGAACGGGCGAGACCCTCGAGTTCCTGACTCGGGTTACAACACAGAAATCATGCATTATGATGGCCGCCAATAGTGATACCTAGTTGCGTCTGTGTACAAACAAGGAAAGGCGCGTATTTAGGTCAGGACTGCCATCGAGAAACACGGACAATGGCGTGGCAGTGTGCACGATTTTGATCATCGCCGACGGGGTATGAAATCGACCGCAAGTAAGGTACATACATACCTCACAAGCTATGTCAGCTCGCCCGTGGTCCCAGTCAGGCCCCCCTAGCAGAAAGGAACGCCTTCGCGCTTCCTTGCAGGCACTCCTAGTGAACGATGACATACCGTTAGACATGTTCGAGCCAGGTGGTTCCTGGCCACCGGCTAGGGATACGGTGTCAGATCCACCGCAGTCCCGGGCGGCATTAGGTCTTCCAAGCCCCGAAGAGGGACCTAACCACGAGTTTCCTAGTCACATTGTAGGTTCACATTGTGAGCGTGGAGCACACGCGCACACGCGGACACGATCACCCATCCTCTGGCACTCTGCCTTTGCTTCCGGCGGAGACCGCGCTAGCCGCTGACAGCGTTATCTACCTTAGTTTGCCCCCTTGTTTAGCTTGCCTCCCCAAAGCCCTGCGTCCAACAACGTGCCCGCCACGGCCAACGACAACATACTACGGATATCGCGTGCTGACCCTTCCGGAATCCGGACCCACCACAAACTCCCACAGAACCTGGACCGGCCCGCCCGAAGGACATCTAGTTATGACCACTCGAGCCGGGTCGATCCCGTTCTTGCTGCGTCTTCGGCCAATGTCGAAGCCGGTTGTCTGGTATTCGCCTCCTATCCTCCCCTCGTCGCCGAGGACCACGCCGCAAATCATGGTTGCCGCCTGTCACCGCAAGAAGCAGACCCGGAGAATATGACAGCGGTTTCAGACGAATCTCTCTCGCTTCGCTCTCCGTTTGCTCAATCCCCTTCGGATAACCTGTCACTGTGGAGCGGCCTGTCCAAACGCAAGTCAGCGTTGGCAGATACGGCAGCAGACATCCACTCAACGGCCCCTCCGCCTTGGACGACCGACTTCACCTACTCTAGCGGCTGGGCTCAGTCATTAACCTCGTCGCCCGATCCACCCCAACCGCCATCGCTGTCGCCATACGGTGGTGGTGGCAAAGGCGAAGTCGACTCGTTTCCGGAGAAGCGCCAAAGACCGCACTACGCCATCGAGAAGCGTTACCGAGCAGGCCTCAACGAGCGGTTCGAGGCCCTGCGCGAGTGCATCGAGTCGAGGAAGATGCAGTCCCGGCAAGACCAACAGGATCAATACAGCCGATTACCCTCGCTGGCAATGGTCCTGGATGCCGGTAGCAAGAGCAACAGTGGCAGCGCGAAGCCGTGGCCTCCGACGCGGATGAATAAGGCCGACGTCCTGGACAAGGCGGTAGTATATATCCGGGACCTAGAGGAGGAGAACGTTGTGTTGCTGGAGCATCTGAGGATTACCATACGCCGGCTGCGCGATGCCAGGGCTGCGCTCGGGGGCGCAGAGCCGAACGGGGTTATGCATAGTGGGAAGGACCAGCAAGGATCCTAAGGACATGGTGAGTGGTCGGGGCTGGGTGACCCTCGACTCTGGCACGTTTTGGTCACGGGAGTGAGCATGGGATTCGACGGGGGGATGCCTAGGCCTGGGGTGATGCCGGATAATGCTACCATTCCTATAATTGTTCAGTCGGCGGGATGACTACCTAGGTAGGTAGCCGGCTATTGGAGAGAGAGCCTGTTGCAAATTTACGTTAATTGACTTGTCTCGTATTCATCTTCCGATATAGCGGCATTACCACCAATCCAGGAACCACTCGAATCAGGGGCGGTGCAGGAGTCATAATATCCGCGGTTGGTGAGCCCGAGTGTGAGTGCATTATTGGAAATGGGCGTATCTAATGACCCCTAAACCTCGGCCATACCGGCTAGCGTATCCAAAATATCATCCAAGTATCTGACGGCTATGCTGAGATGAGCCTCATCCTCGTACCTACGGAATTCAGCATTGGGAATCAACCCACTAGCCTTCTCCGCCATATCGACTGGAACATTAGCATCCTTGGAGCCGTGCCACAACACCAGCTTCCCCGCGTCCACCCGTAGATCTTCGAGCTCGAAACCCCACGGAGTCCCGAACAGCTTAGCCTCACAAGCAAACCCTTCCGCGCCCTGCCTGAGCGCCTCGGCCGAGCTGCGCGTCAGAACGTCCAAGAGCCTGCCATTGTCGGCGAACACGACCTCTCGGTCCTCGGCGGGCCACCCCTTGAAGTTATCCGCCATGATGCGCTCGTACCTCCCCGGCTGCTCGGTATCCTGCGCCGCGCGGGCCGCGTACCAGTCGATCAGCCAGGTAACCAGACCCGGGGCCAAGGGCGCGACGTTGTAGAGGATGCGTATGGGCAGCTGCATGCCGGCCATGCCGAGGGCGACGGGGTAGATGCCCGACACGACGACGCCGCCGAGCAGGCGCGCGGGCGGCACGGCGTGCAGGCAGGCCAGCACGTAGGGCCCGCCGCCGGAGACGCCCATGGCGGCGAAGCGCGCCACCCCGAGGTGGTCGGCTAGGCGGAGCACGTCGGGCGGGAAGGAGAGCAGGTCGCGGTCCGGCTGCGGAGTCGACCCGCCGAAGCCGGGTCGGGTGACCCCGACCACGGCGATGCCGCGCTTGGAGGCGGCTTCGTGGATGGGTAGCGCCTCGCTGTGGGTGCCGGGGAAGCCGTGGAAGTAGAAGACGGTCGGTTGCTCCGGCGCGATGGAGGTGCCAAATGTTGTGTAGCAGAGAGTCCGGCCATCTGGGAGGACGATGGACTGGTCTTGTGATATGGTGGAATCCATGGTGGAATCCATGGTGGTTGAACAAGTTGCAAGAGTGTAAATCCGTCCTCGGTGCAGAACCTCATGTCATTTTTCTTTGGGTTGTGTTGGGGAGCGGGGAGGGAACTCGCCCCTTTTTAGAAGGGGTCACAAGCTAATTAAAGCTTAGAGATGTTGAACAGGTCACAACGCGCATTCAGATTTGGCGCCGTGCATGTGGTGTCACCCGGCAAACGGTCGTAGTGGCGTATTCGTGCAGCATGGGGGATGAAATAGTGTAATCACAAGTGCTGGTAGACGTTCCAGTTGACCAGCCATGTGATGCATTTTAACCTGTCATTTTCTTCACCTTCAGTATCCCCCCCTCATCTTCAGCATCTCCGCCTCCTGGATAGTGCGGAACAGAGAGTCAGCCACCGAGATCGTACCTTCCAGAGGCACAGAGTCTCAACAAGCTCACTCTACCGTGACCCCTAACTAAAGCTACTGTCGCTTCTCGGGGTTTCCAGACAAAAAGAACCATCATCCATAGGTAGGTTCCACCCATCTTGCCACAGTCTGAGCTAACATCTATACACAGGTGAGATCGGCGGTTTCGGAGTCGAACGTGCAGCGATCGGAGTGAGTGATAGAGAGCTGACGAATGGTTAGCCGACGTGTCATCAAAATGCAATAGTGTCGACTCACGTTGATGAAGCCACCATCACCCTCGGTGAAGAACTGGTTGGGGGCGGCAATGAAGAAGCACTCGTAGCTACACGAATATCTGTCAATTCTGGACACTAACATACCTTACCAAGGAAACAATCTGGAGGGATCAACTTACTCGGTGTTCAGGAGGCCCTGCCTGAACTCAACGCTGGTCTGGCCATCGACGTTGGCAGGGTCAGCGAAGCTGAATGCCTGGTTGTAGCAAGCGGCAGCCTGGAAACGAGCAGGGTCGGGGTTCTGTGCAAACATGGCGTCGGTCGTCTGCTTCGTGAACGCCTCACGGCCCGAGTCGAAGCTAGCAATGTCACCGATGAGGTCGGCGACTTCGGTGACGGCCCGCTCAATAACCGCCGTGACGAGTGCCGTGCCAGCGGCGCCCAGAATGATAGCGGAAACAGGCTCGCGCTTCTGGAGGGAAACGGAGCGAGCATGGCCGGCCTCGGTCTTGATACCGGCGGGGGCAGCGTTGGCCATGGTGGCGAAGATGGCCATGAAGGCAGCGACGGTCTTGAAGGAAGGCATTTTGACTTGTTGAGTTCGACGGAGCGGAGCTGGTGTTGGGGCAAGGATGTTTGGTGAGGAAGAAAGTGAAGAAGTTGGCACTACAAAGTTGGAGAAAAAAAGGCAATTGGCCAGCAAGTACAAGGGGAGGAAAGAAGATGGAATGTTGAAGGTGAAAGTGTTGATGGTAGAAGTGAACTGATGAGGGACAAAAGAAGCTTTGTAAAGAGGCTTCAACTGTTTTTATATCTTCTTTGGCTCGTTCCCCTCCTCGTCAGATCTATAAGACTTGTTATGGTTTGGTAGTACTCGGCTATACCGATGACCGGCGTGTTTTAGGTTGCCCCCTCTGATCTGCAACGCCTTCAAGGACGACATTGTGCCGATGTCCTTTCCAGAAACTTCCACGTTAAGGACCTACATGGACAAAGGTTTATTCGTAGGGAAATCTTCGTACCCCCTTCCGATTTGTTACGACGGTGGTGAAGCGTCCTCTATTACGCCCGCCCCCCAGGCCCGTCCATCCGTCCCAAATTTCGTGGAGGTATGTACACAGCAACGAAGGCTTCCTAGTAGTCATCTTTGCGGTACATCTTGTACAGCATAGGCTCCTCTCCACTTAATACTAAGCTTAATAACCCCTACCAGGCTGGCTGAGACGAAAGTTATTGGCCCTTGGAGGTTCCTGGTATGGGGCCGTTCCAGCCCCGTTGGTGGAGTTCTGCTCGGTGTCCATTCTCGGCAATGTGTGGATATCAACGGAGCTCTCTCCGTGCCCCTAGTGCCCCTGTGACAAGATGCCAAAAATGGGCCGTTATTTGGACACAAGCAGGCTTGGCTGTCTCCATTCCATGTTAAAGCTCGTATCGCGAAGCTCTGACGTAGATGATAAGCGAATGAAACACATTCTACATGTTAGTTTCATCATTTAATGTTCATTGCCGGTCCAATAGAATCATTCTTGGGATCCCGTGAGCTATGAATCGAGAACGAAGTTGTACTTTTTCCTCGAAATCACTACGGAACTTCCCGACTCGCCCTCAAGTAATTCCTTCGTCGCTCAACTTCACGGCATTTGTCTCGATCTTTCTTGGCGGGAGATGACCGGGACCCCTGTTCTCGTTAGGCAAGCCAAACCGGATTATGCCGTTCCTCGCCCCCGAGCTGCTGTCCGGATACAGATCTGTATGCCCCTGAATTCTCACGAGCCCCCTGTCCGGGAAGTCCCATCCCGGACCCGACACTCCTGCGTCGTCCACTTCCCAACCATGAAGCCAAGATACGCATGGAGACGCGCACAGGGACGCGGACGAAGCAGCAGTGGACTATTCAGCAGGCAACCCCAGCTGCCGGGAATCCCGGTGTCTCATGGAGAGCTCTTTCTTCTGCCATGAAATCTCAAGACTTAGAGCCAAACCCAGCAGACTCAGACAGTTAACGAGGCCGCTCCAGAAACCGGCATACTCTCTTGCTGCCCGCTGCAAAGTGCTCCCTCGGACATGAAGGAGTGATACGGGTAGCGGATTCGATGCATTTTGCAGAAGGCCATGGAAGGAAATCAAGAAGGTAGTTGTGGGATCCAGATGCGCTTCATCATTGTGGTGTGGACTCGTAAGTACACATCATTATCATCTCGACGGGAACCTCAGAGCCGTCTAAGAACCCTTCCGTACGAGGGCTACAAACACCGACCGGTTCATGGCATTAGTGTGTCGTTCCTACCTGAATACCTATTCCTCGTGGAACTCAAGTCCAGGCACCCATGTCACAACTCGCCACCTCTCCCCCCTCTTCTCCGGGTGCTCCAGCCCTGCCACCCTGTGGCCAAAAAAAGCCGAACCCAAAAGGAAAGCAAAGAATCAAGCAAAAAGAACAAAATAAAAGTAAGCGAGAAGAATAAATCGAATAATAGAAAGAGGGTAAAAGAAAAAGTAAACGGAGTAAATAAAGTTTCTTTGGGCTTCAGGATGGCTTTCGTTTTGTTCCTACAGTTGGGGACTCGGGATTTCCATTATCGACGTCTACGCTTGGAGTCGGGCTTTTTTTGTCCATAACGTGCCTGCGTCCCCACCGCACCCTTCACTCCGCCACGGGACAAAGATCATAATACCCGTCCACATTATTCCCCCACCACTTGGGGAAAGGCACCGAGGGCCCCCCCGCGCCGAAGACGGCGAAGGACAGGATGAAGAGGGCGGCCAGGCTGGCGCCGTCGAAGGCGCCGGTCACCAGGTACGAGTAGTCGCGGAAGACGCGCGGGCGCCGGTTGCGCAGGTACCACTGCACGAAGAAGCCGCACAGCACCTGGCTCAGCAGCACGCACGTCTGGGACGCGTTGTAGGGGATGTAGCCCGCGTACTGCAGGAACTGCGGCATGTTGATGTCGTAGAGCGAGAGGGAGCGGATCTTGGGGACGAACTGTTGTTGTGGGTGAAGGGGGGGGGGTTGGTGGTTAGTCGGGTTGGGGGGTTATGCTGATGGATGGTGGTTTGGGGAGGGGTGGGAAGGGGACTCACATGTGCAAACACCCGGTGGGCGGCGACAATCCCGAATCCAATGGCCAACCCGATTGGTACCATCTCGTACAGCCCCCCGCCGGCGTAGAGGTATTTGGCTAGCGCCCATGAAGTTGCGTTCGTGTTGTACGCCTGCACGGTGGCTCCGCTCCAGGAGCTATTCCCGTCGGTATGGGCGAGGAGGGTCGCGGTTCCCATTCACGATAGAGATCATCACGGCGTAGTTGATAAACCCACCGAGAATGGTGCCGTAGATCTGGGTAAGGAACATGACGCGGGGAGGGATCTTGACTGTGGCCGGGTTAATTTCTTCAATGACATGGTAGCTACCTGAACTCAGGTGCGACATACGGTATTCGCCCATCTTGAGGTCATTCGACAAGTTGACCGTGTTGCTAATCACATTGTGCGACCAAGCGGCAAAGTACATGTTGCCAATGGGCCTCTCGGGGAGAATCAAGCCTGCCAGCATCTTGGAGAGGTTATTCGTGGCGATGCCATTACCGTAGCGGGAGTACAAAAGTGTGCTCTGTAGAGCCGTCAGTAAGTCTCCCCAATTTAGTTCGGATACACGCCTTACCAGGGGCGCGATGAACATGCCCAAAAGCAGCGAGACGATGTAGGCCCAGGCCGGCAGGGTGACGTTTTGTGTCGTGACAACGATGCGACCTAGGACAAAGCTAAAGACCAGCACAATAATATACCACCACCACGGGACCTCCTTGTAGTGTTCGATCATGTGTGCATGATGACGGTCGTCGTGCCTCCCAGACTTTGCGCTCTTGTATGCTTTGGCCACGTCCCCGCCCCAGAAAAGGAAGCAGTGGGCGACGAGGGCACCAATCTGGGATATGGTGAGCCATTGCCGGGGTAACATGGATGATACCAAGTCGCGTAGACGAGGACGGTTAGGACTGTAGACTTACAGCAGCGTTTGCCATGAACATGGCGTATGCGAACGACCCCGTAAGGCGAGGGATACCGTATTTTTCCAACGCGTCCTTGTTAAGCACGCCTCCGGTAAAGACTTCCTGGATGGGATAGGTGGACCCATCCTGTGACCGAAGCCGTGTCGACATGAATGGCTGCGATTTGGCATCCCATGCATTGGTGTAGTAGATACCAAGCATGGCTGCAAAGCAAACAAGATACCCGAACGCCACATGGGCTTGCAACGGAAGCGGGAGTGAGGTGTTGAAGGAGGTAATCTGGAGTCGGTTGTCAGCGTCTTTGCTTCAACCTCTGGGATCACTTGCCTTACATATTGCCAGTCAAATGACAGCGTGAAGAGTCCCAGGCCCTCATTGTTGAGTGACCCGCCGAAGAGGTTGGTGAGCGTGGCCGCCTTCGCGCCAGTTGCGTTCATAGCCGCAAGACACGGAATGGAAACGGCGTTGAGCCATGGCCAGATGTAGGCGGGGAAGAACTCGTAGAAGAACATGCCCACAAAACTGTACCAGAACCACCGGAGAGGCTTCGAGTCTTTGACGTCTTGCCAGTGAAGCCCCTGAAGCGTCTTGACAGTCGGCAGGGTGCTCCAGTACACGGCGTCAACGTGCCAGACAGCGATGGGGCGCATGACTCCGCAGAGGCCGTATCCAAACAAGCCGATGGAGATGACGGCAAGAATGACGGTAACAGGGCTGAGGGGTAAGTCATAAAACAGGTCTTGAACGGCAAAGACCATGACGCTCGCCGACGCGTTAGACGCCGAAGTGGCCGTGATGGCGCAAATGGCGTGTTCTTTCAGCCTCCAAGGCCCAGGGTTGATAAAGTTCGCGGCCAAGATCCAAAACGGAAGCTTCCCCTGGCCGCCTCGCGCTCTCCACCGTGCAGTCAGTTTGTCGCCACGGGGTAGGATATTGGCCCAGGCTTGGCCCACGAAGTAAGCAATGAGCACAATAAACGTTCCTTGAATAGTAATTTGGGTTGGTTTGAACTGTATGTAAATGGTAACGTCAGGTCCAGGTACGTTCGCTTTAGGACACCAAACCTAGCAAGAGCAGATGTATACCGTGTAGATCTGGTACATGACGGCTTGGAAGGCCGACAAAGCAGTAGCCAGGAACAGACTCCGGAAGGTCAGCGAAGGGTCGTGGTCATCACGCAGCGGGAGAAGATGAGTGGCCGCATCGGCGCCCGTGATGATGATCACATCCTCGCTACCGTCGTCCTTTTCCTGGCTACTGTCATTGTCGTACGCCGGGGGCACCGCTTCGATCTCGGGGGACTCGGCGACGCCGGATTTGGATTTCTTTTCGTCGTCTGTGGAAAGACGTGACTTGTTACTGGTGTCTTGGAACTCGTCGGGGCGAGGAACCTCGACGATGTTCATGGTTGCGTCAGGGGCCGTCATGTTGAGACGGTTCTCGACCACCTTGACACGGCGGGTGGAGTAGACAGAACATGCAAGGATTGACGGGACAAGATCTGAACCCGTGGCCATGGAATACCAATGGTCTGGCCTAAGATATATGAATGGTACATGGTAAAGCTTCCGGTGCTCTGATTGATACCCTCTGTCGGCGTCTACGGTGGTGCAATCCGAGCCAAAAGTTGTGTTAGCACGCAACTTCGGGTTACCATTCGCGGACGGCGATTGCAACGGGGCCCGACATGGCTCCTTGGGGTGACCTTCCTAATGAGGCATGTGCTTTACACGGGTGCTCTCCCTGGAGACGGCAAATAGTGCCGGTTGGGGGTCGCCTCAACTGCATATTAACAGGGAGGGGTTACCCCGAGTATGCAGTCTGTCTGTTAAACTCCTCGGGGATGTTGCAGATGCAGATAACTGGGTTCGGTATCTCCCTTTCCCGTGTGCCATTTGGCATCCTGGCTGATCCCGGTCCCGGTTGGGTGCGTGATATTGCGTTAGAATCCTATTGTATCTCCCCTGTTTCCCACCTTCCTCAAAATCACACGGGAACCGGGAAAAGGGGTGCCCCTTGCAACACTGATATCTGTATTTCTGAGAGGAATAAAAAAAGAACAGGAAAAAGAAGAAGAGCGGAAAAAAAGGCACATGTGCCTCCAACCTTTCGCCATTTTGCGTGCAATCCTCGGGAAGATACAAAAGGGAGATTGGGTCTTATTATTGTCTTTCGATGCAGGCTCCAAATAGTCTGTAGACTGCCGTAGCAGTGCTGTCACTCGCGGAATGAGCCCGAGCAGCGAGGCCTGCGAAAAAGGATGATAGCTTCATGGTGTATATAATAGAACGTGCCGGTTTGGTCTAAGCAAAGTGATACGAGGAACTGCTGAGTCCGCGAAATAGCCAATCAAAAAGAAGTAGATACGAGGATGAACGTCCGTCTCCCCCACGTATTATTGAGTAGGTCGGTAGGTAGGTAGTTATAAGCAGATCCGGCAAGCGATGTCCACAAGGGAGTCTGTGATGAGAAGAAAAGGGCTCAGAAGCGTACGTTCCCTTAAAGCACCAGTGTGTCTCTCATTCTGTAGCGTGCAATCTGTTCGAACGATGGTAGGGAGGTCGTTTAAGCGCTTGGCATGCATGCAAGGTTCCGCGCCCTGAGTTCGTCAGAGTTTGGGACCGATATTGCCAAGTTCCAGAGGCTCGCCACAAGTCAAGTAAGTCAAGTATGAAGGCATACTTCTGACTTGGCTGGAGTTGCCTTCCTTGAACTTGATCAAGTTGGAACAAGCTAAATGCTATCGGATCCATTAACTTTATCAAAACGTGCGCTATACTAACTAACTGGTGAGTGGGTTGGCCGGTTTGATTTAGTTCAGTGCGTTGGCTAAAGTGGCAATGGCAATGTCTCTGTAAAGACTTGCTTGGTGATGCGAGTCAGGGGTTAGGGGTTATACGGGGGACAGGTCTGTGATGGTGGTTGGGCGGGGGGGGGGAGGGGGCTGGGCATTTTGTCGTGCCAGCCACTTCCCGTGGCTAGTGGTGACTAATTCAATGAACTCAAGTAAACTCAATTATTCTGTAGAGGGTGTTACTTGCTTGGCTGGGTGGCCGATTTAACTTGACTTGACTTGACATAATTGATTCAAATATACTTGACTTGTGGCGAGCCTTGTCACTGCGAACCCACAACGACCGAGAGTATAAAAGCTCGGAAGTTTTGTCATAACCATTCAACACCGAATATGTTCATTAACCTGAAGAACATGGGAACTTTACAAGTCCCATATGGCTAGAATATTTAGGTACTGACGAGACACACCCGCTCGACCGCAGCTCAACCAGTTCCGAGGCTAGAGTAGAGTCAGACCCAAAACAGCCAGCCCAATCGCGAGCCCAGGCCCGAACACGCGGCTTGCACTAGAAGTGGTCGTGCTTGACTCCGGTGTGTCGGTGGAGCTAATAGCCGGCGAGGTTGGTGCTTCGGTGATGGAGCCTGTGGTAGCTGTCGTCTGCGCAGCGTCAGGAGTAGGAGTACTAGTCGCCCCGGAGGCCCAAGGGTGGGTAGTAGAGGCATCCTACACATCTGGTCAGTCGACGTGATGTTGGGAGAGTTAGTAACACGTACAAACAGGTCGCAACAGCCCTCCTGGTCGCAAACGGTGCCGTCCGTGCAGCAGAACTGGTTCTTGTCGTTGTAACAGAAGAAGTTCGGGAAGTCCCCAGAACACCAATGCATCGGGATCTGGGCACGTTGACAGCAATCCTCGCCGGAATCCCAGCGACTGCATGTGTAATACGACGTTTCCGTTGGCGTCGGCCTCGCTCTCACGTTGGGAACTCCAGACGTGCCGGTTTCTCCTGGTCCGCCCTAACGTCACGGTGTAAGTTGAATCTGAAAACGGGCGACAGAAAGGTTCTGGTCACATACCCAATCTTCGCAGCAGCTGTTATCCTTCGCCACACAGATCCCTGCAGCGGTCTGTTAGCAACAACCCTGTACGGATCAACAAGCAACAAGAAGCGAGGCACTGACGGGCGATGGAACAGCATTGTTGGTGTATTTCTGGGTTGAAACAACCTATCTTGTCGCAGACCACATAACCGTCGCCAAAGCAGTCGGAGCATGTGCTACGGATGCTACAATCGTTAATAAACTGGCGGCCGAAAAGCCCTGCCGCAGGCGAAACCCCGGAGTTGCTGTCAGGGACGAGCTGCTGCCCTGCCGCGTTGGCAACCCCGGCTGCGAAGAGGGAGATGACGACGGATTGGTGCATTTTGGCTTTCAATTCGCCGATCGAGAGCTGTTCGGGTGAGGTGAGAGATCGACAGACGTGAAGGGTTTCTCGGGGGGGAACGCGTTGTCGGATAAGAATTACCCCCCGGGCTGACTCTCAGCCGCGATGTAACGCTGGACGCCTGACATGGCGAGAAAACACAAGGCAATTTAAGAGACGGCCAGAAACGGCTAGCAATGCGAAGCTCCTCTCGTCTCGCGCACCTTTCTCAGCCAAGAAGACTGTCCTCCCCGTCGGTACAAACCACCATTCGTACATATGTAAAATAACTACCTATGTCCGTAAGGAGGCACCGTATATGGGGGAAGTCATACGTCAACTCGTCGCTCGTGATTTTCCTGGTCCCTCCGAGTCCTCCGGCCCTGGCGTTCTCGTTATGGTCGGGGCATCTCCGTCATTAAGGTATGGACATACAAATACAGTGACGTCCTTCAATGGACCCGAAGATTGGGAAAGGAATCTCGTTGTTCGCTGATCCTCGACCCAAAGCCTCACAGTCTTGGCAACATCGTCTTACGTATAAGGCAGATCCCGAGTTTGGCAAGGTTGAGAGTTTTGTATTAAATATATACCCGTGGTCACGGGAGACATGGAATTAGATAGGTAGGTACCTAGGGAGGTGCCCACCCGGCAATATATCCATGGTATGGCTGGCTATGGCACCTCTCTGAAATACCACTACAACGCAGTTTGTAGTGGTATCCTTGCCTAGATACTAAACCCTCGCAACGGCTTTATTCTTCTCAATCAACTGAATCGACTCCTCGCCAACCACCTGACCCTCCCCATCCCGATCCTGCTCGCTCTGCCTCGCCGCAACCGCAACCGCGTCCCCAGAACCGGAACCAACAATGACAACCCTCGTCCCAACCGTCTTGACCCACTCGTTCGTGCCCCTTAGCGTAGCCGTCTTGTCCGGCCAGAGGAACCCGCCCAAGATCCTACCCGGCGAGGTGGCATCCAGCAGCCGGCGCATCTTGGCCGGGCCCGTCCGGCCCATCACCACCAACACCAGCCACGTGCCCAACACCGCCGTCGCCAGCGCCAGCACCACCACTGCCGGCACCATATACGGCAGCTGATACCGCAACCGGCGCCGATACACCGTCACCGGCACCTGGTCACCACCGCCACCCGCACCACCATCCCGCTTCCTCCCCGCCCCAAACCCACCCCCGCTAGCTGCCGGATCATCCAACCCCCACCCCTTCGTCCCCACCACCGAATTCGCCGCAATATCCGTCCACACCAGCCTCAACAACTGCGCAGCCCCGTCCGCGCTGGCCGTCAGGTTCTGCCACTTGCTGTACAGCGCGAGGCTGGTGCGGCCCGAGTAATCGGCATGGCCCTCGTAGCCGACGGCGCCCGGGCGGCGGATGCCGAAGGCGTTCTGCAGGGCGCGCGTGTAGAAGTCGACGCCGGGCAGGTTTTGTCCTTGCTTGGCCGAGACGTAGCCGTTGCCGGTGAGGACGGATTCGGCGGTGACGATGCCGGGCAGGCGGAGGGTGCGTTGCTGGGTGGTGCTGTGGTTGGTGGGGAGTTGGGAGGGCGGGGTGGAGGGGTTGAGGATGCCCCAGAGGGGTTGGGCGTTCCAGAGCGTGGTGCGGTGCATGTTCTCGACGGTCCAGAGGGGGTGGTCAGTGGGGGAGGCGTAGGTTTTAGGATTGGTGGAGGCGACTTTGAGGCCGGCGAAGCCCGTGCCGTTGTGGACGAAGGTGACGGTTCGGATGGTGGCGCGGACGGAGCCGGCGCAGCTGTAGAGTGGGAGGGACCATTCCGAGTTGGGCTCCGGGTTGAATTCGGAGCCGCCGTCGCTGCGGCGGGCGGCGCCGTAGAGCAGGCCGCAGCCGACGAGGCTGCTGTTGATGTTGGCGGGGTTGTCGTGGTCGCCACCGGCGCAAATCTCGGCTGGTTTAGGGGTCAGTGGGGGGTTCATAACTTTCATACCTCAAGCGTCTAGAGGGGAGCTGGTGACACGAGATAGAGATAGTTAGTACGTACAGACGAGATTGAACTGTGGTTCGCCGATCCCCCACGGATTCCCAGTTGGCTCTGATTCATTGGCTGTCGACGAGGCCGGCTCGAATTGCAAATAATCCCCAAAGTCCAGAGTAGACCTAATGGATTGGTACTCTAGGGCGAAGACGTTGGCATCGATTATGTCTCCGTTGCCGGTGTGGTTCGGGTTGACACCACTACCGAACCCGGACTCGTCACCCAAAAACTTCATTCCAGGCGTCACGTCAAGCCGCGTGATATTGTCCGGGTCGGGATCAGTGGCGTTGAAGAAAGCCAGCGTGAGGAAGTTGTTTGCCCAGGCAGCCTTGTATGCCCTTTCCCTGAGGTCTAAGTGTCCCTGGCCATTGCCATCTCCAGGAACTTCAAGGTCCGGACTTACGCGAGGCAGGTCAGAAAAGCCCCCGCGATCGACAAGGGCCCAGTTTCTTGGTCCAAGTAGATTGGTGCTATCCTGGGATAGCCGGAAGTCAAAGGTGACGTTCAGGTCCACACACTGCGTTTCTGGCTCGATGAAGAGTATGTCCTCGGTCCACGTGCTGCCGTACTCGTGGAAAGGGATCGGGGCGGTGTGATTGCGGAAACCAATTCCCCCGTTCTTTGAATCAACAATTAGACCGTCGACTAGTTGGATTGTTGGGTCGAGGACCAGTATCTCAACCTGGCGATAGCCTGATTTCATATACCAACCGAACTCACCGAACCCATCTGTGGTGTTAAACTGGCTCCTCCACTGAATGTCGAAGATGCTTGATACCGATTCACCCATCTGGTCGGCGCCATCTCTCAACGCGGACCTCCAGATGTCAGGGATGGCGCGACCGTAGACAACATCACTGCAGTTCTGGAGCAGCCCCTGCTGCACACAGGTCCGGTTTACCCAGGATCCAGGGCAAACGTCGAGGCCACAGCTTCTGGAGAAAGGTCCCTCAACCCGAGTGGGAGTCGCATAGCCAAATGGGGATTTGTCCTTGACGAACTGGAAGGCCTCCATGACGAGGTCGCCTGGTTCAACCGTCTGGTACAGACCGAGTGGGGTGACAATAGCGGCTACCGAGATCAACAGAACGATGGCCGTCTGAAGCAACAGGCCGTTGCTGATGCGGCGTAGGACTCCATGGCGGGCCGCTGCGTCGGTTTGCAGAAGTGTTGGCCATGGGGAAGACTGAAGGGACCGGCCGAGAACGGACCAGGTGACGGCGGTGTTCTCTCCATCAACGAAGCCGACGAGAGCGGCTGGGAAAAGAAGCGATAGCAAGATTTGCACTGGTGGAGGTTCCTGTCAGCAACAACGCCACAATACGAAATACGGGGAAGCCATACAAACAAAAACGCCTGCCGCGATGAGACCCGAGGTCTCCGCAACCGTGAGTCCCTCCATTTTGCGTCAAGATCATCATGATTTTTTCGTGATCCTCACGCGTTCAGGGGAGCCTGGCCGCTTAAAGCAGATGGGTCCCAGGTTACATCGAGCGGACTGCCACCAATGAGCTCCGCGGACTCCGTGACGCGCAGGGCTCGAGAGTTGTTCCGTCTTACGGTCGCACGCGACGCCATTCAACCGGCCCACCCTCGCACAGGTGCCCTCGCAGGATCACCAGCATGCCTGGGATTTCACGTGCTCCGCCAACGGCCCGGCCCGAGGCGTTGAGACAAATGTGGCGGCGGGAAGACTTGGTGGGAGGAGCGGATAACAGCACCGCTCTGGGTATCATCAGACCTTCGAAACCGGGATGTGCCGTGAGTTTGCTAGGGTTTGCTAGGGGGGCATGGTACAACACCGCTCCATGAAAGCTGTACCCAATGTTCGTGCTGCCGGTTGAGTTGACAACTTTCTCCGTATATCCGTCAGAAAGCTACAGCCTACGAGAGGTGAGGTACCTATTCAGCGGGGCAGAACAGTACTATCTGTCTTGAACCAAACGCGCCACTCATGGATCGATAGCGAGATTTCGGGATAAGAGGGTACGAAGCTAATCGCCAGGACCTCGAATCTGATTGTTAAGAAGCAAAAGGACCTTGCTCAAGAGAATGATAATAACCATGCGGTGGGATGGTTGGCGAACCGCGCATACACATTCACCAACATGTATTTTTCCCCATGGACCGGACATGTGGTGTGGCGGTCGAAAGAAGAACGAGGCTCAGGGAATGAACGGCGAATGCTTGCGGAGAAAATAACAACGCGACACAATACAGCCTTGGCCTTGACCGAGCGGCTCCCGCACGAGCTTCTCGGCCGTTTGTTTCACGCTCGAGCAAAATGTTAGGTTTTCAATCCAAGGGATTGGAAGCAGTCGTATCCCTCGGACACCTACTCAGAAGCAAAAGCGAAAGAGTTTCGGTGCATGCTCTGTGCAACGGGAATATTCGGTGGTTTTTCTTCGCCGGCAGTGGCGATGTTTTAGATGAGATTCCATTCAAGATTCGCAAATTCGGAGTGACCCTGGAAGAGGTTGCCGCCCTTGGGTTATGCATGTTTTGACAGAGTGAGAGGCCAGTTCCTTCACAACCCAAGGTGGGCACGTTCTCGGCGGGTCGATGTTGCGGGGGAAGTCCAGATGAAGTTCCCTGTCTGGCGCTCGGGTGTCTGGCGAGAAAAGCTTAAATTTCACGTGCGGGTACACGAGTGTGTTGAGTTATGCTTGGAGCGGTTGTGGAACTTGGAGATTTGCATTTTTTGAAGTCTGGCCTGGGGCAGGGCTGCTCGCATTCGTCTCGGACTTTTATGCCCTAAATTGCCCAAGGTCGCGGGGTATGTGAACTCAAGGGCCCAGGTTGTTCTTCAAAAGTTTGACCCAACAGTATCGAGTAAAGATTTTGTGAGCTGCATGGTCCTGGCGATAGCTTATCCAGCTTATCTCACAGGGACCAAGATAGCGACGGCAGTCAACTTTCAACCTTGTTCATCCGAGGAGAGAAGAAATGGAGGATGCGAGGATTTAGAAATGAGGCCTCGAAATTGCTCCGAGAACACTGTCTGTACAGGACAACAGGCGTCATATTAGTTTGCTATTCATTCGCTGCCGTACATACCTTACCTGGATGACGAAATGTTTTGCCGGGCTTCAACGGTGGTGGGCCGAGTGGATTGAGGGCGGGAGCTGGGCACTCTGGGGCGGCGGGACCTGAAAGATGGTAAGATGGGGCCTCAGATAAGGTTCCATCTGGGGAACTTTTGGCTTCCGCGCCAAGACGAACTCCACCACAACCAGCCAAGATCTCCAGTATCGCGGAGGCGGACGTTGGATGTGCGATCAATCAACCGGTCACGATCCCTGTCTTCCAACCATCCCTCGGTTATGGATTCAGGTGTTCGGGACCCTCGATCCCTCGGATTCCTTCAGACAGGTCTACTTGGAAGCATCGGGAGGCGGGGATTCTGGGATGTTTCCCTGGCACGTCGTGGGGGGAAAGATGGGTCTCAGTTCTGGGCAGAGTGGCAGACTGAGGGGAAGCCGATAAGCGCGCCCCTCATGGTGAGATAGAACGACGGTCCAAACTCCAATCGAAGGCGATACTACCGTGTTGGAGAGCTGGTTGTGGCAAGCAACCTTCTGTGAAGTCCCTTCGTGGACCCCTACTAATTAATTGAACCATCTGCACCAACCACCCTCCCTTTCACAGTTCGTCCCAACTTGAGTGTCTTCTCATACACGGCGAGTTCCATTCGCAGCTCGGTGTTCCTTTTTGATACACGGTTCAGAATACTGGAAGCACTGCTTCTCCCCGATTCCCACCCTCACGTGCGCCGTTGCGTCATCTTGCAGGGCTGGCCAACAAGACTGCTACCGAAGGTTGACGGACCCTATCCAAGCAGGACGAGCACCCCAAGCTTGGGATCACTCAAACCTAAAACTTGAACTGAACCAGTCGGCAGACCCTCCGAGTCTCCTCAGTTCAACTCATTCACAAAAAGCTACCTGCGCTCCTCGGTATCCATTGATCGGCAACCTTATCGCTCGTGGCGGCCGCTGGTCTTATACTCACTTATACTCACCGACTTCGGCACTCAACATTGCCTATCATTCTATCCCCATATCTCGTAGCAACAACCATCGCTCGTCACCACATCGCAGCCATGTCGGGCAAGCCGAGTGTCTTCCGACGCTTGGCCGACAAGGCGGCCGTCGAGTCGGAACCGGGCCTAACCACCGCCCAGTTGATGGTGCGGAACCCGACTCTTACCTGACCAGACGGCGCACCCCCGTTTCCGCGTTCCGACCCGCTGACCTCGCCAGTTGACGAACCACGACCTCAAGCCCGTCGAGCCCGAGCGGCGCCAATGGGGGCCCTGGAACTTTGTCGGCTTCTGGATTGCCGACTCGTTCAACATCAACACATGGATGATCTCCTCGTCTATGATTGTGGGCGGTCTGTCGTGGTGGCAGTCATGGCTTTGCGTCTGGATCGGCTACGCCATTTCTGGCTGCTTCGTCTGCTTGACCGGCCGGATCGGCGCCACCTACCATATCGGGTTCCCCGTTGTGAGCCGCTCGTCGTTTGGTATCTGGGGCAGTCTGTGGCCGGTCTTCAACCGCGCTGCCATGGGTGCGTGCTACCCGCATATTGGAGCGTGCGTGTTGGAGCTAACAGCGAAGCAGCATGCATTTGGTACGGTGTGCAGTCGTATATCGGAGGACACTGCGTGTATCTGATGATCCGATCCATCTGGACGAGCTGGGTACGTCGGGCGGGCCAGCTTCTTCACCACAACACTGACGTTAAACCAGGACCGTGATACCATCCCAAACACCTTTGAGAAAGGCTCCGGCACAACCACGGCGGACTTTGCCTCCTTTTTCATCTTTTGGCTCTGCTCTCTCCCCGCCATCTGGTTTCCGGTCCACCAGATCCGCCACCTGTTTACCGTGAAGGCTTACTTCGTCCCCTGTGCCGCCCTCGCCTTCCTCATCTGGTCCGTCGTCCGCGCCGGTGGCATCGGCCCCATCATGCGACAACCCGCGTCGAAGCAGGGGAGCGCACTCGCGTGGGAATTCGTCAAGGGCATCATGAGCTCCATCGCCAACTTCGCTACGTTAATCGTCAACGACCCTGACTTTTCGCGCTTCGCCGGCAAGCCCCGCGACGCCCTCTGGTCGCAGCTCTTCACCATCCCCATCGGCTTCGGCGTGACCTCCTTCATCGGCATCATCGTGTCGTCCTCCTCAACCGTCATCTACGGCGGCGAGCCGATCTGGGACCCGCTCGACCTCCTGGAGCGCTTCATCGACGACGGCGGGTCGGGGCAGCGGTTCGGCGTCTTCGTCATCGCGGCGGCCTTCTCGCTCGCGCAGCTGGGCACCAACATCGCGGCCAACTCGGTCTCGGCCGGCACGGACATGACGGCGCTCCTGCCGCGGTGGCTCAACATCCGGCGCGGCGGCTACATCTGCGCGGCGGTCGGCCTGGCCATGTGCCCCTACAACCTGCTGACGTCGAGCAACATGTTCACCACCTACCTGTCCGCCTACAGCGTCTTCCTCTCCTCCATCGCCGGCGTCATGGTCGCCGACTACTACCTCGTCCGCCGCGGCTTCCTCGAGGTCAAGGAGCTCTTCGACGCCCGCCGCTCCGGCCCCTACTACTTCACCGGCGGCTGGCACTGGCGCGCTTATGCAGCGTACATCGCCGGCATTCTCATCAACGTTGTGGGGTTCGTGGGTGCGGTCGGTGCCACTACCGTTCCGATTGGCGCCACATACTTATACAACCTCAATTTCTTTTGCGGATTTGGCGTGTCAGCCTCGGTGTACTGGGCGTTGTGCAAGGTGTCGCCGATCCCGGCTACGAGCGACAAGTGGATGGAGGTGGGCGATGAGATTGTTGATCTGAGACTTGCGTATGATGATCAGAGTGTCAGCCAGGAGGATGAGGAAGTCGACACGGGGAGTACGGTTAAGAATGTTGGAAAGACGGTCTAGGCGTGCTTGTTTGCTGGTTTGCTGTGGGATACCCATTTGAGTCGAGTTGTTCTGGGCGAAATGTTGTGTCATGCTAGACTCGGTTCGTTGAACTTTTGGAAATGCAGGAATCGGGAGCGGCGATTTAGCGCTCGGGAATTGGGGAATGAATTCATCATGTCGCTTCGTGGAACATAAAAAAGTGAATGACTTCCCCACTTCTGAAGCTGACCTACTTGGCCCGATCCGTGTGAATGATCATGTCTTCAAAGACTGCGATGTTGTCGAGATGTGAACTCTGGAGAGCTTCCATGAGCACAACCCCAACCCTGTGTGACTGCCCCACCTTGCGTGGATTCCAGATTGCTTGGCGGGCAAGCTGCGCGCGTGGGGCAAGCGGCAGAATTCCTCTCCGCCAAAAATTTCCCAGGCTTGCGGTTCAGCGCTGTGCTCCATCGGCCGAGACAGCAAGCCCGACCAGCCTTGGATTCACCCCATTTCCTCGCGCAACAGTCAAAATGGCGGCTGGGAACACGAAGGGTGGCCTCGCGCATCGAAATAAACCCACACCGAAAAAATCCGACGCGAGATCGCTCAAGAGGAAGAGGGGCCAAGAGGACCTGGGGAAGTTGAAAGCCGCCATTGATCAACTGGTGAGTTCTGCTATTCTATCTACTTCCATTGTTGTTGTCGGCCTTCTAACCTCTCAATGCTAGGACCCCAAGTCTCCCGACATCAAGCAATTCACCGACCTCCCCCTCTGCGAAGCCACCGCATCCGGCCTTCGCGCCTCCCATTTCGAAGTCTTAACCGATGTGCAACGAGCCGCGATTCCCTTAGCCCTGAAGGGCAACGACATCCTCGGTGCCGCCAAAACTGGCAGTGGCAAAACACTCGCCTTCCTTGTACCAGTCCTTGAGAAGCTCTACCATGCAAAATGGACGGAGTACGACGGGCTTGGCGCCCTCATCATCAGCCCAACCCGCGAGCTGGCGGTACAAATATTCGAGGTGCTGCGAAAGATTGGGCGGAACCATTACTTCTCGGCCGGTCTGGTCATCGGGGGCAAGAGTTTGAAAGAGGAGGCTGAGAGGTTGGGGCGGATGAACATCCTGGTTTGCACGCCTGGGCGGATGTTGCAGCACCTGGATCAAACGGCAGGCTTCGATGTCAACAACCTGCAGATTCTGGTGCTGGATGAGGCGGATCGGATTATGGACATGGGCTTCCAGTCGGCCGTCGACGCCTTGGTCGAGCATCTCCCTACGACAAGGCAAACGCTCCTGTTTTCGGCGACACAAAGTAAGCGCGTTTCAGATCTCGCACGACTGAGCTTGAAGGACCCGGAATACGTGTCGGCGCATGAGGCGGCCGTGAGCGCGACCCCCACGAATCTACAACAATCCTACATTGTAACGCCTCTGGCCGAGAAACTCGACACCCTATTCGGCTTCCTCCGTACCAACCTCAAGAGCAAAATTATCGTCTTCTTTTCCTCGGGCAAGCAGGTCCGGTTTGTGTTTGAGAGCTTCAAGCGCATGCAGCCCGGCATCCCGCTTCTCCATCTCCACGGGCGGCAAAAGCAGGTGGCGCGAATGGAGATCACTTCACGGTTTTCCTCGGCAAAATACGGATGCCTCTTCGCCACAGACGTGGTTGCCAGAGGCGTGGACTTTCCAGCCGTTGACTGGGTTGTCCAAGCCGATTGCCCCGAGGACGCAGACACATATATTCACCGCGTAGGGCGGACAGCCCGGTACGAGAGCAAGGGTCGGGCCGTACTCTTTCTGGAACCAAGCGAGGAGGCCGGGTTCCTCAAGCGGCTCGAGCAGAAGAAGGTCCCGTTACAAAAAGTCAACGTCCGTGAAAACAAAAAGAAGAGCATCAAGAACGAGCTGCAAAGTTACAACTTCCAGTCCCCTGACCTGAAATACCTCGGGCAAAAGGCTTTCATCTCCTACACCCGCTCCATCTACCTCCAAAAAGACAAGGAAGTGTTCAACTTCAAAAAGCTCGACCTCGACGGTTATGCCGAATCCCTCGGCCTCGCAGGTACACCCCAGATCAAGTACCAAAAGGGCGACGACATCAAGCGCCTCAAGAACGCCTCTCGCGCCGCCATCTCCAGCGGCTCCGAATCCGAGTCGGACGGCGAGGGCATCAAGCCCAAGAAGGACAAGAAACAAGTCCGGACCAAATACGAAAAGATGGCCGAGCGCCAAAACCAAGACGTCCTCTCCTCCCACTACCGCAAGCTCCTCGGCGAGGAGGACGCCGGGCCCGCCTCCGACGACGACGCCGACTTCCTCTCGGTCAAACGTGTCCTCGCAGACGACGCCCAGCTCGACGCGGCCGCGGGCGGCGACGCCCCCAACAGCACCACCACCGAACCCAAGGTCGTCAAACTCGGCAACAACTCAGAACTCATCATCGACTCCCACCGCCGCGAGAAGCTGCTCAAGTCCAAGAAGAAGCTGCTCAAGTACATGGACAAGGGCAGCAAGCTAGTCTTCGACGACGACGGCGTCGGCCGACCCGTCTATGAGCTGCAGGACGAGGACGACTTTGCGCAGCAGGGCCCCGCCGCCCACCTGCGCCAGCAGTTTGTCGCGGCCGAGTCTGAGAAGGTGAAAGAGGCTGATGTTGGTGATAAGCAGGCGGCGAAGCTGCGCCGGCGCGAGAAGAGGGAGCGGCAGAAGGCACGGGAGCGCGGGGAGGAGCTGGAGAGGGAGGGCGGCGGTGTGGCGATGCTGGATGGTGGTGGTGGCGGTGGGGAGGATGAGGGTGGTGATTATGATCCGCTTGCGCTGCTGCGGTCGTTGCCCGTTGCGGGTGGGGAGGGTGATGGTGGGGGTGGTAGTGGTGGGGAAGAGGACGGGGAGAAGGAACCGCCGAGGAAGAAGGCGCGGAAGTGGTTCCAGGATGATTCGGACCAGGAAGACGAGGATAAGCGGAAGAAGAAGAAGAAGGGTGGGAAGAAGGTCATTGAGATGGCGGAGGAGCCGGAGAATCTCGAGGATCTGGAGGCCTTGGCGGCTGGGCTGTTGGAGGATTAGGATGATGCTGGTTAGAGTGTGTGATTGCATGATACCTTTGTTGATTATGTCATTGTCGCGTTGGAAGTTCGCCTACCTACTTAATGGGCAATGTGGGGGAAGCTACGGGTTCAGAGCCAAGTCGAGGGAGGCATTTTTGTGTGACAGCGCATGTGAATTGCAACAGGAATAAATATTTGCTGGCGGCTAGAAACGGATCCTCAAGTAATAAAAGCATATCTAACGTCAAATCTGGAACGGTATGGTATCGTTCGCACTCCCCAATACGCCATGCGCCCCAATCCCCCCAAACCCTTCCTTTCCACCCCTCCTCACCACTCCCCTGTCTCCTACTCCGTCTCCAACTCCCCCACCTCATCTCCATACAACCTCACGCGATAAAAGCACGTGTGGTCCTTGGCGCCATAATTCGACACCGCCCGCAGCATGACCATATCCGTCGCGGCCCGCAACCGGTCCACCAAGTCGCGCGACAGCGCATGCACGTAGACGCCCTCGTCTTGCGCGCGGTGGTCGTAGACGAAGTGGCCAATCTTGGCCAAGCCCTGCTCGAACAGCCTGTCGTTGGCGGGGGGGCCAAAGTCGGCGGGGAACTGGACGGCCATCCAGTCGAGCACGCGGTCGTGGTGGTCCGGATCCTCGATGCGCGCCCACACCTCGACGTCGCGCGGCATGGCGAGCGGGTCCGTGGTCGCGGCCGGGTCGATGTGCTCGAGCAGCACGTGCTGCGGGATCACGAAGCGCGGCAGCTGCACCGCGAGCGTCGCCGGGTACGTGCGGTTGCGGTGGCCCAGCGTCGCCGCGCACCAGCAGTGGCCCGGGTCCGACCACGGCCGCAGCGCCTGCGACTTGTCCTGCAGGAATTGTGGCTGCAGGCGCATGGACTTGAGCCATTTCTGGGAACCGACCGGGGGCGCGTCGAGTTCGTAGGTTGGGGAGGAGAGCGAGATGTCGACTTGGGCGTTGTTGCCTGGGGAGAAGAAGTTTACGCGGTTGCGGAACATGGCATCGATCTTAGCGGCGCCCGGTCTGCTTCCTATTTGGGCGAGGCGGCGCACGATTTCCTTGTCGACCACTTTGTTGATGAGCGTGACGGTCTCGGCTTTGGTCATGCCGCCTTCAGAGGCGAGATTCCTGACTTCCCGTAGGACACCGTCGAGGTCCTTGCGGAGACCGCCCATCTCGATGTCGACTTCGTTCTTCGACTTGGCCAATCGATCCGTCAGCTCACGAATAAACTCGTTTTTCGAGACTAGAGCCTCATCGGGCTCTTTGGGTGGTCCCTTGGGCGAACCCTTGCCCTGTCCAATGGTGTCGGCAACCTTTTGTTTGTTCTTCTCCAGCCACTTTTCCCAAGACGCTGGTGCTGACTTATCCACAATCCGCGCCACGTCGTCGGCTGAGAGAGGCTTGCCAAGGAGACCGGCATCCTTTAACCGTTGCTCGATCGCTTTCCAGTGTGTCTCGGAAATGTGAGATTTGCCATCCAATGATAGGATGCTGTTGTCGTGTTGAATGAGAGCCTTGAGGGCGGCCCAAAACTCATCCGCGATGATTATCTTGCCCTTCTTGTCTTTCTTCACCGAGACAACCTTCGGGAGGACCGACTTGAGATTGTCCACAACTTTTTCGGTCGCTGAAGTCCTCCGTTCTAGATAGTCTTTGAGATCGTCGTATTGGTCATCTGTGAGTACGCCGAGAGGATGAAGAAGAGGCGAAGGGAAAAATTGGCCGACGTTGTGTGTCCAGTCATTCCAGCCGTACCAATTGAGCGTCAGGATGGGAGTCTCGAAGAGGTCCGGCCGAACGAGGCTTTGAGTGAAACGGATCACGTGGAGCAAGACGAAAGCCCCCGCAACCACTTTCACGGCCGACCACAAGCTGAATGATGTCTTGACATCAGACCAGCGCGGACGGTAGGTGTGAGGGCCCGTAACGGCAGGTTCTTCGGCTTGCTCGACTTGCTCCTCCCCTCGGTCCGCTTCACCTTTCCCTTCGTGAGGCTTAAGTCGGTTTCGCAGCTGGTGCAAATAATCCATGGCGACATCTGGATCAGCCAGCGTTTCTTGTGACGACCCGCCCACATCCTCCAGCTCCGGAGACCCACTCGCTGGCGGTGTGTGTGGGATACTTCCGCGGTACTGATTGGGATCCGGCGGTCGCTCTCGCCGGGAAGCTGGCGTGGTGCCGCCCGGCCGCCTTGGAGGTCTTTTTAGCACACTCGGGGGTGAGGCGTGCTCAACCGGGGGAGATGTGGGCAGTTGTGGCTCTTCTTCGAATGGTTGGGCGGGTTGAGGTGGCGAAGGCGGTGCAGCTAGGCCTGTTCGACGCATGTCCTTGGGCGGGGGCGGCGGGGTTGGTGTTTGGACGTTTGCCTCATGAAACAAGTTGCTTTCCTCGACGAAACTACGCGCTGACCCAGGTCGGTCACCACTGAGATCCGTCGGTAAAGCGGAGTTCTTCGGAGTCAGGGTCATATCGAGAGCAGGTCGTGGTATGAGTGGTTGAGGCGGGGGAGGCATAGCCGCTCTCGCCGCCTCCTCCCGTGCTGCTTGTTCGGCAAGTCGTTGCTGCTCCGCTTTCCGTTCTTCTTCGGCTTTCCGTTGCTGTTCAGCCTCTCGTTTCTGTTCCGCTTTCTTTTGCTGCTCCGCCTTCCGTTGCTGGGCGGCGTTCCGCCGCTGTTCTGCTTTCCGCTCCTGTTCGGCTTTCCGTTCCTCCTCCGCTTTGCGTTCTCGCTCCGCTTTCTCCTGGGCTGCGGCCTGGGCCTCGGCCAGCTTCTGAACCCGGCGGCTGCGAGCTTCCCCAGCTTCTACGGACCGCTCCCGCCTCAACCGCGCATCTCTTTCCTTCCGCTCTTTCTCAGAACGCGCTTCCGCTTCCTCATCGTCGCGGGCCCTCTTCCGGGCGTCTTTCGGCGCGGGCTTTCTGGGGGGTTGGCGTCGTTTTGTCCGCGGTTCATCCTGATCCTCGTACTCGCTCCCGTCTTCTCCATTCGACTGCTCCTCCTCCACACTCTCCTCCTCAAATTCTGCCCCATCCACCTCAATCGTAGGCCGTATCATCGGCGAAGGCGGAGAAGCGGTCGTGTCCCTAGAACCGGCCCGTGCCGCCCTTGCCAAATCCTTTGCTCGGCGACGGGCTTCCGCAGCGACGTTGTCCCTCTTCACCTTGGTAAAGATTTCAGCGGCGGCTTTGGTGATGTTGCCGCCGCCGCCAACCGCGGCCCGGTCCGGTAGCTGCGTGATTGGCGAACCGTAAGAAGTGCTGTATTTGGCGGGAACGGGCGTTCTAGCTTTTCCTCCCAGATCGGAAATGACTCGTCCCGTCACGGGATCCCTTGCGGGGGTCGAGGCTCTTGAGCCCTGCGGCCCGGGAGACGGGCTCGCGGTTGCCCGCAGGCGACGTCTGGGAGGCATGGCGTTGATGATCCCAATACTTTCTTGTGATGCTGTCGCAAAACGTTGCGAATTCGCAGGCGACAGCTGCGGACTGGTCGTAATGTTAGCCATTGTCGCTGGTTTCGAGTGACTGGCGGTCAAGCGCTAAGCGCCGGGAAATGCGCATCAATGATCGCAACCAGTGAGAAAGGTGGGGTTGATGAATTGCGACGAGTGAGAAAAAAAGAGGACAATAAATCTGGAGTGAAGCGCTTACAGACGGGTCGAACAATAGCCGCCGTTATTGTAAAATAGGAAGAAATGGAATGAATTTTGGTTGGGTATGAAGGCTGAAAACCCGAAGCATTTACCTTGAGTGACAGCGTGGCCGCCGAGGTGACAATTGACAGCCTCAGATGGAAAGGCTCCGACGCCCAACACCAGCACACACCCCGAACACGTTTCGACACGTCACAGCCCGGCACTTTCCCCACGGTGGCTGGGGAGCGTCCCAAGTCGATAGGGCAATTGAAGACGGCCGAGCCTCGCGAACAGGTGATAGGTCCCGGCGATGGTAATGCCGAGTTGGCGATTTAGTCTGACGTCGCTCTCCGATCGGCTGCAAGGTGGTTCATGGCGAGCCGGGATTGAAGCGGATTGGAAGCAGGAGCTCGAGGGAACTGACTGGGTCGTGGAGCAACTAAAACGAGAAGGCGCGTAGAATCACAGGTTGGCTTTGCACTCCGGGTTCGCATCGCAAGCGGAAAGAAAGCACTTGTTTGGTGACCGAAAACGGCGTTCCCTTTGAGCTCTCGAAGGCGATGACCTTTTAGGGCTGCGCAGCAGAACCCATCTCTTTGTCCTCGTTGGGCAGTTGGCATGCGCTGTGAAGCGGCGCGTTTTCCGACGTCGCCCTGACAGCTGGAAATGAGGCCCGTGCCGCTGCATGGGGGGGGCTGGGAATTTCCAGCACAGCTGACTCAGCATTAGACCCCGATTGCTACATAGATGGATGGCTATCGTTGTATGGCGTACGAATTGCAGTATACCGTGTATGCAATTACCAATCCTACAAATTGCGGCCACAAGGATCCTTCTGTTTCAAGTTTCAAATCGCAGATCGACTTGCCAAGTCAGCAGATCTGCAACGCACAACATGGGACATTCTGGTCCTTCAATGGTGATCCAGCCAGCATCGGCCGGGGCTGTGCCTCGATTCCTCAGAGCGGGAGGGGGTGGAGGAAACGAAAATGGACAGCTTCAGCTGGGGGGGAAGCATGTTCTCTGTGTTTTCGACGAGGTTTATTTATACTGAACGACGTTCCCCGGCCCGGAGCCATCATCCCTCTCGACAATTGTGTTGGTGGTTTGGGTTCGACGCAGGTTGCGAGGGTTGAAAGGTGGGCCCCTCACTCACACACGGCCCAGTACCACAAGCCGGGGGCGGGCGCCCCACGTTTCAATGGCAAGCTGCGGGCAGGCTAGCGAGATTCAGGGTGCGACCGTCGGAGGAGGCACCATGAGAATTTGTGCCATTTAAGAGTTGCGACTGACCGCTGCACACAAGATTTGAGCTGCCCTCTTTGTCACATCAGAATCGTGTCTCCCATTAACTACTTTCCCTCGCTCACGAACAACAAGAAGATAAAGACGAAATGGCTGTCGGAACTGTCCTTGTCACTGGGTAAGGATGCCATTCCACCCCTCGTTCTTCCCCGCCTTGGCCAACCACTTCGTGGAGACCCCGCCAAACCACCAAAAAGTTAGATGGTGATGCTAATTACCCTCGACCGTCTTGTAGTGGTACCGGCTACATTGGGTCATTCACTACCCTAGCTCTCCTCGACAACGGGTACGATGTTGTGATTGTCGATAGTCTCTACAACTCCTCAAAGGTTGCCGTTGACCGCATCGAGCTCGTCTGCGGGAAGCGCCCTGCGTTTTACCAAGCCGACATCACGAACGAGGCTGCCCTCGATGAGGTTCTTGCCAAGCACCCCGAGATTGACAGCGTTATCCACTTCGCGGCCCTCAAGGCGGTCGGCGAATCTGGTGAAATCCCGCTCGAGTACTACCGCGTCAATGTCGGCGGCAGCATCTCTCTGCTGCGGTGCATGGAGAAGCACAACATCACCAACATCGTCTTCTCGTCCTCGGCCACCGTGTACGGCGATGCCACGCGCGTCCCCAACATGATTCCCATTCCCGAGCACTGCCCGATTGGTCCCACGAACACCTACGGCCACACCAAGGTCATGATCGAGACGGTCATCACCGACCACGTCGAGGCCCAGCGGCGCAACAACCAGAAGGCCGGCAAGCCCCACGAGCAATGGAACGGCGCTCTGCTCCGGTACTTCAACCCCTGCGGCGCACACCCAAGCGGTATCATGGGCGAGGACCCACAAGGCGTCCCCTACAACCTCCTCCCTCTGCTCGGGAAGGTGGCGACGGGCGAGCGCGAGAAACTGCTCGTCTTTGGCGATGGTGAGTTCCCGGTGAAAGGCCGCGGCAATAGAGTTGAAAGGTTGGCTAATTGTTTGCATAGACTACGCTTCCAAGGACGGCACCGCGATCCGCGACTACATCCACGTCCTCGACCTTGCCAGCGGCCACTTGGCCGCCCTCAACTACCTCCGCGAGCACAAGCCCGGCGTCAAGGCATGGAACCTGGGCTCTGGCCGTGGCAGCACGGTCTTCGAGATGATCAAGGCCTTCAGCAACGTCGTTGGCCGGGACTTGCCCTACGAAGTGGCTCCCCGGAGACACGGTGACGTCTTGGATCTTACGGCCCACCCCGCCCTCGCGAACAAGGAGCTCCAGTGGAAGACCCAGCTCACGCTAGAGGACGCATGCGCCGACCTTTGGCGCTGGGTGGAGAACAACCCCAAGGGATACCGGCAAGATCCGCCGGCTGAACTCCTCGAGGCGCTCAAGGCTAAGAAAGCCTAAGCCATACCCATTCTAATTATGGCTAGAGTTCGGGGTGCGCTATTGGAGAAAAGGCGACTTATTAGAGCTAATTAATCCATGAATAGATGAATGAAAGACACTGTCGGTTTAAACCTTGAGCAGCAGCTTGCCTGCGGTCTTCCTCCCCTCCAGATCGGAGTGTGCCTGACCAACATCCTTGAGGGGGTACACCTCATGAATCTTGACCTTCACCTTACCAGCCAGCAGCAACTCAAACAGCTCCTTGGTGTAGGCGGCCCTCTCCTCCTTGGTCACAATGTACGAAACGAGCTGCGGCCGCATCAACTTGATGTTTTTGGCGCCCAATTTCAGAACGTCGACGGGCGGCACCGGACCAGACTGTTGTTAAAAGCGTCAGCCATCACCACCACCCTCAAAAGGCGTCCTCACCAGCACATCACTCACCGCGTTCCCAAACACAACCAGCGTCCCCTTGCGCGCAATCATCTCCAGGTCCCCATCAAACGTCGCCTTACCCACCCCATCAAAAATAACATCCACCCCCTTCCCACCCGTAATCTCCCTCACCCTCCCCACCACGTCCTCACTCTTGGAGTCCACCACCCACTGCGCCCCATTCCCCCTCGCCAGCGCGCACTTGGCCTCGCCCCCCGCGGTACCAATCACGCGCGCCCCGTGCGCCGCGAGCATCTGCACCAGCATCAACCCCGTCCCGCCCGCGGCGGCGTGCACCAGCGCCCAGGGTCCCTCGCTCACCCCAAGCTGCCCCTGCCCCTTCACCTGGTCACCCGGCCGCGCCAACCCGGCCGCCTCCCGAACGAAGGTCAGCGCGGTCAGGCCCTGCAGCAGGCTGGCGGCGGCCGTGTCGGTGGCGAGGCCGGCGGGGATGGCGGCGGCGCGGTCGGCGCCCACGGCGGTCAGCTCCGCGTAGGCGTGGTCGGCGACGTAGGCGACGCACGTGCCTTCCTGCAGGGACGGGTCCGAGGTGTGCACGGAGGGGTGCGCGGCGATGATGGTGCCGGCGGCTTCTTTGCCGGTGATGAGCGGGAGGGGGGATTTGTAGAGGCCGGTGCGGAAATAGCTTTTGGGGGTGGGGTGGTGGTGTTAGTGGTGGTCTCGTGGAGTGTGGATGGAAGAACGGGGGTGGTGGTGCGGGTGCGGGGTGGCCTTGGACTGAGTTCAGGTACTTACGTGTCGATGAAGTTGACGCCGACGAACTCGTTCCGGACGAGGATCTCGCCCTCTTTAAGCTCCGGCACGGGTAGGTCGGTCTTCCACTTGAGCACTTCCACTCCACCCGTCTCCTCGATGAGGATGCCGGACATGGTTTTCGGAACTGGCGCCATCGTGGTGTAACAGCGGGGTTGCGCGGGGTAAAGTCGATGGGAAATCTGCGATGAGAGAGGAATCGAGTTGGTATGACGGGCTGAAAGCTGTCGATAAAAGGTAGAGGATCTTGGCGATGATGTCAATCCGCTGTATCTCCGAATGCAAGAGCCCCGACCACAATGTTGAAAATCTGAGAAGTTCAATTGGGGCGTGCGGTGATGCGATTGCCATGCTGGAAGGTGCAACCCCAAACCGGTTCGGACCCACGTCACCGTCACAGATTGTACTCTCGCGCGCATGATTCCGACTCACCATCCAATTTTTCACAAAGGGATTATGGTACCTACCTACCTATGTAAAGGTGAATGGGGTGAGCTCGTGTGCTGGGGAGCCGGGCACCGCTTTTGTGGCTCGCTGCTGCGACCCTGCGCGAACGGGGGGGGAATTCAGACACTCACCTCATGAACAAAAGAAGCCGAACTCCGAGTGTAGATGTCGGCAATGGAAACTTCGAGTCCTCGGCTGGAGGAATATACCGAACGTCATCCTAAAGCCCAAATAAACTCTATTTACTCCATTTCCTTTTCTTTTACCCTTTTCTTTTCCTTTAACTTAGTTTTCTCGATCTCTTTTCATTTGTTCTTTTTGCTTGACTTCTTGCTTTCCTTTCGAGTTCGGCTTTTTTTCGGCCAGAGGGTGACAAGCAGCAACAAGAGTTGGAATCCGGCATGTGCGGAGGTAGTTATGATTCAGGGGTAAATTTTTCCACGATTTCAGGGTCCCGGTCCGTCTTACGATACTTCTCTCCTACCAAGTTTCCTCAAGTGACTGGCTACAACAGCTGTATAGGTGCCGTAGTGCTGGTTGTTTTGTCTCGGGAACAAATTCAAGGTGAAGTGCAATTTAATGGCAACTACCGGCGTGATTGTAGATGAACCAAATGTGACCACATACATCGATGAAAACATGTCTATACCACTGACTGCAGCACTACTAATTGCATCATCCCAAGCCCGCAATCACGTACCGCTAGGACATCGGTGGAACCGCGTTCTTTCTACCGAGGTGGCGCGTGACGTAGAAGAGATGTGTTATAACCCGCGGCAACACAGCAGCGGTGCAGAGATCCCAAGAGTAGGGTAAACTAGAAATATAATAGAGATTCTAGAATAGTACCCCAAGGCTGCCCTACACCTATCTGGGCAGGGAGACCGCAGAGAGATACTTCCAGAACGGAAAGCTTATGTCTGAAACTTCACCTGCCCTCGCCTTTTATGGACAGGGTCGAAAAATATGTCGGGGTCCGCGTATGTCCCCCCCAGCCTGTCCCACATGTCGGAAAACTGCCCAAAGTTGAATTGGATGCTCTTGTGGTGCACCGTGTGAAACTGATCCCGGTTGTCGTCTGCGGAACAGAGATCAGAATGAGCATACACACAGCTCTGGGGAATAGAGGGCGCAAACGACTTACGGAGCAGAAATGTCCAAATGTTGGTCACGAAAAAGACAACTAGCTGCCCTACGTCTGACATGGGCCAAATGAAGCTGTAGGCGTAAATAGGCAGGCTCATGATCCACCCTTCGAGCGGGTCAAAGGCATACGCAGAAAACGGCGTCGGAATGACGAACCTGTCCGGGATGTTAGAAGGGTGCCCAGATGATCGTGGCTTCTGGTTCGGGGTCTCGCGTGCTCACATGTGGTGTTTGTAATGCGCCATCCTGAACAGCACGGGATGGTGAAATGCCCTGTGCAGCCAGTACATGCACGTATCGCTGAAGAGCACGAAGAGAGGATACTGCGCCACCTCGTACCAAGCGCTACCCGTCCCAAACGCGTAGATCTTGGCGAACCCGCGCACCTGGGCCACGAAGATGGGCACTGTCAGTACGTTGAAGACCAGCAGTGCGGTCAGAGAGGCTGTGATCTCGGAGCGGATCTGGTTCGGGCGGAACTTTGGCTGCTTTTTCAACGACTGGTCAAAGTTGCGGTAATAGCAGACGGTCCCGAAGAGGAGGTAGAAAAGCGAGCTTGAAAGCCATGTCACCAAGAAGATGCTGATGCTTTGGCGGCACAGACCATGCCGTTGCCAGAGGCTTGGGTTCGCCGTGAGGTTGCAAAGCCACTGCTTGCTCTTGTCGATGGTCACACTGGTGGATGGTGACAATTGCGAGGATTGTAGCCAGCCCGAGTCTGTTCCATTCGTGGTTGCACATATGGTCTCGGCCAGTCGGAACGACGAGCCATAGACGCCGTCCAGGAGGACCGGGTTGAGATGGTTGAGTATCGCCTCCATTTCTTTCGTCAACTACTGCTATCGGGCAGTCGCAACAACAAGGGAAGCCGAGCATCAAGGTGAAAAGCCTGCTTCATATTTGGCGGTGGCTGCGAGCGCGATATCTCGAGACTAACTGGCGGTCAGCGGGTACCGTTGAGTACTTTGTTAGTGGGGTGTGTGATCGTCGATCTGGGCCAACAGTATATGTAAGAAATTTCACGATGTCTCAGGTCACAGAGAAGCTGAATGCCCCTCGGTATTTAGCTCCAGCCTTGTCTCAGACATGCTGGACCCACAACGGAGATCTTGAACTGGACGTGGTCCGACGACGGGAGTCGAAGTTATTAGGTCCTCGGTACGTATAAGACGGAAGAGACTTTGGTGTGCAAATCGTGCTGTAACCAAGCACACCAATAACAGACCCACCACAGGATCTTGTCAACGGATTCGTGCACTGACAATGTATGAACCAAAAGCCACCAGCTGGACGAGCGTTGTCGTCAATGAGTTCGTGAGTTTGCAACTCGTAGCGACTAGCCCAATCCTGGACTGGTTTGTGTCGATATCCTACGACGATTTTGATTCATCGTTGTCCTCCGCTGCCAAAGCCTTCCTTTCTGAGCCAATCTCCTTCTTTACTTCTCGTTTGCCGACAGTCACGGCCACAGCCGTCGCAGCTTACTTGTCCTGGGTCGTGTTCCAGGCGTGTTTGTACGTCTTCGTCCCCGGGCCCCTCCACCAGGCCCCACGGACACCAGGGGGAAGACGCCTCCTCTACCGGCTGAATGGGTTCTCTGCGTGGGCCGTAACGGTGGCACTTGCAGCATATGCGTCCTATGCGGGATTCGTTGACCCGGCAGTCATCGCAAAGCACTGGACTACCACCATAGCCACGGCTATGGTCTATTCGTTCGCACTCATCGGGATCTTCTACATCAAGGCTCGTGTGGTGCCCGACAATAAGGGGGACACCCTGTTGACCGGCAAGTTCTCCGTTTTCCCGGACCTTCCGCTGTCCTTTTCACCGCTGCTCCCCTAACACAATACCTAGGCCACTTTTGGTATGATCTTTTCAATGGCGGAGAGCTCCATCCGCGGACTGGGCAGCTGTTCGACTGGAAGCACTTCAATGCCAGCCGGACCGGCGGTATCTTGGCATGGACGTTGATGTATGGCGCCGGATACTCCCTCAGCATGTCCATTGTAGCTGACCGATGTACAGTGACCTTTCATTTGCTGCTCTGCAGCACCAGCGATTTGGTTCCGTGACCAATTCAATGGTTCTGGCCGTTGGGTTCCGAGCCGTCATTGTTGCAGAGTACTTTCTCTACGAAGATTTGTGAGTCGGAATATCTGTACAACAACACCTTTGTAACCGGATGCTAATTCGTGGATGGCGGGCAGATTCTTCGAGACTCTCGACGGCGCGCACGAACGGTTCTCCTTTTACAACATCTTCGGCTTCGCCGTCATGATGCCGCATCTGTGGACTTTGCAAACGCAGTATCTTGCTACTCACCCCGTCCGGCTTTCCACGCCGGCGGTGGTCTTGGTCGTCATTGGCTTTGCCGTCGGTTGGACGATTAACCACATTGCCAATGAGCAAAAGGCCGCATCTCGACGGACGAATGGGAAGTTTCGCATTGGCGGACAGGAGGCGAAAACGGTCGAGGCAAAGTATCACACGGCGGACGGCAAAACACATCGCACCATCCTTCTCTGCTCCGGTAATTATTACATGCCCCTTTGGACAGGAACATCCTCGTAAGGAACCTTCCACCACATGTACTAATATGGGTGCACTTAGGTCTGTGGGGAATTGTTCGTCACCCAAACTATGTCGGTAGCATCACCTACGCATGGGCCTCGTGTTTGCCCTGTGGTAGCGGCCACCTCCTCCCCTACCTAGAGGCGATCCTCGTCACCGGTATTTGCATTCACCGCTGTTTCCGTGACGAGGCAAGATGCAAAGCCAAGTATGGGGAAGCATGGGCCGAGTACTGCCAGCATGTCAAGTCGCGTCTGATCCCTGGGGTCTTTTGAGCGGGGAGAAAGCCGCCCAAATATCTACCAAACTTTGTATTATTATCCATGACCGCTTCTACCCACCTGATGAAGTCCCTACCGTAGACGCTACCCCATTCAATCCCGCATGCGAAGCAAGGCCCAAGCAGCTACCCTATAACCCAATATAATTGCCACCACGATGCCAACGTTTTGCCCCTGGTCCGCCATCTTGATCCCGTACTGATCCAAAATCGTTTCCCCAGAAATGTGACATTGGTCTGGAAGTGATGGGTATCTACAGTGGCATCCCGCACCGCAGCTGTACGTCGCCCCATCAAACTGCGTGGCCATCATGCCCCGAAAGACGTATCCCTGCGAGTTCCAATAGTAGAACCCGTATTTGTAAAACACATTCAGCTGCGAAGGTGGTACCAAGGTACCTGCAGTCGCGAAGGCGATAACGTTCAACAAAGACGTGATCACCAGTGCGCCGACGAAGTTGGGGATGATGGCAACCGAGAGAATGACCACACCTTCGGCCGCGATCAGGTTCAAAAACAGCCACGATATCCAAGTGAAGAAAGCACCGGCGGATGCGCGGCAACCCCCCAGCCAGTAGAACAAGACGGAAAATGCGGAGGAGAAAAGAAACTGGTACGGCATGCCCACGACGAAATTGGACAGCAAAAAGGAGCCGGCACCATACAGGCCGTTGCAGCGGTCCAGACGGAACTGACGATAGTCCTCGATGAAGGCCGGGACATACGTCACGGCCATAAAAGACATGAACGCACAGGAGACTAAGAGGGCGTTAATCAGGAGCTGGATCGAGTTCTGGTCGCGATCCATCTGCAGCCAGATGGTCCCTGCTAGGAGCCCCAACGCCGTGTACATGGCAAGTCGCAAGGTGTAGGCCAAACCATCCCGATACGATTTGATGAACGTTCTGTGAGTGAGCACCGCCAGTCGGCCCGGAGAAGACGGCTTGGATCCGGCGTCCCAAGCCAATTCCGGGGTGACCCTGGCAGACGCAATGACTCCAGCGTTCTGCTGACGCAGGGCGGATATTCCCCAGAGCGACGCCAGTTCGGCCACACGCTCGCGCTCCGGGACAGCGGCTTCATTCTGGGCAAAGTCGGTATTGACCAGCTCGAGCAGAAAGTCCGCCGGGTTTGCCCGCTCGGGGATCGTCACGCCAATGCTCGCGTAGTAGTCCACCACCCGGTTGATGGGGCCGAAATAGTGTGTCTTGCCCGCCGACAGAAGAAGCAACTTGTCAAAGAGGCTAAAGGTCGATGTCGATGGCTGGTGGATGGAGCACACGACGATGAGGCCGGTTCTCTTGGCAAGCTGTCGCAGGTGGCTGACGACGTGGCAGCTGGCTACCGAATCAAGACCGCTCGTCGGCTCGTCAAGAAACAGGATACCGGGGCCGGTGACCAGTTGCTTGGCCACCGTCAGCCGGCGCTTCTGGCCGTGGGATATGCCGCCCCCGACGCGCCGTGTCCTCAAGCCGACAAGCCCGAAGGCTTCGAGCAGCGTGTCGACGCGAGTCTCGGCCTCATCCCCGCGAGGGATGCCCGCGAGCCGAGAGGCAAAGTGCAGCGTCTCTCTCACGTTCAGGGCGCTGATGAAGATGTCGTGATCTTGGGCGAATGACGTGACGTGGCGGAAGACGTTGCTCGGCACCTCGGCCCCATTGACGAAGATCTGTCCACTGACGTGGGCTGCCTTGATCGGCCGTTGTGCAAGTACGTTTAGGAACGTGGTCTTGCCGCACCCTGATGGGCCCATGACAGCGCAGCATTCACCTGCATGTTTCATGCTTAGCCGCAGCTCAGCCAGTAAAGTCAATCATTGGGAGAAGGGGGGATAACCAACCAGCTTGCATGATGCCCTCGACATTGTCGACTAGCGTCTTGGGCTGTCCGGTCTTGCCATCCTTGACCTTGACTGTCAAACCGCTCCATGATAGCGTCTCGACTGGGGCGTTGAGAAGCCGTTTCTCTGCAACAGGAAGCTGCTCGGGGTCCATGGCCGGCTGTTTCGGTTCCATAATGAAAGAATATTGTAGGGCTTTGTGGTTGCGGAGGTGACGGGAGATTGAACTACTCCAACGAACGCAGTCAAAGAGGTGACCTTACGAGGACCAGGACTGAAAGCTATAGTAGCTCGTGAGCTAACTATTTCTAAGGCTATCGCGGCAGTTGCACCAGCAGCGATGGCATCTTGGCTGATAGATGATCATACCGGATTGGGGTAGGTTTTAGAATGGGTTCCAGACCGCCTCGAGATCGCTGGTCGGCCAAGATCGACGTCCCTAGTTGATTGCTCGGTGTCTCAGATTTGCGCAGTGAACACACATTGCTATGGATGAAAGGGGCCAAGACATTGTTGAGATGGAAGACACAGCTGAATGTCAGGCGTACACCTTCCGGATGTGGAGACTAGACAGGGAACTGCAAGTGACATTGAGTACATTGCCTTGTGATGGACGCAAATGCGGTGAGCCGCTTGTGGTCGGAGTCGGTGCAGTAAAAAGCCAGAAAACAGTCTAGGAAAGGGTGATGCTGACGGGTTTCCATCTTAATTTGGCGCACTTGCCTCCCTTCTCTGCTCCGTCCCAACACCGTCCATCGATAACAGAGATTGTGAGGCGTCACAGAACTCCATATTCGAAACCTCATCTGGCGGCTACCATGGCTACTACCCTAGTTAAGACATATATCACGGAGTCCCACATCTTGCTGGCGAAGGACAAAGAAAATGTTCAGGCGGCCGACCGGCCAGGGCAGCCCAAAGCCCAAGGTCCCTCTCAAGCCACTCAAATCAGCTTACAACGCCATGACCGCATCGTCAGCCGTCTGGCTGCCGAGGTACAACTTTTCGCCGAGCGTGGCGAAAGGTTCCGTATCAGCCACGGTTCCAGCAACTCGACACGCCCTACACACACGGGGAACCTGCTCGATATCAGTCCCCTGAACAACGTTCTGCTCGTCTCAAAAGACCACTCGGACATTGGGCTCGACAGCTGGTGCCTCGTTGAGCCCAACGTCCCCATGGACAAGTTGGTTGAGGCCACCCTGCCGCATGGACTCGTTCCCCCGGTTGTCATGGAGTTTCCCGGCATCACAGTTGGGGGAGGCTTCTCCGGGACTTCGGGGGAGAGCAGCTCTTTCCGCCACGGCTTCTTCAGTGACAATGTCCATGAAGTGGAGATGATATTGGGAGATGGCCAGGTGGTCAAAGCCTCCAATGAGAATCACCAGGATCTGTTCCGTGCTGCCGCTGGCGCCCTAGGCACTCTCGGAATCGTGACGGCCTTGAAAGTGCGACTGGTGCCGGCCAAACGGTTCGTCCACGTTCGCTACTCCCGCCTCGGCAGCTTCCCGGACGCCATCAGTGACCTCCACAAGATGAAGTCCGGCTCTTTCGAGTATCTCGATGCTATTCTGTACTCTAAGCAACACGGCGTGGCGATAACGGGCAACCTTGTTGACGAGGAGATGGTGCCAGGGGGCACTCGCATCAAAACTTTCAGCAACGCCGCCGACGATTGGTTCTACCGACATGTCCGCGAAAAGACAAGCCAGCTAGCCCCGGGCAGTGAGGCCGAGGACTACGTCCCGCTCGCTGAGTTTCTGTTCCGCTACGACCGTGGCGGCTTCTGGGTGGGCGAGATGGGCTACGACTACTTTCACAACATCATCCCCTTCAACGGCTTCATGCGGTGGCTGCTAGACGACTTTTCGCACACCCGCACGCTGTACCACGCCCTCCACGCCACGGGCGTCACTCGCGAGCTGGTCATACAGGATGTTACGGTGCCGTGGGACAATGCGACAGAGCTCATCGACCACATCAGCGACGACCTCGAAATCTGGCCACTATGGCTGTGCCCCCTGGCCAAGGCTCAGATGCCAACGTTCCACCCCATGACGACATCGTCGGTGGCAAAGCCTGGACCCTCAACCTCGGACGAGATGCTCAGCATTGGCCTCTGGGGTTGGGGACCCAAGAAGCCAGGTGAATTCGTGGCAAAGAACCGCGACCTGGAGGCAAAGCTGGAAGAACTCCGCGGCCGCAAGTGGCTGTACGCGCACATGTTCCACACCGAGGAAGAATTCTGGAGGCTTTATAACCGCGAGTGGTACGAGGGTCTGAGGGAAAAGTACCACGCAACCAATTTGGTGAACATATATGACAAGATTAGGAGGGGTGGAGGTGGGACAAAGAATTGGGCGCAGACAATAAGGGAGATGTGGCCGGTGGGTGGACTGTGTGGCATGTGGAGGGCGGTGCGATCAGGGGATATTAGTTTGCATCGTAATGCAAAGTGGAAGTGGCTTGGTGCCAGTTGAGTGTACAATAATAGTTCTAGCTGAACTACAAGCTTTTAGTTGCAAGATGATACCACTAGGAATCCCGGCCTCCCACTGCTCCCAAACAAACAACGTCATCCCATAGTCCCCTGTTCACGGATGAGCCGACTCTGTCGGGGACGACATCAACGAATTCCGCCCCGTCGCCTCCAAAGAAGCTACTGCTAGGCAAAGCGAGGACACCCTGCCGTCCGAGTCGTCCATCACCGAGCTGACACTGCTCGACCGAACCCTGAATGCTGGAGGATCGTTCAGTGGCTAGGAAGCGTTGCAAGGCCGGGAATCGCCGGGACAACAGCTAGCGTCGACGACGGAGCTAGGTCTGAGGGTGACTTAACGCAGAGATTGGGAAAGGTGGCTGAAAACTTACGCGGCAAACGTGAGTAGATCAAATCTTTTAGAAGAAGGTACATGATGGATAGGTTGCTGGGTTGTACGGAAACGGAGAGGGCAAGGTAGAGAGATACAAGGCTGGGGAGGATTCTGGCGAGTGCCGGTATAGTGGTAGTGCTTTTTAGCAATGAGATATCGAAGCTTTGGCAATGCAGTTGTGGACCAAAGACTCGGATGGCTGAAAGATCTGAACCACCTAGCCTGTGGCTTTGGCGGTGTGTAATGAATATCGACGTTGTTAGCGGAGCTCAATTTCGCCGAACGCTTTTCCTTCCTTGATCCCTCCCCCATCCGCCAGCCCAAAGACATAGGTTGGGCCGACAAGTTGATACCGCGGCGGAGTGCTGGCATTTATCTGGCTTAGCTCCCCTCGGAGGACGAAGGGTACATGCGCTCCGGCAAGCACTGCAATCTCGTCGGATACGGCCGTATTCTCTGGTCCTAGGCCAGGCCGCCCGCTATCGTCAATCAGTGCCCGCCTGTTGTAGACCTTCCATACCCGACGATAATCCCAGGACTCGGACATCATCCAGTCTTGTTTAGCTGCCTCACCGTCCAGATCCAGTGGAGGTGATTCCCGGCCTGTCAAGACATTAAATCCGTGGATGAATCGGTTGGGGTCCTCGGCGTCTGCTCGCTTCACGAGGCCCATATCGGCGATGGGAACTCGCCACGTCTCCTTGTCAACATCCCGAACGACACTAGCACATTCTTTCACCATCTGGTCAACCTCCAGCAACCAGTCGTGACACTCATTCAGATACGCGGGCGATCCAGGGGCTGCTTTGAACACTCGTCCAACCTTTTGAACCCGCCCCACGATAACTCCCGGCAGTGAAACCACGGGGTTTTCGTAGACGAGGTGTCCAACCCGGCTTTTTGGAGCCCAGTCTCGCCAGCGGGCCCCGCCGCTGGCATCACCGCGTGACTGGGCCTCGCTCTCGGTGCCGAAAGAGACGCCGCCGATTTGGGGCATCATGCGTGGGGCCGTCCAATCGGGCACCCAGGAGGGAAGTTTGTCTTTCACATTGACGGGCATGACCTGAGGTGTCTTCTGACAGAAACAGAGAATATCGGGGCCGTGGTTCTCGAGGAGCACCTTGCCGACAGCGAAAAGGACCTTGTTGATCGTCATGGCTGGGGAATAGTCGATGGGGATTCTGCGCCGGTCTTTCTCGCGCACCATCCCGAGAAGGCCGTAGATCCTGTCTCGCGGATCGGTGGCTTGAATTGCGCCATCATCACTCGTGCCTAACGAGGTCCATATGATGGTGTCTAGCAGCGGCATGCCGGCAGAGCCCAGGTCCTGATCCGAGATCCCACCGGCCCTCGCCTCCTCCAACGAACGCTTGTATCCGTCCGATGCCAACGCCAGATGCGACACGTTGGGGTAGATGTCACCCAGCAGCGTGTACAGCCTGCGATGCTGTGGTTCCGTGCTCGGGTACAGCACCATCTACTCCAGCAACCGCATACACTCGCTGACATCCTCCCAGTCCACAGACGTCACCCCCGCCTCGGGATCCGCACCACACATCACCACCGCCTTCCGCGCGAGCACCACCTCCTGAATAATCCACACCCGCCGCCACCACACCCTCCCCCTAAACAGCCGCCAAACCGCCTCAAAATGAAACCCCACCGTCCCCCCATCACCACCACCACCCCCCTCAGTAACCGCAAACCCCCTCACCGTCCTCACAAAAGCCTCCACCCTCCCCGCATCCCCCACCCCGCCCAACCTCTCCCGCACCTGCTCGCGAAACAACCCCCCCAAATCCCGCACCACACGCAGCGCCGCCCCATCCCCCTCCGGCCCCAACCAGACCAGCACCCCCTCGGCGGCACCATAGATCCGGCTCATGAGCGGCACCTGGGTGTTCTTCTCGGCCGTGTCGGCCTGGTTGATGCACAGCGCGTCCACCCACAGGTGGCCCGCCCAGCGCTGCCGTGCTAACCGGGTGATGGCGCTGTGCAGGTTGGGGGTGACGGGGACGGGGAGGGTGTTGATGGTCAGGTGGGGGAGGGCCGTGGTGGTGGTGGGGAGGCCCCAGACGTAGGAGAGGGCGGTGAACTTTACTGGGGGGTGGGTGGTGGAGGGGGGGGATGGGGAGAGGGCGGCGTGGGTTAGGGTGAGGGTGTAGGTTGGTGCTGAGGAGGGGGGAGGGGTTGGGGGGTTGGTTGACGGTGGCGGGTTTGGGGGGTAGGAGAGGGTGAGGAGGCGGATTTCGTGGGTTGAGGGGTCGAGCGGGAGGTAGGGGTATGGTTGGGGGTTGGGCGTTGACATTTTGGTGGTGTGGTGTGGTCGGGCTTAGGGGTTGGGGGGGAGTGTAGATTATCCCTGACTCGGCGCCAAGGTGGGTAAGGGAAGAAGTGATGATAGTTTTGTGTGGTGTTGAGGGAATGAATGGAAACTCGCGTGGTGCCAAGGATTGACGCTGACTGAGCCCCCCGTTGCGGGGACCCGCGTACGCGGGAGTTATCGCCGATGTCGCGCATATTAAAATGCATGTTCTATTACCTACCTTGATATGACTTTTTTGTTTGTGTGCGAAGCACCTCGAGGCCGCGTAACACGCGCCAAGCGCCATGTTGCCGAGGGTTTTTGGGGGTCAACCTCCTGTTGTTGAAAGAGCGTTGTTGCGGAATCCCGAGTGCCAAGCCCACACGGGTTCCTGACAGCGGGTTGGCACCCGAAGCCGCCCGGCCCGAGTTGGTTGCACCGACCTCGATCGCCCTTCGACGCGTGAGGTAATCCCAACCACACAAAAAAAAAAAAACCAAGAGCACCCAATCAGCATTTTACAACACTCGAAGTTCACCCTGCGTCGAGGCTGTATCGAACCGGCGACACTGCATTGTATCCGAGGTGACATCGAGCGGACAGTTGCATTCTCCTTTGCGGATTGTTGAGGCTGTGCTGCGTGGCGTGAGGTGGCCCTGGGGTTGAGATGAAAGCCTGCGCAAGCGCCGCTCGACCACTTCCGCTTCGGGACAAGGCAACCTCTGTGCTGAATCCATCCTCATAACCAACCTCGTCAGTGCGAGCAAAGCGTTTCGCATTTTCTATCAATATTTCCTCTCATTCATCCCGTTGCCACATTCGCACTGATTTTCCTCAATCAGACAGCTTCCCATTTGGCATTTGTCGTGGCGACACAGCCTGTTCGACTGCCACCCTCTCACTGACGTCCATCACCACACACCCACATTCCCACACTCCCCACATTACTAACCGCTATTCTTGGCTCTGAAACTGCGGCAGGGGATCGCCAAGTTCAACCCCACAGCACCACGTAAACCCAGCAGCTGCGGACGACATCGCTTCTTGTCGGCGCCTGGATGCCCATCAGTGGCACTCACCGCTAAGACACGATCCCGGATGCCGCGTGGCCTTCGCATTCGGTAGCGGAGCAGTCAAAAACATTGCTCTACACTACCTCCTAACCGGGCCTTTTTAGTTGCTGCGCTTCACCCAACTTTGTGTGTTCTCGCCGAGATTGTTTCAGCAGCCGCGCAAGTCCCTTATTAACACCCGGGAATCGCTTATTCGAAAGGTCGCGACGGGAATGGGATGCCCCACGAAGAGCGAAAACTTTACCGCCCACATATCCTTCACATTTAAGGTTACTCCATAATGACGGTAATAATGGGGATGGACGGTCGCCGCGCCCGACTCCATCAGTTGGCCGCCGAATGGGGGGTCCGCCACACCGCACCGGTGGCCCCGCCCACTCCGGGCCCGCAACCCCGGACACAAAACGACGAGTTCCACGCCGAGGAGCTGCTCAAAAGGCGGCGCATGTCGTCCGGCCAGGACAAACAATCGCAGGGCACCATCAAACGGGCTTTCAGTTCTCATAAGAAAACATGGGAACCCAACGAGGTCTTCGAGGCCCTCAACGCCCATGTGGCCAACGGCGGAGCTCCGGGTGTCGCTGATGCCCTCATTGCGAAGTTGTTGTCTGCCGGCGGCAACCTGAACGTGGCAAACGTTAAGAATAAGACCAACTTACTCACAAGGCGGAGGAGTATCGAGTCCATGGAACGGAGCAGGGTGCTGCAAAAGGCCATCGAGAACCGCCAAACCGACATGGTTGCCGTCCTCGCCCAACACGCAGACCCCTTGACCCTAGACCAGGCATTGCCGATGGCGATGCGGTCCGGCGACCTTGCCATGGTTCACCTTCTGCTTAGCCGGGGCGCCAATGCCTCGCAAACACAAGATGCCCAGGACGCTTTCCGCCAAATGTGCATCATGGGCGGGTACTCGGAGCTGGTGGGGCTCGTCCTCCACTCCGAAGGGCGTCCGCCCCCGAGCTGGCTTTCCATGTCCATGGTTGATGCTTCCCGGAAGGGATGTCTTCACACGGTCTTGAGACTCAGTCGGTCCGCCGCCGATGGTGAATACAACAAAGCCGAAGCTCTTAAGACAGCCATCGCCCAGTGCAGGGTAGACCTCGCGCTTGCGATCCTCACGGGTGCGAAACCCCCGACGACTGGAGGACAGGGTGTCCTGGAGAGCTTCGCACAGCTTGTCGAACATACCACCATCGGCCCGAACGAAAAGATGGTCCTGGCCGAGGCGTTACTGTGTGCCGGAGCTTCGGGGGACGTTGTTTCGGCCGCACTTTCGCAGGCCTGCGACAACGAGTTTTACGACATGGTCAACTTACTCGTCTCATACGGAGCTTCGGTGGAGTACCGAAATGCCAGCATCATCCGAAATGTCGTCGCCAAGGGGCAAAGCAGCCTCGTGCAGTTATTGCTATGTGAGCCGGCGACACTCAGTCCCATCTACGCCTCGGAATGCGTCACGAGCCTCCCTAAAACAATACCAGCAGAGGATCGCCACGCTGTGCTCAGCATCCTTTTACGTAAAGGTGCTGGAGGAATCCCTTTACATGACGCTTTGATAGATGCTGTTCAGGCAGGTGACCTACAATCCGCGCAACTCTTAACAACCCCTTCTTTTCCGCGGGGTCCACCCGTAACCAACAACGGCCGCCGCACCAGCTCTCCTGGAATCACCAACGTCAGGCACGAAATGGCTTCGGTAGACCACAAGGACGGTCTAGCCCTGAGCACCGCCGTGCAAGCGGCAAACCTCCCGATGGTGAAACAGCTTTTGGCTGGCAAACCATCTACACAGACTCTCGACCAAGTGTTCCCCTCGGTTCTCGGTATCGAATCCGCCACCCGTTACCACACGGTCGAATGCTTCCTCGCCGCTGGAATCTCCAGAGCATGCATCTCGGCCGCCTTGCAGCAGGCCGTAGAGGAACAGCCTCCTCGCAGGGACGAGAAGCTGATTGGCATACTGTTGCGACATAATGCCGATGTGAACTTTAACGACGGAGCCGGAATTCTGTCTGCAGTCACGATCCGAGATCTACCTATGCTGGACACTCTGCTCAGGAGCAAACCCTCCCCCCAAACCATGGCCGCCGCGTTGACCCGGGCCATGGCAGAAGACGACAAGCCGATCCGGTACGAGATGGTGCGGTTGCTAATGGCCGCCGGTGCCGGCCGAGATGGCACCGAGGCATCCGAGGCGCTGGCACAATTGTTGCCCGTAAAACCAACAGATATCCAATTAGCTGCGCTACTTCTAGAACAGGGCCGGGCAGACCCCAATTTTGACCAAGGGCTGCCCGTGGCCATAGGTATGTCTCACCACACCCCCACGCTGCCCATCCCCAGCTAACCCAACCCAGCCGTGGCCGACCCCGACCCAGCCCTACTCGAACTCATCCTCCAACACGGCCGCCCCAACCACGACACCGTCTACCGCGGCCTCGACACCCTCTCCAGCCTCCCCACAACCCCGACCAAACTCCCCAAACTCACCGCCCTCCTCCGCCACAACCCCTCCCCCGAAATCCTCAACGCAATCCTCTTCAAAGAAGTCCAAACCCTCCTCACCCTCCCCTCCACCACCACCAACCGCACCCTCACCACCCTCACCGCGCTGCTCACCGCCGGCGCCGACCTCAACGCCCACAAAGCCGCCGCCCTCAGCTGCGCCATCAAGGCCGCCGACGCGCCCATCACCGACCTGCTCTTCAACCACGCCGTCCCGGCCCCGGCCTCCCTCGCCGCCGCCCTCCCGCACTCCCTCAACATCCCCGACCCCATGGACCGCCTCGCCTTCACCCACCGCCTCGTCGCCGCCGGCGCCCCCGCCGCCGAGGCCGCCCGCGCCCTGGTCTACGCCGTCACTGCACACCCGGCGGATATGCCGCTGTTGGCGCTGCTGGCGGCACATGCGGAGCCGGGCGGGGGGGAGGCGCTGGTGGTGGCGGTGAAGAATGCGAATGTGGAGGCCGTCGGGGTGGTGTTGGAGAAGGGTGGGGGGCGGTATAAGGTGGGGGTGTTGGGGGAGGTGTTTCGGGAGGGGATGCTGGTGCCGGATCGGGGGCGGCGCGTGGGGATTTGTAGGGCGTTGTTGAAGAGGGGGGTGGCTGGGTTGGTGGTGGCGGACGCGCTGCTGGCGGCGGCGAGGGATGGGGATTTGGAGCTCGGGGCCGTGTTGATGGAGTATGGGGCGAGTGTGGAGCATTTGGAGGGGCAGGCTGTTGTTGAGGCTTGCGGGGCCGGGTCGGTGGAAGTTTTGGGGATGTTGTTGGGGAGTAAGGCTGAGGTGAAGATGCCGACATTGGTGAAGGGGTTCCAGGCGGCTACGCAGGTTGGGGATCTTGGCAAGAGAGCCGAGGTTTTCCGGCTGCTGCTGGACAAGGGGGTGTCTGGGGAAGTTGTGGATGCGCAGTTGGTGTCTGCGGCGAAGTTTGGAGAGGATGGCGAGAAGCTCGTCCGGTTGTTGCTTGAGTTTGGCGCTAGCGTCGACTACAATGCTGGCGAGGCCATCTGGAATGCGACGCGTAGCGCCATAATGGGGAGCCTCAAACTGATGCTTGGCGTGGAGACGACGGGTAACCGACAGACGTTGCCATCACAACCGACGCTGCTCCGGGCTCTTAAGGCAAGCAAGAAACTCGGCAGGGATCCGCGATATCAGGTCATCGAGTGGCTGTTCGAAGCGGGGTTGTTGCCGTGTGAGGAGATCAATATTGCGTTGAACAGGGCTGTCAAAGATGAGCCCGACCCCAGGCTAGTCCAGCTGCTCCTCAGCCACGGGGCATCACCGCTGGTTAACGGCTGTGAGACTCTCACAGATGCTGCTTCGTTGCTGTTAGCCGACATCCTAGCCATATTGCTGGAGGCCGACATCCCGTCAAAGGATGTGTCATGGGCCTTCCAGCAAGCCTTTACGCCGGAAACCGCTTCAACATGGCTTACGGAGAAGGGTTTCGAGGTTGCAAAGATGCTGCTAGAGAAAGGCGCAGAAGGGGAGAGCCTAGCTCTCGCTCTCAGCGCCGCCATCAATGCCTACGGGTCGGACATCGACGACACAGCCCGCAAATTTGGTACGGTTCTCCTTCAGGGCAATGTCGATGTCAACCACGAAAATGGTTTGGTCCTCCAGAAGGCGGCTCGGAGGGCGGATTCGGAACTCATCTTGCAGGTTTTGGAGCGAAAGCCAGACTCCAACGCGGTGTCCATGGCATTCCCGTACGTCTTTGACGCGGACCTATCGGAAGCGGACTGCCTCTATCTCGTGGAGCAGTTCATCGACTATCACCACGGAGGGGAAAGGCTCGATGTGATGTTTGCCCACGCTGAGTCGGAGCCGGTGGTGTTCCGGGCACTCGGCAAATTCCCGCGTTCGGTCAAGATCCTGCAGGCACTCCTCAACGCCGGCTACTACCACGACCAGACAACCGTGGTCCGAGTTATGGATGACGCTGAAGAGGAGCAAGTCAGTCTCGTGTTTTGGGCGCTCCTTCAACCACAGAAGCGAGTCAGCAGCGCGGTCATCGAGCTCCTTGTTGACTGCGGTGCCAAAGTCAACTTCGAGACTTCAGTGTCCAAAACTACACCGCTCATGTTGGCTATCCAGAACCGTCGGCATGACTTGGTGAAGACGCTCATCCTAGCCGGGGCTGAGGTCGATGTGGCAGACGCCACCGGCAACACACCCATGACGATGGCAACGCAGATTGGAGGAGACCTCAGCACTTCGCTGATGTCAAGCATCCTTGCCGCCGACCCGTCCATTAATGATGGCTCTTTGCACAACGCGGCCAGAGACCTCAATCTTAAAGCCATGCAAGTTCTCGTCGAATATGGCCACGACGTAGACTTCCCCAGCACGTTGCACGGCGGCCGCAGCGCGCTCGGCGAGCTTTGCCTGAACGCCGCCCACGCCGGCCCACTTACCGCTGCGCAGGAGAAACAGATGGACAAGGCCATGGCCTTCCTGATAAACCAAGGGTCGGACCTTACCATCCAATCACACGGCAAATCCGTTCTCCTTCTTGCGCTCAACTCTGCCGACCCCATCCCCACCACCCGGGCGCTCCTCAAAGTCGGCCTCTGGAAGCACACCAACAAGAGCTACAACCACTACAGCGACGGCACTTACACGTATTCCGCAACACAATACATCACCCGTGTTCTCCCCTGCTCCGACGACCTTCGTCCCCAACTCCTCGAACTCCTCAAATCCAACCGCGCCATAGACGTCTACTACGCCAACGACGGTCCGCAGCCCCAAGATGCAGTCAACCTCCCACCCGAACTCCTCCGGGCCGAGCGCGAACGCCGCGCGCGAGAAGAGCGCATCGCCAAGGAAAGCGAGGAGCACGCCATCGCGCTGGCCAGGACGAAGGAGATCGCCCAGATCCACAACCAGATCTTCGTGCAGCGCGCCCAACTGGAAGACTCCCGGGCCCGCAAGAAGCAGGACGACGAGATGGCCGCGCTGGGCGAGCGGCAGGCAGCGGAGGAAGCGTCCTTTGCAGCCGAGCTCCGGCGTCGCAAGGCCGCCCGCGAGGCGGCCATCACCCACGAGCAGCGCCTCACCGAGGCGGGCCTGATGCGCGCCCGGGTGGTGGCGGAGGCGGAGCTGGAGATGGAGGGCAAGAAGCAGGAGAGGATGATCAAGTGGGAGAGCAACATGTCCCGGCAGCGGGAGAATGACGCCAAGGCGTTGAGCGGGGTCCGGATTAGGGAGCGGGAGGCGCTCGACAGGTTGGAGGCGGCCTCTGATTCCAGGACGGTCAAGAGGATCGCGGAGCACAAGAAGTTGGTTGAGGGCCAGACTGCGCTGGCGGCGAGGCTGGCGAACGGGCCTGGGGGGTTGGACAGGAGGCAGATTGGGTATGTGACCGGGGAGCTGGATTAGGGCTTGGAGAGGGTCAAGCAACAGTGTGTTGGTGGATTGTGGTAAAATGCTGAACATGATATTATACCTGGTAGTATTGCAATGAGTCTAGAAAACATTTTTACACTACCTATTTGATGCCCAACTCGTGTTGACAGTGACAAACGCTGTGAAGTATATCGTTGTTGCGTTTCGGTTTACTGCCATCAACAACTCGACCATTCATCCACGCGAATCTTCTCTTAGCCTTCCTTCTTAACCTTAGAGCAAAGTCGGAAAGTTAACAAACGGATTGACGAACATGAACAGGCCGTTATTACAAAATATCTTTGGTTTAGTCGCGATAATTATCGTTATCCCTAGAGCTCCTTCCCCCGTTCGTTTGCATCGAAAAGCTTTCTCTTTCTTTTCTCAACACCGTGCCCACCCACATCCGCCTTTTTGTTACCGTTCGAAGTTATCGTGAGACTGGAACATCTACAAGTATTTCGCATTTTGCAACCTGCAGTTTTGCTTTCCCTCAGCCGAGTTCCCTCCTCCTAGGCGAGAGGTTACCGACCACAACGCGGCCACTTGCATGCACTTATCCCCAAACCATTTCATCACTTCAGGTGGTTCTTGAGCTCCTCCTCTTGACAAACACACAACATCCTCTTTTCAGCATCTCGTTTTCCCGCAACCACCAAACGTACTCCTACACCAAGGTACCGAACAGGGTCCTCCCTCTCGCACGCACGTTCTGCTCTTTTCTTTCTTTTCCTCCTCGTCACTCCAGCTGAGCGCTACAATTTACATCCTTCAACCGCGCAACAAATCCATGATCGAGACTCGGAGCGGGCGTTAATGAACAGTCCGGTCGTCCACCGCCTCACCTGATCCTGTTCAGGATCCCGTACTCAGCGGGTTCCTGTTGCTTTCGCGCGAAGTCGGCCGGCCGTCTACCTGGGCGCCAACGAACACAATTTGAGGTGAGTTTCCTGTTTTAATATTGCCTCTCAGAGGCAATCCAGTTTCTCTCGCTCCGACGAACGGCAGAATCTGCAAACGATCGCCTTCATTTCCTCCTCCTTGGGACTTCCGAAGTTCTTTCCCGTCTTTCTCCAACCATCAATTTCACGCCTTCATTTACTATTTCCTGTTCTTGGAACCGGCACCCGTTTCCTTAAAGCGGGTGTATTCAACCCAGTCCGCACTCCTCGAGTCCAATCTTCCGCCTCATGAAAACCCTCGTTAATGCTGCCTTGGGTTGGTTCTTTCACTACAACGTGCACTATTCAATGACCGTAAGCTGAACTCTTCCGAAAATCTCCTACTTCCTTTTGCAAGATCTTTTCCCTTTCGTTTTTCTGTTGCACCTAGTGAGCAAAGAACCCGGTTCGTTCCCAAGGCTCATATTCAGTGTGAAGTCATCTGCGCGGTGTGCTAACCATGTATGTAGTTCCAAAACCAGGTTCAAAAGCACGTGCAACACTATGATCCCCGAGGACATTGAAGGGCGGTTGGGTAATCCCCCGGCTCCCACTACGTTCGGGACCCAGTTCACCTTTTGCCCCGATTCATCATCAGCCGGAGATATGATTTCCGGAAAAGAGCCCCTTTTGAGCAACCCCGATCAAAACTCGGAACCCGTTTTCGATGGGAACGTTGGACAACCCGACGAGAATCTAGTCGCGCAAGTTCAGGGACAAGAACGCTGCCATCAAAACGATCATTTGGAGGCAGTCGACATGGGCATCTTGGATGTTGGCGACATTGATGCTAGGAGCGACGGAAGCAGCGAGAACGGCTTGTTCGTCCAGCAGGATCCTGAAATCAAGATCGAGGATGAGGATGACGGCGGCCACCGCAGCAATGGTCTGATCGAGGAAGAAGAGCCTGCCGAAAACGATCGCCGCTCCGATTTCGAGGAATACAATCGTGGGGAGGATTACCGCAGCGACGAGCATCCTGACGGTCCGGAAGATGGCAACGAGAACTCCAACAGCAGAGATCAGGTTGGGGAAGATCAACCTGATCGGTTTCGAGTTGAAGCTCAGGTCGGCAGAGACAATGACAGCGAGTGCATGTTTATTGAGGCCGAAGATATCCCCGAAAGCGTCAAGGCCAGATTTGCCGAGTTCGAATTCTGCAAGTTCCCCGAGGCAGCAGGCGATCTTATCTGCATCGGCTCGACGCAAATCAAGGTAGAAGAGCCTGATGACGATCTCGTCATGGTGGACGGCCACAGTGCAGAGGATCCCGACTTCGTCATCGATGAAGACGATATCTTGTCCGATGGCGAGCGACCGAACAAGCGTCACCGGGCCGCACCAAAGCGCCAGAAGAAAAGAGACGACACGCAGCCTCTGAACCCGAGACAGGCAATGATTGGTGGTCCGCCGGAAACAGGTGGCAAAGGAGCCTGGCAAGAGCCGACTGATGATGAGCTCATGGAGATGTATACGGAGCAAGAACACCTCAACGCTCTAAAGGCTAAAGGGCCCCTCACCTTCCCACAGAGAGCGGCTCTGGCTCGGATCACTGCCAAAATTGCCAAGGTTGAAGATATGGCGTCCCAGCACACAGAGACCCCAGGCGTCTTAGACCCAGCGCTGGTTGGTGACGGCGGGGGGGCAGAGCCAAACTTACAACCGCCAAGTGGCACGGAAGGCAAAAAGGCTCGTCGATTAGCAAAGACAGCCCAAGAGTATTGGGAACGCGAGTATGCCGAAAAGGGCTCGGGTGTACGCAACATGGCTGAGGCAACGAAGCGAAAACGAGCCACGAAAAAGCAGAAGAAGGGGAACCAGGGCAGTACAGGAAACGCCATGGAGGGCAGGTTGTTCAGCATGCTAAAAGACGTCAACCCCATCATGGCGAGAGCCGCACAGGCCGGCATGGCCATGCCCGGGCCGATTCAAGCAACAACTAGAGAGGATCACCTCAAAGCAATGAAAGATTTCCTCTTCAGGGTAACGGGCAACCCCGGTCAGCGTGGCAAGTCTGATGATCAGCGGCTGCTTGAGAAAGCCGCAGCATCCTTTGGCCATAGCCAAGTCCGAGCTTCAAACGGGAAATGGTGCCTGGCAGGGAAGAGAATGATCTCAACCCTGTATAGCCATCAGCTGGTGGGGGTTTCTTGGATGCTCGGGCAGGAGTTCTCCCCCGATGGCCCATATGGCGGTATCCTAGCGGACCAAATGGGCTTGGGCAAAACAGTCCAGGTGCTTGCTACCATGTCGGTCAACCGGCCAACCCAAGCAGACGTGGACGCAGGCTGCCACCAGACGCTGATCGTCGCTCCGGCGACTGCAATCAGCCAGTGGGAGCGGGAGATCAACAAGCACTGCGACAAGTCCTTCATAAAACTGGTACATCACTACAGGGCAAGCCAGAAAATCAAGCCGGAAATGTGGAAAACGGCAAACGTCATGTAAGTTCTTCCATCCTCCTGGAAACGCACTGCTTACAGGAGTCCACAGTCTCGCGAGCTTCAACGAGGTTACAAACGCGCTGCCTTCCGACAAAGTGCTAAACCGAATTACTGGGAAGAAGGCGGGTAACGAAGAGTGGCAAGAAGAATACGATGAGGCCCTAGGCGAGCTGCTCAAACATCAGTTTTTCCGCGTAGTATTGGACGAAGGACATGCGATTCGCAACGATCGTACCAGAGGTTTGTCACCTCACACCCCCTCGCGCTAGCCTATTATAATATGCTGATACATCAATCTTAGCGGCAAGGGCCTGCTTTAGTTTGACAAGCAAGTACCGGTGGATATTGAGTGGGACACCCATACACAATTCGACTACAGGTGTGTAGACCCCTTCTCAGTTTCGCTATTATATGGGGATTATCACAGTCCACGCGACTAATGTCCGCTAGAGTTCTACACCTACTTTCGTTTCCTCGGAGCCCATTGGTCTGAAGACTATACCGAGTTTGCTAAGCAGTTCGGCAACATCGAGAAGGTACTAAGGTTTCCATCCTCGGAGTCTACACCTGCAACGCGCTGACCAGAGGCACTTTCTAGGACGATGTCAAGGAGAGGCTGGACGTCATGATTCGAAGCCTTATGCTCCGGAGGTATGCAGCATTTCCACACCCTGGTGTCAATTTCTAAATTTGCAAAATCGATAGATGTGTCGACGAACACTTCCTCGGCGCTCCGATTCTAGATATACCACCAACCAACAAGATTGAGGTACTCAAAATTGACCTCACCGCCGAAGAGCGCTTAATCTACCGGCAAGTTGTTGTTTTCTCTTTCTCATTCCTTGTCTTCCAACTACCCTCAAGCCCACTAAGCCCACAACCCCCGTCGCCCTGCTGCCCCCCCCACCCCGTCGCCCTGCTGGCCCCCCTACGCCCATATAGTCGGTATGCTTTCAGTGTGCTTCACTGCCCTGCACCTTATCCTCGGTTCATTCTAATCGTCACGGGCAACCACAGGCGCTTGGAGAGTCGGTTCAGAGATAACATAAGCACCCATCTCGAGCACGGCACTGCATCCAAGAAGATCAGGACATACCTAGCGTACCTAACTCGGCTGCGGCAGGCTGTGGGGCATCTATTCCTTCTTGAAGGCGTCCTCCAGGCAAACTTCACCCTGGAGGATTTCAACTATATTCGGCGACAGCTCTCGAAAACGGGTGGCAAGACACCGATGCACCGTCAGCTCGAGCGGTGGGTTGATATGGAGTACAACGCCTTCGAGGCCGAGGAACACGGCTCAGTAGCCTTTGGGAGAAGCCGGTTCGGTGACGCCTTTAACATGGACACAGAACTCGAGGAAATGGAAGCCACCAAATCGATGGAGGAAGTGGTGTGCCGTGTCTGCTTCGACTTTCCCGTTGAGCCTCAGATAACTGATGTGAGCACCAGAACCAGGCTAAGATCCCCATTTCGGACCTTCGTAGCTAACTCGGACGCAGTGCGGACACACATTTTGCGAGGAGTGCATTGCGGGGGCCTTGAAAGTCAAGGAATGTTGCCCGGCCTGCAACACTGTGCTTTGGAACTTGAGCCTGAGTGCTTTCCAAGGACCAGATCGAGCACTCGGCGAGAAACAAGATGACAACGGCGACGTACGCAAACCCAAACAAAAGAAGAAAAAGACCGAAGAGGACTGGGAAGTTGGTGACGACAGAAACTTGGCCCAGCCTAAGATGAAGGACAGTTCCAAGTGGATCAAACAATACGACAAAAGCTTTCCACATAGGCCACTCCAAGGCAGTTCCAAGACGATCATCGTCAAGAACCAGATCTTGAAGTGGCAAAAGGACGCCCCTGACGATAAAGTCATTGGTAGGTGCCTAGGTACTTACCTAACCATGATGGCATATAAACATCTTGACTGACAAGCGTTGTTACACGCCTAGTCTTTGTCAACTGGGCCAAGCTGGCTTGCATCATCGGCCGGATGCTGCACGAAGAACATATCCCATTTCTCTATTATTTTGGCGATTTAACCAAGGACCAAAAGGAGGCCGCAATTCTCAACTTTCAGGAGAAGCCCGACATCAAAGTCCTGGTAAGGAGCCGCCCCCTTCCAATATTCACGTGTTACAACTGACCAACCCGTAGGTCGCATCCATCCGCTGCGGCGGTCAGGCGCTCAATCTCAACTTTGCCAATCGTGTGATTCTCGTCGACCGTAAGTCCTTCTCAGGGATGAGATTCAAAGTACACCGCGGCATTCCCAGTGCCTTCTAACGCCGTTATTGCAGAGTGGTGGAACACGGCGATGGAAAATCAAGCTTTTGGCCGCGTGCATCGCATTGGCCAGGAGAAGGAAACCTACTTCACCAAAATCGTGGTGCAAGATAGCGTTGACCAGCGATTAGTGGACATGCAGGAGGAAAAGAGCAAGCGTATATCCAGCATTCTGAAAGAGGGCGTCAGCCGCAGGACGGTACCGACGCTGGAGGAAGTGGTCGCGCTTTTTGGAGCCGGAAATGACGAGGATTCCGGGAAGAAGGGCGCTCAAGAGGATGGGGAGCAGGCGGTGCTGCCGGCAGGTCATGAGGCGGGAAGTGAACGAACGGGTTGAACCCTGCAGCAAACATTGAGGGGGTGTAAGCTAGGAAGGGAGTAAAATGCCCAGGTTTGGGCAAACTAAAGGGATGGGAAGCATGGCGAAAACGGTGAGGGGAAGGGATGGCGGCTAATGGGTTACAGTCAGGGACCCGGTGCAGGAGCTGAACCTTCCCGAAGCGAAAGTAGAGCAATTCAAAAGGTGAAACGGAGCAGAGAGTCTAGAGCGGGCGACAACTCGGTCGTGGTGCTCCGCAAGGTGACCACGCCTTACTACTTTGCCTTGAACACATAGAAAGCACCGCCCTCCGTCTCCTTATATCCCGTTCCGACAAACACATACTTCCCCTCGACGGCGATTCCTCCCTGAAAACCGCCATCCAGTTCATAACTCCACACTGTCTCCCCGGTCTCCTTCTTGACCGCGATCAACGTGCCCGGTCCCTCTGCATTGTACCCAACCGGTCCTGTCCCCCCTGTCAGGAGCAAATCACCCACCACCGCAGGAATCACCACAGACAGATCCCCCTTCGGCACAGCATACTGCCACAACAACGCCCCATCCCTCGCAGATGCCGCCCCAATGACACTATTATTCACCGCCGTCACGTTCTCCGGCTGCAGCAACCACTCCTGCCGCCCGCTATTGATCCCCGTATAATACACCTTCTCATCATCCGCCGCCACCCCCCACGACAGACCGGCGAGCGTATCCCCGGGGCTCGTCAGCACCGACCACAGCACGGCGCCCGTATCGGCCGCCAACCCATACAACACCCCCGACTTCTGCCCCACGGCCAACAAATCCCTCCCCCTCGGCCCCATCCCAGCACCTACCAAACCCCCACCAACCCCCGCCGCCCCCCTCACCAGCGTAGGCGCCATCCCAAAATCCGCATCCGGCCCCGGCGTAAACGGACAAAGCGTCTCATTCCTCGGCAGATCCCTGGTCCCGCACACCAGCGTCCACGCATCGAGCGAGTCCAGCCGGCGCACCCAGTTCGCCCTCCCCGAGCGCGTGTCCAGCGCAAACACCGACTCCTGCCAGATGTACGAGGGGAAACAGTGCTTGCTGGCATCGGCCTCGGCGCAGTGGAAGAAGGCCTCGGGCACGGTGTAGGCGTTGCCCGTGGCGAAAAACACTTGGTTGCGGGCCGTGTCGATGGAGGGTTGGCTGCCCCAGATGCCGGCGCCTGACCAGCGGAGGGGGTTTTCTGGTCCGGAGGGGGTGGGGAGGTTGGGGGGGATGGTGGTGACGTTCCAGAGGGTGGTGAATTTGTTTGTGGAGGGGGAGAAGCGGAAGGCGGCGGCGTTGCCGATGAAGGTGCAGCACGGGTAGCTGCCGTTGGTGAAGTAGCCGGCGTTCTCCTCGGCGCTGGACACGCCGACGAAGAGCGTGTTGTCGTGGAGGGTCGGGCTGGAGGTGATCAGGGCTAGTTCGTGCGGGTTGGCTTGCTGCACGCCGAGGACGGCTCCCGTGTCCAGGTCGGCGGCCACGATGAGCGCGTGGATCTGCGTGCCGAAGAAGAGGATGTTGTTGTCGGTGTCGATCTGCGGTGATGTTCTCGATGCGGCGAGGGCTACGGTCAGCTGCAGGGATGTGATGGGCGCGTAGTCGGCGACAACTTGTGTGACGTTGAGATTCCATTTCACCTCGCAGGTCTTGTAGTTGAGGGCGATGAGGGAACCGTTGTATGTCGGGTAGTAGGCAATGTTGCCCCTGATGGAGGGTACCGCGCTCTGGCCGACCGGGTTGGGGATCCTGCAGTGCAGTGATAGAGACGTGACGCTCCTCGAGTCAAGGTCGCGGTTCCCCTCTGCCCAGTGGTTGTTCAGGTGTGACGCTCCCCAGCCGGTCCAGGAATGGTCACCGCCCGCGACCACAAGACTGGGGAGAGATAAAGCCAAGCGCAAGATCCAAAAGACTTTCATAGTGGCGCGTCCGAGAACTAGATCAATGGCAAGGTATCCGAGGACAATGAATGATCGGGGGAGGGCATAGGGTGCCGGCCCGAGCGGAAAAATGAAGTTATGGGTAATAGCCGAGGCGGGGTGAGATCTGGGATGGGACGGAACAACGTCGTACTTGTGTGGTACACCCGCTGCTCTTGAAGCTGCATGATGTCTTGAAGCTGCATCGTGCTGGCAGGAGCAGGTGAAGGGTTGATGATAGTCGACGAATGGGAGCGGCAGGACAGGCGAGGAGGGGTTGTCACTTCATTTGGGATATAGGTGCTGTGGTCAGGGCTGCCGAATCCGATGGCTGTATTATCCGTGGTCCCGCCCAGTTTACGCCACCAGTCCTGCTGTGTTTTGCTGCGTAAATCCAACGATCGATAACATACTTCCTAACCGAGAAAAGAGGGGGAGAAACAAAGGAAGATAAGAACACGAGACGGAAAGAAAGAAAGGAAGAGAGAGAATACGCTACCGCAAACCCCTAGATCTTCAACGAGTGATTGATAGAACATGGGAAGGAATATAACCGGGACATTCCTCCGGCCCACCTCTACTTTCTACCTATTCTCCGATACTGACATAAGAAAGAAACAGCAGCGCCATCTGCGTTTACATGTCTTGGTACGGCACGTATGATGAAGTAGAGTGGGATGGAGTGATCGGCCCAATGTCGGCCCATTGCATGTGACGGTGAACCAAGGTAGCCAACGGACCTGTTGCCGCATCGTCAGAATTTCCTTTAGGTTGTGGCGGCGTGTACAAAGAACCGTCAGCAGCCGTAGCTACAGGAGCCAGTCTTTGGGGCGCTGGTAGAGATGGCGCCCCTGCAAATACGGAGTAGCCAACGGAGAATGCGGTGTTGTTGTTACCGATGTGGTTCTCGTCGAGAGAATCTAACTGGGACATGGTATTGCCGGCGTTGTGAGTATGATGGGAGGCTATTATTGCAAATATGTCCTCGTCGGTTTGGCGGTCGACCTGGTGCTCAAAAGCCTGCCCGGGTTGAGGAACCGCTGGAGGCTGTTGCTCCACAAGCTGTGTGGGCATCGAATGGTAGCCTAGCACGGCGTGCGTTGCGTCGGGTAGGATGGTGGGCTGGATGGTGGGCTGGAGGTTGAATGGCGAACCGATATCCCAGTTGAAGGGGGGCGGGGAGACATGCGAGGGTTCCAGCGGTTGAACGGTGTACGGTTCTGTGGGCTCGCCGTGGGTTTGTCCCAGTGCGTCCAGAGTCAGGGGGGTACCATGTGCCGTACTCCGGATCTGATTGTCGTAGTCTCGGGGACCAGACCAAAAGGCTGAGGGCGGGGACCAGCCAGGCGTTCCCTGGCCGTCCAAATCGAGCATTACCGAAGGAATGAACTGGTCAGCCACTGCTTCGCGTTGTGCCTCGAGGGTCTCGAATTGGTCCAAGAAGGGGTCCTCACGTGCCCGCTCTGCTTGGTGCTTGCGGAGGAAATACCTACAGCACGTGTCATATTGGTACTCGATGTATCGTATTGTCCTGTCAACTCGACGGTCGACGTAAACGTCCCGGGGCTGGGGTTCATTCGGGAAGATGGTACGGAAAAGATCCCGCCATTGTTGTTCGAGGCTCTTCCTTACGGGGCGCCTCTTAATAATGGCAAGCTGCTGCTCACTGATGTGGCCAGGCGTCAGGTCCGGCGTTGGCGTGGCGCCACATCCGGTGTTGGTGTAGTGTGCCGTGCGGGCTAGCGGTGTTCTTAAGGAGGTATGGCATTGAGGACACCGGAAAATATAATGGTTGTCGATTACGTGCCTCTTCACCTCGGATACATTGCGGTGACGGCGAAGACAGTGCCTAAATATCTGGGGCCGCCATTTCTGGAAAGGGCAGGCGAAACGGCGGGTCTGCTGCCGCATTGCGCCCTCTGGATGCCGGAATCCACCACCATCGCCATCCTGCGGGTCGTCGTCCTCACCGCTGCCAAATCCCCCGCCGCCGAGAAGGCGACGCGAAGAGCCTCCCGTTGCCGATGGCCGAGCTGGTGTGGCTGTGGTAGACGGGGCTGACGCAGAAAAGTTGCTGATGTGCTGACTGGTCTCCCGGTACGGTCCGTTGGCTCCCTGGGAACCTGTGTGGGTCCTCCAGAAGTGCACTCTAAGGGCTCCGACCAGTTCTCCCCGTCGCTGCTTCCTGGCCCAACGAGCGTTGTCCTCGTTATCCACGGCAATGTGTAGGGGGACGTCGGGTGTCGGTACCAGCACGAGCATAGTTGAGGCGCGAGTGGACTCTGAAACGCCATTGCTGCCACCCACCGTCGCGCCGATAACCTTGGTGGACCGGCAAGACAAGGATAGGAACGCGGACTCCAGGGTCCCTGCCGAGGAGTGGAGGGTTCCAGCTTCCCACCAAAACTCGAATTTCCAGGGAAGAGGAGGGTTGTCATCCGGGTTCAGGCATGCCGTATCAACAGTGGTCGATGACTCGGAAGGCCCCTCAATGTGGACTTCGAATGGTGTCTCCCGAATCGCCTGGTCAAACTCAAGATGTAGAGGTAGCTCGGGCCATTCCAGCGATCTCGTCGGCCGCGGAATCGGCAGCTTATCCAAGCCGACCAGGCTCGGCAGGGCGAGGGAAGGCCCTCCAGATGACGTCGGGTCCTCCGAAGGAAGCACTGAAGGTGCCCGGTAGGTTGCGATGGGCATGTTCTGCTCTGGGCCCGTTGGGTCCAACGATTCCGGCGTCGTACTAGCCTCGCTCCCGTTGTCAATCTCGGCATCACGGGCAACTCGATGCTGTGTGTAAATCACATGGCCGATCGGTTAGCCATGAGTCCCATCATCCATGACGCCCCCTAGCCAGGTAAGGTACCTAGGTAGGTAGGTAGGTAAGGGTACGGAGTAAGTCATTGATTGAAATTGATTAAATTACTTACTTGGTCGGTATCATCTGAAGCTTTCTGTGGTGTACCCGACAGTCCCGACTCGGATTGCCTTTCTTTGGCAGTCCCTTGTCCCGGGGGGTCCTGGGGGCTGGCCCGGCTGGGTTCGGCGGCGGGTCGGAATGGTAGCATTTTCGAGCATGGAAAGCTTCAAGTGACCGGTGATGGTCATGGGTAATGAAAAGAGAGTATGCGTTCGATGGTCATGGTCACCCACGCCCTGGGCCCCTGGCTCCCTTTAATACCAGGCCTTGGACAATACATTGTCGCTGCCGACGACGCTTTTCTGCCTTGCTGTTGGTGTCTTCTGCTGCTTGAATAACGCTAGCTTGATCGAGTTGGTGCGTTGAATAACGCTAACCCGAGTCAGTTAAGAGTTGCTGCAACGGCCGTGGGCGTTCGCACGGTTTTCTCACACTTTTCACACACTTTTCACACACTTTTCACACACTTTTCACACACTTTTCACACGGTTTGAACAACGCTTGCGCAGGTTCGTGAGGTGGTAGCCTATCACCACTTAGACATTTCCTCCGAATCCCGACCCTGTTGTTACACGACGCAGGATTTTCAAATCCCGTATGCGCAGCCGGGCGACGGCCGTCGTACGGTGCAATTTGAAGGGTTGTCGTGGCATGGAACTCCGGAGCTTCCCAGCTCGTGAGCCTCCAGACTCGGTACCTAAGGTACCTATTGTTTCCATGCCGGTACGGCGGTCAGATTGGGTACCTCGGTACCACCACATTCACAAAAAAGGCCGAAGTCCAAGTGCACCAGATGGCGACCATAGAAACTTCATTCTCGACTAAAGGAACAAGGCGAAAGCCATCCTGAAGCTCAAAGATAACTGAATTTACACCATTTACTTTTGTTTTATTCCCCTTATCGTTTATTTAGTTTCTTTGCTCGATTTCTTTTATTTCCTCTTTTTGCTTGATTTTATTGCCTTCAAGGTTCCTTTCGAGTTCGGCTTTTTCTTTTGGCCAGAGTATGGGTACGTACCGATCTCGCAAGATCAGCCTTAGGGTTAATGAGACAGCCTAGAGGCTTACCATTTCGAACAGCTAGCATGTAAAGTTCGGAGACGTATTAGTTTACTTCCAACTAAAACACTGAGACCAACTTGCCGTCTCCCGGAGCGTTCCGCACAGAGGGCGAGTCATGCTTCATTTTTTCCACCGTTATTGCCCTCTTGCTTCTCCGCTTTTCTGACCTCTTCATTGCCTCCCTCGCCTCCCTGGCTGTTCGAGGCCACTTGCATCCTGCTGCCGCCCGAGCCAAACGGAGGAGTAATTGTCACGGTTGGAAAGGTATTGACGTGGGCGATAAAGGCCTCATGCTTTGGGTAATCCGTCACGGATCGCGGTTTCCCGATCAACTGCGTAAGATACTCCCGCGTTGGAGGTTTACGCTCCCATATATCCCGGTAAAGGTGTTTCAGGATGGCCAGTTCGTCGTTGAGTCTCACGACGTTCTGGTGGTCCGCAAGGATCGGTAAAGGAGAGCTGGACGGGTCAGGGTGTTCGGCAAGGAGAAAATCAGTTAGAGATCGCTGCTGGTGGTCGGTGAGCTGGTAGTAGCGGTGCGTGGCACCCGCTCGGCAGGAGTGGAAGTAGACATTGGGCGGGAACCGCGGGGCACGCTCTTCAGATTCCCGGTCAAATACCGTCACCCCTCCAAAGATACGGTCCTCTGCCCAGTATCCCACAACGTCGGCAATGCCGTCCGGGTACACGTCGTGGTCCAGGTAACCGTGGTGACTGAAGATGCTGGGCCGTGGGGGAGTGAATTCCCAGCTTACACCAGGCGGTTCCTCGTTCCATTGGTCGATACTGTCGATATCGCCGCGGTGCATGCGAAGTCCAAGCTGGAATAGAAGCATACAGATTTCGTGTATAGCCACGGCAACGAGTTCAGTCAATCGGATGTTGAACATTTGCGATCCGGGAGACGCCTTGCGGAAGACGCGGAGTGTCTAGCAAGGTTGCACAGGCTGTCAATACGGAGACTTAACCACTTGGGTTCCGCACCTGAGCAATAATGACATACCTTCGGATCAAAAGATAAGACGCATGGGTTGAATTGTTCTCGGAAATGCCGGGCCCTGTCAAGGACTCCTGGGCATAAATCCTCGTGCTCCTCGATGGGATGGTCCCCGAACAAGCCCGGGTATCGACGGTCCCAGGCAACATCGGCCGTGGGGAGCCCGTCAATGATCTGTGCAAAGGTGAACAGCGCAGGTTCGGTCGATAGAACGTTGGCCAAGGCACGAGAAAACACTCTGTGGTGTTCGGAGCGGTCATTGTCAAAGGGGATCCGGGGGGTTTTGGCATGCCGAGCGAGGACCTTGAGCTTCGTAGTCACGGCGGGGAGATCAAAGACGTATAATGAGAATGTGGACGAAGCCTCGGCCACAGCGGCGGGGTATGGCGGCATCGACGACCGCGAGGGAGAGGGGAACCGAGAATCATGGCAGTCGGGAGAGGACTGCGAGGGTGGAGAGGGCGCCATATCTCAAAATGGAATTCGTGCTTATGGAAGGATTGGGCCGAATGGACAATGATAATGATGTGAAGGAGAATCAGAGAGGAAGATGGGAAGTCAGGGAGCGAAAACGACGAAACCCCCCCCCTCGATGGTCTCCACTTTAGCCAACTTACACCGCCACGGCACGACTAAAGCAACATGACAAACAACCAAACAACTCGTGCTAAGCGACCAACAAAACACTGGGTGGCTCCTGATTCGGCCACACATCACTCCAATAATCGCTCTCTGTATGTACCCACGACCACCAACCTTCAGTACCGGCAACACCATGCGGATACATGGACGGATACATAGGTACCTAGTTAGGTGGTAGGTAGAGAGGTAGGTACCACCTAGGTACAATGTATAAGATACGGCCCGGGAGGCAGCTACAGCTTACTGGGACTCGGGCTACCATATTGTTAGATGTACTCATACTGGTTGAATGGCCTCGATACATGGCCCGTCCTTCCATGCCCCCAGATCCCTGCACCACAATCCCGATGCTTCTGGCACTTGGGGTTCCAACCACGGCCGCGTTCACTTCTTTTCAAACTGCCACCAGTTAAAGTTGAACAAATTCTGGTCCCCGCCGCCCACAAAGCTGAAAAACAGGTCCTGCTGCCCCGTCGCGCTACCCGAGAGGGGACACGAGATAGTCTTCCACACGTCGGCACCACCGGTGGCATCGACGGCACAACTGGCGATCACCGTACCCGTCTGGCTCCCCAATCGCAGTTCGATCTTGGCGCCGCCAGCGGCGGCCGCAACACGCAGGCTGACCGAGGCCGCGCCAGCCTCCCCGAACCTGACGCCCTTGACCTTGATGTAGTCGCCGTTGCCGATGCCCGTGACGTGGATGCCGCCGCCGTCGTCGCTGCTCGGCTCGGTGGACAGGCCGCTGGAGAAGGCGATGGTCTCGGCTTCGACGCGGGCGTAGGGGTCGAGCGGCGCGAGCTGCGGCGCGCCCTCGTCCGTCATGCTGAGCGTCGGGATGCTGCCGTCGCTGCCGTACTCGAACTGCTCCACCGCCACGGACCGCGTGAAGCCGCCGCCGCCCGGCAGCGCGCCGTTGTGGTAGAAGAGGTACGACCCGCCCTTGTAGTCGATGATGCCCGGGTGGTTGGTGAAGGATGATCCTTCGGTCGGCATCAGCTGGCCGCGGTAGGTCCAGGGCCCTGTTGGTCCTGGCGCCGTGGAGTAGCGGAGGTCTTCGGCGCAGCAGTGGCCGGCGTAGGCGAGGTAGTAGGTGCTGTCGCGCTTGTACAGCCACGGGCCCTCTTCGAAGTGGCCCTCGAACGAGGATAGGTCCACGTTGTTGATGTCGCCGCTGTAGGAGATCATGTCCTCGTTGAGCTTGACGTAGTACAGGTTGGGGTTACCCCAATAGAGGTAGGCCTGGCCGTCGTCGTCGATGAGCACCGTCGGGTCAATGGCGCCGTTGGCAACCAGCGGCTCGCCGATGGCGTCCTTGTACGGACCCGTGATGGTGTCGCTAACGCCAACCCCGATGCCCATCGATGAGCCTTTGCGCGTAATGGGCACATAGTAGTAAAACTTCCCGTTGCGTTCGACTACCTGGCCGGCCCAGGCATCGGCGCTCGCCCAGCTGAACGTTTCGACACCCATCATCTTGCCCCAATCGCGCCAGTTGACCATGTCGGTCGACGAGAACAGCCGCCAGTCCTTCATGGTAAACCAGTCCGAGTTGGGCTCATCGTGGCCCGTGAAAAGCCATACCGTGTCATTCCAGACGTACGGCGCCGGGTCCGTTGAGTACAGGGTTTGGATAATGGGATTGTCGGCCAGAACAATGGGCACCGCGCCAAGGACGGTCCCGACGAGGGCGGCCAAGTTGTTAGACAACATTGTGTGACTTTTAGATGGCGTTAAGAGGTCGACAGGCGACTGAGGAGACCTGAAGACTGGACACAACCGAAAGCTGAAGGTAATAGCTGGCTCGCCCACTTACATATAGGGCGAGATATTTCCTTTTTAGGCTCCGTGGGTCAGTGTCGATCTCTCCCCAACCGAGGCGAGAGCCCCCCGGTCCGGCTCTCCGCATGAAGAAAACGCTCTGGTCCCGCCTCCGCATTCGCGACCTGGTTTTGAAGTTGTAGTGCATCTCGCACCGAGGGATGGGACTGGAGCGCATGTCGGAGGCCGGGATTCGTTGCCGGTATTTGTCCGGCACGACGGAGCTTAATCCTCCAACGACGTCCCCAATGGATCCGCACGAATCGCAGGGCAGGTTGGAGTAATCTGTACAGGCTAATCCATTCTCTGATTTTGATAATGAGTGCTCGAATGCCCAACGGGAGCGGCGAGGCGGGGAAGGAGGGCCGAAAGCTGTGCTCCTTGCCAGTGAAAAGGGTCAAAGTAGGAGGCAGGTCATGCATTGACACACCAAAGAGAGACAAATGCATGTCGATACGGCAAAGGCTCAATGGGTGGGTTTCTTTGCAATGACCGTTCCTGGGCCCCTGTTAACCACAATGTTACCTGTCGCGCGAAGACTCTACCTCTCAGCACATCTCCTGCAAGACTTCGTAGGCCAAACATCAGCAGGCCAACATCCACTTGTCCCTTCAAGATGTTTTGGCCGGGGCAGCCGGTCTTCATTTGTGTTGTGTCGATGGCTTTCTATCCCAGCATACTCGGGCTCAGTCAACCCACAATGCATCAATTTAGCAGTATCCACACAACCGTTGCTCACTCAAGTTCATTACTTCCAAGTTCTCGCCGGTGAGAAAGCTCCTACTTCCATCCAGCTCTCGAGACCTCCCTAAATACCCTTACCAAGAATGCCCGATCCAAAACCCAGGGGCCAGACACAATACTCCCCTAACTACCAACTCCCACACCCTCACCACCGCCCGCGCCTCCTCCTCTGACCCCCGCTCGCCACACCCTGCAGCGCACCATACCCAACATTCCGCAACTCATCCAGCACCAACACAAACAAATACACCTTCACATGCTCCCACGCCCACCTCTTCACCCTCGCCGGCGTCGCCGCCCACCCCACAACCCACAGAACCAGCACCACGCCCACCATCAACAACCTCCGCATCGTCTCGCTCCCCCCAAACTCAGCAACCCCCAACACCACAGCCTGCACCCCCGCAAACCGCCAATAATCCCCCGTCCGCCACACCCCCACCACCACCTCACTCCCCACCCCCCCTCCCTCACCAAAATCACGCTCCAACCTCCCCTCCCGCAACCTCACCCCACCCCCACCAGCACCACCAAGTAACCCCCCCACCGGCAACGAAACCACCACCCCCGCCGCCGGCCCGCGCAGCGAGGCGATCGCCCACTGGAAGTAGAAGGCGCTGAAGAGGACTAGGCCGGCGGCGAGGCGGTCCAGGAAGAGCGTGCCGGACAGGTGCATGGGGCCGGTCAGCCAGGTGAGGGGCGTGAAGGGGGTCGCGGCGGTGTAGAGCAGGGCGGTGAGGGCGAGGGCGGTTAGTTGGCGGGGGAGGAGTGTGGTGGTTGTGAGCGTGGTGGGGGTGGGGGTTGGGGTGGGGCTTGGAGTTGTTGGGGGAGGTGGTGTTGAGGCTGGGGCTGGGGTTGGTGTGGGGGGAGGGGGTTTGGTGGTGGTCATTTTTGTTGTTGTTGGTTGGTTCTTTTTGGTGGTGGTGGTGGTCGTCGTCTTGTTATTGTTGGTAGGGGTTGGTAAAGGTTGTGTTCTCCGAGTCTCCTCTGCGTAGGTTGGTTGAAGGGAATCAAGAGATTGTCGTTGTGGAGTTGAATGAATGAGAGTGAATTGGAAACCAACTTCGTGGCCAGGTACTTATGAAAAGCAGAGATGGGTATAAACTCCTGAACAAACCGATTCAGACTTGAATGTACGCGCGTCCGATGAGGGAACACCCCGATCAAACAAAGAAGTTGAAATTGAACGAAAGGCTGGAGAAAAAAGAGAAGTCTGGGAATTGCGCGTCGCGTTGCATCATCTTATATCGTCGAGGTCAGTCCCTCTCACCTTTTCAAATCTCTTCCCCGGTCCCTGGTATGGTTGAAGAATCCAGATTGGGTTCCTGCCCGGGCCTTGTGTTTGCGGCATCGCTAACGCGAGTTGGGATCGTGCAACTCGTGGGCCGCGTTCGAGCCCTCATGGCTGCCTGTCGTGCCTGGAGCTGCCTGGTCCGCGTTCCCACCCGAACAAATAGTTCCTTTTGTTAATTTTAATTAGCGCCGGGGCGCCCAAAAACCACACAACCAACGCCGTCGCAGCCGAGAAAAATGTGCAAGCGAAAAGCAAACATTGGACTCAGCGGGGGCAAGATGGAGTCTGGAAGACTATCGGTCGGGCGGCGAGATACAGTTGGCAGAGCGCATTGCCCCTTTTCGGGATGCCCCGGCCATTTGTCATCCTGTTCTTCCAACCCCTGAATTGAGTTTGTTGTCACTTATCCCCCTGCCAACCGTCCTGATCCGTCCGAGTCACCTCCTCCAATGATGTCTTTTCGTAGTAATCCGATCCAAACCGCAACGGAAGACAGATCAGGTCATTGAAACACGCTTTGCCCTTGGGACACTCCAGCTTTTCCTCCCCGCCGCATATCTCGGCAAACGGCCAGCAGATGCCAGACCCGTCGCACGAAGGCCCGCACGAGTCGGCCGTTCTCGGATCGGCGATGCAGCTCTCGATGCGCTCGTTGCAGTCATCGATCAACGACCAGCCTCCGCACAGCGTGTAGATTTGCTGCTTGGAAATGTCGATTTCCTGGCAGGTGCCCGGGCATCCCTCGTTCGAGCTGTTCACCCATCGGGTGCAGTCGGTCGAGAGCGGGATGCAAGTCAGGTTCCCGGCGCAGTCGCCGAGTGTTTGACCGCAGGGCTGGCCGACCTCGGAAGGCGGGGAGTCGACGGGGGTCGCAGCAGAGACTCGGATGTCGAGGAGGAACGCCGCCACGGAGAGAATTGTGGTGCGGCGCATGTTGGGCGGACGGGGGAGAGCTCACTCCGGTATGAGTAAGCAGAGCTGGGCTTCGTGGGAGAAAGGGGGAAGAGAGCCAACGGGCTTGAGAAATGACATACGGTGTTCAAATAATCATGGTCTTCTCCCACTATAACGGCCAACCCGGGTGGTCGGGTGTTCTATCTATAAATATCTCACCCTGACGTCGATCACCCAATTACAGACGTTGCCCATGCGCTTGGATATTACTTGGCAATATCTTCTGTCGACCTTCCCATATTAGCCTGCACCAAATGCAGCGCTGGGCATGCTCCGGCTGCTGTTTTTGGGATCCTCAACCCTTTGAGGTCAACGTTGAACGTCCGAATCACACTTGGGTACTAACAGCATGCCTAGCGTCCAAGGAAATGGGACAGGACTTGATCCTGTACGGGAGGGGGTAATCACTCTGTTTGACAGCTCCGGCGCTCCAAGGGGCTACTTTGTTCTGGAAGAGGGTGGTTGTGGTGGCAGAGCTCAGGGGGGCAGGACAGCCTGCAGCCTACATACCTTACCGCCCCATGCCGAGACTGAAAAACCATTGACGGCTTACGTCTTGAGCGAATTTATCCCCGCTTGAGCAAAAAGAGCAGCCCCAGGCGAGTAAGCCGGAGGCTAACGGTACGTTGCCGGCTTAGAGCCCCTAATCGGCTCGATCCACAGCCCGCTCCTTCCCTCGAGCCGATAGACAACCGCTCTTGCCCTCGAGAGCGGTTACCCTCTGGCTCAGAGGAAGGAACGGATTCAACAAATAAGCCGCTCAAGATCGTGAGCCGAAGACAGAGGGCTCGTTGCTGTGAGCGAATATATCCCGGCTCGTGGATACCCGCCTTGCACCGCTAAGTAGCTATGGAATTGGGTTCGGCGATTGGGAATACAACGTAGAATGTCACGCCGAGTAAACCACTTTTCGACGTTAAAGGCCATTAAGAAAGGCACAGGCAGCTCCCAACATGAACACGCACGTTGACACCGTCTCTCGAAGATGGATTGCCGCCTTAAGCAATCTCCGGAACCAACGTGCAAGAGTTAACCTCTTGAGCGGATCGGCCAGATCAATGGCTTGTTCCGCTCGGTCCCGAAACACCGTGCAGCTTTCAACATGATTCGACACGACTGCATTGGCAAACAGATCGTTGATCTGGGCTCCTATCGTTTTTTATGTTCTGTCTTTCACAGCCCTTTCCGTGCACTTACGAGAGACTCTGTACGTACGGTTCATGCTCTCTACCAAGGATCTTAACACAGCGGCGTTCCACTAGTGTCTGTGGGCTTCCGACTTGAACTATAGCCAAACATATCATATGCAACCATGCTCGTGTATTTCTGTGGTTTGGGTACCGAGCCAGCTAGCTAACCCTAGGGCAGAACTGCTGTTCACCCTAAATCTGGTATGCACCCTTACACCCTGCAGTCGGGGTAATATCGAAAGTTGGCGGCAAACAAAATGGGGAAAAGGTCTCCGACGAGAACCGGGAGAATCTTCGAAGCCCCGGGCCAGTAGCATCGAGTCGGACCATCCTGGGGCAACTTCTTGGATGAGCGTCTCTTTGCTCGTGCTCAGCCGGGCCGTCTCGAAGACACGGCCAAAAGAAGCATGCTGCAGCGCGCGCTTCTTCCAATATTCCCCTTTGAAAACGTCGACATGCATCACCGTCATGCCCCGGTGGGGGTGTTGAATCCATGTTTCCCTTTTGCTGGTTGGCCATGGTGACTCTATTCTGCGGTCTTGCGGCGTCCGATCCTCTGGTGTCAACCAGGCCACCATCTGGTTCAAGAGCAACATCTTGTCCCCTTTGGGGGCCAATACTTGCAGGTTGTCACACAAAGGCGGCTAGCAAAGCTGACAAGGCCGCACAAGGTCCGTGGCGTCTTTAAGCGATGGTCCGACGGCCACCATGGCATACTCCTCGAGCCACAGACTGCGGTTGGAGGCACCTCATCCCTACGGCGTTCTCTGCACGGATAGTGACTGGCAACGCTTGCGAGATGTGCTGGGGAATATGCAGCCACAAATCCCCCCAAGAGTGACCTGCAGCAGCAAAGAACTCAATGTTTATTGCTCGAATCAAACGTACCTTACATACAAGCACCAACCTATGGATAGCAACACACAGAAGTGGCGCTATGCGCATCTCGCCGAGATGGGAAGAGGCTGCGTCGGGGAGAAGTCCGTCCATCAGGCGATGGGGGGGCAGTCAGCCTTGGCGGCTGAGCGAAACAAGAGTCCGAGGGTTGGACAAGAACAAGGTGGGTGCTCTCCTCGGCGATTCGATTTTCTCACGCATACACCACGATGCCCGGCCCTTGTTGAGTCTGTTGGTCATGGGCTGCAGTCTCTCGGCGGCGTGGCGTAGACTGCTTGGCAGGCTCCTCCCGTCGGTTTGTCTGTTGCCGCGGTGCATGAAATGAAGAACCGTCGCAGCAGACGGAGCTAGAGCGGCGATGGAGTGGACAATGTTTAGGGTTGGTGGTCTGCACGGGGATATACGTACCCGAAATACCTATATACAATTTATGCGTATATTTCCCTCGTTATGTTGAACACATTGAGAGACTCAACAACAGAATTTGCGTACTTCGGGTGCGCTCGTGTGCTGGAACAACCTCTCATCATGTGAGCGCTCGCCGCTCAGTCGGTAACGATGGCGCCCCCTGCGCACACGCGCGCGTGCTTACCCGCAGCGGACTTGTGTCTTCCCGAGTGAGGGGGGCGGTGCTCATTGGTGGCTCTCCACACCCACAAGATATCTCATATACCAATGAGGACTCGGAAGAGAAGGGAGTCGGCCGGTCCGAACAATGCAGAACGCCCCAATGCCCGAAATCGGGTATCCATTACTTACATACTACCTTACCCTTTCCGAGTTGCTACGGACAGGCCCCGCCAGATGGTAAGTACACACGAACCGAGGTACATACATACCAGTCCTTCGTACCGAAAGTACCTCCTCTCTGACCATAACTTTACCCAGTGGTAATGCCCGGGTACAGCTTCCGGAATTCAATATGGGAGGTCATTGATTCCTTCGTGTCAGCAATTCTGAGGCTCGGCTGAATAGATTGCGCCATCGGGGGTCGTCTTCGTAAGTCTGGTAGAAGGTGTTGAATGGATCGGTTGCACGTTGCAACAAGTATTAGTGGACATGGGGGCACCCTGGAGGACAAGGATGCATGTCGCCTTGCGCAGATTCGATTACCTATGGAACCGACCAGACCCCTCCCGCTGTCGACTTCGAGCTCCGTCGGATCACTGCCTCCTCTTTCCTTCTATTCTTGGGCGGAGGCGTTGCGTTGTCAGCGGACTCATGGTCGCTCGGCGACCTTCGTCAACACCCATACGCTCGCATTTTCTCGCTCTCTGATGGCACTTGTGCTCTGTCGCGTGGTACAGCCCACCCCTCCAGCCAATTCTCCTCCGATTTGCCCCTTTTCGGTGGCTGTGATACTTCACCTATACGGCCCTGGGTCAGCCACATCAGCCCGCGTAGCCGACTCTCCATCATGATGTGCTCAGAATGGCTGCTAGCGGAGAAGCCGTTAAGCAACTGGATTCCTATGCAAGGAACGAGCATCCCATGCAAGGGCCAGGCGTTGCATTTGTGCGTTTGGTTCTCTGTGTCGCATCTGCTACCATGATCATCGAGTATAAAATATCAAGTATGTCTCCCGTACGTAGCAGGATTCTCAACTGGACCACCTTTCCTATCCTAGCTTTACCAAACCCTTCCCGTCCTCCCCACCATCATCATGCAAATATCACTGTTCTATCTTGTTGCGACGCTTGCCCTTGGCTTGAATGCCTCGGCCAAGAAGACGAACGGCACCTGCATCTGCTCCAACCGAGCCCTGGAGCGGTGCTTGATTGCCAGGAGCGTTCCCTTCAAAGTTCGGTGTGACTCCGACTGGGAAGACTACAGCAGGACGCATAACCTCCGTCTCCCGGTCACACCAGCTGCCATTGTGGTGCCTGACAATTCCAGGCACGTTTCGGCTGCCGTCGTCTGTGCTGGCCGGAGTGGGGTCAAGGTCCAGGCCAAGTCCGGTGGGCGTACGTTGCTCGCCTCCCCTCCGCCCCCCTTCACGTGTGTCAACCTCTAACGTCAAGTATGGACAGACTCGTATGGGTCATACAGTTCCGGTGGCATCGACGGCCAGGTGATGATCGATCTCCGCAACTTCAACGAGACCGTCCTATCCGGCAACGGGACCAACATCGCCATAGTCGGCGGTGGCGTTCGCTTGGGACCCATGGCTACAGCCATATACGAGCAAGGAAACAGAGCCATCTCTCACGGGATATGCCCGTCAGTGGGAATTGGTGGACACTCCACCCACGGCGGCTGGGGATTCACCTCACGAGCCTGGGGGCTTACCCTCGACCACATCGTCGCGATGCAGGTCGTGTTAGCAAACGGCACCGTGACCCGGGCAAGTCCAGACGTGAATCCAGATCTCTACTGGGTGAGTGACCGATGCCTTTCTTGGGCCGTGTTTTATGCGCGGCTTTCCCGTCGAGCAGGATGCTGACTCGTACCCTTCACCTGTCAACAGGCCATGCGAGGAGCTGCCGACAGCATCGGCATTGCCATTAGCATCTCGCTGAAAACCCAGGCTGCCCCCCAGGAAGTCCTCACCTTCATATACGAGTTCCAGACCATCCTCGAAAGCGTCCCGAAATCCGTGAGCGCGCTCATGGGCATCCAAGGCTACATGAGCAACTCGACCGCCGTCGACCGCCGCCTGTCCCTCTTGGTGCAGACCACCGTCAACCCGGACCCAGCCTCCGGGACCGTGAGCAAGAGCCTCGTGGTGGCGGGCATCTTCATGGGCAGCCTCGCCGAGTTCAGCTCCCACATCGAGCCGGAGCTTCTGCGGCGGGTGCCGGACGCGCCCACGGCACGCGACGTGCAGTCGCACAACTGGATTGACTCGCTCGCGCGGCAGAGCCCGGACGGCACGCTGGACGGCGCGCCCGAGTCGCTCGACTTCTTCGGCAACAGCGCGACGATCGACTCCCCGGGCCTGACCGAGGCGGCCGCGACGAGCTACTTCTCCTACATGCTGGACGGGCCGGCGCCGCCCGTCGGGTTCGAGTCCAGCATGGAGCTGTGGGGCGGCGCCGACGGGCAGATCGGCCTCGCGGCCAAGAACGCGAGCTTCGCCGCCTTCCCGCACCGCGACGTCTTCTGGACCGCCCACAACCGCGCCCAGGCCGCCCCCGACGTGCCCTTCCCCGACGAGGGCGTCGCCTTCCTGAACGGCCTGCGCGACGCCATTGTTGAGACACTCGACGTCCCCACGGGCGCCTACCCCAACCTGCTCGACACCAGCCTGACGCGGGAAGAGGCCCACGCGCTGTATTATGGGGATGAGGTGCTGGAGAGGTTGCGGCGTGTCAAGGCCGTGTACGATCCGAGGAATATCTTTTGGAATCCGCAGTCGATTTGAGCGTGCCTTGGGTAGATACCTAGGCAACTTGCGCATTGTTCCTTGGTTATTATGTAGGTACCTGTGGGCTACAATTTGTATTTATCACATCTTATTCGATAGATTAATTAGGGCAAAGAATCTTCGGGTCTGTGGTACCGAGAGTTCGTCGTCACACCCAATTCACACATCCGGATCAAAGCGAGGGGCTGCAAATCAGAGATGCGAGCGAATTGGGGAGGTTTCCTGTGTGTGCCAGACTTTGCGTGTGGTTGACGAAGAAATGTTCATTTGCCGGAGAATTCATGTTCCCTCCAGACATCTTCCGATGGACTGGATGCCACAGTTGGTACTATACGTCGCGATCGTTTGCGTTCCCCATAGGCTCCTCGTGGCACGTACACTCTCAATTCTCCCAGCTGTAAAAGTGGTAATAGTTGAGATTTACAAGGGTGTGCGAGATTCTGCAGGTAACTGGTAGGTTCCAGGTTGGTGGACTCGAGCAACGCAGTCATCACTGCCTCCATACACCAGTTTCGCACACTTTATGCCCTCGCGTCTCACGACGGACTCATGCTTCGCTTGCTAGGTTGTTTTGCTCCTGATTCAAGCCCTAGGGGCTTTTGCATACTTTCACCTAGGGGTGTGTGTGTCATTGAGATTCCGCCGAACGAAACACAGCTAGCTACAACCTGAACCTTAACCCTCCATCAAAAAGGACATCTGACCGCCAGCAACTCGCAACAGCGGATTTCGCTGTACCGAGATATTCTCTCCGGGTTGCACCAAAACGAATCCAGTACCTACCCTTCATCTATCTTTCTATCTTCTACCTTCGTTTATATTTTCTTTTCGCCCTTCGCATTCATTTTACCACCCTTTCCATCTCTAACCCCCACTTCCATTCTATCAACACCGTTAAGGAGGTATTTAATTCCTCAACTACTGCTGATCATATTCTTCACGCCATCGCTGGTACATGGGTACATTCCCCCTGCACAGCCCGCATTCACTGCGGGGGGAAACTCCCCATAAATTCTCGGAACCTACATCCATCAGCCTGTGCATAGATATGTGGTCCATGATCTCGCAGTTTCTGCAGTTGAAGAAACTATGGCCGCATTCTCTCTGGGTACTAGTAGGCTGCTGAGGTTGTGGTTCTTGCCTGCCTAGAAAGCGCTTCACCTTCGCCCTTAGCCCAGTCTTCAACTGCCCTGCAGACCGGTTAAGTTCTTTGTCTTTTGCCATGGGTTCGTGGTCTCCGACCAAGACTTCGTGGTCTGTGACCATGCCTTCGCAGCGCCAGATGGGAAGAGCTTTGTTAGGTAGGCTTGCGTCCGAAAAGAATCCACATTGGCAACATATCCAAGCAAAAGGCACCCTGTTCATTGCCAGAGGTTTGTCGTCTGTCGGCATGGCTTCGTGCCCTGTTGCCATAGTTTTCTGGTTTGTTGCCATGGTTTCGAAATGTACCTTGTAGGTATGTCGGCAAAAACTTCTAGAAATCTATTTCTAAACGACAGAGCATGCTTAAGGGCCCTGGCTTACAGGTTTATATATAACAATCGTTTTACCTTTCCATAGGTTGTTCTTTGTTCCTCAGAAGGTATCAACTGATATTCTAGGAACTAGCGGTTTACAAAGAGGTGATGGCCATTGATACTGGCAGCCGTTTAAAGCATGCTAAATACCACCCCTTCATTGCATTGTCTCCTTTTATAGTGGATTTACAGGCTAGCATCACCGTTTATACTTGAAGCACAATGAGAGCCATGGCTCGCACGCCCCTGAGCCCCTGAGCCTTGTAAACCCATAAACTGCATGGGTGGAAGCAACGGAAAACTGGGAAACCTACCTACTTATTTGTAAATTCACGTGGACAGGGAACCCAGTTTAACGTTTTAATTTGGCTCGATGTACTCGGCCTTGTGTGTGTGAATGGACTTGGTGCAGCAAAGCGGTGCCTCTAAGTAGGTACCTAGTTAGTTGAGTGTTTGTGCATGTTCTTGATGGGTACTTCTCTAATTTCTTGCCTTTTTGTTTGTTCGGGCATAGAGCTAAGCTACATTAGATATACGCCCCAACCTAACGACGGAATCATGGCTTGAGACCCATCAATACCTGACTGATGAGGGGCGAAGGTGGAGGAAGGGGAGCCCCGACCGCCTAAACCAATAGAGTAGAGGAGACGAGTAGTTACTTCGGCCCAGTTGGCACTATTCAATAGTAGTGGGCTATAGATCATGAGTCACTACGGAATGTTTCCCATAAGCCCGGGAACGGGTACTCCCTCTCACTCCAGGACTGGACTGCATTCCTGCAATATATACAATCCACGGAGGCATCAACATGACCCCACCTTTGGAAGGAGCCTAGGAGCTCGAGTCTATGTTGGGATACGTGATCCGGGACCCGACACCTTCTGCAGGTGAAGAGATGATGGCCGCATTTTTTCCAGCGCAGTGGAGGCTGCGTTCCCTTACTTAGACGGGCTATCGACCTCGCTAATAGAGGCCGGGCAAGCGCAGCTTCTTCATCTCTTGCTATAGCTTCGTGATCTACAGCCAGCCCTCTACAGCGCAAGTTGAGAAGAGCCTTATCAGTTATCTCCCCTTTCCAGGTGGTCTTACATTGGCAACATATCCATTCCATAGGCTTGGGTAGGGATAATATAGTACCGGTTCCCGTGGGTTTGGATGTAGTACCGTTGTCTATGGGTTTGGATGCAGTACCATTTCGCTGATCTTTGGTTTCTTGCTGAGATTCCATAGTTGTGAGTAAAAGATCCAGGTCTTGGAGATATCTGTTCCTAGTTTCTAACCTATTCTATATCTAGGTAGTTTTGAACTGCTCTGTTTCTCGCTTCCAAACCATTCTAAACGATTCCAAACTCGAACTAATACGATTATATAATACTTAGCAACTCTTCTTTGTTTACAAACCCAGCGGCTTAGGTTCGGGACTGACTGTTTATACCACGAACATGGACATAAAACTACGTATATAGGGCTTTGTTATAGTTTTCTCCATTGATAGCTTTAATGGAATGGGCGGGGCTCTCTCATAGCTGCTTAAATACATAAACTGGGAAATATTGGTGTAATACAGAGAACGCTACCAAAGAATTGCGAAACTGTGTCCCCGAGCCCCTGAAGTGGGCAACTCTGAGTCGTCCTGGACTGTAAGTATCGACACACGCCATCAACAACGAATCCAACAGCTTTCTTTTCCACAATTCTCTCTTACTGGAGCGGCCCGGTTTCTTTCTTATTCTTCAGTTCTTGACGTTTGCGACATAACAAAGCATACAAGCTCGCCGGGCGACAAAGCAGAAACAAACGAAGCCCAAGTTGGTGCGGGTGGCGTTCCCGTGATACGCCCCCTGAAGCTTTGACCCACCCACCTCTCGAGTCTCGATTTACCGCTCGCCAGAGTCAGCCTGCTCCATCCTCCAGCCCTTCATCTCTAGTTTGTGGTGACTCTAAGAATACATGCACGTGTCAATCACCTTCGGGGCTCATCACCGCTTCCAAGGAACTCCCAAGCTACAGCACCCAAAGGAATGAGCTGCCATGTCCCAACGTCCGGAATTTGGACCGCCACAGTTCTTGCGCATGGTTGCCGTGGGACTGCAGGCCCTGACGGTGGCGTGCCTCGCCTCATGGCTTGTGCTATTCCACGGTCGCCGAGCGCCCCCCGAAGGCGCCCAGTCTCATGAACGCGCGAAGAACGAAGCATTGACAACGGAAGGGGACGACGAGACGGCCAACCAGCTTGTCTGGATCGGGAACGAGACCAACACCGCCGATGAACCTGTACCCTTCAACAGGGATCCATTCAGCCTCCTACACTTCCGCGTCCGCCTCCCTGCCGGTCACAACAGCGAGCCGAGCTCTGGGCCACACGCTCAGCCGGTCGAGCTCGTTTTCCACTCTTCTTGGTCGCTCACCCCAGACGCCATCTCGCTTCACATCAGCAGCGATGGTGTTTCTGCGTTCCATGGTAGCTATCTACGCCAGTATCCTTTGTATGACCGAGACCACTCCGGAAACGTCGCAGTCCGCGACGCAGGCACGATTCAGGTGTGTTCTCCATATATCGCCAAAGAGAATGTGACGAAACGGCGTATGGAGACCTTGCGTCTGGTCATCATCGCTACCGTGTTGTCGTTTGTAAGCATCACTCTGGGAGTCGCCGACACGTTTACTCGCAGAGACAACGACAGCGTCAGCCAGTTCACTTGGCCGCAAGCCACAGAGAGTCAGCCGCTTGAGCTTTGGGACCGGGCGTGGGATATTCTGGAGGTTTGGGCCGAGGTGACGGAGCCCCTGATGCCGGACGAAGCACCTAACGACCGCAACAACGTATACGCCGCCTTCCACAGCCTGCCGAGCCCGCACCAAACCATCTCAGAGTTTTGTGATCAGCTCTCCTTTATTTTATCGAGCACGTCGGGGGCAAATGCGAGAGCGCCGGTCGGTAGCACGAACACACGGGAAACTATTGCTGAAGCATGCGATACCGCTGACAAGAACCTGGATCAATTTGATTCCGACTGGGCAGATCTCCTGTCTTACTTCTCGCGTGGGTGGCTTAAGCGACCAATCCAAGAGCTCTACTCGGCGGGATACAATACCAGCCGCTTCCAGCACATGAAGGAGGAAACCACCACTGATGGAAGGGATGAAAGCTCAGGGTATGGTTTCTTGAAATTGGAGGGGGCGGGTGTCACCGGTCCGGGCAATTTCAGCCATACCTTCAACAACCAAACAGCCCTACGACTCTTGGCGATTGCCAACCCGTCTTTCCCCAGATTACGACCTTCGGCTGCCAACATGACTCGTCGCCTACGCAGCGTACAAGCACGAGCCAGGACCGCAGCCGAATCTATCGCGGTGGTATCCGAGCTTCTGCCCCAGGAGCTGCGCGCGCAAGCGGGACACGACCGGGAAGCGACCCCAGACGCATCCTTTGCAAAACAATGGGCGGGTTTCGACCTTTACAGCTGGTGGAGCGGCGACGAGACGGCTAGCGGTTACGGCTCCGCCGCGACGGCGCGCGCGGCCAGGGAGGTGGCCCGGCTCCACGGTGTCGTGAAGGCATTCCATGCTGACGTGACGGAGAGCGTACGGCGTGCCAGCGCTATCGAATCTTCCCTGGACATGTTGGAGCAGAAGGTCACCGCGCTGGTGCAGGCGAAGGAGCCGAAACAAGGCCGGGGCTTGGATGGGGCATGGACGGCCCTGGGATGGAGGGCAGACTGCGGATGCGAGAGCGAGACGCAGACTTCTTCTCCCATCAGAGCGGCTGCCACCCCGGTTATCGTGGCATACTTCGTGCCGTCCGCCGAGACGCTCTTCCAGGGTATGAAAAGGACGTACCGCCTGCTTATCGACAAGCAAGCGTCGGCCATTCGGCGGCGGGAAGGCGCATTTGGGGAAAGGGAGAGGACGTCGCAGAAGAGGTGGCACGACTATTCCCTCGAGCACGGAGGAGGAGGGGCTGCGGACGAGGAGGGCTGCCTCGATATGTCTGTAGATGAGAATGGGAAGAGGAAGTGCTTGAGGCTGGACGAGGTCGGAGCGAGAGTTGGTAGTAGACTCCGGGCCGAATTTGGAGCAGAAAGGCTCGTTGGTATGGACTTTGATCGCGGCGGTGTGGAAGAGCCATTGCCCGGTGGGTAGTCGGAGCTGGTTAGTGTCCTTCGTCTCCGCCAAGCCATCTTCCACCCCTTCTGTCCTCGAGACTTTGATCAAAGATTCCTTTGAGTCCAGACATCGAGTGACTCCCCGAGGGCCTATCCAAAGCTCAAACTCGTTTGGTGCGGGGCATGTGTTCTGTCGAAGCTGCGTCTAGTCGTACATGGCACTGGAGAGCGTAACGAAAACGAACAGCGGGTGTCCCGCGTGAAACAAGTTACTTTCCGACGTCCAGAAGTCGTTACCGGCCCCCCCCTCATCGAGACGAAACGAACGGTTTTGCCTTGGAACGGGCCTTCGACAATGAGGCCACGCCGCCGAGGAAACGAGATCAATGGATGTAGCCGACCACCGGAAATACTCCCACGTTCCTTGCTGGCAGCGACACGGGTCCATCAAAGAGCACGGCTCATCGAAAATGGAACCCACTGCCGAAGACGTCGCCTCTCTCCTGGGTCGTGTGGTGCGAGACGATGACGGTAACTCCGTGGGCATCGGGGGTGACTACGACGATGAGGGTGACACGGAGGTCGAAGAGACGGACTGGACGAATAGCTGGTGAGATGGACGACTCTGTCGACGAATGGGGTCAAGAAACCTTGACGGAAGTTCGCAGCGTGAACAACTTCAAGTACCCTGAAGTATGACTATCAAGGAGGGGGTTTGGGACCCCAAAGCGAGGCACCTACCCGTGGAGGGGAGATAGAGACGTAGCTAGAGGTTAACTCCGAAGCTTAGCACTTTTGGTACCTAGGTAGGGTTTGTCTTGGGGTCCCGGCCCTCTCAGGCGTTCACGAGGTTTCAGAGGCAACCACGCACTTCCGTTCTTTTTCAGCACTCGCAGGAGTCACACCATTTTTCGGCGTCTGTGACCGTGGCCATCTGCCCGTAGGGCACGCGCGTAGGCGCAAACCCAAGGCATCATTCTCACACACTCACCCTTCGACGACCCGGGGTGTGGAGCTCAAGGGTAGAGGTAGTGATGTACGTGGATACGTACGGATGTAGTGTATGTGTGCGTGTGTATGTACACACATAGTACACGAGTGTATTAAAGGGTTACGCGCGCCGCACCATCGGGCCGCTGGGTGTGGCGCGCGCGCAGGTAGTCGCCAGTCGGAGGCGGACGGCTGCGATCCCGAAAGGGGGGGGCGGGGGAGTTGTAAGAACCTTAGGTACTTACGACTATGTAAATCGTGTAGTGCATACGCTAGTGTAAGTACACTAGCGAGGCTGAGCGGAAGCTACACGCCGGGAAACCCCATTTCCTTGCTGCTGCGCGATGTGGGGAGCAATGTATGTACAGAATAGTGTACATATGTACGGATGAGTGGCGGTCTGGGCGGCCGGGGTGGGCCCTCCCCTGCTGCCGTTGATCTGGGGATGCGTGGGGGCTTTCTGATGGCAGCTGGGAAACGTCCCGCCGGCCGGGGGGGTATGGTAGTACAAAGAGCGGGGGAGCCGTCCATCGGCTGGGAGTGAGGGGTTAAGAGGTACCAGTAGGGGCAGGATTGGGGGATACGACGGGGATGAGGAAGGTGAGGCGGGAGAGGTTCGGGTTTTAGAAGAATGGGTTGTCCGTCTCTGGCGTCCCAAATAGAATTGAGAATTATGTGGTTGGACGTTACTGATTATATCACCAACCCGCGAATGTGATGTTGACAGAAATGGGACGGTAGTGTGCGGACAGCCGGAATTACTAGGTACCTGTATTATCAATGCAGTTCTACTCAACAATAATGCAGATATCATGATGCTTCAACCCCCGCTGCCTCCCATAGCCGGAGGATTCAATGGTGAACTCGCCACTGTATCCCCTCTACCACGTCGACACTGGCACTGTTCCAACTCACTCTCCACTTCTTTCAACCTTCTCACCGTCTCCCTGTTCCTCTCCTTCAGGTCTTTGATAAAACCCACGGCCATCTCGACAATGTCGAGCTTGCTACTTGGTACTCCCGGCCGAACCACGAAATCCGCGTCCTTCGGCGCCTGCGGCGCGGCTTGGTCTTCACCGCCAGTCCCGGAGGGGAGTAACTTCTGTATCTCTCGTATTGCGATGGTCAATCTGTTGCGGCGGGTCTTCTCGGACAGTTTGTGGGCGATCCGTTTAGAGTCCACCTTGGACGAAGAGGAGCTATCCCGGTAGGCGATTTCGATTTCGCTTCCGCTAGCGGCCACCGGGTGGTCGTGGCTGAGCTGGGGGAAGAAAGCGGCGGCGGCATCCGAGGCCTCAAACCAGTCGGTATTATAGTCGAAGTCTGGGATATAAGGTCTCTCTGGGCGCGCGGCCGGGTGGTGGCTTGGTATCGAGGCCGATGTCTTCGCTGGTTTGGTCACCCGGTGTGAGCTTCGCCGCCGGGGCTTCTGGGTTGAGGGCAGTGTCGGCATCGGCAGGCAAAAGTCTTCAAGGCTGTCGTTGCGACTCTGGATCGAGTCGGAGTCGTCATCGACACTGAATTCTGGGCGGGTTGATTGCCATAAGCGCCCGTCGTGAGGCTGCTCACCAAACGAGGCCCATTCCGCCTGCAGAGCCGCCGTCGACTGTGGAAAGTGGGTAGATATGGTGTTGTTGGCGGCCGGCGCAGGGTGAGAAGTTATCTGGCCTCGGGTTTAGCGGTCAAACGCCCCGAAAATGCTTCGGTGTGGGACTCACATGGCTGTCAGGGGAAAGAGCCTGGCTTTCGCCAGGCCAATCCCGAGCGTAAAGGGTTGGAAGACTGGGCTCAAACACCTGCCGAGGCTGTCGTTTTGCGGGCGCCGGCCGATAGCGGTCGGGTCCGACACCCGAGGACGGAGTCTTGTCATCGTCGAGGTGCCTCTCGGGAAAGGAGCTCTCAGCCTCGAAATCAGGGCTGTAGGCCGGACGGCCTGCAGCTGTGGATTGCATTTCCGATCTTCTTATTGCAACGACGTCACTCAAGTCCGATTCCGATGTCGCGTGGACTTGGAGGAATGGGTTACAGTGGCTCAGTGGTTGTCCGCTGACGCAAGAGCAGTGCATGCTTGCGTTTTCGGGTTCCCTGCGACTCGTGCAGCAAAGATGAGGAGGTGTTTGAGCACACCATCGTCGTGGGCCAGGAGGCCATCATAAGCGCCAGGGACCCGAGTCCCCAACTTGGAGAGCCTTGGGCACCCAGACTCGGGCCGTCTTGGTCCCGAGTACCCCCAATTTTGGCGGACGAGGCCGCTGCAAAAGCAGTGACTGAGACAACCGAACGAAGCAATAGCCTGCGTTCGTCGAGAGCAAGTTGGGGGACAAAGATGGATTCGCCACGTAAACAGCATGTAACACCCAGCAGGATGGACCTGCGCGATAGGTTCGCCAAGCTGGGGTTCCTGTCTTGCAAATGGAGAGACAGCACGGCGGAGCTGCATTGCGTAAGAAGGCGTGATAACGCCACTGGCACAGGAAGGTCGGGTCACGAGCCAAATAACCTGGCCAGGAATGGTGTTATTCCCGTGATATCGAAGCTTAAAAATGCCTTTTCAACTAGATCCTCTCCTTCTCATCAATACTTTGTCTTTCAGCTTGAGCGGTGGTTCATGTGCTCGTGTGTGTCTTGGTGGAAGTGCACCGTGGGCTGTTAAGCTGGCTGCTCGGCTACTCAGTTGTTACTTAGTCCTTCTCATGACGACATACAGGGACGGCAAGGGCCATCTAACGAAGACTCAAACAGTCGGCGTCGCCGCATCGGGTGAGGGAACAAGGAGCTTGGGAATGCGAGCGTTTGGCGCTCCGCTCCCCTGGCGCCGAGAACGCCCAAGATCGCGAACACCGGCGAAGGTTCTCCGAGCCTGCTTCTCGAAGCTGGGCTGACGTTTTGACGGCATGGCTCATGGTTTCCCGAACGTGTGCGCGACTGAATCCAGCCACATCGAGGCACAATCCATGCCTGTCAAATTGCCACGGTCATCGGCAAACCCGCGCACGCATCGAGATCGGCATTCCCACGAACCTCGCCATCGCACCAAATTGCCGGGTCTGATGGGGGATCTCGTCCTCCCCGAGAACGTGAGCCTGCCTCATCTCGAGACAACGCTGACCCGGTGTTCAGCTGAATGTTTCAATTTCCACGCAGGAACCACGTTGCTGGGCCTCGGGGGGGCCGAGGACGTGGAGGACAAATTGCGGGAGGGTTGGGGTCGTCGCGTGCCGTCTGCAGAGTCCTCGGAACGGTTGGTCGTCGAGGGATTGTGGTTGATTGCGCAAGAGAACCCCTGAAATGTCGTCATGCGCAAGAGGCGGGCAACACCTCCCTTTTTGTCTTCTTTGGGCGGAGGGCATGCTGCGGGCTGCCCCCACGTTCTAACTAAAATCTGACCAAGAAGCCAAGATGGGGAAATGATGATAGGTTCGAGTGAAACCTGGAAAGCCACGGCGGGGAGCACCGGGAGCTCGTGCGTGTGGGAAACAAAGCAACACAATACGGCCCAGGTGTGGAAGGAAGGAAGGAGGTTGAATTGGTTCAGAAGCCCCGAAAATGGTGTGATTGAGCTGCCTACAGCTCAAAGCCAATCATGTCTCAAGAGGAGCCGAAAGAGTGGGCCATTTTATGGATGGCACTTGCCGGAAGCGGAAGCGACCGAAACAGCTCGACGGTGTGAGCCCGCCAACCCAGCCCAGCTCTCTTCGTTCCTGCCCAAGGGACGGGATGCATGCAGCTTTTGGGTTCTTGTGCCATACTTGTACGGAAAGCGCAATTCGACACAGGCAGGGCTTTGCCATGGCTTTGCGCCATCCTGCACCATCAAAGGTCGCCTTCTCTTGTCTGTTTGCCGGGTCACCCAGGACGGGCGCCCACGTCGCCCAGCATAACGCCCCGAGTTGAACAAGCTTCCCAAGCTTCCCAAGCTTCCTGGGGTATTCTTGGTCCCCCTGGAGCGAGGGCGTCTCGTTGGCCACTCTGCATGTCCGGATGGGACCTGTGATTGGCGTCCGCGAGCCCCTACCAGGCTCACCTCAATATCACGGTTTATCACCGCGGAGTTTCGACATCGAGGCAGCCAAGAGATCCCATACATGCAAGCAACAATGGGGGTTTGTGCAAGACCACGTCTTGGGGGGTGAGGACTTTTCAGTTTCCGTGCCCCCCCGGTTTGGAAAGGTGGTTACCTTGACTCCTCCCCGCCTTTTCTGCTCCATCCGCAGCCGCCGTCGTCGATACCAACCGGGTCTCAGGGAAGAAGACACTGGGTAGGTACCTGGTACCTTCTCGGGGGATCCACAGCGGCTGGAGGACTTTCTGCTTGATGTCTCTCTTGTCTAGCGAATTACAGCAATCCAACAGCTTCTGGAACAACCTGCTCAAGCAGCCTTCTTGTTCACTACGCCGGGGTCCTGGGGTTCTCATCATCCGTTACACGAACACCCGAGGATCCGCAAGGGAACCCATGCCCTTCCAAGGTAGCCGGCTGCACCACCTGCATAACCACCCTACCCCAGTCCCGGTCTTCGCCGCGTGCTTGCAGGCCCTCGCGTGGAGGACGAGCGAGGGGTTTCTCCATTCCCGTGTGTCATCGCCGCCCGTCTGGCTGGGAAGATCAGCGAGAGCCTGTGGCCATCCCGCGGCACCAACCAGCATGCACAAGACGCCTCCGAACGCGTGCTCGAACTATCAGATCGAGACCCTGTTTGCCACCCCCGATGTTTCGTCCTTTGCCTCGTTAGCCTGCCGTGAGAGCTCACACAAGAAGCTCAGCTGAACGCAGGGGCCTCAACATCACATTTGGGGGTCACCCAGTCGAGCACGTGAAGCTACTACATCTTCTTTCCCATTCATATAAGACGCAACCTGCGGATCACCGTTTCCTGCCGCTGCAACCTCAATCCCAACGCGTCCCACACCGCGACAGTCGACAAACATGGCTCCGAGCAATCGTACTGACCGCGTCAAAGCGTTCTTCGGGATCGATCCCGACCAGGCTGTTGACGACTCGGCCTTCTATGCTGACGGCTCCTACGTCGAGGAAGAGCCCACTGTCGCCGAGGCCTTGCTCCAACTCTTCCCCACAATACCCGGAACCATCGCGTACCTCAAGGAGTTGTTTCCATTCCTCGGTTGGATCTTTCATTACAATCTAACATGGCTGCTGGGTGATTTCATCGCCGGTGAGTGCCGAACCAAGTCACGCCTTCTCGATGTAGACATGGCTAACAGCTATAGGCGTCACGGTTGGTTTTGTCGTCGTGCCGCAGGGCATGGCTTATGCCCTTCTTGCAAACTTGCCTGCCGAATTTGGCCTTTACACATCCTTCGTCGGCTTCATTCTGTACTGGGCGTTTGCGACCTCCAAGGACATCACCATTGGCGTCGGTTAATCCTCTCCCCCTTCTTCTTTTCTCGCGCACTAACCGTGTCATAGGCGGTTGCCGTCATGTCCACCATTGTTGGGAACATCGTCATCAACGTGCAAAGCACTCACCCAAACCTCAGCGCTGAGACCATCGCCCGAAGCCTTGCCCTAATCTCCGGCATCGTCCTCCTGTTCTTGGGTCTTGTCAGGCTGGGCTTCCTTGTCGAGTTCATCTCATTGGTCGCTATCGGAGCTTTCATGACGGGCTCTGCCATAAGCATCGCCTCTGGCCAAGTTCCCGGCCTCTTGGGTATCTCCGGTGTCAACACGCGCCAGTCGACCTATCTCGTCATTATTGAAACCCTCAAGGGCTTGCCGAGGGCCAAACTAGACGCTGCCATGGGGCTGTCTGCTTTGTTCGGCCTCTACTTCATCCGTTGGTTCTGCAACTACATGGGTCGGAAGCACCCTCGGCGCCAAAAGATGTGGTTTTTCCTCTCAACCCTGCGCATGGCTTTCATCGTCATCCTCTACATCCTCGTCAGTTGGCTAGTAAACCGCAACATTAGCGACGCGTCCGAGGCCAAGTTCAAGATCCTGGGACGAGTCCCCAGTGGTAAGTGTCACCTGCACCTTATGGTAATCATGGTCTCTAAAAGTGCTGACATGATCCCATACCAGGCTTCCAGCACGTTGGTGCCCCTGAACTTAACGTTGAAATTCTCCAGGCCCTCGGTCCAGACATTCCGATGACAATCTTGGTTCTTTTGATCGAGCATATATCTATCTCCAAGTCGTTCGGCCGTGTCAACAATTACATCATCAACCCCTCTCAAGAGCTTGTCGCCATCGGCTTTACCAATGTTTTCGGCCCATTCCTCGGCGGGTATCCGGCTACCGGGTCGTTCTCACGAACAGCGATCAAGTCAAAGGCCGGTGTCAGGACTCCTCTCGCCGGTATTTTCACCGCCATCATCGTTCTCTTGGCTCTGTACGCATTGACATCCGTCTTCTTCTACATCCCATCCGCCGGGCTTTGTGCCATCATCATCCATGCCGTTGGTGACCTCATCTCCCCTCCAAGAGAAGTCTACCAGTACTGGCAGACGTCCCCTATCGAATTCGTCATCTTCTTCGCCGGTGTTTTCGTCTCCATTTTCACTTCTATTGAGAATGGTATCTACGTCACCGTCGCGGCATCAGCCGCCTTCTTACTCTTACGTGTCGCCAAAAGCCCCGGCAGGTTCCTCGGCAAGGTGAATGTCCACAGCATCACACGTGCCAACGTCCGGGGGGATTCCTCCCCTCAGGAGAGCGGCGGTGAGAGAGGTCACATTGGCTTCCTTGACCTTGGGCGAAACGACTTATCCAACCCGGACATTAACATCAAATCTCCTTACCCCGGAGTTTTCGTTTACCGTTTCAGCGAAGGCCTTAACTATATCAACTCAGCCCGGCACCTCGATCACCTGACGATCTACATCTTCAAGCACACGCGCCGCAGCCAGCTGGACAAGTACGACAAGATCGGCGTAAGTCACCAGCCCCCCTCGCCCCCCGAACCATCTTCTCTAACAGCCCATGCAGGACCGCCCCTGGAACGACCCTGGCCCCCGTCGCGGACAAGCCGCCAACACGGAAGAGATGGCCGCGCGCCCCACCCTGCGCGCCGTCATTCTCGACTTTACCGGCGTCAACACCCTCGACGTGACCGCTGCCCAGGCGCTCATTGACCTCCGCAACCAGTTCGACCGCTACGCCACCCCGGACCGTGTCGAGTGGCACTTTGCGGGCGTCTCCAGCCGCTGGACCAAGCGCGCGCTCGTCGCGAGCGGGTTCGGCGCCGACAGCAGGCGCACTCGTGTCATTGTTGGTTCCGCCCCTTCGGGTGACGACAAGAGCGAGCTGGAGCCGCTGATCGGTGCCGCCGAGACTGGTGTTGATTGGGCGAGAGCCGCTGGGAGCCTGAAGGGAGTTGAGACTCGGTCCAAGGCGAGAGAGGTCGATATCGAGGCCGCTGGCGCGGAGAGCGTGGTCTCGCCTGTTCCCTCATCAAACGTCGGCGGGAGGAGGCTAGTGCCGATATACGGGGTGAACAGGCCGTACTTCCACGTCGATATTGAGACGGCGGTGGCGAGCACGGTTCAGAGTTTGCAGGGGCGCGGGTCGGAGTGGAGTGGACGGGAATAGAGGATGGTCTTGGGATAACTAGAGGGGTTTTTGGTTCAATGCCTGGTTTGTTTCTTTTTTGGGAAATGGGGAACCTTTCTGGTTAGTTATCAAGTGGTATCCGACACCGCCTTGTTGGTTTTGGAATATACGAGGTCATTCGCAATACAAGGTAGACGGACGCAGTTCCGCCTGTTCTCCAGGGCACACTAGCCCCGGTGGTTGCATTCCAAAACTACTCAGGTGTATGTGCCACCCCATACAACACTGTGTTGCCCAGTCCATGGGCTCAAAGCCACCGTGTGATGTGCAGCGAATCGGCCCGTGACATTGTAAGCTGCGAGTGGGGCCGGATTCTTCGCCGATCCCGGCTCAACGTCCTCGCCAAGCCGGCCGCATGAGCCGAGGAAAGGTGGGTCGTCCCCGATAACCCCGGTCTCCCGCTCAGCCCCGGGCGACGCAATGCTGATCCGCTCAGGGACGAGCTCGATCATAAACATCATGCATACGACTTATTAAGCAGCTCTGCTTGTGCGGTGGGATTTGTTATTTGGTGGCGACCACCGCCTTGATGTACACACCACAGCCTCCATATGGACGTGGCACATACAGGGTTACAGCGAGCGGCACCTTTGTCATTGGGCATACACATGGTATGATGCGTAAATAAACTCACTTCCTTGGCGCTATATCAGGCACCCAGGGCGGCCCTGGTTCCTCACAGAAGTTGTGCGATGCTGCTTTTGCGGAGCCTTTCCCGTACAGAGTCATGACATCCCGAAACCACCATGGGCGTCCCCCCCAGGGGTTGAGGGATCCAGTTTTACAACAAGAACTCTCCCCTCAAGCTTGATAGCCTCAGGTGGGGGCTCGCTGACAAGCGCGTGCCTCACGTTGGGAAATATGGCCAGACTGGAGATGTGCCGTGTGGATGTGTTCGGTCACGTTATAAAGAGAGGGGGCATTTTTACCCCTGATTATAGGGAACCGAGATAAGTTAAATTATGTGCACGCACACCTGGGAACAAGATCATGGGTCGAGAACGGTAAATACCTAGATACATAATCAGAGCGATATTTGGTGCTAATGAAGCTTAGTTGTTTTGAGTAGAGAGATAGGGAAGCCCAAACTACCTAGCTAAAGCGGTTAAAGAGGGGACAGGTAGCTGCTCCTTCAGCCCAGGGGACGCCACGAGTGCCGAGGTTAAGGAATGTGAGCGATAATCAGGTGTTTCCTAGAGCTCTGTTGTCATCATGAAATCCCTGTAAAGCTTTGGTACAAAGGGTCGTGGGAGGTCGAGTGTTTGTTGAGATACGCGATCCTGGACGTTACATTTCTTGCAGCTGAAGAAATGGTGGCCGCATCCTTTCAAGGGGGGAGTTTCCTTGCTCAGAAAGCCCTTCATCTTCGCTACTAGCGACCGGGAACTGCCAGCTTCTTTGGTATCCATTTCCATAGCTTCGTGATCGACCACCATTCCGCTACAGCGGACCACGAGAAAGGACTCCTCAGTTATTCGTACGTGCCAGTGAGTTTTGCATCGGCAGCACTTCCATTTTATAGCCTTCTGTAGCGATCTAGTGGTCTCTATAGGCTTCGATCCAATGTTGTCTTTCATATCGTTGGTTTCCTTTTGAGGTTCCATTGTAAGTAGATAGATGTTTAAAACGCCTCGGTATAGTTTCTAGACTATCGTAAACTATGAAGGAGAGGTTTAGTCTACTATTTATATTTAATAATCTACGAGTTTCTAGAGTGGGAAATTATATTAGTTTGTTGGACAACTCACAACTTCTAAGATACAGAGAACTGTAAAGCACAATGTATAAGGTACTTTCTCGATACTTTTAGTAAGTCGATCTAGTCCAAGCTTAAGAGGATATTATGGCTAGAGATAAGCTATAATGAACTACGATATATTAGTAAGAGAGGAATAGAGAACCTTTAAGAGAGTAACTTATACCTTTTAAGTTCAAGATATAAAAATATCTTGAACTACCGACATCTTTATAGAGTAAAAATAATAGCTTTGCATTGCTAAGCTAGAGTTAGCCGCAGGAAACACTATTCTTTATTAACATCTTAATAAAGTAGGAACACTAAGAAACCATTGTTCAAACATCCTTAGTTGAAGCAAACAATATAATACAACAATTCACATAAAGTAATAGCGCTATATTTAAGAACGGGCTTGCCACCCTCTAATTGATTACCCGTTATACCCTCTTTTCTACCAAACAAAAAGGATCACTAACGTCGCGAAAGTAGCAAGCTAATTCTTGCGGGAGGACTACCTACCTATCTATACGAAGTACACATATAGCCACACACTGAAGTCGTGCCTAACCTCTCCAAACCACCACAGCACAACAACGGGTCACGTGTCGTAACTCTGGTAATGTCAATGTAGCATGGAAGAAGATGCCCGGCTAAGAATGCAACCTTTGTTGCAGGAGGTCCCACAACCTCTAGATTGTTACGCAAAAGCGTATCATGATGCCCCTCTGGGAAGCTGGCTGGGGTCACAACTACCACAAAGAAAGAGTCACTTCTGCAAGTGCTGAAAAGAATAAAATTGCCTGCTTGCCCGTGAACCCCTGAGAGGACCGGAGCCTCTGACTACCTAAATACAAGGACCGCCAACGCGGAATAACTAAACGGAAAAAGTGAAGACATAATGTGACCCTCCTTCTAGGTACCTAGGCTTCGGTATTCGTGCGTTCATGAGAGCGAGACTGGTCGCCTTCGGGGAGAGCTCGACGACCATGGAACAGCACTAGCCACGGGAGGAGGCACGCCACCGTCAGGACCTGTAGTCCCACGGTAATCATGCGCAAAACTTGTGGTGGTCCAGATTCCGAACATTCCAACATTGCAGTTAATTCCTTCTTCGGCAGCCTGAGCAGCAGCTTGGGGGGGGTTCTTGGAAGTGATGATGGGCCTTGTAGGGAGGATGTTTGACACGCAGAGCCACCACACACGGGGGTGGACAGGTATATCCCGGCCCGGGGGCATGCCACCCGCGCCGACTTGAACCTCTTTGTTTCTGCTTTGTCGCCAGGCGAGCTTGTATGCTTTGCTATGTCGCAACCGTCAATAGGTAGGTAACTAAAGAATGATGAAGAATCTGACGCGCGACCGGAAGGGAAGGTCATGCCGAAGAAAACTACTAGGTTCGTTGTTGGCGCAAACCAGAGACAATACGTCGGCAGCAATTTAATTCGCCGTTGCTGGTGACGGGCACGGCACGCCGAGGCATCCATAATCCCTCGCGTATTATGACAATCGATCCCGACGTACCTATAGTTATTCGGACCCCTTGAACGGCCTACTGGTACCTTTCAGGTCCTCAACGCCTTCCATCCGCAACAACGAGACTTGGACTTTATTGAACATTACACTTGAAGAAGGATATCACGACTTGGGATCGAACATGGAATATCACGACAACAGGGGGAGAGTATTTATAATTGAGCTACGGACAAAGATAGGTACTCCAACCGAGGAAAGAGGCCGCGCCGTTCCACCACCCCTCCATGACAGAGGCCGTAGGATGGGAGGCGACGGCAACCGCCGGCAAGGCCGGGCGCGGCACCGCCGATAGCGACAGGCCCGAACACTCTGCAGCCCTGGACGCCCTGGACGCCCTGCTCCTAGTCGCCCTGCCCGTTTTACCGTTGCCTTTGCTGTCGCCAGGCAATGCGCTCCCGTTACCATCGTTCCAGGTTAGGAGGTATGTAGATATATACCGAGGTACCTATCTAGGTACCATCTTGCAGCGTACCCGATCTTCGAGGGCATCGTCGTCTGCTTGCCAAATATGCGCTCCTGAATTTGGTAGGGGCGCTGTGAGGCTTCCTGAACCGGTAAGGCTTGTAAGGCCTTGTGACGAACCTGTCTCTGGACCCGTCCTGTTAGGGTTCAGTATCGGTCGAAGGTATTCTCTCAAGGGTGCTTAGGTTCGGTGCAGCCAAAGGGTGCACAACAAAGACTTGTCTCAACAGTAGGCTCTCGAGCTTGTAGCGAACTGTAGTTGTGATTGCTAACTGGAGAACTCCCAGAGCTCTCCAGAACGAGTGACTATATACTATCTACATCCTCAGGTACCTCTGTACCTGGATCGAAGAATATTCTCATGATCCTGCGATCCGTCCTGGATCATTAGATCGCTTCTCGATCCAATGATCCACTCCTGATTGGTCACTCCTGGATCGCGGCCAGAGCTCACGATCCAGCTCTCATTGGAGAAGGCCATTCCTTGCTGATTGGCTCGGGGCACTGCCAGCGTGCCCCGCCGGGCCGTCTGCATGCGACCATATCCGTGACAGGCCTGCCGCCCTCCTCATTTTCCCCATTATAGGTAAGGTAGGTAGGTAGGTAGTCGGTCATTTTACTCCCACCAGATGTTATGTTTGATGCAGTAGTCACATTCCGAGCGGGAAAGAGGAAGGTTCCATCTTTTATAGCCTCGCTGTTCGAGTTTGTGACAAAATGCATGATCTTCGACATCGCAGTCTTTGCAGCTGAAGAAATGATGATTGCATTCTCTCCCGCCTGGTGAAGGTTGTGCTTCCTGGCCTAGAAGGTGCTTGACCCTTGCTCTTAGCCGAGCCTTGGAGGACGGTGCAAGCTGGGCACCAGGAGCTTCTTTATCCACTGGCGTAGCTTCATGATCTGCCAGGAGAGCTAGGCAGCGGAAGCTGGGAAGGTGCTCAACACTTATTATACACCGCTTCCAGTGGTATCCACACTGGCAACATTTCCAGTCCATTTCGATTGATGCTTCAGGTTTCGTTTTTGATGCAGTAGCGCTTCCTGCATCTTTGGTCCCTTGTTGAGGCTCCATGGCTACCAGTTGAGGGTGTTTAACGAGGATCGTAAACCTGGGAGGGACTGGGAGATCTGGTGATGCTCCGAGGAAGCTAAAGCTGAAGTGGACAAGAGGGAGGATTGGCTACGTTAATATAGGCATCACGACTTTTCGCCTCTGTTCACATATTCAGCAGCGCCGAGGCCGTCCTCAAAGAACCAAAGGACAGGGGGTAGCTGGGGAGGACCCTGAAGCTCGTCAGCGATTTGATGGCACTGGGTCCACCATGTCTCGGCGAAAACAAGACCAAGAAGC